TTTTTTTTTTTTTTTTGGAAAGCGTAAATAATACCTGCATTTGTACTATAGAACCACACCTCATTCAACGCTATTTTTTTACAAAGGCTAAGCTGCAGATAGTGGAGCCTTCTTGTCCACCAAATCTAAATGCTGGGTACTTGACTGAAGTCCAGAATTGGAGCGACCCATTCTTTTCTATAATCTGCTTCAGCTCGGTTTCTGTAAAATTGCAAGAAGTTATCAGGAAAACACTATCCTTTACCATCAATTTTTCAACCACTGCAGGGTATGATTGCACAATCGAGTCTCCGTTGTGTGCTTTAAGCCCGCTCAGTGCGATTGCATCTAATGTGCCCTTGTCGAGCACAACGTCGAATTTAGACGGCTGCCACTGGGGATCAAAGATATCTGCCGGTGCAAACTCGAAGTTATCTGAGTCTTGGTATTGTGTTTGCAAGATCTCTTTGGCGAATTCTACCGATTTCATCGAGTAGTCTACACCCACCATTCTCCCATCAAAACCTTCTTCAAAAAGCTGGAAAAGCAAATGTCCATTTCCGGTCCCTAAATCGATCATCGAACAACTTTTATCGATTCTCAACTGTCCCAAGTGGTTCATCAAGAATTCAACCATTTTTTCTTCGGCATTACTGTCATCGAACCAGCATTCACCGGTATCTTGTGGGTTTTCCTCAAAATTCGATTTTTCAACAGCATAAAAGTCATCCCAGTATTGTTTGGTTCCCAGTTTCGATGTGTTCAGTTTCGTAGTGTCATCCATGGCTCAAAACCTTTGAATTATCCTGTCCTTTTGACGTTTCGTGAAGTTCAAGAAGTTATGCTGGGCGATGCCCGATATAAATTGGATATTGAACCGAGATTTCTGTCAGGGCTTGCTCATCATCATCAAATCAAAGACACAAGAGACCAACCAGACCAAAGTCTCTGAGTATCTTAAGAAGCAAATCAAGATACTAGCAGAAGGCTACTTTATTTGATTAGCATGGCCAAGATCAGTTTCCTACCCACCCTTGAGGATGCTTACGGACCTTTATCAGCTCAACAACTTGAAATTTTAAGACAACAGGTTTTGTCTGAAGGCGGAGAGGTGGCATCGATTCAGTCGAGGTTCAACTATGCTTGGGGATTAATCAAGTCCAAGGAACAGGACGATCAGCGACTAGGGGTGAAATTGCTAACAGATATATATAAAGAATCGTCGATGCGTAGACGTGAATGCTTGTACTATTTGACGATTGGATGCTACAAACTGGGCGAGTTTTCAACTGCAAAGCGGTATGCGGATGCTTTGCGGTCGCATGAACCAGAAAATAAGCAAGCGGTGGCTTTGCAGTCGATGGTGGAAAGTAAAATCCAGCGTGAGAGCCTTAAGGGCATTGCCATTGCAAGCGGATGTGTGGCCGTGGCTGCAACAGTGGCAGGCATGCTGTTCAGGAAAAAGCGTTAGCTTGTGAGGGTGGAAATTTTAAGCTACAGATGGAGTTTATCAATGGCAAAGCAATGGAGGCCCATTTCCTTCTTCTGGACGGATTTGCGGTAGGGTGGGTTATTAGTGTAACATTAGGGATCTCTCTGATCCTATGTGTCTTTTAGGCCCTCCCAAGGTGTCATTTAAAGTCTTTTCCGGAACACAAAGCCCATTTGAGTGAGATTCTACTCTTTCTTTTCCATGATCTCACACTGCTATTAGCAGGTTTCGTTTAGAACTTGAATAAAATGGTTTTCCCGCGATTTTTAGAAACCTCTCTCTACATATCTTTACGACTACAAATTATCTTTTAGCGAGCTGCAAACGAGCTCTGAACTACAATCCTCAGCACTATTACCCCCTATGTCATCGTAAATATACAATCACCTGAACCCATTACTAAATCCATTGCTAAACGGGTGGCTAAACACCCAATTATCACACTAAGACCGTTGATACGATATGATGATCGTTATCCGGTAGCTTTGCACTCCGGTAGCGTTAAACACTCTACTTCTCTACACCCCAACCCGGTGCCACATACACTTACCGTAGTACAGCAACTACGTGCCTCATCAAATACAATACGTAAAATCCTTGTGAGGACACCCACGAATCTAAAAGATTGTTTAATCCTGAAGTAACCAGGAGCAAATGAGCGTGTGTGTTGACTAAATAACCATAACTAACGTGAAGCCGACGCGTAAACACCTCGTTTCTGTTTACGCGTATTTTGCGGTGTTATTACGAAATGTTTACGCGTTTCGCGTTTTGGGAGATGCGATGACAAACGCGTAAAATGCAAACATTTTTTTTCGACATATAAGAAGAAGCAGAAAATGACATATTTTGGCGTTACATCTTTTTCTCCTTCCAACCACAATCTTTTTGAATTGGAACAGCGCTCTTCAAAGACCACAAGATCTTTGCTATGTTCGTGTATAAGAGAGACGGACGTCAAGAGCCAGTCAAATTTGATAAAATCACAGCACGCATCTCGCGTTTATGTTATGGATTGGATCCTAAGCATATCGATGCGGTGAAAATTACACAGCGGATCATCTCCGGTGTGTACGAAGGTGTGACAACGGTGGAGTTGGACAATCTGGCTGCCGAAACTTGTGCGTATATGACCACGGTTCATCCTGACTACGCAACTTTGGCCGCTAGAATTGCCATCTCAAATCTTCACAAACAAACCACCAAGCAGTTTTCGCAGGTGATAAGCGAACTTTTCCATTACGTGAACCCCAAGAATGGAATCCACTCGCCCATGATCTCCCAGGAGGTGTACGATATCGTGCAGGACAACAAGGACGAGCTGAACTCTGCAATTGTCTACGACCGCGATTTTAATTACAACTATTTTGGCTTCAAGACCCTTGAGCGCTCCTACCTTCTCAGAATCAACGGACAGGTTGCAGAAAGACCACAACATTTGATTATGCGTGTGGCTGTCGGTATTCATGGCAACAACATCGCCAGGGTATTGGAAACTTACAATCTGATGTCACTCAAGTACTTCACGCATGCGTCTCCTACGTTGTTCAATGCCGGTACTCCCCACCCACAGATGTCGTCGTGCTTTTTGGTGGCTATGAAAGACGACTCAATCGACGGCATTTACGACACTTTGAAAGAATGTGCTATGATCTCTAAAACTGCGGGCGGTATCGGATTGCATATTCACAACATTCGCTCGACCGGGTCTTACATTGCCGGTACAAACGGAACTTCCAACGGTCTTATCCCCATGATTCGTGTCTTCAACAACACTGCTCGCTACGTTGATCAAGGTGGTAACAAAAGACCAGGTGCTTTTGCTCTGTACCTTGAGCCATGGCATTCAGACATTTTCGATTTTGTTGACATCCGCAAAAACCACGGTAAGGAGGAAATTCGTGCCAGAGATTTGTTCCCAGCTCTTTGGATTCCTGACTTGTTTATGCAAAGGGTCCAGGAAAATGGCGATTGGACTCTGTTCTCTCCAAGTGAAGCTCCAGGACTTGCTGACGTTTATGGAGCAGAGTTTGAAGCTCTTTACGAGCGCTACGTTCAGGAAGGTCGTGGTAGAAAGACCATCAAGGCTCAAAAGTTGTGGTATGCTATTCTAGAGGCCCAAACAGAGACTGGTACACCTTTCATGCTGTACAAAGATGCCTGCAACCGTAAATCGAACCAAAAGAATTTGGGTGTCATCAAGTCTTCAAACTTGTGTTGCGAAATCGTCGAGTATTCTGCGCCTGATGAAACTGCTGTTTGTAATTTGGCTTCTGTCTCCCTACCTTCTTTCGTCGAAACTTCGGCGGACGGCAAGACGCAGTGGTACAACTTCGAAAAGCTTCACGACATCGCCAAAGTGGTTACGTATAACCTGAATCAGATCATCGACCGTAACTACTACCCAGTCGAAACTGCCAGGAACTCCAATATGAGACATAGACCTATCGCACTTGGTGTACAGGGTTTGGCAGATGCTTTCATGGTTTTGCGTATCCCATTTGACTCCCAAGAGGCTAAGGAACTCAACATTCAAATTTTCGAAACTATCTACCATGCCGCTTTGGAAGCATCCCACGAACTAGCCTTGAAAGAAGGTTCATACCAATCCTTCGAGGGTTCTCCTGCCTCCCAAGGTATTTTACAGTTTGATATGTGGAACAAGAAGCCAACGGACCTATGGGAGTGGGATACTTTGAAAGCGAAGATTCAAAAAGGCGGTTTGAGAAACTCTCTTCTCGTTGCTCCAATGCCAACTGCCTCCACCTCTCAAATTTTAGGTAATAACGAGTGCTTCGAGCCTTATACCTCGAACATGTACTCGCGTCGTGTCTTATCGGGTGAATTCCAAATCGTCAACCCCTACCTACTGCGCGACCTGGTCGATCTTGGTATCTGGGACGATGCTATGAAGTCTCATATCATTTCTGATAACGGTTCTATTCAGAACCTACCGAACATTCCACAAAGCTTGAAAGATCTTTACAAGACCGTTTGGGAATTGTCTCAGAAAGCCATCATTGAGATGGCAGCCGATCGTGCTTGCTACATTGACCAGTCTCAATCCTTAAACGTCCACATCCGTGCCCCTACCATGGGTAAGCTAACTAGTATGCATTTCTACGGTTGGAAGAAGGGTTTGAAGACGGGTATGTACTACTTGAGAACTCAAGCTGCCTCTGCTGCCATCCAGTTCACAATTGACAAGTCTGTGGCCTCACAGGCAGGAAACAAGGTGGCTGATGTGGAAAACTTGTCCAGACCACTATATGTTCCTCGTCAGACTGACTTCAGCGACGGAGCTGCAAAGATTCAACCGCTTCGCGTAACACAAGAAACGAAGGAGCGTTCACCTACGCCATCTGGTGAATCCTCTCTCGCAAACAGTGTTGCGTCTCTCAAAATTGAAGACAGCAAACCCGAGGTGCCCGCAGTTGCTGAATCAACTCCGGCCAAACCTCAAACGGACGCCCAGCCAGACAAGAACGAGTCGAATCCAGCGGAATTTGACATCTACAACTCTAAAGTCATCGCGTGCGCCATTGACAATCCTGGTGCTTGCGAAATGTGCTCTGGTTGAAGTATGACTTATTGGACGCACATGCAGGTCTTGCTTGATTCAATGTTGGGAGGTTTTAATGTTTGGGTAATTACACGCACTGGGAGATGTACAATTATCTTCTGTCTCTAGCGATATACACTTTTTAGATATCGAATGTACACTTTTAAGGTAAACATAGGAGTTGCGGTGCTTAGACGAAAAGGAGTCAGAGGTAGGCCAGAATGTTCACGGTGAGAACTAACCTTAGCTCCTACCTCGCTCATCGCTGGGAATTTTCCAGTTGCTTCAATTAGGACTTCATTCTTGAATTAAATCAGTGATTTTGGACAGCTTTAAAGACATTCTATTGAACATCGAAGCCACTAGATAAAGCCCAGCTCGGAATCATGAGTCGAGATGCCAATTCCACTCAAGAAGTCTTGAAAGATGCAAACGAAAGACTCCAAAGCGCTGGAACTGCAGTAGCGGACTCGAATGAATTTGAAATGGATGATTTCAATATAGAAGAAGCCGACCATGCGGATGGTACGACGGGAATCGAAGGAGACCCCAAAAAAGAGCAATGGCTTTACTTAAAGAGTTCTAATGCTTTTATGAGAACTGTACGAAGGATTTGGTACGGACCGGAGGTTCCCGAAGACCTAGCACCTTCGTTTCCTGGAAAATGGAAGTTTACCGAAAAGATTGACAAGTTTCCCATGGTGGGACTCCGAAAAAGGTTTTCTTGGAGCATCAGAACGATGATAATGGTGGTGTATGTATGCATATGGAGTGCTCTTATGTGCGCTTTTATTCAGTATTACTACATCAAACCGCCGGTCTTCTACCGGAACGATGGAACGCAAATTCCAGTGAGGACACTGACTTGCCAGTCTACGTTGTTTTGGAAAGGTAAAAACAACGAGTGTGGAATAAATGCCTCCCAATGCTTACCATTTGAAGACGAGGAAGTATACATTCGCTGTCCAGCACTGTGTGATCGCGGTTCTTGGACCTATTCAGCCATCAACGTCGGAGACGAAAGAATTAAATACACGGGTTTCGAGGTGGGAGGAGGAGAGCTACGTGAGGGTGAAAAGCTTTCGCATCCTTATAGGGCAGACTCTTTTGCGTGTGGGGCAGCTGTTCATGCTGGGATTGTCTCACCATTTACCGGCGGTTGTGGACGAGTGGTAATGACCGGCGAACAAGAAGCCTTTGATCCCGAAAAAGGACACTTTAACACCGGCATGTCGGTTGGGTTTGACTCCTTTTTTCCATCTTCTTTTGAGTTCAGAAAACTGCTCAACGGCTACGGTTCAAGATGCTATGATCCGCGCATACCGGTATTGGTTGCAAATATAGTGCTCAGTGTACCAGTATTCTACCTTTGCGAAGGTTTGTACGGTTACTGGATACTTACTATTGCTGGATACGTGACCCTTGTCTTCTTCCTGGACCCTCCGCTAATCGTCGACCCTTACGATAGTGAGGCCTTTTCCCCATTATTGAGTCTAGCCTTTCAACGGTTTTTACCACTCGCATTTGTCTTGTACGTTCTATGGAAATGCTCCGTGCGGAGAACGCTTACGAACGGATCCCCGCTCGCCAAGGCAGTTTGCTGGTTCCCAACGTTTTGGCTTGGAGTAATGAACAATGTGACGTTTGACAGGTTGCCCGTTGACCGACTAACTATCACGGACTTGAAAGAGCAAGCTGGTTCTTTTCTGGCTGTTGGCTCCATAATAGCGACTATAGTGTCGTGTGCGGTGGTTCAGGCGTATTCACTTTGGAAATCTGGCAGGTTCAGAAAATATTTGTGCATCTATCTCGCATTCATAACAGCTCTATTTGCCTTGAGCCAACTGCCTGGTCTCTCTCTCAGAATTCACCACTATATTCTGGGAATACTACTCGTCCCGGGATGCGCGACAAGAGGCACTTCTGCATATCTATTCCAAGGAATTCTCGTAGGTCTTGTTCTTTCAGGAGTTAGCAGATGGGATTTTGCAAGCATTGTGGAAACAAGAGTCGCACTACTGAGAGGTGAGGCCGGCAGCTCATGGGACCCGCCAACGCTCGATTACAACCAGAACTATCCCAACTTTATTTCATGGAGCTTTCCTAATGCTACTGAGGTTCAAAATGGCGACTTAAATGCCTTTTCTCTACTCATCAATGATGTCGAACGTCACGTCGGTACAAACACAACCGTTGATCTGGCCGCATTGATACAACAAGATGCTAAACTTGCGAGGTGGGCTGACAACTCGATTACTTCCAAAGGCTTCGCTAAATTGTACCTCAGGGTAGCCAGAACCTCAGAAGACCGTTCACTAGAATTGAATGGTGACTACACAAATGCCGCCGTATTGGAGTGGCCACAAGGACGCTATCAAGAACCTGAGCCAGGTGTCTCATAGGTCTTCTCGGCGACTGTTCGTTTTCGGTGATGGTGAACAACACATTTATAGATCTAAAGTGACACTACTGAGGTACATACGGTTCAAATTGAAACCTACCACGACAGGAGCACCTAGGATGTCCACCTATGCTCTTCAACGAGTATCTGAACTTCTGAAAGATGAATCTACATTGGAGCGAGCCAGAGAGATCAAAAGTCAGCTGCAGAAGGAAAAGTCCACCGTTGAATATCAACTGAACAAGCAATCCAAAAAGAGCTTGAACAATGTAAGTGACAACCTCAAAAAGGTACAGCTAGCGCGCAAGAATGTCCACGATCTGCGAGGTAAACTGGGTGAGATTAATCGTTTGAGTCAGGAAAACAAAGATGCCATCGAACGCTACGAAATTGTCGATGAGGCCACCACTATCCATGAACTTATAAAACAGACGGACTCCATGTACGACAAGATCGTGGGATTTAGCGACTTGCTGAGACAGATCAACGAATTGATAGATGAAGAAGTCTCACAGGATGCATTGGAAAGTGGGGTACCCAACCTGTTGCGAATTCATCATTTACTCACGATGGCCTTAGATTTTCGGGATCAGTCCACCATTTTGGCGCAAACATCAACAGATGACGTCCAAAGGACAATGCAACGTGTATTCCAAGTTCTACCGGAGCTTGTCAGTCGCTTCGACCAGCTTTTGGTATCATTGATTTACGACATCGTGGAAGCGGTGAGAACCAACAATCAATCGCTCCTGATACGACTTTTCAAGATCATCGATCGGGAAGATAGAGAAGACATCAAGATCATTGCTACGAGGAAGATCATAGAAACAAAGGAACGAGAAACGGAGTCTCGAAGGATAAAGAAACTACCATCATCTTATGGCAAATTGGGGGGCCTAGACGAATCAACTAAGCATGAATACCCATCTCCTACTGCTTTGACTCGAGAAATCAAAAGCGGTATGATAAGTTCTAGGCTGTTACCTCGCGGTTACAAAGAATTCATGTTCGAAGCCATAAAAAAGTCCATCGTCGAAATGTTTGTTGAAGTGAGGAAAGAATACCAAGGGGAAAAACGGTTCGAGGTCCTTCAAAATTTGGATTGGGTATTCAATGAATTGATGGTAGTGAAAGAGCATGTTACGACATTGTGCCCACCGCATTGGCACATTTTTAAAAGGTACTTTGATATGTACTATGCGGAGCTGAACGCGTTGGTGACAGAGTTGGTGAATGCTGAACCTGAAACTCTGATCATTCTTGACATTTTAGACTATGACAAGACATTTCAAGCTACTCTAAAGAAAGATTTTGGGTTTGACAAAGACACCGTCCAGAGCGTAATCGGAGAAACAGAGAAGGAAACATTGCTGAGGGACTACTTACAGTTAATTGTTAACAAATCCGAAGAATGGTTCAAAAATCTGGGCGAAGCAGAAACTAAAGTCTTTGTGGAGAGAACAACCCCCCCTCATAATGATTCCGAAGGACTTCTGTTTTTGGATGGTACCAAAACGTGCTTTCAGATGTTTTCTCAACAGGTGGAAGTGGCAGCGGGATCGGGCCAAGCCAAAATTTTGGTGGGTGTTGTTGAGAAGTTGTGTCAGCTTCTGGGTAATAGGCAAAAGAGATGGATGGCTGTAGTCACGGCAGAAGTCAACAAAAGTCTCGAATACAACCACAAGCTCGAAAAATCCGAAGATGGTATTCCACCTGCAGAAGAAAGTGCTGGCGGTCTTGTCGAATATTTGGTTTCGTTAGCGAATGACCAGATGCGAGCAGCCGATTATGCGGTAGCTATCTCTCAAAAATACGGTGCGATGGTAACGAAAGTGCACGAAAAGGCGATATCCAACCACATTGAATATACTTTGGATGGATTTGCAGAAGTTGCAAAATGCGGTAGCACAGGCCTCATAAGATTGATTTTCGACGATTTGCAAAAGCCATATTCTCAAATACTGGGTAAGCATTGGTATACGGGAACACAGGCCCAGCAGATTGCAGACACCATCTACGAATATCTGAGTGACATTCGGAGTCAAATGAACCCCTTTGTCTACTCAACTTTGGTTGAAAGCGTCGTAGAAGAGACAATATTGAAATTCGTAGAGTGTCTCAAATACGAGCACTCTTTCAAGAACAAAAACAACAAGTTTCTGGAATGCATGAAACGCGATTTTGAAGTCTTTTACAAACTATTCGTTCAATTCACGCCCGAGGAAGAAAAGGAGATTATAGACGACAAATTCAAGTTGATGGAGTTTTTCATGGACTTTGCATGTGGACCCTTGGATGGATTTGTCGAAGTGTGGACACAGATCCTTGAAGTTTACTGGGACTGTCCGGTATCGTTTTTGAGTGCCATTCTGCGATGCAGGAAAGATGTGGATTCCTCGACCCTCAAACATACCACGGCGTCGGCCCAGCGCATTGCGTCGAGTCCACAAAGAACGAACCAGCTGCGGTCCCAGGACTTGCAGGCGACTTTTATCAGCCGTTTTGCCCAATAGAAAGATTGCGCACACGATGGGGATCGTGCATTTACTTGGAAAGCCAGACGACCGTCAGAAGGAGTTGTAAGCTGGGAATTACCTCAACAGCATGTGTGAATGCACCGTCAGTAGCTTTGTTCCAAACTCCGCCCACATACGAGTCGATACCGAGATCGTAGTTCTGACCCTGTACTGCGTTGATTTTCGTCACCGAAATCACAAATTTGTGCACCGATGACGCTTTGCTGAGCTCTGCAAGAACCTTTTCGGTATAAGCTGCGATGTCGCTCTCCAGACTCACGTCTGAGAGATTTCCCTCGATTATCGAGACGAGCTTTTCGGGACTTATTGGGTACTCGTTGGATGAGGGCTGGGAATTGACTTGTTTGTTCGACATAATCGGGACCTAGCACTTGCGCAACAAACGTGACAGTCTCGTTCGAAAGCCGATCAGTAAACAATGTCAAAGATGTTAAGCCTGTGCTTGGTATAACGGACAGATACTGGAGTTAGCGATTTGACATACTGTTACTCTCTACGTAGAAATTTCGACCATCTCCCACAATCATCTTATACGTAAAATTCAAACAAAATCATGTGACCAATATATTACGTCAGCTTTTCTTGGCTATTATTACATAATCCAATTTTTTTCAATTTTGTAATTTCTTTTCCCTTAATTTTTTAAAAATTATTGGCCCCATCCGCACGTGCCCGGATTTTGAGTTGAAAACCGACACGTTCAAATCCATGGTATATATATTGAGATAAATTGGAAGAAAGAACGACTAACTGGTTCTTCACTATACAAAGCGTGTCAAAATTCCACTTTTATTGTCTCAAAGGCCTCTGGAAACACCGTATTTTTCTAGTAGCATAAGCATACTATCCCCCAAACACATATACACATAGCATGTCTTCCGCTCCTCTGCTGCAGAAAGCCCCTGGCAAGAAAATCGCTTTGCCCACAAGAGTGGAGCCCAAGGTGTTTTTCGCCAACGAGCGTACGTTTTTGTCGTGGCTTAACTTCACGGTGATGCTTGGCGGTCTGGGAATAGGATTGCTAAATTTTGGTGACAAAGTGGGTCAGATCAGTGCCGGTCTTTTCACGCTGGTTGCTATGGCGACAATGGTTTATGCGCTGGTCACGTACCATTGGAGAGCTTCTGCCATCAGACGTAGAGGTTCAGGACCATACGACGATCGTTTGGGACCCACCGTGTTGTGTTTCTTTCTGCTCATCTCTGTGGTGGTCAACTTTTTGCTAAGACTGAAGTACACATGAAGGGGTATGGGAAAGCAAGTTGACAGACCGAGAGTGAACAAGAAATCCTGAGCCAGGGGTCTCTAGCATTCGCACAAGCCAAAATTGAAAACAAAGTGTCTATATAATAATGGTTATACGTATAATAATAAAGAGTATCTGACGTTGCGTAAAACGCACTCACGACTGGTTATGTAAAAGTGATGGTAATTAATTTTACTGTGCAAACAAGTCACGCGGTACAGACGTATTTGGATAATCGGAAAGTAATTTATCAAACTCAACGAACATCCGATATAGTGTAGGGGCTATCACATCACGCTCTCACCGTGGAAACCCGGGTTCGATTCCCGGTATCGGAGTTTTCAAGCACTAGTCCATCAAGGGACCAGTGTTCTTCTCTTTTTTTACTAGTTCTACACCTAGGCGCATCATTGTCCCATTAAGGTGAGTTGATCTTGTCTCGCCCCCCGTTCCGGTCTCTTCATGTTGCCAGTGCAACATTTTATTTTTAAACATGATGTGCTAGCCTCAATGAAGATCGATGCCAATGACAAGTCACAGCTCGTTCTACAGAGATGTGGGTTCTAATCATCAGTAATATCTGTTTCACTACGATACTTTCTGCATCAGGAATTGCTGGTAAAAACATCTAAACTCGCTATATGCCTAGTTTTTTGCCAGTTGTCCTAAAGATTGTTTCTATGATAGACCCTATCGTTTGAGAGGCAAAATCCGAATCCTTGACAAGCCCAAGTGGCGAACCAAAGGCAGCTAAACCTCCATGTATCCCTTTCTCCTGTGCGTCGACCGCCTAAAGCTCGACCAAGCCACCCTCATAGTCAGATACCTATTGGGTCAGCCTGCTGCAAACCATCGAAAAAGGTTGACGAGGGTTCAAAGAGGATCTCCGAATGCAGCGCCAGTGATGTTATCTACGAGCAGAATGCGGGTGAGAACACGCGGCGTGTTACGTGAGGGGAAGGAAAGGCACAGCTTTATCTGAGCTCGAGCTCAATTTCTTCGAGCATCCCAGCATACTCATCAATCCAACATTAGCATTTGGTCAGCATTATGCATCCTTTCAAGAAACACGAGGGACGCTAGGGGAATTAATATGCAGCCGTGTCCTCGGATTTAAGACCCTACTGAAATTCAAAAAGAGGCTTCGACCGTTGGATGAAGGGTCCTCGAGTAAAAGGTATAAAAAAAGGCCAGATTTTCGATTAGACAAATGGATCTTGTACAGAATTTTGAATTTACCAAGACGGTGCTATATACGGGTTCTCAACGTCTGTCACGTTCGAGCCTTGTAGACTCACAGCCTGTCCGTCGCTCAAGGCCCTTGTCGTTACGCCTATCGTCATTATTGAAATACGTTGTTGATTGAGATGTTCGCGTCGAAAGTGATATCAAGATATGTCCTGGGTTCGAGACTTGCCATACGCACATATGCAATCAGGCCTCTAAAGGTACCCATTACTCTGCCTTCTGGGATTACCTACGATCAACCTACTGGTCTATTTATCAACGGAGAGTTTGTCAACTCTCAGCAGCATAAAACTTTTGAGGTGGTCAACCCTTCTACGGAACAAGAAATCACACATGTCTACGAGGCTCGCGAAGAAGACGTGGACGTAGCCATTGCCGCTGCGAAAAGGGCGTTTGAGAGCAACTGGAGCACGGCGGACCCTGAATTCCGTGCTAGGTGTCTATACAAGCTCGCCGATCTTGTGGAAGAACATTCTGAAATATTGGCAGGTATCGAATCTCTAGACAATGGGAAATCGTTACTGTGTTCCAGGGCCGATGTCAGTCTTGCTTCCAAGTATCTGCGTTCCTGTGGCGGTTGGGCTGATAAATTGTATGGTCGGACAATCGACACCGGATCTTCTCATTTTTCATACACGCGCCGTGAACCTTTGGGCGTATGTGCTCAGATTATCCCTTGGAATTTCCCACTCTTGATGTGGTCTTGGAAAATAGGCCCAGCTTTGGCTACCGGAAATACCGTGGTTCTCAAGCCCGCGGAGGCTACCCCGTTATCTGCCCTTTACGCTTCTCAGTTGGTTAATCAGGCAGGAATTCCAGCCGGAGTTGTCAATATTCTTCCTGGATTTGGCAAAATGATTGGTGAGAGAATGTGCACGCACAAGGATGTGAAGAAAGTTGCATTTACAGGCTCAACCGCAACGGGTCGTCATATTATGCGTACAGCATCAGATACAATCAAAAAAGTTACTTTGGAGCTGGGCGGAAAATCCCCTAACATCGTTTTCGCAGATGCAGATTTACAGAGGGCAGTGCGTAACATTGCATTCGGGATTTTCTATAATTCTGGTGAAGTATGCTGTGCTGGCTCTCGTGTTTACGTCCAGGATACAGTTTACGAAGAAGTGCTCCAAAAATTCAAAGACTTTGCGGAATCTTTAAAAGTTGGCAATCCATTCGAAGAGGGTGTTTTCCAAGGCGCCCAAACCTCGCAAATGCAAATTGACAAGATTCTAGATTACGTTCAGGTAGGAAAAGGCGAGGGTGCTCGTGTTGTTACAGGAGGTGAACGTTTAGGCGATAGAGGTTATTTCGTGAAGCCTACGATCTTTGCAGACGTCACGGAAGATATGCGGGTGGTCAAGGAAGAAATATTCGGACCAGTGGTCACAGTTTCTAAGTTTTCCACGGTAGACGAGGTCATCGAAATGGCTAATGACAGCCAATATGGTCTTGCTGCAGGCATCCATACAAAAGACGTGAACAAGGCTATTGATGTTTCCCACCGTGTTAAAGCTGGAACCGTATGGATCAACACTTATAACGATTTCCATCAAAACGTACCTTTTGGCGGATTCGGACAGAGCGGAATTGGACGTGAAATGGGTGCGGAATCTTTCGACAACTACACCCAAGTGAAGGCTGTTAGACTGTCTATTGACCATGTCGAACGTTAAATGCTGGACATTTTAATTTACGATGTTAGTCGCTGACTCTGACATTAGGATGAATCTGAGAATCGTTAAGTAAGGAAATGTAGTCTAAGCCTGGGCTTTGGAAATGATTCCTTAAGCCATCCTGGTACCTGTTCCGCTCAATTAACTCTCGAGTTTAGTCACAGGTCCTTCTGAAAAAGATCAACTAAACCTGTATCTATCCGTTCCCAAAAATTCCTAAAAAATGATTAAAAGCGAGTTTCATACAACTTACGCATTGGTATTCGTCATTAATTGTGTTTAGACTGAGAAACAGTAGACAGATCTCTCAAATCATCAGTTTTACGAGCTTGCCATAAAACCCTTAGAAAACGAAAAGAACCTTCTAAATCTACGTAATTCTCTTTTAACAATCGAAATCAAATTATTAAAAGGGAATGTATCTATTCTACAGTTCGCGGATTTATCTAATTACACACATCTTCAGTCCCCTTCTCTTTCCTTGTTGATTAGCAACATCGTTATCGCACTGCCGCAGATACTGACACTGACACTGACACTGACACTGACACTGACACTGACACTGACACTGACACTGACACTGGTATTTACACCTAGTTCATCTTTTCCATAAATTGTATCCTGTGACTGTTCCGACGACCAACACCCAGACACCAAAGTCAAACATAAAAAACTAGCGTCTGAAATATCATCTGAAAAATTAAAGTTGCGTCGCTTTGGTCAAAAGCACTCAAATGGGTGACCTCGAACCGGGATTGGCCTGCCCAGACAGACATTCCCTCCTGGAACGCCTGTGTAAGCCTCACCCTACGGTTACCATCCCTCTCTAGCATTCCAGCCCAGGATCACAACTCCCAGCCTAGACTCCAGTGAAACTCTTACTGGCCTTTCTGCCTAGCCCACCATCGCATCCTACCCACCCAAACCTGCAACAGCGCTGGAACTTTCTCAGGCTCACACTATACCGATCAACAGGTGTGCTAATTCTTCAAATCGATTGATTTCAAACCTAGTCGAAGCTTTCAAGCAACTAAAGAGGGTATACAGAATGGTATGTCTGCTAATGAGAACATAGAGCGCTTGCGTTGGACAGAGCGTGTTGGATTACAGACCAGGAAGACGTTTACCGAGAGTTGAACCCGTTACATGGGACGAGATTTAATTATTGAGAAAAGAAGACCGTAGTCTAGAACTGGTCAAAAATACACCAATGCGAAGAGATCATACACGGACATGCTATCAAGGCTTTACAATAGGGCATTTAGAAATTGAACTAGCTCCAGGCTTTGATATTCAGGTTCCAACATGAGGGTTGGGATGTTTTTTTTCCAGTGGTAAATCAACGACACCGTGGATCGCTGTTTCACGGGGCCTTTTTCTCCCTGTTTCTCCGTGGGCTCTCCAGTCTCTAATCTCCACACGATCTCCAGTGTCTTCTTTTAGCATTTGCTCTCCGCATAATACTTCATCGAGCCTCTTTTTACTAACTATTTTGTTCAGTCTGACGCTATCACTATCCGCACCAGAAAGGTCATCTCCAACCCATTGCTGGCTAGAAAGCAGTTCGTCGTCGACGTCTTGCACCCAAACAGAGCCAACGTCTCCAAGGATGAGTTGCGTGAAAGAATCGCCGACGCCTACAAGACCGAAAAGGACGCTGTCTCTGTCTTTGGCTTCAGAACCCAATTCGGTGGTGGTAAGTCCATTGGTTTCGGTCTAATCTACAACTCTGTTGCCGACGCCAAGAGATTCGAACCAACCTACAGATTGGTGAGATACGGTTTGGCCACTAAGGTCGAAAAGGCCTCCAGACAACAGAGAAAGCAGAAGAAGAACAGAGACAAGAAGGTCTTTGGTACCGGTAAGAGCTTGGCCAAGAAGGTTGCTCGTCGTAACGCCGATTAAGCTGATCGCTGATAATGAAATTTTCAAACTCGGCATTACTTAAAGGAGGAAACTCCCAAATACTTTCTTATATTGTGTTTTAATATAACAAAAATCATCCACATTGTTAAACCAAGACAAAACAGATATTGCCAACGTTGTCGCTGACGCTGAGTACGGTAATCGTGTCTGGATTGTTGACCACTGTTGTCATCGATTCATTCGTATATGATGATCTTTAATTCAGAGATCATTTTAAAGGTAGCAGTGGTAAACCTGGGCCAACACATTGAACCAGTCGAGCATTAGACAGAAAAAGTGTAACCTTTAGCCAGGATTCAAAGCATAGATAAGTAGCAGTGTTGCCATGATATTTGGACTGGGCAGACTATTTTACGTGGTATTATTACTTATAAACGCTGTAGCAGTTTTGAGCGAGGAAAGATTCTTGAGAAGAAGTATGGAAATTATAGTCCTAAGTGGATTGATGACAATTCAGCGAACCATACGATTATACTAACGTTTCGATTTTTTTTACAGTTGGTCTGGGGTCCAATTCGAGCCAGAGTCATGCATTCGGACAACAGGAGAATTCAACCAAGTCGAAGATCATTCAATTGATCAGCGCCATTCAAACGCTACTAAGAAGTAAGTTGGGAGATGGGGCAATCAAAACTTTAAGCATCTTTACTAACTAGAAATCCATTTTCAAACTTAGTTCCGCTCATTGGGATCAATATACTGGTTATCGTCTATGAACTTCTTCTTGGATGATGGCATAGAGAGGGAAACTGGGAACACTAGCCGTGTCATAATTCACAAATACCATTCATTAGCAGCATTATATCAAAAGGAAATTTAACCAATACTCTAGAATACAATAAACATCAAAAAATTACTTAGTTTCAAATTAAATCAAACGATGGCAATTCTAATTGGAAAACGCGCCATCTTCCCGACCCTTTCCCTGTTTTTATGGTTTCTCGCCAACCTTAGCCTCCAGGAATCTCTGTACGATACCTAAGCCTTCAGCGCCTTTCCAAAGCACCGGAGGACATCCTCCTGGACACTCCTTTGATTGCAAGCACAGATCAAAGTAAGATAGCAGGCAGTCATAAATAAAGAGGTACTGGTTCACGTTTTGAACCATGGATATTCTCTGTTTGCGGAACTTGTTTATGGTAATGATAACAGGGTCGAAAAGCTTACCATCGAGACAATTGGTGGGATGCGGCGACCATGGATTCGTTTCCTTGGCTGTTTTTCTACCTGCCCACTCTTCTTTCAGTCCGTCCAGCTTCGATGCGTTGCTCAACACAGTGTCGAGCGCACAGAGCGTACCCGTTCGTCCACAGCCTGCAGAGCAGTGCACCAAAATAGTAGGTAGATACCCAGCCGGATAAACGTTTTTGTCGAAAAGCTCTCTTATGACAAGATTCTTTAAACAGACGATTTCCAAAACCTGACGTGGGTTGACCATTATTCCCATATCGGGCCAGTTCCGGACCTGCGCCTGAAGCGTCTCATGAACTTCACCGTCCACCTGATTTATCTGAATTCTTCTCAGAACTACTGGACCAGTGTTGATCCCCAGCTCAGCAGAGGCCTCTATATTGTACTCCTCCAAAAGCTTGATCTGGATTCCGTCATAATTGCCCTCTGACCAGAAGTTGTAACATTTCTCCACACCATTTTCGAACTCGTCCGTAAGTGTCAAAATAAGAGGAACGTTATTATTCAAGATGCATGTGTAGAAATCATGGATGGTTGCCTTCAAAGGTGCCTGCGTTGCAATGTAGCGAACATTTATGCAGTTTACAGCGGGAGGATTTCGAAGTCTCACAAACGGATTTACCAAATAGTTTGCATTAATGTAAGTATCCCAGATATCATTTGATTGTGCCTCTTCGAAAGAAGGGCTCTTTTTTTGCAAAACTACCCTGGTATGCTCAAATGGAAATATATCTTTGTATCTGTTCTTAGAACCAAGTTCGACACCTGAAGATATGCAAATGTGCTGGTCTTCCTCATCCGAGTCATATTCGTCGAACCACGATGCAGCACATTGTTCTGTTTGAATTTGGAAGGAATTGGAATCTTTGTGGCGACCATTAACCGAAGACTGTCCAGTGTTTGAAAAACATGAACTGAGCCTTTTCTTCTCCAGTAAATCAATTTTTTGAAATTGAGCAACCACATCAAGCTTGGATACGTTCGCTAGATCTTGAAACCATTTCGGTATTACTGAGTCAAAGACTTCCCGACCATAATGCTCGCGCATGTATAATAGGGACTTTTGGAAATTAAGTTTGCTAGTGCTCGTTGTTATATCACTGTGACTTGAACCACTGTCTTGAGAGCTCGAATCCAGTGGAAATTTGAAAGGAGTGCGGGGTGTGGGCAAAGACAAATCCTCAAAAGAGGAGCGCGATGATTTACCCATGCTTCGCTGTTTTTCACCCAACTCTACAGCGCTTAGGTACGCCTCCAAAGTGGAAACTTCTTCGTTTCTGGGAAGTTTGAAAGGAGGAGGAGTTCCTGAGGATAATGACAGCTGGAATTTTGAGAGTGCTGAAGCTGGAGATGACGATGGCAAAGGTGACTCAGGATTAGAAGAAGGCGACATCATAGAGGAGGAATGATTGAAAAGTTTGGCCTTGGAGCCAAGCGAAGGTGCAAAGTCTAGTTTTCCGGGGATCTGAGGTGTATTAGATGACGATGGGGGTGAGACAGCTGATGGAGTTACTGTATATGATGGTTCAGATGCTTCAAATGCGGGAAACCCAGGGTTTAAAATAAAGATTGAAGGTCTTTGTTCTTCTGATGCGCTCCATTTGTCGGCGTCCGCAAATTTAGAGGCCATCCCGTGGCAGTTCACGCCAACAGTGTCATCTGAAGTGGCCTGGGCTGTGTTATCGAAAATGACCACTTTCAACTTGGAGCAATCGGTGCGGTCCAAGGCCTTTGCCCTGAAGGCCTTGCGTACGTCCTCGGGAAGATTTTCTACCAACCGATCTATACTGAATGTCTTCCTTCGCAGAAGGGTTGACGGGAGACATACGTGAAGAGCACTGATGATCGTAGAGCGAGTATAATCGACAAACGGCCGCACATCTAAAATCACCAAATTTTCAGAATGTTCTTCGGCGATCAGTCTCCCTAGCTGAGCTGGGGACAGAGACTCTGTGCCATCGGGACGCAGAAGCCGCGTTTCTTTCAACTTGAACGATGGCAGTGAAGGATTGCTCATGGAACGATTCAAAAACGGCATTGCTGGGGCTGCTGATGAATTTGAAGCGACCAATGCTTGAGAAATTGAAGCTGACGTTAGATTGGGCAACTTGCGATCCAGCGAAAGTGCTGATATGGCTCTGCGGTGCGGTATTGATGGTGGGTAGCCCGGTTTGGGCACCCCGGCAGGATCGCCCACCAAAGTGGAAGACGAAGAAATGACCGAGCCAGAATCAGACGGTGTATCTATCGACGTTTCCTCGCCACACCCAAACCATCTAGTGGCCATTTCAAGACTTTGAAAACAGTGTTTTTTGGAAACGACAAGCTTGACAAAAAGAAATTAGCAATCTCAACGGCCAGTAGAGATAGGATCTTTCAACGGCTAAAACAAGTGCAGGATGTGAGCAAATGTAAGCCGATGAGACACAACAAACCAAACAACAAATGCCTCCACGGTAATCCTAGCAAATGCGTTGCTGTGTTCAGCAACTCTGTATTGGAGATGAGCGTGGGTGTAATAAAATTGTGTGTATGCCAATGCGTGTCGTTTTTCACAACGTGATTTTTTGATCCTGGCCTCGAGCAAGTTGAAAGTCACGTCAAACGGAGAGTGTCGAACAATGGCTTCTGTTTTCCCAGAGCTTTGCTCGTGACGGTGAAGTGCCGGAGCAAACTGAGTGGGCTTTGAAAGCTTGACAGAGAGTATCTAGCGGTTGAGAAACACAAACTCAGTCAATCAAGATAAAAACCGACCAACCACCTAAGTTTTTTTAAGAGTTCTTGAATTTTTTTTCCGGGCTTGATTTCCTTAGATCGCTGCTGACTTGTGTTGACCGCAACAACACCGCGCAAAAGTAAGACTTTTCCCAAATGCTACGTGGGAGCCCTGGCTTGGCAGTCGTGGTGTCTATGCGTAACCAAAAACAGAATACTCACATAGGAAAAAAGAATATGAGATAAGTCACGTGCGAACAGATGGAATCTGGCCTCTAGCATTAGTAAGAGGTCCAGAACCCCTAGCCCGATGGCTAGGATTGATCTTTAATGATCATTACACCGTGCATTGCAGTGCTAGCGTAGTTGTGTTCGGCATGCTTCTTCTTTTTTCCTGGGAGGGTTTCTAGCCCCGTAAGGCCATCTGTTCGCGAGGCGAAAAAAAAAAATTCACCTACAAGTTTACCCGAACCTATATCATCCGAAGTCACAGTTAGTAATGGTCATGGGTTGGGACGGTGATGCTGCCACAACTCATTCGGAGTAGGGGCCATTGCATGTTGGAATCCACGCCCTTGCAGGAAGAGGTGCAGGTTGCTGTTCAAGAGGTAGCGCTAGGCTACTATTTTTGGGCCCAAAACCAAAGAAGCTGATGTCGATGTCTGCAATGTCCAGCGAAGTAGTTCTGGCCCAAAAAAAAAACAAAAAAGCACAACGAACGGCTAGTGACGAGAAGTGACGAGAAGTGACGTATTGGCCGAAAAAGTGTCCGGCGTTAAGATCTATTTTCCTTCTTGTTTCCTGCTCCCGAGAAACCTCGGACTTGGACGGTCCAAAAAAAAAGTGGAGGTGGCAATACGCATACAAATCCCCACCATATAGGAGCTTTTCTAGGTTGTCACCCACACGTATTTACCACAGATTGCCTGTTGCCAGGGTACGAGCTGCAAGCGTAATGCAACTTGCTCGACGTAAAAGTACCAACTTGTGGGAATGTTTCGCGTGTCACTTTACTTGCCCCTTGTCATAATTGGCGCCAGAATAGCTTATTTGTTTGAAAACCTATTTGCGATTGGAAGCCCCGTTCGAAAGCGCTCTTCGTAAAGCATCAAGGAATTTTCATGAGTGACACCGGCGTGTCTCCCATCGTAAACCGTCTCTGCGAAATCAAGGCACTGTTGTGTCTTCTATCTCTTGTTTCATGAAGTGTAGAAGGAGATCAAGACATCATTCTTCACTTGATTTACCGGTAATTACGGGAACTTGAACTGAAACCGCGATCATTTTGAACGTATATGACACATGTAAAATTTACAAGTCCGATGTTTGCCATAAAAAATTGTAAAAAACGAAAAGGTTTCCTGCCCATTATAGGCGTTTGAGCTACTGGAAGCCGCAAGATGTGTTATTTTGTTCCTGTCTATTTTCAAAATTCTAATTTCCAGGATTTTTCATGATTTATCTGTTTTTCGATATATTTTTGACGTCCCAGGAAAGAATCGATCCTAAGACAGTTTAGTGCTTCACGACCGCTACACTACGAAGGGTTACCTCTTTATGGCATTTTGGACGAATGCGAACACACCGAGTACTTAAGTACTCATAAGCGGAGGATTACGTAATCGAATGCCGAAATTATTCATACCAGTTACTCAAATTAACCATCTCAAAGCTCATCTCTTCGACTAGCCCATCTCTCCACCCTGCCATCCTAAACCTTTAGCAAGACAGAAAGGGCCTATTTCTCTTTGTTTACAACTTCATAATGCTCTCTCGCCTATTAACCCGTTCCAGCGCCCTTGCTTGCCGCACTGTCCGCCAGCCTAGCTTCGCAGTGCGCTTGGCCAGACAACCCAGATTGAACTCTGTTGCCAGATCTTTCCATGTATCTGCTGTCCCTTTCAACAAACAATGTCAAAAAATAAGCCAAGTCCTTGATGGCGAAATAGCATTGGAACTTGAAGAGGACGCACATGCCCTACCAGAATCGTTGCAAACTTTTTTCGACAAGACCGGATTTTCTGCCGTGACTTCAGAGGGTAGAAACATGTCTGAAATTGTCCGCCAGACCGCAAGAGGTGAATCTGTCCATGTTTTCTTCGATATTGCCCAGGTCGCTAACTTGCCTCTAGAAAGCTCCGGTTTGGACAACGAAATGGCTGCACAATCCGAGGAAGAAGACTTTGACGGAGTTTCGGACAATTTTGCAAACGTTAACGTCGTTGTTGTCAAAGACGCAGACCAATCTGCCGCGTCCTTCGAGCTGCTCATGAACTTACAAGAAGGCACGTTTTTCATTGACAGCGTCACTCCCTACGCAAAAGCGAAGGCTGCGTTGGATGAGTCTGCGGATGCAGAGGTTAAGCGTGAACTTGTGTACCATGGTCCTCCCTTCTCGAATCTCGACGAAGAATTGCAGGAATCTCTAGAGGTGTACCTGGAAAGCAGAGGTATAAATGAGGAACTGGCCTCTTTCATAGGTACCTATTCCGAATTTAAGGAGAACAAGGAATACATCAGCTGGTTGAAAAACATGAAGTCGTTTTTCAACTGAAATAACTCCACAGTATCCTACCTTGTACATAACATCATTACTGATTTTTATTAATTCGCTATTATCCCATTTTCTATAGACTGTGTTCCTGTCGCATCAAAATTCCTGACTCTGGAGCTTCTTTGATAGCGACAGGTATCCTAGTAGCTTTTAATTTGTGAGCAGTTTGCCTCAAAGACTCTTCCACACTTTCGGGAACACCCGTTTTTCCTTCTAAGATAGCAACATACTCCAAAATTCTATCTTTCAGTCTGAAGAGAAGCCTCCTGTACAGAAAGTTTTCCCGCTCTATTCCTTCTTCCACAGGCTCAACTGATTGCTGGGAATTCTTGAACATATCTGCGACTGTTCCTAAAAATCTGACACTTTCGATGTTGACATGTCTCAGCCCTGCGAAATCTTCTTTGCTCACATTGCCCAACCTCATTTGCCCTGACAGTATAGTATCGATGTATTGATTCACAATCCATTGAGATGTCTGCTTGTCGAGTATTCGCTTCTCGTTAGCCTTCCTGACAACATTCCAACAAAACATCCACGCCCTCCAATCCAGGGCTTTGCTAGATGAATGTGCTTCGTATTTTGTGGCAAACTCGAACAGATTGTGGACCAATTCACTGGCTTTGGAAGGGTTTTCATTCGTAAATTTTCTACCTGCTTGTCTTTCAAAAGCTTTATAAACCAAAAACATGCTGGCCTTGTTGAATTTGTGACGCGTTTCCAACTGTTCGAAAACCTGTAATGCCATTGAACTGCATTTATTGGGAAATCCGGCAGTTACGATTCTGATCACCTTCTCGAACGCAGGAGGTGTTAGTAAGTGCGGTTTTTGAACGACCAACTCTTGATAGTTCTTCCACGCGAGCACATAATTCCCATTCTTGACGAAGTTATCCAGCAAAAGCTCTATCACGAATCCATTAGCCTTGAACCTTTTACGCACATCCCAGTACTGCAAGTCGGGCAAGGTAACACCACTTGCAATTGTGCTTTCGAAAGAAATGTTTTCGAGCTCAAAATACTTGAAAATTGCTGATGCAGCAACGGACGACAGTTTCTTATCGGAGCGACAATGCCAAACTCGACAATAGTCATGCATAAGCTGCGCGTCCAAGAATCGCTTGGGTACAGTAGCCATAATTGCGTCGACTCTTTGTAAACACAAATCGTCGCTGCTGATCTTAGCCGCACTTCGAAGCAACGTAGTATAGGTAATGGCGTCGCTTACCAAGCCCTTCGGTCTTGCGTCAAAAAGTTGGAACACACACTCCTGATCTCTGCTATTGAGCAATGCATTCAAAGCTGCGTTGAACTCGATGAGATTCATGGAATTATTGTCAATCAGTTGCATTGAAATCTTCAACACCCGCTGCGCTTGTTTATCAGCCAATGGCTCTCTTGATTTTGCCAGTCCATCTAACAATATCGTTGCTGTAAACTCATTGGGCGGTATACCCCACTTTTTTCTCCAAATGTATAAATCGATCGCAGACTTCCCGTCCTGCAGCTTTCGACAAAAATGTTCCATGATCTTGTTCATCCCCACTATTCCACGGCTTTTCGCTAATCGTGCCAAAAACACAGCTTTTTCCAACTGTCCTCGAGCCAGAAATTTTGAGACATCGCCAGCCACCAGTTTCGAATCTCGCAATTGTTCGCCTGTTATTCCCAGAATAGTGAACTGCATCCTTTTGTCATGGGCTAGCTTCAGAAATTGAACATCAGAACTGCTTGTTGGCCCCAAAGTAGACGCAGTCAGAGAAGCATCGGATACTTTGTATTTGTTTTTCAGAATATGTTCCGCATGCTGTTTGGAATACGCTGTTTTGTTCAGTTTCCTGAGCTTCAATCGTTGTCTTGCAGCCTCTCTTTCTTGTTCCACCGGTGTCCGTCTTATAACTTTGTTCTGTCTCTCAAAATGCTTTAGTTTGTTTCTAAGTTGCGACCCAAATAGTGAGCAGGATACGTGAAATTGTCTGGTACCTATCCTGAAGCTGCCCTGGTTCATGTTCCTAGGCTTTTCTACTGAAATGGGAGGAAACTCTTGCTTAAATTCGATGCGATGAGCTTGGTATTTTTATACTAAAGTTGAAAGATTTCTTGAATTTTAGACAACAGACTTCCGATGAGACCAAGTAGCGCTATCTAAGCTAAGCTCATGAATCCGTCAGGTTGAAAAGCCCAAAGCCTATTGAAGTCCAGTGTCCATGAGTTATACAGTATCATGAATTCATCACCTTTCTGTGGAGCAGTTTTGGTCGAAAGAGCAGCTTTCAATCGTCAAGATGATCATCTGGCGAAAAAGGCATCGGAGTACCTTGCGTCACTGCATAATCAGAATGGGGCAGTCACCAGATTGTCACAACAGTCTTTTTCGATTTCAAAAACAACGACTACGGAGGAAATAGTGGTTACCAGACTAATCGCCCATGATTATACTGAGGCACTGGCGATCTTGGAAAATGACGCGCAGTTAGGGTTTTCGAGAAAACTTGAACTCATAGTTCAGGTCCTTATTTTTTGTCGGAAGTGGAAGCCTATAGATGAACTTTGCAACAGGCTCAATGCGTTCGCTGAATCTCAAAACCGTAACTACACCCTTATGGATGAAAAATCCCACATAACCACAAGACTGCTTCTTTGTGTTGCATACTACCTTCAGGGCCGTTTTTTGGACTGTCTGAAATGCTTTCTAACTGTGATTGAAGAGTATCCTGTCGTTATGGAACAATTGAAAGATGAGAATCTTGATCCCTTCTGTACACACAGCGAGCTAGTGACCATAATTTCTATCTCCCTAATAGTCGCAATACCGCTGGATAATTACGAGGACGTTGCTCAATTGGAGGATCTGGAAGTCTTCTACCAAGTGGCAGGACCTTTGACAAGATGGCTGAAGCTTCTGATTGATACAAGCTATTGTAAGTTTCTTCAAGAATGGAGCGCTCTAGATCCCGTCTATGCCTCGAGTTTCTTTATCGCTCAGAAATGGCCTGCGGCCCAGAGAACTCTTCGGGACAAAATTTACCTCTTTTATCTCAGGATTTCGAACGTTATTGAGATTCCATATCTCTCCAAGACGCTATGCATCAAGCAGGATATAGTACATGATGAAATTGTAATGCTCATCGAAGAGTTGGAGCTAAATTTTGTCGTCAAAGGCCTCTTGGTACAGTCCCAGGAAAGATACGATGTACAAAATCTTGCCAAAGACTTGTTCCATTCTGGACAGCTTTTACAAGACAAACTTGACTTACTCAAGGTTAGAAACGAAAATCTGAGGAGCGAGGTACAAGACTTCATGAAGGATAACAGTATTGGTGAACAGCGTAGCAAAAGTCCCCAAATAAATCTGTTCGAAGACGAGGCTGATAATTATATTTCTGATGGTGAGAATGATCGCTCATCTTGAATTACAGGATATATGCATTTGCAATTACTCCCAAAACTTTATATACAGCAAAAATGTTAGAGCCCGGTTGTTTTCAGTTTACATTTTTAAGCGGAGAGACTTCGTCTTCCTCGATAACAGTGCTAACACCGTGTTGTGCAATATTTTCGATATCGATGACTTCTTTAGCAGCTTCAACTGTTAAATTTGTGTGCCCATCGGTCCCAATAGCTATGTCATCCTCGATTCTAATTCCTATGTTTCTGAAGTAGGAAGGGTATTTTTGATCATCAGGTATGTAGATACCTGGCTCAATGGTAATTACTTGACCAGCGCGGAGAGGTGCAAAACGTGAAATTTGGGGAACATCGTGAACATCAAGCCCCAGATTATGACCAATATAGTGAGGGTATATCCTGGAAACGTCGAAGTTTTGGTAAGAAGGAACGCCGACGTTTTTGAGTTCTTCTTTGAAAAATGTGATGCTTTTCTCATGAATGTCATTCAGAGAATACATGTTGGAGGCACTGCAGAGACTGATACATTTTCTTTGGACGTTCAAAACGGCTTCGTACAAATCTTTCTGGGCGGCAGAAAATTTCCCACTGACCGGCCACGTTCTGGAAATGTCAGAGCTATAACCTCCCAATGAGCCTGAAGCATCAACAAGCACCATTTCATCGTCGTACAAGATATCGTCATTGCGGGTATAATGAATACAAAGCGCATTGGACCCACTAGCAACAACGGGGATATATGCAGATTTATCACAGCCTCCAGCAACGAATTTGTAGTCCAGAAATGATTGTAGCGTTCTTTCGTTGCGAAATCTTTTGGCATACGCTTGGTTGAACGCCCTTCCAGATATTTGTCCCGCTCTCCTCATGATCCTTATTTCAGCAGGTGATTTGATGGATCGTAGGTCAGCGATTATGGATTTCAACTTGCGTACGTGCTTCTTGCCGGAGTTTTTGATGACACTAGTGATGGTGTCAGCAGAAGCAGGTGAGTGGGATATAGAGAAGAATGAACCAAAAAAGGCTTCTGCGCTAGAATTGATTTTGTCTTGAGGTTTGTCGAAGTAAATGTTCTCGTTTCGGTTTATGATCTTCGTGATATAGACCGACGACTGCCGGGTATCTGTTGATTCATCTGCGTTAAATATCTCGCATGCCCCTTCGGCTCCAGTTCTTTCCCCTTCCCATTGTTCAGAAAATGTGTCCTTTGGTGGAACGATGAGATGGAACACAACATCTTCGATATTGCTTGTAGGTTTTTCTAAAATCATCACAGAGTCTGGTTCATTCCACCCTGTGAGATAGAATAAGTCGTTGTTTTGCTGGAATGGATAGAAAACCGGGCCTGATGCATATTTGACCTGTGCTCCGGCTATAATTGCGCAACTTTTAGCCGGGAGGTGAGCCGCCAGTTTCGCTCTTCTTTCAAAGTACTCCAAGGCCGTTATTCCAGGAGTGAGCTCACCGGGTCGTAAAAGCTCTGGTCTAGTCTCAAACAAGGGCTGGCCAGTGCTGAGAATGGGCCGCGAACGATTACAGAACCGCGTTTGAGATCTTAGTTGCGATGCACTAGAAACAGTTCTCTTCGACATAAAGGCACACAACGCCCTCGAAGGAAGAGCATTAACTAACCTCGAAGCATTCAGCATGGTATCAAACTAATGAGGTTGTGTTACAAGCCAGCTCCGGATCGCTCTTGAACGTTGCAAGTGGCTAAAGCTATATAGAAGAACAGAGCAAGCCTTTAAATTAACTGTATTCAGGAAGCTTTTGATTTTTCTTCAGAGGAACAGCGTTACCTCCACAAATGATGAAGCGAAAGGTGGATGGGCGGAGTGTGCTTAGAAGGTCCAGTTTGAGATAAACAAACTAAAGCAGCTTCACCACACGCTCCTCAAAGTTTTCTTCGAAGCACTTATTTTTCTGATTTTCGTGAGATGGAAGCTTTCCCCATCGGCTGTATTTTCGAAATCTGAGGTAAGGCTCTGGTGGCTTCTTTTGCTCGATTCTAAAGTATTCTGAGTGTCATCATCTATTCTCAGTGAACAGAATTCTAGGGACGAGCCTGCTGAATTTCGGAGCGCTGAAACTTGGGCGGCAGAATGTTGGAGCCGAGCAATCATTGCAAGAGACCTTTCGACCCTCTGTAAAGCGCATTGTAAAGATTCAAGCTCCTCGAAGATTACACTAGTATAGGCAGATTGCGCATTGGGGGAGTTAAATACAAACGTCCACACCACTCGAGACTCTGTTGGAAGCTCGCCAAGACCCTTGACCATAATGTCATTGTGGTCCACATAAATGTAATCGGATGACCTCAAATATTGTGTTCCTCTGGATTGCTTCCGTCTTTCTTTCTCTAAGACTAATACGTCGTCAGAAAACATTATCGAAAGGGCTAAATTTATGCTGTCAATGACTTCTGAGCCGGGCTGATCGCCTGCCAGAACCCTATAGAGCTCTGAGACTTTACTTGGAAGCTTGGGCTTTTTGATCATAAACCTGTAGATTCTCCTGAGCATCATCAACACTTTAAAAGAGATCGTCGTAAAATCGATGACGTTATTAGTATTCAAACAGGAAAGACACCTACTAATGGTGCCATGAGGTATGTTTCCATAACAGACTTTGTGGAGCTTTCTTTTGCAAGTATTGCAAGTAAGACTTTGAGTGCCAATTCGCGGGAATGGCGTTTCGCATTGACAATCATGATCCGCTCCGATTTCAACGAGGTGCTGAGTTTGTGCAACACTCTCTGATTGAGATGAGAGGAGTTCTTGAAGGTAACGACTTGTCTGACTCTGACCTTCAATTGTCTGGCCTATACTATCACGACAGTCATCTGAACCATCGACATTTTCGATCAAGCTGAACGGATCAACATTTCTAGTTGTGGTTCTTGCTGTTTCTTCCCCAGTTTCGACAATCGAGAGGACTTTGAGAGCAACTCTTTGAAGATTGTTAGTACGTGCTTCACACAATATGCTTATTACTGTAGGAGTCTGAAGAGCAACTTACCTGTGAAATTTCGTATCGAGGGAACCAACTGAATATGTGTCAAGGTCCGTTGAAAGAGGTACTTGAACGGTTGCAGGTTTTTCCCGGCTAACGTCTTTGAAAAGCTGCGGCTGATAATCGGTTGGGGCTGTTTCGTTGAATAACAATCGCATTGAAAGAAACCGTTTTTCAGGAAGCGGTTCAAGCGATTGGGTGATGATAATAAATCGCCTCATTAGTTGTTGTACCACTTTCCGAGAATCCAAAAGCGAGACAGATTCATCTTCTCCATTCACACTGAGGAAAACCTGTCCATCACTGCCGTAGCTAAAACTGAAAAGATAATCTTCAATCAGCTCAGTTGGCGCATCTTCCTGTGCGAAAACACCCAGACTCAGACCTCTCAAATACTTATACCTAATAGACTGGAAGACCCCCTTTTCCAACCAGTCCAGAAACAGATCCGCCTCCGTTGTTTTACCACGTACTAGGGTCTTAATCTTGATTGAACTAGACTTGGCAAAGCTGCTATCCTTGTCAAAATCCTTTCGCACCTTTTCCGGGACGAATCTTCGATCCGCGAAGTTCTCGTCGGGGAAGAGCCCTCTTAGAAAGGCAAGACATCCAAATGACATGGTTAGCATTGTTTGAACAAGTTTCTGAGACTGTTCACATGTTATACCAGTCGTTGTTGTCGTTCTGTTGACAGTTGTGGGCTTGGTTTGTTGGAAAGTTGACATAGCAGAACTGAGGGTTCCTGTAGGATCTGCCACTAAATAGAACTTTATATATGATTATGTACCCGAACGGTTGTTTGTGGTCTGTTCTCTTGCTTATGTGGTAGTGGAAGAAGAATGAACATTTAGCCGCCAAGCGCTCTTAAACCAGCCAATATAGTATTTCGTTTAAGGTGATTAATATTACTGTAGTAGTGAATCACTACATAGTATGTGGTACATACATGCCATGAATGTACGACCCCAAACCATGCGAAGCGAGCGTGTCGCTCAGGATCTGGATATAGTTAAGTTTTGAATCCATGATGTGACGTTTGGAGCTCTCCGAGAACGTGAGAACCACAATTCATCGAGCTGTAACAGAATAGTAAATGGTGATAACAATTGATCTTTCAGCAGGTTTACTTCATCCTAAGCTAGAAAGCCTGGAAACATATGAGCTTCGTCATTCCCCTTTGTTAATTGTATGAAGTCTAGCTGATGGAACAGGACAGGCACTCTCTCTATGTGGCATGATGATGTGAGTTTCAGCCAAAATCTATCAAGCAAAGCGATAGCTAGGTCGTTTCAACTCAAAACAAACGAACATTGCAAGAATACCTAAAAATTGCCACTTCATCAGACGCTACTGCTCTCATGGAAAGTTATACTCGAGTTCGTAAGCACCTCCGGTCTTTTCAGGATCCGGCAAAAATTCAACTCAAATCAAACACTAGAAACTGCTTCGTTTGACAAAACAATAAACTGCTGTATTAGAGCAAAATCGAACACACTAGAAAGTTGGCGTCCATTAACATTGATCTTCGAGATTTTGATCGCTGTCGCCGTTCCCACAGATGACACAGACGTTTGTAGTGATGTGAGCATTCTCCCCTCATTCTCTCTCACTTGAAAATGAAGGAAAATCTAGATCACCAATGAAGACTACCCCAGATTTAACAGATCGAGCGAGACGATCAAGACCTAGACCAACGTCTCGTCACTCCACTACCCCGTAATATCTTGATAACTTCGCCCAAAGTAGAACTAATGGAGAATTCATCGGTATTTTCTGGAAGCACGCAAGATGTTTCCTCCGCGATATCACTTTATAACTTATCTGCTGGCGAAGATTCGTCTATCAAAGCAGTTTTGGATTATGACCCCAATGATGAAGTACAGGGCTCTGTGATCTCGCGTCCGCTTTCCAGATCTTCAATGACGTCTTCTCTTTCGATGGTAGCGACCAAAGATGGTATAGAGGGCAGAAATATCCATCGTCATGGCATCCCACAATACTCGTTGAACTTGCTCAACTCCATGGCCCCGCCGAGCATTTCAAAAAATAAGAATCACGTCAAGCAGCAGCTACAACAACAACCGGGTGGAACAGTATCGCATTTGCCAAATCCGAAATCCTCGTCGTGTTACGCGGAGGACTCAATGGAGGCCATCTCAAATTCAGACTTTTCGACAGGCGCCCCAATGACGCTAAAGGAGAAAATGAGACTGCTCAACTACAAATCAGCTCCCTTGCAGTACACGTCCTCTGCGGAGTCGCTTCTAGATCGTACAGAGCGATCCCAAACCGATTACGGCCAACGCAACAGTGACGAGACAAAAGAGGGATCCAAGCCCATTGTAGCAGTGGCAGGCAGCGAAACTAACAGTAACCAAAGCACCAACGGCGATGACTTTTCGTATTTGGGCGACGTCAAAGCTCTGCCACCAGTTTTGGTGTCGGTGGAAAATGATCGCGATTAATAATGAAGTTTCCTGGGAAGGCTGGACTTTTCCAAAACTACGCTTTGCATGAGCACTTCTCCGGCTAAGGGTCAAAAAGAAAAAAAAATATATCAAGGTGTACCGGCAGCTCACTGCAGTGATTGTTCACTGGGGTGCTGGGAAGCCTTCAAGAGGGAGTTTGCATGAAAAGGTTAGATCAGTTTTTTTGTTTGTTAAGTAATGTTCAGCACCTCCCAGGTTAGATAATATTTTAACTTAGTACTCTCTTATAAGCCTGCTCATATTTCTGTCTGATTCAGGCTCATCGTTGTTTGTTTTTCAACAGCAGAACAGCTACTTTTCGGTCTTCTGGTATTGTGGGCTATATAATGCGTTCGAGGTTTATATTCAGAGAAACATCAAAAAGTTAGATTCAACTCTGATGTTCAAACTATTGAAAAAGGCAAAGCTCGGGAGGACAACACACAGTCATGTTGCGGTGTAATATTGCATTGCTGCGTCAAATCCGAAAGCCAGCGTTAGCGCTGGGTACTTCTGCTCTTAGAGTCTCTGGTATCCGCCGGATTTCCAATCAACCTTCTGAAACTTACACTCAACTTTCCGATGACAATGATCCTCAGCGCGACGTCTTCTTCAAGTACTCTTGGGGCACATGGCTCAAAAACGATCGTGTTGAAAAGGAGAAGAGAACGACTCGTTTTTCCATCGAGGGCCTTTCAGACATCATTTCTGGGCTATATGCACAATCTAAAGAACTGGAGAAAACAAAAGAGTCTAAAGAAAAAGGTGAAATAACACCACCGTTGTATAACCGTAATCTTACGGTTTCTCTACCTCATAACCTCAGTATTAGTGAAATAGGAACTTTGAATCCCAACGAGGCTTTGAAAATCACAGCGATGGCTAGCATTCACGAAGGAAAGCACCATCGGATCTACAAAGTGGACACCAATGCCAATAAGTCTTTTGTGCTCAGAATACCGTACCCTATTGACAGCGAATATGCTATATCTCAAAGGCTAAAGAGTGAAGTTGCAACTATCGATTTTGCTCAACTCAAATTAGGGCTAAATGTTCCCAAGGTCTACAGTTATGGTGCCAATTCTTTAAATCCGGTCAGACAGCCATTCATACTGCAAGAGTACATCGAAGGGAAGCTTTTGATGCGTGACTGGGCGCCTTTGGAGGTCGACGCAGAGGACGGTAAATCTCATGTGGTGAAGTTGAATAAGGTCATTGAACCATTGTCGCAATTCCAAAGCAAGCTTTTGAGCGTTACTTTCAACCAATTTGGCAGTCTATATTTTGCCAAAGACGTCTCGGGAAACGAGGATTTAGCTTACAATGGCGAAACAAATGCCTCTTTGGCCAACAGATGGAGAATTGGACCTTCCGTGGAAAGGTGTTACTGGAGGAAAAAGTCCGCATTGCCTGAGGAAGAGCTCAAGAAATACGTTGGTCCTTGGCCTAGTGATAAACCTCTGGACATGATAAGAGACCTGGGCCGACTGGAAGCTGAAAATGCGAAAGCCAGGTTGGCTCTTCAACAGGCCGACGCATCGCCCGCCCCTGTGGACGAGGCACTTTTAAGAGGCCAAATTCGTGCTTTTGAAAGCCTGGCAAAAATTTCTGACTCGCTTTTCAACATCAAGTCGAGTGTGATTCCCAACCTTGCCGAACTTTTGAAACCACGTCTGTATCAGCCAGATTTGGATCCGATGAATGTGATTCTGAATGAAAAAGACAGCGACCAGGCCTACTTGTATGATTTTGAGGGCACAACCATCAAACCGTTCCTCCTACAGAACTCCCCACAGTTTGTTGCCTACGATGGACCTAAGATCTACAACCTCGAAGAGGACGTTGAGGGCTACAAAGATCTGTCGGACGCTGAAAAAGCACAGTACCAGTTCATGTACAAACGCACACGCAACCAGCACTTGTGGGAATCTGCTTTGAATAAAAATTCAAAAGCTTTGATTTCTGCGGTAGCTCCACCTGTCAAACTTTTGAGAACACCCTACGTGGTGAGTGTGGAACGCAAGAAAGACGCAGAATACCTACTAATCGACGAGAGTCTCATCCAATTGCGAGAATTGTGGGAAGTTTTTGCGAAAAATGAGCTTGTTGCCAGCGCCAAGTTCCCACTGGAGTTCGCCGAGGATCATGTCAAATCGCATGCAACAGATCTGAATGCATTCCACGAAAAACTGATTAAGAGTCCATTTGCCGCTACCCAGGGCTGGATTCCTCAGGACATGTTCGATAATCTTGTGAAAGCCGGTATACTAGTAAAGGACAGTAACGGTGACCACGTGATCAAAGAATAAGAAGTCAAATCATACTCCACGAACATTTTCTGGTGTCTCGTCAATAATGATGATATCTTTTTGACTCCTTTTCCATTTGATTATGTAATACCCGAAAACCTTCATATATATTCGTATGTAATTATCTTTTTTGTGCATGTCGTTTTCGTCATACGTGATGTCGAACTTTTTAAGTCACATGGGAAACGTGAAGGAAATGTCAGACGATAGCCAAAAAAAACCTACGATGTTGGAAGCCCTAAACATACGTATTTTCCCTACAAACCATATGCATTCTTATCAAACCCACTCAATTCCAATTCTATTGTCTTGACATCTGTAGCATAGTTAGAGTTCCAGACTCAAGCGGTTTGGCCACCCCTAACCGCGACCAAATATCATATCACATGCACTATAATTTTCCAAATGGGCTTTTGGCGTCGCAGCTGTACGAAACACCACCACAGTCATCATTATTTTTTTATCCACAGCATGACTAGTTGAGTTGGATGACTGAATTACTATGAGTATAATGACATAATTGAAAAATTAATTGGAAAATTGGAAAATTGGAAAATTATAACTAAGCGATGAACATAACTCGTGAAATTGTGGGAAATATAAAGAGAAAGAGAACAACTCAGAGCCGAATTTTTGGTTATCAAGGTACTGATTGAGACACTTTAACTCAATTCGTTTCAAGCTTCTTTTAGATACTCATTAGTGTAGAACTTTTGATAGTCTAGAGGTTAGTTCTGCCGTCTTATACACACTCACACACATCAACGCCCAATGTCCGCACCTCAGCAAATCAACAATTTGCAATCGTCGTTCCAAAGAGCGGTCAACTTGGGTGGCTCGCCCGGCGAAGTTTCGACCTCGCCAACACAGTCTTTCATGAGCTCGATCCCAGGTCGTGTAGGTCTCTCAAAGCAGACTAAGGCCCTAAAACCTTTTTCGACAGGTGACATCAAAATTCTACTGCTGGAAAATGTTAATCAGACCGCAGTAGAGATCTTCGACGGCCAGGGCTACCAGGTGGAGTACCACAAAGCGTCGCTCCCCGAAGAAGAGCTTATTGAGAAGATCAAGGACGTGCACGCCATTGGTATCAGATCCAAGACCAGATTGAGCGAAAAGATCCTCAAACACGCCAAAAACCTGGTTGTCATCGGCTGTTTCTGCATCGGGACCAACCAGGTCGACCTGAACTACGCCGCCAAGCTGGGTGTCTCCGTCTTCAACTCGCCCTTCTCCAACTCCAGATCCGTCGCAGAGCTTGTCATCGCTGAGGTTGTCACTCTGGCCAGACAGCTCGGTGACAGATCCATCGAAATGCACACCGGAACGTGGAACAAAGTCTCCAAGAAGTGCTGGGAAGTTAGAGGTAAGACGCTGGGGATCATTGGATACGGCCACATCGGTTCTCAATTATCGGTGCTTGCCGAATCCTTTGGTATGCGCGTCTTGTACTACGACGTGGTTACCATTATGGCCTTGGGAAGTGCCAAACAGGTTTCCACTTTGGATGAACTACTAAACAAATCGGACTTTGTCACGTGCCACGTTCCTGCCACTGCAGAAACCAAGAACTTGCTATCTGCGCCACAATTCGCCGCGATGAAAGACGGTTCGTACGTGATCAACGCCTCGAGAGGTACTGTCATCGATATTCCAGCTTTGGTTGAAGCCATCAAGGCCGGCAAGATCGCTGGTACTGCGCTGGACGTCTACCCCAACGAACCTGCCAAGAACGGTGCCGGCGCCTTCAACGATGAGCTCAACAGCTGGGTTTCCGAGCTGGTGTCGCTGCCTAATGTCATCTTGACACCTCACATTGGTGGTTCCACCGAGGAGGCCCAAAGTGCGATCGGTATCGAGGTCGCCTCCAGTTTGACCAAATACATCAACGAAGGTTGCTCTGTCGGGTCTGTGAACTTCCCAGAAGTTGCTCTGAGGGGTCTGGACCTCGACCAGGAAAACGTGGTCCGTGTTCTGTACACCCATCACAACGTTCCTGGTGTTTTGAAAACCGTCAACAACATTTTGTCCAATCACAACATCGAGAAGCAGTATTCAGACTCTCAAGGCGACATTGCCTATCTGATGGCCGATATCTCTTCCGTCGATCAAAGCGATATCAAGCAAATCTACGACCAGCTAAATGGCACCGAGTACAAGATCTCCATCAGACTGCTATATTAAGTTGAATATAAACCAAATATTACATATGTTTACAACGACGTCCCGCGAATATCATACAAACACATCAGGAACAATAACAGCATCCTAAACACTTGACATCAATCGTACTCACAAGTTGTAGCTTGATCCTCCTACAGCCATACCGGTCTAAAATCGTTTTTATCACTTTTATCTATTATGTCACCTCTCAGATGTACTTACGTACGAATGTCTTGTAATTCAAAAAGACGGTGGCAAATAAGCTAGGGTATTTAAACTAAGTACTTCATGTCCTAGTTCAACATCCTTATTCCCTGCTTAACGACCAGTGGTCAATACCTACTGTGTGCTCGAGACTGGATAAATAGAGCAGATGTCAGTTGTGACGGCCGCGCCGCTTTTGGCCTTGTTGAAAGAAGACGATCAAGTCGCTCAAACATATGCTTTAGAATCGATCAACCAGATTGTGGACCAACTTTGGTCTGAAGTCTCGAACGAAATCTCGCGGATTGAGGCTTTATATGATGACAATGCCTTTGAGAACCGTAAGCTGGCTGCGATAGTCGCAGCAAAAGTGTACTACAACCTTGGAGAATACGAGTCTGCCGTGAAATTTGCACTTGCCGCTGACGAATACTTCGATGTTGACGAGAAATCACAGTTTGTCGAAACTATAGTGTCACAGAGCATTGACATGTATATTCGTGCCGCATCGTACAATAACGAACACCGCAAAAACCAGAAACCCATCGAACCACAGCTCACATCCGTTTTTGAAAAAATGCTACAAAAGTGCGTGGAAAGCGGGGAATTCAAGCTCGCTTTGGGAATCGCCATAGACAGTTACCGTTCAGACGTTGTCGAAAAGGTTTTGGTAACGCGTGCGGCTGAAGATTCGGAACAAAACGCCTTGAAACTCATCACATACGTTTTGAGTGCAGCATCAACTACTGTGAACAGCACGCCATTCAGAACCGATCTATTACAAAAATTGTTCAACATCCTGATGTCCATGAAATCACCAGATTATTCCACGCTTTCCAAAATCATCGTTACGCTGAATGACCTTAATTTGGGTAAAGTGCTTTTTTTCAAGCTCTCACGAGAGGAAGCGCCCGAAATTTCATATCAAATTGCTTTCGATCTTGTTTCTTCGGCGTCCCAGGGACTACTTAACGGTCTGGTTGGCTCTATGAGAGACGAGGGTTACGATCCAAAACTCTTGGGCATCTTATCTGGGATACCGACATGCGACTATTACAATACATTTCTATTCAGAAACAAAAATATCGATTTAGGCCTGTTGAACAAGACCAAATCTTCCATGGACGGTAAGTTTTCTCTGTTCCACACCGCTGTGAGCGTTTCCAACGGATTTATGCATGCAGGCACAACCGATGATTCTTTCATCAGGTCCAATCTCCCCTGGTTAGGAAAAGCTCAGAATTGGGCAAAGTTCACAGCAACCGCCTCTCTAGGTGTTATCCACAAGGGTAACCTTACGGATGGTAAGAGAATCATGGAGCCTTATCTACCCGGTAGCAGAGCGGCTTCTCGCTACATCAAAGGAGGGTCCTTATATGGTCTGGGTCTCATATATGCTGGATATGGCACCGAAATTATTGACTACCTCAAATCGCATGTGGTTGATAACAGCTCATCTGTGGGAGATGAAGACGTTGACGTCTTGCTTCATGGGGCTTCGTTGGGTATTGGGCTTGCTGGAATGGGCTCTTCCAGCAGCGAGCTTTACGAGGCTCTGAAAGAGGTCTTGTACAATGACTCGGCTCATTCAGGGGAGGCCGCTGCTCTGGGAATGGGGCTTGTCATGTTGGGAAGTGGCAGTAGAAATTCTATTCAAGATATGTTCACCTATGCCCAAGAGACCCAGCATGGAAATATTTCTCGTGGTTTAGCCGTTGGTCTAGCTGCCATCAATTATGGTAAGAAAGAAATGGCAGACGACATAATCAAGAGCATGATTGAACACGAAAACAGCTTGCTCCGTTATGGTGGTGCATACACAATAGCTCTTGCATACGCAGGTACTGGTAGCAACAAAGCAATTAAGAAACTACTTCATGTCGCTGTTTCGGACTCTAACGATGATGTTAGAAGGGCTGCAGTTATTGCCTTGGGATTTGTGTTGATTCGTGACTACACTACTGTTCCAAGACTTGTAGAGTTGTTAGCCGAATCTCACAATGCACATGTTCGTTGTGGTACGGCGTTTGCGTTAGGTATTGCATGTGCTGGAAGAGGTTTACAGGCTGCAGTCGATTTGCTTCTACCTTTGACTAGAGATCCAGTTGATTTTGTGCGCCAAGCGGCTATGATTGCTTTGTCCTTGGTATTCGTTCAACAAACGGAGAAAACGAATCCAAAGGTGAAGGAGATCAATGATCTTTTCTTGAACGTAATCTCCAACAAGCACCAAGAGGGACTTGCCAAGTTCGGTGCTTGTGTTGCGCAGGGTATTATGAATGCTGGTGGCCGTAACTCTACTATCCAGTTGGAGAATGTAGAAATGGGCACCTTAGACACTAAGGCGGTAATCGGACTTGCTATGTTCTCGCAATTGTGGTACTGGTTCCCCATGGCACATTTTTTGTCACTTTCCTTCAGCCCCACAAGCATTATCGGCGTTCGCGGACAAGACTTAAGCATCCCGCGCTTCGATTTCTTGTGCCACACAAAACCTGATGTTTTCGAATATCCTCCTATGTTTGAGGAGAACATTGATAAAAATGTGGAAAAAGTAGCAACTGCTGTTCTATCGACGACTGCAAAGGCCAAGGCGAGAGCCAAGAAAAGTAAGAAGGATAGCAAGGAAGTAACAGAGGAAAAAGTCAAGAAGGAACCTCTAGCTGAGGCTAAACCGGAATCAAACGAGGAATCTCGTAAAGTAGACACAGAGACGAAGGAAGACGCTCCTTTCAAGATCAAGTATGTCAACAAAGCCTACAAAATTGAAAACGCCTCACGCGTTGTCCCACAACAGCTGAAGTACATTGCCTTTTCGAAAGATGACAGATTTGTTCCAGTTCGTAAATTCAAAGGCAGCAACGGTATTGTTGTTGTGGTTGACAAGAACCCAAATGAACTAGTCGAGTTGATTAAGACTGCGAAGCAGAAAAAGGATGTTGACGCTCCATTACCTACGCCATTCAAGGTAGAAGAAGAATTAGAGTTCTCCAAACTTCAATGATAGTCACTCATGAGCATATAAAGAAAGCATAATAACATAAAATTTACATTCAAATAGTACTTGATTCTTTTGTAAAATGCTTGCACGAATAAAGTTTTGTATGTAGCTCTCTATTTCTTCCCACTAATTCTTCATGCTTCAACCAAATCTACTTAATGCTTCACTGACAAGATCTGTGTGTCCTTCCTCAATCTCACCTCTTTTAACCTTCTCGTTACGTTGACGGGCCTCTTTCTCTTTACTCAAAAGAGCATTAACTCTTAGTTTTCTTTCGTCCACAACATTTCGAGTCTTTTTCCGCAAAAATGATCGCAGCCCTGAGTTTTTGCCCTTAACGCTAGGGTCCGCTTGTGGTATATCTTGGTTAGTTTTAGATTCGTTAGCTTTTTGATCTGTGACTAGAGCTAAATCTTTAGCATTGAGTCGTGCTGCAGAAGCACGTTTATCGACAGCACCAATAACATTTGGATCCAAAGCAATCGAGTCAGCAGGCAGTTTATTCAACAAAGTTCTCACTTCCTGTTCCTGTCTTTGCTTTGCGGTTTCAAATGGATTCAACTCCAAAGCATCGTAGTTGGCCTCACCAGCACCAGGTATTATTAGATTACGCACACCATCTTGATGCCCGACACCTAGAAGGTCCTCGAATGGTACAAACTGCATGTTGGTGACCCTATTTCCAGGAAATATACTGGTCATGTAGGGCGTATTGCGTTCAACTTGGCCGCTAGAACCGAAAAATGGTCTTGCAAGCTTGCTTGACCTAAATGCATCCTTCCAAAGCGTAACATGAGGACCTCTAGAAAGAGCAAGTAGTCCTGTATCAGAGATAGTAACGCCAGACCCAGGTGTAGGTAGGTTTTCTATGGTATGCAATTGACGGAAGGTTCTGATATCCCAGATTTTCATGGATTTGTCGGCACCTGTCGTCGCCATGTAGCGGCCTTGACGGTCGACGGCGACGCCAGTGACTGGACCACGAGCAGACAAGAGTCTAGCCAACGGCGTGGGCATGTTGGGGGCCCACATCGTTACAGTTCCGTTGCTATGACCCAAATTGATTACTGCATTCCAGGGATTTTGGGCCATCGCAGTTGTGGGTCCCAATTTGGTTCTTAGTTCAGCCTGCAGCTGTCCTGTAGTAACATCCTGGTATTTGAGCCAGCCAGTTTCTCCTGCTGTAGCCAGCAAGTAGTGGTACGGCAAAAACTCCATATGTTTGACCTCGATGTGCTGTTTGAGTCTATGCAATTCTACACCTTCATGGTCGTAAATAAAAGTGTATTTTTTTTGAGCCACGGCAAAGAACTGCTCATTTTGCAGGTAGGTAGCAGCGTTACAAGTTTCGTTCAGATTCAATTCAGCTCGCAGCTGTCCTTTACGCCAGTCCATGGAAGCCACATGGCCCTTGCGCCCACAAATCAAAAGATGGGTACCGTTACGAGAGTAATTGAGTGAATAAGGCCCAAATTCTCGCAGTTTCAAATCCAATGCCTTATTAGCGGTACTTGAATCCACTGCACCGCGAATCTCGTCCTGCTTGACTTTGAACGTTTTTTCCATTTCATTTTCTGCCTCCAAAAACCCACTACTTTCGGGTAGCAGGTATTCCGTAGCTACTGCCTCAGATACTGCATCTTTATATTGCTGATCAATTCTTTTTAAACCTGCTTTCAGCTTCTTATCCTTGACCTTGGCGTTATATCCATTCTGTCTTTTGGTTTTCGAAGACGAACGGTCGTATTTCCCACCGCTGCCTCTGAAACGATCAGAATCAGATGGCCTATTCGTAATATCAGACATTATGTTGTGATACCAATGGTAAGGGATGAAAAAGGCCCTGAGAGTTCTGAAGTCTTGTGAAGTTTCTTGATCTTCAGCTCATCTCATCGCATCTCATCGCATCTCATCGCCTATCTAAAATTTTACAGGTATTTCAATCGTCATGCACGAGTTTGTCAGTTGTGAATAAGTGACAGTTTGAAAAGACACACTGAAGAGAGATATATAATACTGCGAGTTTCAATTAGACGCTTGTATCTAGATTTGGTACCATTATGACGAGTTTAAGAGTAAAATGTCTATTATTTTGAGCTCTGAAATGTGTAGTTTGAAGCTTGAGCAGAAAAGAGGATTTGAATGCAAGAAAATGGTGTGATTGGGGTTTAAGGACATTGGAACTGACCTTAAATAAGAAATTTTGTGAGCTTTGATCGGTTTGCGTTGCAAAAATGCGGTGTTCTTTACGAAAGAAAATGATTTCGGTGAGAATGACATATTAGTATATAGTGATATGAGAAACAGTATATAAGAGAGTCACGTTAAAGACATTCCGATCGCTTGTAATTTCTGTCACGAAGGGCTTATGGTGATCAATCTGTGTATGGTATTCTTAGGTATTGATTGACCGTCGGAAAAGGTTGGCGATAGCAGTCCACGACGTTTCGAGAGCGTGAGTTCTGGGCCTTCACATTGTGAGCTCTCAGAAGGCTCTGGATAGTACGACCCAGGTGGTTATGATACTAGAGCTGAAAGAAGGGCTGGGCAGTTGTTTTCAAAAGGTTTGGAAATCGGTCGTACGATCGTTTTGAGTCGCAAGTGTCACGTGATGCGCGGCCGCGACAAAGTTGCAAAGCCGATGGGACCTCAATTCATAGCGCAATTCTTCTCAAATGTGTAAATTTGTACGTCGTAGATCGGACGTCAGAACCTAGATATGCAATGGGCCAATCACAACAGCAGAGGATAAGTTTTTCAGAAACTGGAATGAATAAAACTTTCAAGGGCCTTGATATCTCAACACGTCAGGGATTCATCACGAATAGATAAAATGGTTTTCATTGACAACAAAAAGTAGTTCCTTAAGTTCAAATGCACTCGTTTTGTTTTGGTGACTCGATGATTTGATTTCGTTTTGTCACTTTAGGTGTTTTCTGTCGCCAATCTCGTAGTCACGTGACTTATCACGATAAACCCAATATTCAAACTTTTCCCTTTTACTCGCAACAAAACGAATGTTTCTCCAGCTTCAAATCATTACAATCTACAACTTTTGACTATCTGACGTGCTGACTGCCATATCAAAAATTGAAACTATCCGTATATTTTGAAACCTTATCGTTTTATACTATAACTGTCATTTTATTTATCAGATGACGCTCCTACACCCACCTTTCCCTCTCTCTCTCCTACTACCCTTTTGAACACCCCAATCGACCACTTTTCAAACCCCAAGACAGCCTTTCGGACACTCCATTTCCCCTACCGAACCCTCTCAAAACCCATTGTCATCGGTTCGTCCGTCCTCTCATGTGATTCTCTTCTTTCTGTCTCTACTATCTTGCAAAATTCCCGTGCAAATACCCAGCTGGCCCACAGTGACACACACACACACTTTCACAGCTCGGAAAGCCTTGATAATCAGACGGGACCTTCTTGAAGCGCGGGACTGAAAAAATCGCCAGTGCTTATGATAATAGTAGCTCACAACGTATAAAATCGATGAGAAATACAAACAAAAACTGACTCGAGAAAGATCTTGAATCGATTCTTGAATAATTGATAAATAAGAAGCGTCCGATCCGAATATCAGGAAATTAAAGCTTACTTATTTCAACTGAAAAGAGCTGTTTCTTTCGTTGTTTTTGCTTGTCAACGTTTATTTCAAGGCCTTTATCAATTCCTCTATAATAAGAGCTTTTGACATTGCCCAGTGACAAGAAGTTGAAGAAAAAAAATCCAGCTACTTTATCCTAAATACCAATGACTGACGCTCTCCCATTGCCATTTAGATACCAGTTCGCTGCCGGTGCGGTGGCCGGGATCTCAGAGATCCTGGTGATGTATCCACTAGACGTGGTGAAGACCAGAATGCAACTACAGGTGAAAGGAGGATCTGGACCTGTTTACAACGGAGTTTTGGACTGTTTGAAGCAAATTGTGGCCCGTGAAGGTGCCTCGCGTCTGTACAAGGGAATCTCGTCGCCTGTGCTCATGGAAGCGCCCAAAAGAGCCACCAAGTTTGCATGCAACGACGAATTTCAAAAACTATACAAGCGTGAATTTGGCGTGGAAAAACTTACGCAATCGCTCAGCGTGCTGAGCGGTGCATCTGCCGGATGTTGTGAAGCGTTTGTCGTGGTGCCATTCGAACTGGTCAAAATCAGACTTCAAGACGTGAGCTCCAGCTACAATGGCCCCATCGACGTTGTGCGCAAGATTATCGCCAACGAGGGTGTGTTGGCTATGTACAACGGTTTAGAATCGACCCTTTGGCGTCACGGTGTCTGGAACGCCGGTTATTTTGGTGTCATTTTCCAGGTGCGTACGCTTTTGCCCCAGGCGCAGAGCAAATCCCAGCAGACCGGTAATGATCTTATCGCAGGTACCATAGGTGGTACTATCGGTTCTATGCTAAGTACACCGTTCGATGTGGTCAAGTCTCGTGTTCAAAACACCGCCATTGTCGCTGGCGAAGCTCGTAAGTACAACTGGTCGTGGCCATCGCTGCTGACCATTTACAAGGAAGAAGGGTTTGGTGCTCTATACAAGGGTTTCGTACCCAAAGTGTTAAGACTGGGACCCGGTGGAGGTATTCTGTTGGTGGTGTTCACCGGTATGATGGACTTTTTCAGAGATTTCCACTACAGCCGTTGAGGAAGGTCTAGTCAGCCAGAACGTACCATTGGCAGCAGTATCGTACAAGAATAGTAAATGTAACTTAGCTAGAAAGCGTATAACACAGAAAGAGAGAAAAAATATGAATCTCGACACACTCACTACACTAGTCTGTAAATGCTGCCGTTTAAGACAAGAACAAAAACTACACCCTCAAATACACTTGTCTGTACGTTCTACCGGCCCTTGCAAATCGTTTTTTGCGCATCCAGAAGGAATTGCAACCGACTCACAAAAGAGCGCTGAGATGAACGAGATGATCTCTCCGATGGACTTGACGCTAGGATTACGCCATGATCTCCGAAGAGGGCATACTAGCAACACGGTTTTATAGTCCTGGTTTGTATAATCCGCACGATTATTGGTTTTTTAAAAACGAACAAGAACTGGTGAAAAAGTGTCATGGATTTGAATTTCTTACGCTTTTTATACTTTTACTGATTCAGAGGTTACCCGGATTAAGGTGGTTCCTGGAGCATGAACAGTTTGAAATTAAGAAGGGCATCTACTATTATATATATCAAAACGTTTAAATGGTAGAATATCGAATTTATAAGTAAAGTTACCAGGGATCACCAATGGTAGCTGCAGAAGTGTTGGCCAGCCATGCTGTTCAAGATCGGACCGTAGTGGTTCGTTTTGCGTTGGAAGAAATGGAAGATCTGCCCTTGAACGTGAGTAATGTTGATTTGCAAACGGTAACGGTTCCGTGGTTGAGACGCATGTGTAGACAGCTGCGAGGCCGCTACACACATAACAAGCGTCTCAGGTTTATCAGAAACGGTCGCTTTTTGACCGGACACACTGATTTGCAACTGAGACGGTATTTTGAAAGCAACGAGGAACCTGTTTTCTATGTGCAATGCATGGTGGGTCAGGAAATGACACCCGAAGAGGCCGCTAATGAAGATTCGCTGGACGAAACTCAGCCAAATGCCGAAGGGGTCACCACTCAAGCCATAGGGTTCGATCGGTTGCGGTCCGTTGGGTTCAGTGATGAGGAAATCGAGCTTCTGCGACAGCGTTTTCAAAGCACCTACGGCGACTTGGAAAGTCTCACGCGAACTTCAGATGGCGCCCCAGATATCCGCCAGCTAGAAGAACAGTGGATGGAGACTGGGGCCAACGATGATACGTCGCAAATGGTGGGCGTGGGTATCGCCAATTACAAACACAACGCAGATCTGCTGATAGGACTGGTTGTCGGGTTTGTGCTTGGCGTGGCGAGTTTCTTGCTAATGACGCAGGACGGTCTGTTTAACAAGCGTCAGAAAATGGCAATTGTTGGGGGACTGATCATAAACGTATGCTTCGGCCTGACGCTGGGGTTTTCAAGAGGATAGCATTTTATGGGTGCGTTTATCGAGGATATTTTACCACCGGGGGATTCTTCTGTTATGTACAAGGTTCAAAAGTAAGTAAGGCGTAAGATAATCGGTACGAGTCACTAGTGTTGCTTTTCGTGGCTGTTATTTTGGAAAACTTGGTCTAGTAAGTGTTCCATAGGCTTATCGAAAAGATATGGCAAAACAGGAACAACACTCAAACCCAGGGCGATTGGGCCCCAAGTTCGCAATGCCGCGTTTTTAGGAAATTGTTTGTTAAACCAGTTACCGGAATATTTCACAGTACTGTGGATCGTGAACGCTGGTAAACCCATCGAAGCCACGCTTTGGAAAATCATTCTTTCTAGTCCCACCATTTTCCAATCTGGCAAATTGGCCAGTTCTCCGCTTTCCAGCAATTTAGGGTCAGCAGCTGGGATTTCATCCCAGGGTTTCAAGCCCGCTCTGTATCTGCCTTCCTTTCTCAATTTGGCAACCCATGAAGTGTAGGAGACGTCTCCCAAAATGTAAGCCCAAGAAACACCGTAACCTAGCTTCACAAACACTGGCGGAAATACAGGACGAAACGATTCACCAACATCGGAGGTGTATGCAACGTATCTGTGAGATGCCATTGCAATCGTCCTCAGTCTACTAGCGTAAGCTGCGTAACGAACATTGGAATCCGTGCTATCTGGAGCGGAAGCTTCATGATATGTAGTTTCGACAGTTGGATTGCTAGGGGAGCTCATTGAGATGTGAGAATGGGGGTGTGTGTGGTTGGTTAAGTTCGGACTTGGTTCTACAGGGCTAAGTATCCTGGATCTTCCATTCTTATGGAGCGTGCTGTCCCAATATGATGTGGCGACCATGTGACTGACGACACTGTCGTAGAACATTACCTTTGTAAGAACACACACCAAGAACCAATGACAACGAAGTTGCCGGTTGATGAATGTGTATTCTGTTGTTAGAGCCTTTGATTATTGAATATTGTGGGTTGTGGTTCGAGTTCGTGTTAATTCATTGAGGAACTTTGAATGTAAAGAAGTGTAAGATGACGTCTTTTGAGGTAAAAGGTTCATATTTTTCTCAACCGAAGATCGCCGAAGTGTCTGCATATTTTTTTGCGTTTAATCTAGCTCTGCTTGAGAGGTATAGGTTAAGTTTACAGATGAGCTTCGTCGTGTACTATTCTGACATTTTGTGTCACGTGCCCGGGACCTACGTTCGCACCACGGGACTCAACTAGCACTTCGCTTGGCTACTACTTTGAGTAGCCGTTCTCCGCATACATGATTGTACTGGATTGGTTGCTAGTGTTCTTGGTTGGGGCGTGGGAAAAATGCAGCACTATGTGATTGTCTAGCACATTATTCGTTAGTATACAGTTTATGTGATGATACATGGCTAAAGAAAGCCATCCCAAGTTGAATGCGAATGCCAATCGAGTACGAGCATAGGATCCATGAACGGGTATTTCCGTTGTCCCCTGTTAATTCTATTACCAGTACTTTATCACTTGGGATTCCGATCTCACCTTACTTTTCTCAGCGACGGATCAGAAGATACGCATTTTCCTGCTTCAAGTTGCTGAGACCACGATAGTTTCCCTCCAAACGCATCAGCAGCCCTCCGAATGAGTAGTGCACGGCAATCAGGTCCTTTTTCCCGGCCACTTCTTCGAATCTGTATGCGGTTCCGTACATCACGTAGTCGTAATCGTCGGCTAGAGATCTTTCACCGGGTTGTGGCGCTCTCCAAGAGCTTCCCTGGACTGGTTCCGCACCATCGAGCAGAAGAGTCGACGAGAGCATCAACGTTAGTGTGTCGTTGACACGTACTGGGAAAAGCTCCGAGTTGATATCGAGAGTGAGCTGGAATTCCTGGGAAGTGGAATGCGACTCAATTCGCGATACTTTGTTGTAGCGGCCCTGGTCCACTTCCGTGACCTGGAAGATATCGTCGAAAAGCGTGGTAGACATTGGAATTGACGGAAGCGACTAAAGAACGAACGGCGTTGGACAAGGAACGTTAAACAACCGACTTATACTCATCGTTCGTGAGCTCATCATCTTTGATAGTAATGTAGTCAATTTCTAGAAAATTTTCAAAAGATACCTTCGCACGAGGTGGGACTGTCAGTTGTACAACTAACACACTCGATCTTGAAAGCCAACACAACGATTCTAACGCTCGAGGCACTCCTCGCACGTCTCTAAGGTATCACGCTGGTCTTCTTCTTTCCCTTGTTTCTTTGTAAACGGAATAAATTATACACATACCTTACAATACCTACATATACAATCCCCCATGCCTCACCGTGTGTAGCCTATTGCTTTGCTGACCTGCCGCTTAGCGCCACCCCCCTATTTGAGAACCGTAGTCCTTCTCTTGGACCTGTAGTCCTTGATGGCCGCTTTGATGGCGTCTTCGGCCAACATGCTGCAATGGAGCTTCACGGGTGGTAAACTGAGCTCTTTGGCGATTTCGGTGTTTTTGATCTGCGAGGCCACGTCTAGGGTTTTGCCACGCACCAGCTCTGTCATGTACGAGCTGGACGCGATGGCGGAGCCGCAACCAAAAGTCTTGAATTTGACGTTTTCGATGACACCCGTTTCGTCGTTGACCTGGATTTGCAATTTCATGACATCTCCGCACGCTGGGGCTCCCACAAGACCGGTTCCGACGTTAGACAGTTTCTTGTCAAGCGATCCGATGTTTCTGGGGTTGGTGTAATGGTCGATGACTCTTGGATGGTACGATCTTTTTGCCATGATCGATGGAGCATTTTTTAGGGCCAAAGTGGAAGTCAAAGAGCCCCTAGGTACTAGTAGTCTCAACATGCTTGTTATATGACGTTGGAAGGAACTTCAGGAACTATAGGAACTTCAGAAACTCTAAAAGACTCTTAAAATTCACTAGTTTGTCAATGAATTCTGTGCTTTCAAAGCTTTTTTGGCTTTTAAATGTGGTTGATGAGAAACAGGGTTTTTCAAATTAAATTAACAATTTTTTAGTGAGAGAGTTCTAGCCTATACTTATAAATCTAATATCGAAATACTATGAACAATGGACTTAAACCGATGAAAGACAACGACACACGATGGCACTGATGATTTGGTAAAGGTAGAACGGATATAAGAGGAAGAGACGGTTGTAATTTTGTGAGTACGGGTGGTGGTGTGGTGATAGTATAGTGATGCTTTAGAGCAACGGTGTCGAGTGAGAATATGCTGGTAATATTGTGCTATATTCTTGTCATTGTAGATATAACGGATATTTACGTATATAACAAGGCTTGTAGGTGAGTTTGCGTGACTCTCGCTGTGTTTTGTGGATATTTATTTCCGATTTCCCCGTTTCCGGATATAGCCGGCCCGGGACTCGTGATGAGAAACAGAAAAAGCGAGGACATATGATTCTGGGGTGGAAAAGACTAGTTTTTAAGAAGAAGAAGAAGAAGAAGAAGAAGAAGAAGAGGAGTAGCGAGTGGTGTGGTAAACGCAAAGGCGATTGGTTTTTAGGTGAGTTTTGGTATGTTTCAATTTGTTTTGGCGTGGATCTGGGTGTTAAATGTGGGTATCATTCTGTACGTATGTGACACCCGGATAGGCAGCTATTGGTGACACGATGTTCTACTTTCTATACAACCTTCCGCATGCCGCTCGCAAACCTTAGTCTCACCGTAGTCAGTCTTTTCGAACAGATTCGCGTCCATAGAACGGGTCTCTTCTCCCGTCCCGGCTTATGATGACAGAAAATACACTCCTCATCTTGTATCACACTGTACTACTCAGTCATCATAATGCCAAGTGAGCGTTTTGATGAACATCAACCCAAAATCCCAGCCATACTGAAACTCTCGTTCACATTTTCAAATGTTCAACACACTTACATACCCACCTACATACCCACCCACATTTCTCGATCCCGTAGCTGCATCCAAAACTCTGATTCAAAAAACGTCTTTCTCATCACTTTCGAAAAACGTGCAGAAATTTACGCTCTGACAGCTTCAGAAAACCTAACATCACTCACTAACACGAATGAGACCTTCTTTTATCGCAAGACTAGCTTTCCTCACCCACAAAAACTCTAAAAACATTTTCAAATAGGTATCCCGGAAAAAAGCGTACCCTTTCACCAACGGATGCCACACATCTCAAATTTCCCTACATCACATCAAACTCCAGCCATTTCGTAGCCTTCGGTATCATTACTCCCATTCTCTCGAACTACAAGTAAGTTTCCCAAAAATTCTGTTTTGTCCGCGAAAACAAGAATACGACCAACTTTGGTATCTTTTGAATCCTTTAATTCAGCTGAGTCTAATTGTGTCAATCCTACACTACTATAAACTTTCCTCCCTCCATTTTTTTATCGTTTTGTCTGTTGTCTCACTATAGGTGGTGGAATATTAAGGCATCAAATTCATATATCTACCGTTCCGAGCACTGAAAACCTTTATCAACCTAAAAACTTTTATATCAAAATCTCGAAACAATCGACACCGATTAGTGCGGGAACCCGCTTCCAATCGATTGAGCTAACAATGGGCAACTTTCTGGATGTAGACGTGGAGGTGGACTGGCTTTACAAGGGCAAGAGACGGCCAAAACCGCAAACACAAGTTGTACGCCGAGAACGGTCATCTTCAGTGTCAAATGGGTCGTTGGGCCGTGTGGCCACGAAAACAGAGTCTCAAGAGCCTGAGATACCTAAGCAAACCAAACCGGAACGGCCATCGGTTGATACCAAAAAAACTGGAAGCTTCACAGTTGGAACTGCAACGGCTACCATCCCACAACGGTCAAGTTCGATCAACGAGACGAGTGCAAAATCTAAGAAATCTTTGTTTGGCTCGCTTTTTAGACGCAACAGTCAAGGCTCTGGTGAAACTCCTTCAATTCCCATTCCCCTACCCAAAATACGGTCTCATACCGGATCTAATGGTGCTGGTTCTCAACCTTCTGGTCAAGAACCCATACCATCCATGCAAGCTACGGTATCACAGTTTTTGAAAGAGCCCTCTTCTCCTGAAGTGTCAGATGTGGCTCCCATTCATGATGAAAAAGTGGTCTTGGGCAAGAGTCAACACCGGAAATCAATTTCGATTGATAATCTATCAAAACTGCCTCTCAAACGAGTTACTTTTGCCGTTGACCGTTTTGGAATGGATCCGCCGCAACAAATACCAAGTCGCAAACCCAAGAAGGGGGATGTCTTGGTACCTCAGGACATGATCTGTCCCACTCCGTCTATTTCCGTTGGCATCACTAACACGCAAGGTAGTGTGGAACAAGCTACTTCTCCGCCCAACGAACAATCGAAAGAATACAAACTGGCAATGGATTATCATCGTCGGGCTCTAAAGGAGTCGGAAAAGCATCAGCAAGAAGCGCATTATGCTGCAAGACGCATAGCTCATGAAGTACAAAACTTCAAAATTAAAAATTCTGCAGCGTCTTCTCATGCACAAACAAGCGGAAACGTCGGTGCCGAACAGAGCTCAAGCAACAACGATGGGCTTGGAACGACCGCCACGATCACCGCGATTGATGATCGAATCAAAAATTTAGAGATCGATAAACCAATACACAAGCATGAGAACTTTTTCGATCATGACACATCAAATTCGACTTCGTCCTCCGAGAAACTTACTCTAGACAAGACATATACTCGTTGCTGTCATCTACGAGAGATTCTACCCATCCCTTCTACTTTAAAGCAAGTAAAGGACAAAACTGCGCCATTACAAACTTTGAAGTTTTTGAACCCAAGGCCCACACTCATCGATATCTTGTCTTTCTGTGACTTCATCGCAATAACTCCTGTGCACAATGTCATCTTTGACAATGTCAACCTTACCCAGGAGATGCTCAAAATTGTCATCAGCTCTTTGGTCAATAGTTCCGTCATCGAAAAATTAGGACTCAGAAACGTTACATTCAACCTTGACAGCTGGAAACTACTGTGCAAGTTTTTGATGGATAACAAATCCCTCTTGAAACTGGATATTTCTCATACTAAAGTAAAGACCGATCTTCCTAAAGAACTGTATCGAGCCAATATGGATTGGAATCTATTTATTGATGTCCTTCGAAGCCGCAAGGAGAAAACATTAACTGAACTACTAGTGAATGGTGTCAAATTTGACAGTACGAGCACTTTCGTCAATTTACTCAACACTTTTGCATCAACCGGACAACCAGCAAAGAAACGACTTGGAATTGCACAATCTGAAGTTACTGGAGAACAAATCAAATTCCTCATGTCGTGGATCAGCGAAAACAATATTGAGGGTGTCGACTTAGGGTTCAACGATCTGAGCGAACTTGTCAAACCTTTGGTAGGGAAACTCACCTCGCTTTCATATGATAACATGCACTATTTCACACTTAACAGCACCAACATCGCATCGCCGTATGACGCGGCCTTGGTATTGCGAGCGTTGTCAAAATTGCCCAACCTTTATTTCCTCGATTTGAGCAACCTGCCTCAAATTTTCCCCGACATTTTCCCGTACCTCAACAAGTACTTACCTCGCATGCCAAAGCTGAAGCGACTACATTTCGACTCCAATGAATTCACAGCTAGAGAGGTAGTTATGTTAACGACAGTGCTTCCCAAATGTAAAGAGCTTCTTCATATTTCGTTGATGAACATTCCAGAAAACTCTTTCACAACATCAATGAGCGCCAACGTATATGACTGTGTGCGGCAAAGTCCGAAACTTACACATCTGGACATCGCCTATGGAAACATGCCTGAGGAAATCTCGTCTCGTATTGCGCTCTTTCTCATGCGTAGATTGCATCGGGATATCGAGCTTGACGATTTGGCCAGTCAAGACGATCTATTATTTGATGGAACTTTACTCTCTGAGACAGCAGAGAATGTATTTGAAAAACTGAACAACTATGAAGATGCGGACACCGACACCACTAGGAGGTACTTACTCAAAAAATATTGGGAACGGTTCAACCGTGTTCATGACAATGTTCAGCGCACAATCGATGAACTATTCGAGAAGAGAAATGCTGGTGAGCTAAACCTTCAGGGCAAGGAAAATTTACTGCGGCTTTTGTTCCTGGAGAACAATCTATCGCATATTCTGAGCATTCTAAAGACCTACCCACAAGTTGCAAACATCGCAGGTTTAGAGTCCAGTGCAAAGCAATCAACTTCTGACAACGATATTACCAACTTACGAGATGCTGAGCCTCCCGCTCACACACGGCCTCACTTGATGGCGACGGAATCCGGACGGACTATCGATTTAACCACTGGTAAAGCTATACTGGTGAAACAACCTTCTCATGTAGCGCTGGTCAGCAAAAGGCAAGAGGAAGAAGAAGGTGAATTTCACAAGTGGGGGTTTTTCGTTCAACAGCAAAATTCCATTTATCCTGATCATCAGGCTAGACCCGTGATTGAAGATCCGGTAGAAAAGAGGCCAGAAAGTGCATCGTCTACTGAATCACCCAAGTCTTCCCAACCCTCCACAGCAACACAGACATCGCATAGCTTGATTGCCAAGATTCCATCTGGAACTGAGCTTCGGGATGCTATCATGCGCGCCAAAGGTATCGATTCCATGGAAGAGCTGATTGAAAATGTAAGCGGAAATCGTGAGTCGCTGGACAAAATCTACGGTGTGCCACTCCACCCCATGCCGCAGTCAGTATCGGACGCTGGCACCTACCGGAGAGCCCCGCTCTCACAGTTGATGAGATCAGATTCTAATGTATCAGTAACATCGTCCGAATCTGGTAACGAGGAAAAAGTTGATGAAACATACGATAAGTTACTCAACAGTTTGAGTAAAGTACGGTCAAATAAATAAGTATCTAAGATTAAGACCAGAAGCACACAAATTTCCACGAACTACGGCCAAGTCTTTTGTATCCCGCTTCGCGTGCTGATCCAATTTCAGAACGCAGGCCGGTGTGAAAAGTTCTATTCTTCTCTCTTTCAGCGGATAACCGCGTTCAAAATTCGCTGGTAGTCACTGTTGTAAAATACAGAGGTTGTTTTTGAAAGCCGCCACAAACCTACTAGCCCCATGCTTGTAAGGCCGAGAATCAAAGTCGACATGCTCTTCCTTACGCTTAAACGCCTGATTCGCGCATACTGGCACAAACCGGCCCCAAAATGATAAGACGCTGTCCATATGAGTGCCGACAGCGGTATGATTCCAATCCACCACTTGATGAATTTGCTGTCATTTTGCAAGATCCACTTGACAAAGTCAAAATCTATGTCAATTCCTTCCTGTAGTGGAGCCTTTTTCATGAGATATGTATGGTAGAATATCGCAGGTGCCAGGATATACCCTGTAAGAATTTGAGGGTTATATGACAGTTGTTTCGTGACACCGATAAAATAACCGGAAAGACCGCCTACAAGTCCTATTTCACGCTGTGATTCGCGCTCAGCAGAGTCCTGTACCCTATTTTTGGCTCTTTTCGGTCTTCTCCAATTCGCTACAAGACTCCATATTCTCAGAGCCACTCCGCTAGCCAAATGCGCAGCGACAGAAGCACTCAAAAGGGTACTCGTGAACCCTGGTAATAGTTCCCGTACCATCATGAGCACATCGTTTGGAGCCCCTTCGGGTGATATAGCTGGCACTATGAGCGTATTGATGGCATGCAATGGGAAATAAGCTGCAAAGGGCCAGACAGAGTATTTTTGAATTTTCCGTAACGAAATCCTCAAAATTCTTGGATTGAGCCAGTTCAAAATACCACTGGGTTTCTCTATGCCCTCTACAGGTCTGTAATGAGCCACAGGCTCGGGATCGAGCTCTTTCAACTCCATCTCGAGGGGATTTCACCACACCGATCGAACCCTTCAAGATTAAATTTCATGTAAGGCTGGCTACTGCTGATATCGGTAAATTTCAGGTGCCGCGTCACAGTCGTATCATATGACTCGAAAAGTCCATTCATGAGAATAATTTGTTTTGAGAGAGTCATTACGAGGAATTCATGGGATATGAGAGACCATTTGAAACTTTAAGCTGATTCACACTAGCTAGATGGTCTTTGTTTGATGACCGGAAATTAAATACTGGAATTCGAACACAAGGTGTCAATAGTCACGTGATCAAAGATGGAAAGAACAGGTTTAATGATACGTAGACTGCTAGAGAATAGTAGCTGCGTGGCAGAAAATCACTGTATGGGAAATGGTTACATACTTTGGCGTATATGAGCAGCTTTCAGGATGCGGAATGAGGGCTAAAAAATCGAAATTTGATATTTTGTACCTAGGCACGTGACCATCTACTGACTACCATCAAAGATGGCTGACTTGTAGTGTCCTGTTTCGAGGGTTTTCAGAGTGTAGTTGAATGAGACTAGTATGCATTGCATAGCTTTCCACATGAGAAATCTGAGTATCTATCTCGCTTTGGAATACCTTCGCCAATTTCGATTCTCATATGTAACCCTAAAAATTGTGCATCTTGAGGGCACAGTAACGTCGATTGATATTGTGATAACTCTATATCTGAGTTAACCTTCATTGCTTTGTTGAATGGTGGTGCTTGTAACTTGACACTATATTTAATCACATCTCTGCTTTTGAAGCTTGACAGAAATTTTTGTGATGTTTTCGAGCGGATACGACGCTTTTATAGAGCTATAATTGATATTTGATGCGATGGGTATGCGTGGTTGATATGCGAATGATATTAATCGGCCAGTAATGATGCATAAGCTTAATTACTCATGCTACAAATGCGACTTTTGTATCCGAGGGGACACTACATAGGCGGAACGGGCACGTAGTTGGGAAAGCCTATAAGACCTGGCTGATAATAGATCCACGATCTCTCCAGATGGATGCGAATGCTCATCAAGCTTCAAGAACCCGTCATCACTTTTACTCACTTCGTCTTCAACGGGCGGTCACGTGATCTGTACGCCTTAAGACGACGTATACTCTGACTTCACTATCGCCATTGGTCTCACAAGCTTTATGAGAGGGACGAAAGACACTCTTCCAAAAGATCCTAGCCCCTTCACCGTTACGAAAAACCTGGCACCGGACCCGAAAACTAATCTTTCTTAAGTAATTTCCCACTCTGGCGACTCATGACATTGACGAGTATCCGGTGAGATATCTAATGCCAAGCTTACTCCGATATACATCAAGAAAACTGTATTTCGGCTCACTTCTCACTGATGACAGGAAAGATAGACTAAGATGGGCCATCCCAGTCACGTGATCTATTCCAAATTTAAGATTTCGGCTCGCTTTCACGTCTTGACAGAAGTGCATAGCTATTCGAATCGATTCTGAAACATTAATTGAGCTTTACACTTATCCATTCTGTTCCTTACTCATCTTCATCTCTTAAAAAAGGGTTGACGGTATATTCTCTGATTTATATACCTTGCTACGAAAGCTCATCTCATAATAACGCTGTCATTTGATACTATATACAACACAGGCCATATAGAATCTAAGGCGTCTATCCATTTGTCGACTCTTACGCCTGCACTCTACCTCGTTTTTTGTCAATGGTGACCCTTCCAGACTGGTGTCCCGCCTATAGCTCTCGAAAGAAGGATGTTGAGACCGGCGAAGAGGTGTTTTGCATTTGTAAAAAACCCGATTCCGGGGAACTAATGGTAGGATGTGACGGATGCGATGACTGGTTTCACTTCTCGTGTCTGAAAATGGCCAAAAAATATAACGAGCTGGTCTTTTCGTTCTATTGTCCGTATTGTCAAGCTGGTATTACGGGTCCTGGAGCCCATAATGATGGGAAATTGCCCAAAACGTTGTGGAGACGGAAATGTCGAGTCCTTGACTGTTTTAAACCAATTGCAGAAAACAGCAAATACTGCAGTGAAGAGCATGCTGTGGCTTTCATGCGAGGGCTAGTGGATCGTGTGGAAATACCAGGTCAGGATTCCTCACTCGTGCTGCGACAAATGCTGCAAGAGCCCGATTTCGACCATTTCAAAAACCTAGGCCGAAATGGTCTACCCACGCCTTCAGCAGATCTAGCGCCGGGACTTCTTACAAACGATGGCACACTGCAGGACCTGGAGGCTCAGTTGCGGGAATTACGCGGGGGCGCCAAAAATGGTGTTGAAACGCAAATAGAGCAGCTAACACAGTATTCACAGTGGGTTCAAACGGTCAACGATCTTCTGTTCGGAGACAATACGCAAGAAAATGCTAATGGAGACTCCGCACCGGCTGGTGGCAAGACTTCAAGGACGCGAAAACGCAAACAAACGGTCAAACGGAAAGCCATATGCGGTTACAGCAGCGAATTGAAGGCGCCTTGTTCCGCTGAGGACTTTGTTGCCGAATTCAAACAATTGGACTCAGAGTCCACGGAGCTCAAGGGTGTTTGTTGCAAACTACGGTGTGTCCGGCATTCAGACTGGCTAGGCACTCGTCAAACGAGCTTGCAGTTCCAGCTGGAGTCGTTGCAATCGTCAGAACAGCGTCTACCGCTTCTAATTAAAATCCGCCAAGACCAGCTCAAAATGCAACTTTACAAACACATTACAAAAGCGTAACTCCAACGTTGAGTACCGCATTGGAAAGCAAACCTTCGACGCACAGCTAGCTCTCACTGCTGCTCAGCAGTGTCTTCCGTTGTTTCTGCGTTCGAGAGCGCACGCCTATGGATGTGTACTCGTCAGAGTACTCAAAACACTGCTTTCAAAACGGGTAACTACTACCTATGCTGATCGTCGTCGAATTGATGCATATCAACTGATTTATTCGTTTACCTCGAGATCTCGATCTATAAAGGGAGCTTATCCAATTGGATCCTGGTATCTCCCCAAATCCAACTGTTGTCATCTGGCAATTCGAAAAACATGGTTAGTATGTGGTTATAGCGTCGTTGAAACCATTTGAATCAAAAAACTCTGGAGATATACATACTAACGGGCCATGTAAATGTTGATTTGCAGACGAGAAGATCAATAAGATCCGGAACGAAGAGTTCAAAATATGGAAAAAGGCGGTCCCTTCTCTATATCAGCATATCTCGACTTTCAAACCTCCATACACGACGCTTTTTGAAAGTGTTGAAAAATTTCCAAAAGCTGTAGCTTTTACCCACAAGATCGCTCCTAACAAGGAAGCCGGGACTTTAGTAGCATCGTTATTATGCTCACAAGGTGGTGATATTTACGAAGTCGAGTTCCAATTGCCCCTGGGTTTGTACTCGACCGATGACGATCTCAAGGACCCCAAATATGGTACTGCTTTTGCCTCGGTCGCTAGTGTTGGCAAATTGGAACCGAAATGGACATACCAAGGCCAAACGGTAACCAAAATTGAGTACGTTGGAGGCTCCCACGCGGACGCTGTGGTAATGACTGCAAACGGATCGTTGGCATGGTTCAAGGAAGACTGCAAAGTGCCCGTGTTTGTAATGGAAGAGCTGGTGGGAGTATCCACCAGCTTTTCACAGATTCACAACCAAGAGCGCTCTCACAACGTGAAAACCGATTTTGCAGTCTCGGAAGATGTCGAGACGCTGGTCAAGTCACAACCAAGCATGGCTGCGGGTCAAACTGACGAACATAGTCTACTCAAGGTTGTTGACAACGCCCAAAGCCCGGGTCAACTTGTTCGGTCAATCCCCATTTCGAACACGTCTTTCACGCAGGTGATACGATTCCTTGACAACCACCTATTTTGTACTTGCTCAGATGATAGCACTGTCAGATTTTACGACTTACGAGGAAATGGGGAGCCGCTTTGGTCGATGGCTGATCCTCACGATGGGAAGCTACTCTCTTTGGACGTTTCTCCAATGATAGAAAGTCTTTTCATGACTGGGTCCGAGACCGGTGTCTTGAAACTGTGGGATTTGAGAACAATAATCGCGTGCCTGGAGAACAAAGAAGAACCTATTGAGATAGCCAAGCTTTTCCACTCTGCCGCCGATCCGGTGGTAGATGTGAAATTCGGAATCTCCTCTCCTACTGAAATTCTCTCCGTCGGTGGCTCTGGCAATGTTTATCACTGGGACTTAGAGCCGCTGTTCTCGCAAGAGACTGCAGAATCTGACGAACTCATCGATGCAGAAGAGTTACAGCAGCAGTGTCTGAAGTTCATTCACAGTGGAGGAGGAAGAAGGCAGACAGACTTTTACAACCAGCGCGAGACTGTTGCGTGGCACCCACTCATCAGCGGGCTAGTTGGGTGCGTCGATCCTGATGGCCTTTTGACTGTGTATAAAGGCTTTCATGGAAAAGAGGACAATTCGGACGCCCCTAGTGAAATCGAGGCTGAAGTCTGAGCTTGATGGAAATGAAACAGTTTCGCCAAGAGTTAGCAGCTTGAGTGTTTTCAATATGACGGGAAATATTGATTTTTAAACGACGCTCCTTGATGTGCCCGGGGCGCTCTACTGCTTGTTGAAACGCAAATAAATCATACTCTTTACACAGCTGTTCGACGTCAACTGAGTGTTCTGGTGTTTGTTACGTATCTACATAGAATTCCAGGATAGACTGAAATCGGTTACTGAAGGCTCTGATGTAAATAGGCAGGTTTGAACAGTCATTGACTGTTGTACCACTGAAAGTTAGGTATCTTGATGTGTCTAGTGCTCTGTATCTATTAATGCTGCTTCGACCAAGAACGCGCATGTGGAAGTTTTAAGTATTACTCAATGTCGGGACCTTTTTACCAAACAATAAAATTGAAAATGACAAAGATGATCAAACATTATGATGTAATGTATGATCGGAATGAGCTCAATAACTGCTATGAATTTACAGTCACTAATTTGGATTTATTGGCGACATCTGAACCGTACACTCAACGTTCCTTGGCAAATTTTAGTATTATTTGTGAGATTGCCCCGCAAAAGATCAATCAGAATCGGAAGAGGCACCAATCAAAATATCACAGATAGCAAACCATTTATCAATCATAAGACTATCAATGCCCTAGCTTTCTGTGAAATATGTCCAGAGATCACCGTGCTGTCATCTTGAATATATGATCTTTCCTGCTACCTAGCGGTACCCAATCTTGTGAAAAAATCCCACCACTTCTCTTTATCCAATTGTACTGTTTTGAACAACTTCCCAACCTTTTCTCTTACTGATGTCAGGGTATTTGTTTCCATATCCATTAAACATCACCTCTTTCATTAATTGTCGTTACTCTCTCTACATTTTCATGAAATTTATCCAAAATTCCAAGATGCACACACGACTCCAGTGAACCAAGTTCAAGAGAAAGACAACAGGCTTTTGAATAAGCTCGCTGATCAATTCCAACCACGAATTCAAGTAAATGAAACATCGAGCTCGGAAAACTGTGAATTCGAACTGAACAATTAGCTTATTCGACCTCAATATAGAAAGGCTTAACAGTGGTCACATCTTGCGGAGGTAACATATCAATTCATCCAACACAATGGCATCTATGTTTCGGCCACCAGAATCAGCTAGGAGCAAATCAAAGTCTCCCAAGCTCACTTTGCCATCGTCGCTCAAAAATTCTTCCGGTGAGATGGCCACCCCTGCTACCTTGGGCCCGATTTCCAGCCTGGCCACTCCAAACTCGTCATCCTCTTCACAAACACTTACGTTTCCGAGAGCTGAAAAATCATCGTCATCTTCATCTATCAGCACACTGAAAAAACGACCGGCACCGCCGCCCATTCCATCTCTGGCTATTCCAACGAGCGCTGGCGCAGGAACCCCGGAGTATGGCGCCGTTACCGACTCATTGACACGATTGAAGCTCGAAGACGTAGATAAATACTCTGCAGGGACACCTACACGAGAGAGACTGTTTGAAAAAGGCTCTCAACCATCGGTTGGCACGACCGGATCGATACCGCTGGTCGGAAATGCCTTTGCAGATGTAGATACGCTAGACGAGGAAACATGGCAATCTGGGGCTGTCAAGGATGACATAATCACTATGGGAGTACTAGGAGAAGGAGCTGGTGGGTCTGTTACCAAATGCAGGCTCAAATCAGGGTCAAAGGTTTTTGCTTTGAAAACCATCACAACGGTAAACTGTGATCCAGAAACTCAAAAACAAGTTTTTCGGGAGCTACAATTCAATCGCAGCTGTAACTCGGAGTACATCGTGCGATATTACGGGATGTTCACGGCTTCAACGAGCTCGGCAATTTATATCGCGATGGAATACATGGGTGGTCGGTCGCTGGATGCCATTTATAAGCACCTATTGCAAAGAGGTGGTAGAATTGGGGAGAAGATTATAGGGAAAATTGCCGAGAGCGTCTTGAAAGGCCTTTCTTATTTACAGGAGCGCAAAATTATACACCGAGACATCAAGCCCCAGAACATTCTTCTAAATGATGTGGGCCAAGTTAAACTATGCGATTTTGGCGTAAGCGGCGAAGCTGTCAATTCTCTCGCCACCACTTTCACAGGAACCTCGTTTTACATGGCCCCGGAGCGTATCCAAGGACAGCCGTATAGTGTCACCAGTGACGTCTGGTCCCTGGGGTTGACGCTGCTAGAAGTGGCCCAAGCGAAATTTCCCTTCGACTCTGGGAAAATGGCCGCGAACATGCCTCCGATCGAGCTACTGATGATGATTTTGACTTTTACACCCGAACTCCGGGATGCACCTGAACTCAATATCGTCTGGTCCAAATCTTTCAAATCGTTCATTCAGTATTGTCTCAACAAAGAGCCCAAAGACAGACCTTCGCCACGGCAGATGCTGCAGCATCCCTGGATAGTGGGCCAGATGAAGAAATCTTGCAATATGCATAAGTTTGTCCTCAGGTGCTGGGAGGAGTAAGAACAACTAGGTAAGGGTGGTCAATGGATAACCGGTGGAAAAAAATAAAATTGGGCAAAAATTTCGTACAGAAATGCGGCTTGGCGTCATCAAGGTGGGTCAATGGTCTGCGATTACAATCAGATACGTACTATAGAAAAACTCATTTTTACTGGTTAAGAGGAAGAGGCAAGGTTTCGGCAAGAAAAGACACGAGTGATCTTGATATTCAACGAAGGAGCAGAGGCTAATTGATTCTTGGTTCAAAGACTACATGGTATCTTTACAAACACCGGTACGGTATCCATACTGAACTGGGTTCGTTGGGATGGACAGAGGTGCTTCGTACTGGAGACCATTAAAACAGCGCATGTGACATGAAACGCTTTTAAAAAACGAGCTGACATAATCGATATAAGATATCATGTGACCACAATGTGATTACATAATCAAATTTCTTCAAATCAAAATTCAACAAAAGTCGCTGTATACGAAACATTCAAATTTTTCTAAATTGAAACGAAAAGAGATGTGACTCTCAAATAATGAAATCCATCCTCCTCAGCTATCTTGAACTGTTGAACACATCACCTATCAGGACGAGATTGGAACTAATTTCACGATGTTTTTGAGGCCTGCTGTGAGAAACGGCGCTTTTCGTTATGCTATTCAAGGTTCTTACTTGAGAGGTTCGACTTTGGCTCCCCAGTTTTCCAAAAACTCAATTATCACAAGATTCTACTCTGACGCTGGCAAAGATTCCAGTAACGAGACTGCGGCCCCATCAGAAACCGCTAGTGATGCCGTTGTAGGCGAGGAGCAGCAGAAAATCCAGGAGTTGCAGGAGAAACTAGCGGCCAAGGACAAGGAAACTGCAGAATACAAGGACAGATTGCTAAGGTCGGTTGCTGATTTCAGAAACCTACAGGAGGTGACCAAAAAAGATGTTCAAAAGGCCAAGGACTTTGCGCTGCAGAAGTTTGCCAAGGATCTTCTGGACTCAGTGGATAATTTCGGACACGCTTTGAACGCTTTCAAGCCGGAGACCCTCAAGGAGTCCAACGAAATCGCTGAGCTTTACACTGGTGTGAAAATGACCCGTGATGTGTTCGAAAAGACACTCAAGAAGCACGGTATCGAGAAACTCGACCCGCTAGGTGAGAATTTCGACCCCAACAAGCACGAAGCCACTTTCGAACTTCCTGACCCCAAGAAGGAACCCGGCACCGTTTTCCACGTTCAGCAGGTCGGTTTCACCCTCAACAGCAGAGTGATCAGACCTGCCAAGGTTGGCATCGTGAAAGACCCTTCCAACTGAATGACTGAGCGAAGACACAACGATGAACAGAAAATAAATCAAAAAAAGTGACGCTTGTTTTTTAATGACCCACAGGCCTCGTGTCTAGTATGCATTATCTTGTATATATATAAATAGAAAGTATATCGAAGACCATCTTGTACTTAATCTCTTTCTCGTTTTCCTTGCATGTCCAGCGTCAGCGTCAGCGTTTTCAGCATTATTATTACAATACAGTGATCAAAGCCATACTAAATTCAAAATTTAAACCTACCTCGAAAAGGATCAAATACAACACTCGTTAGAGGCTCCTGCAAACTTAAAGTTACCGTCTAACAATATTGGCAACTAAATTCCGCCTTTAGCGCTTCAAGCTTTCTCACGATCGTCAATTTCAGCCAGCGTCACATACGTGGAGAGTGATATTTCTCGAGGAATTCTGAAACCAGGAACAGTAAACAAAAGAGTTGTTGATCTTTCGCACACGGTTTGAAAGCAGGCAAAATACCGTCAAGAGACACATTCTGGCCCTTAAAGTCTACATTATATAGCGTGGGCCTTTAGCTAGGCAAGAATAGCGCGAAGCAGCGGCTGTTTTAGCGTTCAGGACTGTGCTAGAAGAGTCGTTTCAGGCCGTTTGGCACATACAATAAGAAAACATCGATATCTGAGCTGGAAGTCAGGTTTTTCGGCAATAGGACAATCTGAGCATTTTAATAAGGCGTAGCCGGGAAGCTAGCATTACTCCTCAAAAAACAAACAAGCGATGACCTCTGTACCGCAAAGACACACCTACTACGGTGCACCTTCATCGGTGTACACACAGTCCCGTCATCTCTCTGCATTTGACACCAGCACAAAACGCAAGCATGTCACATTTGGCCCATATATCGTGGGATCTACATTGGGGGAAGGTGAGTTCGGGAAAGTGAAAATGGGGTGGTCCAAACACCCGGCATCGTCTTTGGACGTTCCAAAACAGGTGGCCATCAAGCTGGTGAGAAGAGACACGATCCCAAAGAACTCCGAAAAAGAGGTCAAAATTTACCGCGAGATAAACGCCTTGAAGCATCTGACCCATCCAAACATCGTGAAGCTCGAAGAAGTACTGCAAAACTCGAAATATATCGGCATCGTGCTGGAGTATGCATCAGGTGGAGAGTTTTATAAGTACATCCAGAAAAAAAGAAGACTCAAGGAAAGCGTGGCGTGCAGGCTTTTTGCCCAGCTTATCAGTGGTGTGTGCTACATGCACTCCAAGGGCTTGGTGCATCGTGATCTGAAACTAGAAAACTTGCTTCTGGATAAACAAGAAAATTTGTTGATCACAGACTTCGGTTTTGTTAACGAATTCAGTCCCGAAGATGAGCTAATGAAAACATCTTGCGGGTCTCCCTGTTACGCTGCTCCGGAGCTTGTGGTTACAACATGGCCATATCAGGCCCGGAAGGCAGATATATGGTCCTGTGGTGTGATCTTATATGCAATGCTTGCAGGATATTTGCCCTGGGATGACGATTCCGAAAATCCTGATGGTGATGACATTGGAAAACTTTATCGATACATTACAAAAACACCACTCAAATTTCCAGACTACATTAGTCCTGTGCCCAGAGACCTTTTGAGAGAAACTTTGCTTCCGGATCCTAAAAAGAGGTTTAGTACGTCCCAGATTCTACAACACAGATGGTTGCGACCTCATCAAGCGTTTTTGAGCGTCTTGCCCGCGGAATGGGATCAAGTGTCTAAAAATCAAGATATTTTGAGAAGGCCGCCTCCGAAGAGGGATGGTGCAAATGATTCACGGCCACGTTCCAATTGCTCGGTATCATCGTCGAATTCCAAAAATGAAAAGCGCAACTCACTAATCATGGACTCAACGCTGTATTCACATCCAGTACCGCCCCAACAATCACAGTCGCATGCCGTTGCGACGCCATCTTCTCCTTCGCCGAGAATGCGTCAGTCGCCGATCAAGATAAGCCGTCACAGCCGCAGCAATTCTGCGGCTTCGGTTGCACTGCAAGCTGTCGTCGATGCTGAGAAGGAATACCATGCCACGCACTCTAATCCACCCAGTTCGGCGTCACTGTCAGCACTTCAGTCAGAGAATCCGCCCTTTAGCTCTCAGAGCACGTCCCCTCGTCTTCACTCTCATGCTCCGAGGAAACAAAGTCATGCCACTGTTTCTTCCTTAAAGGATAGCATAATAATTGAGACCAGCCCTCTTAAGGGATCATCGTCTCATGTTCTTTCACCTTTACAGATCGATCCGAATACTGGTCTCATTCTTTCAACCAAACCAGAAGGCCCTGTAATTCCTCTCACGCATACAAGTCATAAGGCATCTCACGCTGCGTCTAATAATACCACCCATAATCTGTCAGCTCATAGACGACCCCGACCAACCTCCTATCATCCGACATCCTACACTGCATTCAACGACACTTCTTATCCAATACCTGCATTGACTGTTCCGGAACTTCATCAAAGTGATGAGAAGATATCAGTGGAAAACCAACAATCATTGGATAAGACACCCCAGCATACTTTACAGAAAGATTCACATCGACTGAGCCAAACATTTTTGGATACACAAATAGTTGCTGGCGATCTGATCAAAACGGGCGACGATGGCGCCACGGCTGCCAAGAAGATCCATGATCAGGTGGAACATGCAGATCATAAAATAGATCTCATGAGACATAGAAGGCAAAGTCAAAGGTATAGTGTCGTCTACGATAAATTGTTCGGTGCTGTTCCTGAACAGTGTGAAGTGCTGACAGATGAAGAAACTGTTTTGACAGAACCTAGTACTCCCTTAGTGCGTGAGATGAAAGTAAGCCAAGAGCCAACTAAGGGAAACAAAAAAAGATTCAGCATACTATCGGCTTACTCGTCATACAATACATCGAAGACCAGCATAGAGTCGGATAATGGGAAGGAGAAATCCAAAGCTACGAAAAAGAGTGGGGCTGGGCTCGAAGGGCGGTCAACAAAAACGAGCTCAAGAAGTAGTTCCGCGACTCAGGATGTAAAGGGCAACCGGGGAGACAGTAAAGAAATTTCTAAGCCGGACATGCAAGCACCAACAGACAAGGAGAGCAGGAAAACTGTTGTTTCATACAAGACGGGTTCGAAGCCGGAGCAAATTGAAAGCCAAGGACAACAATCCGTTACTCCACAGGCCGTTAAACGAAGCTCATCTCTGCGCAAGACGAGCAAGAACTCGACAAGAACGAATCGTGGGTCAGTGATGATCTCGTCACTATCGAGACTCGGAAGCTCGACAGACGACAGCCGGAATGGGAACGTGGAAGCTAGACCCCGCGAGCAGTCGACTGCCAAGAAGGTCATTGATTTTTTCAAGCGCAGAAGCATGCGCCTTTAGTTAACATTTTTTAATTTGTCTTAACTGCAATGGATTGCACAATGCATAGATAACATATCAATTCTAACATAGACAAGAGAACAACAGCATCGTAATGTCTGGTCATCTTCAAACAGCCGCGCTGAAAAAAGCACATTGACACTGACGCTGACACTGGCAGTGGCTCAGAAACATATACAGACATGCCCAAAACTTAAAATATTCCCTTCTTAGGCTTGCGTTATAAAAGCGTATGGGTACTTATACAGAGTGGCTTTGTGTCGATTAATGAAGTGGTATCAACATTTAGATGTTCGATGGGTACAAGAAGATTCTGACGGAAGCACCGAAAGTCTTGGCTGGCAAGTTAGATCTGAAAGTAGCTCTGACAACACCGGAGTTACCGTGAGTTCTGTTGATCTTACCCCAGATGACTCTGATCTTAGAGCCTCTGATCTCCTTGGAAGCCTTGTAGACGTAGGCGACACGCTTACCCAAGTAGAACTTAGCGTCTTCTGGGTTGGCAACGCCCTCGATCTTGACCAACGACACGTTAGGGTTGTTGGTCTTCTTGGATCTTTGGTAGGACAAGTGCTTACCTTTGACGTACACTGTAGGATGGATCGTTAGTAGTTGTTTGGGGGTAATTAGAAATGTGCTGAAGACAGTAGTTGGCTGGCCGCGAATGTTTAGAGCATGGCGTTTTGACGAAATAAGGCTTGAATGAGAGAGAGAGGAGGTTTGAAAATTCAATATCGGATTAGAAACATGTCTAATTGGAAACAATCTGGAAACAATCTGGAAACATTTTTAAAGATATGGTAATGAAACCATTTGGAGTGACCTGAGAGGCCTGAGAGACATGTTTCTCAGGTGGCGCATCAGTCTACACTACCATAATACAGGTAATCCAACTCCTTCTCAATTTCATTACTTTCTTCGCGATCACCGTATTTGTCCGTCGGTGCGTAACCAAAGTCTCTATATTTCGCCAAACTCGTCTGCTCGAGATCCAGAACCTGTACTAGCTTTCAGCGCGGTCCGCTGGTGTGTTTCACATACATCTATGGGATTCGGCCATTGTGTTTGATAGTCTTTGTTGAGTCCTTCTAGCTAGCAGTGGGAAAAGCCCTATTCAATTATTAGACCTGTTTCAATGTACTAATTTTGTCAAAGTTTCGTGAAGCTGGCAATCCCGTCCAGTTCGTGATGCAGAGGCCTCCCTCTGGAAGGTGCGTGCTCCGGGCTAGCAGGAGCACCTTTCCCAGAGCCAGGCTGAAGTCTAGGCAGGAAACGATACTGAGCCATAAGGATTTAGAAGGAGCGTAGAAGGAGCGTAGAAGGACGCTCTGTCCAGAACTCTAGAGGTCCAATTGTGCTGAAATAGAGACTCTTTTTTTTCTACTTTTTAGAAAATAAATTTATTCGTACTAAGAAACATTACAAATCAAAAATGGTGTGTGGGTGCAAGATTTATAGCAGTCACAGGCCAGGCCAGGATTTCGGCAAATTTTGGAAATAGAATCGATACGTCAATGCAATGAGTACCGGATATATATGCTGTCATTGAGGTTAAGAGACACACGGATGTGGAATTCAATGTTGTTTTTTAATTAGATATTGGCGCTCTCGGCTACTCTGTATTGACAGCTTTTCGCTGTCAGATCGTGTACCTGAATTCAAATGTAAATGTAAATGTAAATGTAAATATATCTGATTCACCAGTAACGTAAAGTTAGTACATTCACACACTGTTCGCACACTACGCACACACTATTCGTACACTACTCTCTCACTATCCTTCAAGCCCTTAGTAAAAACAAAAAAGTGGGTCAATTCCATGATGCCCTCCATCTTCAACTACTACTGCCCTTAACGATCGTAGTATATCAGGTGATCAATATTACCCGCCCAACATATAGCCCTAACCTGTTACCCTCCTACAGCCGCTCGCGTCCACTTTCCGTATTCAGACAAGAAGAACCCTAGCCTCTATCCAGTGATTACCCGGCCCAGATCCAAAATGTCTAAATGAAAAACTATATAAAGAGACCTCATCTGTTAGATATCTTCCAAACTTCTATCCTTTGTATTTTTCTTAAAAAATTGTCGACGTACTTCAGTATGCATTTTACCCTATACTAGGGGTTGCCACACTTGGCTCCCTATCAAATCCCATTCCAAAGCTCATCCGCCACTAACACCTTCAACAGTAGGATCATTTCTATAGGAATCGTCACTCTTTGACTCTTCAAAAGAGCCACTGAATCCAACTTGGTTGATGAGCCTCAGAGCCTTTGTACCCCAGAGTGAGACCGAAGATGTTTACCTAGCTTGGTCCACAATCCTTAGCGGTTTGGCCATCTACTCACATTCTTTGTTTTGCCTATTGCATTGCAGCTGAATGTCCCACTTCGGTGAGCATTCTTCTGTGCTTAAATAGGCGCGATGATCTTGGCCCAGGCTGTGCACTTCTTCGTGAAGGGACAGCCATACTGGGTGGGTACGGACGGCAGTCTGACAAGTTTTATTTTTTTTTTCCTACTTGGTCACCCAAAGGTTTGGGTGGCGGAATAGAATTGAAGAAAATGAATTTCTCAACATAGCAAGAGTAAGTACTCACTGATGGATACTAGGATTCGATTCCTAGTGAGATGTATCGGAGTTTTTTGAATTTTAGCTTTCGTATCGTCATGTATTTGTACATCTTCATAAACCATTCCTTGTTCATTAGACTTACGCATTTGCACACCTACATCATTCATTCCTTATCTATTAAACTTACGCATTCTTTACACAACAGAAGTTGATCAACATTCATTTTGTTCGGCCCTCCATCGCTTGCTATGGTCAAATAGAACGGTTTCCCACTCTTCTTCGCACATAGCTTAGAGATTCGTACCGCTGTCTCTCGCACTGTGTCGTCGGTTGTGTCGGTCAGAACTGTTGACAGCACGTCAGTGGAGGTGGGCACAGCATAGACGTAACACAACAAGCTCTGGTTTGCTGGATTCGCAGCTGTAGAAATCACCATTGAAATTGGCGACTTTGAAGTATTGACATCGCTTTCGGGTTGGGCCAACAAAACGTGAATTGGTGAGCCCAAAGGGTTTTCGATTGTACGTTGTACTGTCTTGACCATCACGATAAGACAAGTGTAGAGAACCACAACGTAACTGCAAGAAGAATATGTTTCCTAAGGGTCTCTGATGAGATAGTTGTCCTGTAGCTTCTCTGTCACATCGAGTATTTTTCAATATTTGTCACGTGGCACATATCACTATTTCAATAAGTGACAATATCTGTCTCGAATGATGCGTATAGCAGTTTTTGCAGCTTCAACGCAAGTATAAAACTGAATTCTGTTCGCAATGCTTGAGTTATTCAAGTTCGAGTGGGTTTCCTCTAATTCCTGGACATTTTTGCTGCATTTGGTGATATATATTTTGTAAATCGACTCAGACATTTTGAGTCGAGTATAGCGATTTCACGTTAGGATTAGGGCATGTGAACGCTAATTAGTCTTCTCGGTTAGTTCATGTGGTCAATCTCTTTACCAACTTTTCTCTTACAAGTGTTTTCGTCTCAAATTTCGACCCCATTACGCATCAGATTACAATAGTCGAAGAACCACATGCTATACAAAGCTATTGGAAGCCATAATGCTAATCGAATAACTGTGCTAGCGGTTATATCTAGCGGAACACTTTACCTAGTAGCGGCAAAGTCACTTCGCACGTATATGTCGTCCTATTCTATCTAATATAGCCTGTATATTGAACATTTAGCACATCCAAGACCAAAGAGCTGTAGATCAACCTTGCATTGCAGTTCCAAAGTCACTCCAATATGGCACCCAAACCGTCTATCATATCAATCGTAGCATGTCTTATGCCCGAAATGGGCATTGGCTCCAACGGACAACTACCTTGGAGATTGAAGCAAGAAATGGCATATTTCAGACAGGCGACTACGAATACATTTGGTAAGGACACACGAAACGCGGTGGTTATGGGCAGAAAAACCTGGGAATCTATTCCGGCCAAGTTCAGACCACTTCAAAACCGTATCAATGTGGTTGTTTCGCGTCAACACTCAGAAGAATTGGCGCCGTTGGCACCGTTAGATTCTACGGGCTCAACAGTATGGCTCAGTAATTCGCTAACGCGGTGTCTAGAGCTCCTGCCCGAGCAAGTTCCTAATTTGGAACGTATTTATGTCATTGGTGGTGGCGAAATATATGCCCAGACCAGCAGCTTGTGCGATTACATGCTCATAACAGAAATCCGACCAGAAGATGAGGCCAAGCGACCTTCTATGGATACGTTTTTGGACTCAAATGTGGTGAATGAAAGATTTCAACGTGAGGAAAGTCTTCGCGGGTTTTTTCCTGCCAATGTGAAACTACCAGAAAGCCCACAGATACGAGAAAATGGCTACGTCTACGAGTTTGCTCTTTACAAAGTGCGCAAAGCCAAGGATCAGTGAAGGTGGAGAGGTGGTGGTTCGTATGTCGAAACAAGCATCAGACTTGAATTTGTGGCCAGAAAAGATCGGGCTTAGAGCTTATCTCCCAGAAAAGCGACTCTATAACAGTGTGGCAATCAATGTGATATCATGTTGAGCATTCAGTATGAGCAATGGGCCTTAAGGCGAAAATGCGTGCAAAGTTTTGAGTTAGGTAAATACTGGGAGCCTTGCAATGGAACGGCGACATAGAAACACGTTTATTTTCAGAACGCTGCCAGATGACGCTGCCAGATGACGCACCCAGATGACTCTTTTTCTTTAAAGATACGCATGGACAGCTCAAGCAACTGTATATCCCACCATGTATGTTGCATCTCTTAGATATGACGATGTGATGTCAAGAACACTGCATTGGGTTCCATTAGGGCCCTCTCAATTCGAGATGCAATTATAAAGAAAGCAAGAAAGCATTTCTAAAAATTAATCAGCTAACAAGACACAATTCCAAGGTTCTACTCAAGTCAGACAATTGATCTTAAAAGCCCTCTTTCCACCTTCTTTACCATTCCAACTTGCACTGTCATCGCTTATTATACGGAAACGACAGTGACACTACTTCTTATATCTTGCCATGTTCGTCAAAAGCGATTTGCTCGGTTAATAATCCCGCTGGTGAAAGAAACCATGGCTTTCTGACCAAGAAGTTGAATTTAAACATCAGAGAACACTGTTTGAAGTGGGTCCAACCGAGTCCATCGCTAGTTTTAGAGACTGTACACGACAGCCAGTACCACCAGTAAATTTTTCAGCGTCGAAAAAACGAGCATTTTGGGTGCATTTTCAAAGGAGTTAGGGGATCAGTTGTGTAGTTTAGTCCATCTTAATGTCGAAATACGCCAATTCCTCCTCATGGACTTCATTCTTGAAGTCGATTGGCTCGTTCAATGGTGATCTGTCGACTTTGACGGCACCTCCATTCATTTTGTCGCCAACTTCGCTGTCCGAATACTCGCAGTACTGGGGGGAACATCCAGACCTTTTCTTGGGTCCAAATTTCATTACTGAGTGCGACCAAGATGGTACAAGTGTTGAACATCTCAGAATGCTGGCTGTGGTGAAATGGTTCATTTCAACGCTCAAGTCACAATACTGTTCGCGCAATGAAGCAATGGGCACTGAAAAAAAGCCTCTCAACCCATTTTTGGGTGAAGTTTTCGTGGGCAAGTGGGAAAACAAGGAGCACCCAGATTTCGGTGAAACAGTGTTGCTGAGTGAACAAGTCTCCCACCATCCTCCTGTGACTGCATACAGCATTTTCAATGATCAGAACAAGACATCTTTGCAGGGCTATAACCAGGTCAAGGCCTCAATCTCCACAGCTTCTTTGAGCGTTAAGCAATTTGGCCATGCACTTTTGGAGTATGAGAACTTAAACGAGCAATACCTCGTCACACTACCTCCATTACACATTGAGGGGATGCTCGTGGCTAATCCATATGTCGAGTTAGAGGGCAAATCATATATCCAGAGTTCGTCTGGGCTTTTGTGTGTGGTTGAGTTTTCGGGCAAGGGCTACTTTTCGGGCAAGAAAAACACCTTCAAAGCACGCATTTTCCAAAACTCTTCCGATGCTACCGACAAGGAGAAAGCTTTGTACACGATCACAGGTCAGTGGTCGGGCCAATCGACCATAAGCAAGGGAAAGTCCAAGAAGGGCGAGGAATTGTTCTACGATGCTTCCAAACTGAAGGTTGAGCACCTTAAAGTCAAGCCAGTTGAGGAACAGCATGAATTTGAGAGTAGAAGAGCTTGGACGAGCGTTGCAGAGGCCATCAAATCAGGCGATTTTAATCAAATCCACGAGGAAAAATCTTCGTTGGAAAATGCTCAGCGTGAGCTGCGGAAGAAGGAACTGGCCAACGATGTTAAATGGCAAAGACGCTGGTTCACAGACGAAGACTACTCCACAGGTGTCGACGATGCGTTCGTCAAGCTGGCTGCGAATCTAAATCTGTCTACCAAGAATGTGCCTAGCGGGGCATTTGCGGGCGATAAGGACGACAAAAAAGCAACGTCTGCGCTGCACTGGCGGTTCAAGCGGGAACTTTGGGACGCTGAGAAGGAAATCAAGGTGTAGTAGACACAATTTATTTCTGCGAACAGTTGATTAATTGATATGAACCTTCAAGAAAGTTGCCGATCAAGTTCTCTTTTTGTTTTTTTCTTTTTCTCTTAAGTTCTAATTCTTGGGAGCACCATTTGGACAAGACGAAATGCCGACCTGAGTCCTATCAAACCTGATTTCTTTCATCAAAGACCTTTAAGTACCATATATCATGATTGAACAGCGACATCAATTCTATAGAGTGACTGTGTTAAAGGAACTATCAAGAAAATGTGTCAGTTCTGAAGAAAGTGATCACGATGACCTCTCGTGAAAGGGGACAACCTGAAAAATTTGAAAAGGCGATGAGATGCGCGATGAGCAGCTGAACTCAGCGATGAGCTATAGTTTTCATAGCCTAGGGAACAACCATCAAGCTCGAGTTAGACCTCTTCAACATCCAGTGGAAAATGGCCAGCGAACAAGTAAGACCCTCTCAATACAAGCAGTCTTCTCGCAAGGGCAAAAAGGCGTGGAGAAAAAACATTGACATTTCCGACATTGAAAAGTCTATTCAGCTACGAAACGATGAGGAAATCACGCATGGATCTAAGGACTTGTCAACTCTGGCAAACAGAGACCTGTTTCAGGTTGATACGGAAGGTGATGAAGAACTGAAGCGTAAACTGATCAAACGCAAACAGATCAAGAAAAATCTGAAATCAACAGAAATCCTAGAGTCGATTCAGACGAGATCAAAAGTCCCAGCGCTTTCACACCCAAAGACTGGCTCCAAACAGGCACAAAAAAATGACAAAATTCAAGGTGTGTCCAAAAAAGAGTTGAAACGGTTGATGGCTTTGGCTGGAAGAATCGACGGTGAGAGTAAGCTTAAAAATGCAGTCGACAGGAGGGGTGTTGTGAGAGCAGGCGGTGACAACGATTTATGGGGTGCCGAGGAAGAAATAAAGCTGCCATCTGGTGTCAAGCTGTCTTTAAAACAAGGCCAAAAGATTCCTGAAGAGTTGAAAACGATGTCTACCACGGGTTGGTCTAAGCCGACAGTGGCTCCGGATACAATAACCAGAGCTCCTGTTCTAGTCAAGTCTTTCGAACAGACCCCACACGCAGGTAAATCCTACAACCCTAGTAATTCGAGCTGGTCTCAACTGATAGAAACCGAGTACGAGGGAGAAAGGGCCAAAGAGGAAATTAGGCTACAATTGGAAGCCTATAAAGCCAGGATCAGTCATCTTATCGAAACTTTGGACAACGACGAAGAGGAAGAAGATTCCGATGATGCTGAAAAGTCTGATGAGGGAGAAGACGTCGAGAAGGATGCTCAAGATGACAGCGGGCTGAAACTTTCGCTGAACAAGCCTGTAGTCAACAAAAAGAAGACCAAGTACCAGAGAAACAAAGAACTCAGACACAAGCAGAAAATGGAGGCACAGGCTGAACTAAAGCAACTCAAGGTACAGTTGCGTGAGCTGGAACGTTTTGAGGAACTACAAAAAGCCGTTGAGGAAGCCGATGCGGTTCGCGGTGAAAAGACTGCGAACAGAGTAGGGAAGCCTTCGAAAGCAAACAAAAAGAACAAACTCGGTACGAAACATTCCGTATTGGATAACAACCTCGAGGTCAAGTTTTCCGATGAGCTCTCTGATTCTTTGCGGAAGCTAAGGCCCGAGGGAAACTTACTTTACGACACGCTTCGGAAATTGCAAGGGTCCGGTAAAATTGAAACCCGTATACCTGTCAAAAAGGGAAGGAGGTACTCACCAAAGGTTACTGAAAAGTGGACCTACAAAGATCTCAAATGAACCGGGAGGAAAATTCTCTCCATTCAGCATTTTTATTCTGTATACTAGTAATAATTTGGGGTTCGTGATAACATTCCACCGTAGTATTAGATGTTTCTTCAAATAAAGCCTTCTCTCCTTCGAATGCCACTGCGATAGAGAAGATCTTCCAACGGCTCAGTGTGCCGTTCTTGACGAGTGTGTGTCGTTTGTATCACATGCTAGTTCGAGTATTGAAAACTGTTTAATGAACGAACGATAGAACTTGAGCCACTATCAAATCATCATCGAAAGTCATCAAGTTACAAAGGAATCGAGATAGACTCTTATGGTGAAGTCACATCTCATTATTGTGCCATGTCATTCAATTTGGAAGATTGACGATGGTTCAGAGCCCGATAATTACGGTCAATCCTCCAGCCATTGGTTTCTGGAATCGTTCCAGCACGAGGGCCGTGACCATCTCTCCTTCATGATGCACTCACTATTGGCAATCGAGGAGTTGCTGAACGACACAGAGCATTCATTATTGCTTTACAGCGGTTCTTGCACGAAGAAGGACGCCGGAAATGTTTCTGAGGCTCGATCTTACTTCTTGCACGCCCGCAAGCTACTGAAGGCAGTCTCATACGGATTCGGTCTCCCAGCAGCTTTAACAAGCCATAAAGGTATCTCAAAGTGTTGCAAGTCAATTAACCAGAAAATGACAAACCAGAATTTGACCGTGGAAGAGCTGTTTGCAAAGCACGTTGGAACCGAAGAATTTGCTCTGGATTCGCTGGACAACTTATTGTATTCGTTGGTGAAATTCAAAGATTCAACATCAAGTGATGCATCGAAGGTGACCATATCTGGTTTTGGTTTCAAAAAAAGACGCTTTCTCGAGCTGCACGCAGTTGCAATTGACTACCCAGCCGAACAAATCAAGTATATCTCATACGAGCCTCAACCAATTTCTATTCGCGAGGAAGACTTGCAAACTTACACGCAAGATCTTGAGTATCAGGAGATGAAAAACGCGCTTGTGCCTTTCAAAGCAGATTGGTACGCCTTGAGAGATCCTTTACTACAGAAAAAACAGCAGCGCAACGTTTTCGGTTTGAAGCCCACTTACAAATTGCCTTTTGATGAAGCCGGCAATGATGGTGATGACTATGCCTTCTTTAAAAACAATATTCAGAACAAGATGCCTTGGTCTGCAAACACTTAAATATAAGCGAGTTTCCGACTAAGCGCGGTGCGCTCCTGTTCCCACAAATTGACATTTTCAAGTTTTTCTTGCAAAGTCTCAATTTCTTTGTCAATAGACGTAATAGCTTCATCTGTACCCAAATCTTGCAGGCGCCAGGTCTCGTCTCCTTCAATATCAAGTGCAAGATCGTGATACTTAATCAACGAGGGGCGCTGTGAGATGGTGATAAAATTGAAACGGTACCTTTTCAGCAAATTGAAAAGGTAGTCTTCCATGTCAGAGCTAATCGCATTTGTCGCCTCGTCAAGCACCACAAATCTCGGTTTGTGGAACATGATTCGCGCGAAATTCATACGCTGCCGCTCGCCACCGCTTAAGACGTCTTTCCACTCCGCGACCGCATCTAGGTATTGCCACCCTTTTCCTCTTTTGAGAAGGTAATCCAGCTTGACTTCACCTAAGATGTGAACAAGCTCCTTGTCTTTATGTCCTGCGTCATAGAAAGTGTCTGCAGACATGGGATATATGATCTGATCCCGGAAAGTTCCGCCTTGTATAAAATAAGCCCTTTGAGGTACACAGAATAGATCGGCTGCACCTGGGACAGACAATAAGCCGTTCTTATTGTAAATGGGCCAAATTTCAGCAATTATGCGCTGAATGGAGGTTTTACCGCTTCCGTTGGGTCCCAGTATCAACATGCTGCTGCCAGGACCTTGGGGCATCAACTTTTGACTTAGGTTAATTTGAGAGTCAGAATTTGCACTGTCCAGAAGTGGAACTGGTGGGATTTGAAATCTCAACTTGTTGATTAGTTTTGTACCTTCCTTACCGTACCTTGAAGGGATGATAACGTCAATGTTTTCAAAACGTATTCCATTAAATCCTTTTTGTACTGTTCCCCTAACGGCTTCAGTACTGAAAGAAGAATCTTCGTCTACTTTCAAATCTAAGTCGTCGATTGCAGCACCGTAATTGAAATCTGTCGAGTGCACCCTGTGCAAAACAGCGAGCAATGTGAAAATCCTGTTCGTGTATCCAGTAAGCTGTGCAATGTCTTTGATAGAATGCATGAGTCTGCTTCCAGCATCGGCCAAAGATAGCATGAGGCGTTTATTTACGATGAACTCGCGCATATTGATCTCCTCATTGTTGATGCCGGTACTGTATGTTGTTACAACGATTGGAATTGAGGCAAAGACATACCCTAGCGCTGACCAAGTGTATTTGAGGACATAATCTTCGAGTATGTTGTAATTGATTTTCACGCGGTCCACCAACAACATTTGTTCCATCAAATAATCGTACAGTGCATTGACTTTGGTCCGCTCGACCTTGGTACCATGATAGAACGCGATTTCTTCAGTGTTATTGATCAAGTTCAAGTGGTAGTTATAATAATCTCCTTCTGCCGCGGAACGTTTACTCACCAACTTACCCAGGGGAGGCGTCCAGCGTTTCAAAATGTAGCCAGTGATGAAATAATTGACAAAAATCCCCACGATACCAAAAGTTCCGAGATTATCCCTCAAGTATACGGAGAAAAAGACCAAGTCGATAACGGGTTTGGCTATGTTAGCGAACACTGAACAGATTGCGTCACAAAACTTTGTGACGTCATTGGTAATAGAATTATCTATATTCGCAATAACGGAGCTGGATGCTTGATTATCGAATGCCAGCTTGTAAAATGACAGTCTTTTGTCCAAATACATGTCGTGGATGTAGCGTGTCAAATTGATCCTAAAATTCAGACTCAACTTGCGTTGCAAAAATTTGATTGCACTATTGGTGTAGGATGCGGGGAATGCAATGAGAAACCAGCACAGAAGATCGACCAAAAATTTCCTACCCTTCCCAGATATAATGTCCTTGACGATCTGACCATCTAAGCGTGCTACGAACAGCGATAACCATGTTCTCATCACCAGGAAAAAAATCTGGAAAGCTAGCAAAAACGAGTTTCGATCCGTAAATGTGGGAACCAAAATGCGGTATATGATACTCAGCTGGCTGAGAAATTTCGAGTAGAATAGCTGGGAGGGTTTATTTTTGCCCAAATACTTGAATAGGAATTTATCGTGCTCGTAACGATCGTCGTTTTTGGGCCTGATGAACACCCGCTTTTTATTGTCTGCATTTTCATCGTACGGTACATACATCACCCGTGCGCCGTTGGCCAACATTACTTGCGATCTAGTGCGTCTCATGACCGGCTTCCGGCCAAAAGCGCCTGTTCGAATATTTGCCAGCAGTTTATAAACCCCGTAGCATATTCCAGACCCTGCTGTGGCCGCTGAAAACGCCAAAGTGATCAAAATGATCTGCGCTCTTTTACGGTGTGTTACAGCGGAATTTGGGTTGCGAATGAGCTGCCAAAGATGCCTCAATACCGTTTTCGCCAGTCTCGAGCTGCTGATGCCGCTCAAATCTAATCCCAGACATTCATGTGGCAGTCTCAGGAGTAAACGTTTTAGTTTCTCTGCTGAAAGTGACGTTTCTGCCATCGGTGCTTTAAGCTATAATTTTGACACGCCAAAGGTGAGTACAATTGTATCTGTGCGCAATGTCAAGGATCTGGTGAGAAAGAATGATGACCAAGACACCAGTTTTGGATAAATATCTGTCCGTTATATACTCAATGGTTTCAAGAGGTTTCAATTCAAGGGTCGATGACCTGTCATCACTATTTCGTGACGCTACCTTATAAATTTGGAGTAAGCCCCGAGATCACGCGACATTCACGTGAATTTTTGAAAGATTAGGTTTTTGTGAACTTCGTGATGCTGGAGAGTAATACTGGAGTATATAAGTTATCAAAGTATGTGTCTATATCATTACACATTGATCTGCTCTACGTGGAGGTTCAGATCAGTTGTAAATGGGTGAATTATTTTCGTAACTGTTGACGAGTGTGTCAAACAAGTGTCAAACAAGTGTCATGAAAATACAAAATGATGAAAATTCGCTGGGGGAAGGTATAGAACTCCAGTGAGAGAGAGAAGGCTTTGCATTAGACGTCGAGATCTTGAACCAATTCATCGAAGCTTGTCCAGTTCAATAATTTGGCGCAAACACTTTATAACCACACAATTTAGTTGTGTGTAACTTTTGGAAGAGTTTGTGAGTGTATCAAATGAGAATAATAACCTATTGCACCAGTATAGTATTCCGAAGAATTAACGGTGTCTAGACTGCTCAAATTACGACATAAATTCACCAGTGAAAAATACCAACTAGGTTATGAAACCTCGAAGGACCGTAAGCGATTCCAACGGGAAGCTTTTTACCAGATCAGAGATCGCTACTTACTGAAAAAATTGCAATCATGGAATTGGTGTGTTTTGTTACCACAACCGTTCCTCACCCTTAGTGATGTTTTCATTTTTTATGTGAGTTAGTTTTCTTGTTTATGCAGCTGGTAAATGTGAATTTCACATCCGAATATAGTGTCCAGAGAATCATCTTCAAGTTCAAGTAGACGGTGTGTAGCTTTATCAAGGTAAAAATCTATCTTCTCGTGCTCTAATGACTGTATTGAGAGGACCTGCCAGGTCGGGCAAATTATGCCATTCTATACATTTCTCGGAATCATGTCACCATCAATGGATGTGGTAGGTTTTCACTAGGATGGAGGTGAAAGTGGCAGAACTACTGTCGAAATACCAAGGTAGATGACGCTGCTCAGTGCTTTTGGCTCCATGTTCCTTAGAGAACAGTAACTTGTAGTTTTCCAGATTTCTTGATCACTTCAGTAAAATTCTGTCGCTGTCATCACATCACGTGCACTCAATCATGTTGTAGCGAATTTGACGTTAGCTATTAAAAGAGTATCTGAACCCAACGTTCTTCGAAGAAGTAGTCCACAAAGACAAGATCCAGACCCTATACTCCTCGTTGGGATTGAAATTAGTGAGAGTAAAACACCATAATCGCGGTTCAATGTCCATGACAGCAATTAATTCGTATCATAGTCACGTGACTGAACTGAACATGACAGAATCGAATATTGTACGTGATATTATCGTGCCACTTAGCGTTGAGAGCCTTTGGCGTTATGTGAATCAACTTTCAATAATTCAGATAGCTGTTTCAAGTGCGTTTAAAGGTGTAAAGCTCCTAGTTTCAGTACATTTTCTCTCAATAATAGCACATACCCGAATTTTCTCGCTTGCCCATACCACGAAGTAAAAGTCATCACGAAAACTCACAACGTCTTCCTTGGAAGCAGTATGGGATTAATGTAGCTTCACTTACCATAAGAAAGCCAATTTATATATTAATCACCGGTGAGACAACTGTGTGAATTTTTTTTAGCGTCAATGAATATCTACAATGTTAACAACAGCGTTGGAATTCTTCACGAGGGCGTTCTTCACAGCGGGCGAATAAAGCTCAAGAAAATAGTGAAAAGAAAGTCCATCAGCCTGACACACCTCTATGTGGAATATTTCACCTCTCGCCTGTAAGCAATCCGATTATACCTAATCTTTCTCGATGAACATTACTCAATGACTTACGAGTATTGACAAATAATTTCAATGTCTTGCTGCGGGGATCGAATTCAACTTGGACACCACCGTCGATGGCACATTCTGGTCTCCGGACATCGAAGCATGTAGTAGCTCTAATAAATGTATCGTACAAGATCACAACCCTAGATAACGACTTCTCGAGCTATAACTTCTCGACAAAAGAGAATCATGTTGTAACCCTTTAAAGTCCTTCTGTTGAGCTCTACTAACGTGGAAGGAACAGGTATTTTAGCCGTCACTATATCCATTTCCCGTTTCATAGACAGATTCAACTTTCAACGATGTCATTCCCAGGTGTGCTACACAGCTACAAATCAGATCAAGTAGCTTTCGAATTTACTCCCACGTCATTGAGCAAAGTGATTATTTTCATCGGAGGTCTGGGCAATGGACTCTTCGGTGTGTCTTACATTCAAAATGTGGTAAAAGAACTAGGTCCGTTGGGATGGTCTGTGATACAGATTCAGATGACCAGCAGCGGTAAGGGATGGGGACTTTCCTCGCTCCACAAAGACATTGAGGAGATCAAGGATCTCGTAGAATACTTGAAAAGTCCTTCAGGGGGATCTAGAGATAAAATTGTACTTTTTGGTCATTCTACTGGCTCTCAGGACACCATACACTACCTTTTGAATCACGGCAATACCGTCGATGGTGGCATCATGCAGGGGTCTGCATCTGACAGAGAAGGCTTTAGTCGAATTGTAGAGAAACAAAAATGGGACAGAATGAACGCTCAAGCCAGAGAAATGGTAGAAAAGGGACAGCAGAATGATCTTTTGCCCTCCGAATTTGCTGAAGTCATGTTCAACACCCCGATCACAGCATACAGATGGTGTTCCTTGACACTCCCTGGTGGGGATGACGATTACTTTTCGTCCGATCTATCGGAAAAGCATCTGAAGACAACTTTTGGTAAGATCCAAAGACCCTTTTTGATGGCCTACTCTGAACTGGATCAATTTGTGCCAAGTTTTGTTGACAAGCAAAAATTGCTGCAAAAATGGGCCTCCAGCAGTGACCCGATGTACTATTCCAAGCACTCGGGAATTATTAAAGGCGCAAGTCATGAAGTTGCCCAAGAAGATGCGAGATCCTACATGTGTGAAATGGTTAGAAACTTCCTGCAAGAATTCGACCTCTAAGATTTTTAAAGGCAGCCATGCCCTCCCGAACCGCTCGCAAGTATGTCAGTATCAAAAAACATGTGGATGTAGCCAGAAAATGACTACTCAAGATAAGTCTCGGAAGTTTTTTCCAAAAGAGCAAAGTATTGGTATTTTTACTTCTCATGAGCTAGGCTTGAAGCTGATAACGCGCCCTATGGAGAAATTTACAAATGATTAATGATGACAATATAAACTAACGATTCTGCTTGTCTATATATCTTTGATCTTTGGAATTGGCATGGTACATTTGAACCTGGCATAGGCTTTTAAAGTAAAATACATATGATGCTACAACAGACTAAAATTCGAGAATGTTTGCACACAAATGCTGGAGATTCGTTAAATACTTTCATTGGACGCTTTGAACTACTGGAACAATGGTCGTTAATGCCAAACTCGTTTGTTCGACTGTGTGACAGACGTGTATAAAGTGATATCCCTATCATCGTTAAGCTCGATAAGCCTTGATATCGAGATACGGATAAGAAAGATCCAAGATTTAACATGTAGTTTCCGTGGCCCTCGAACTTCAACTTTCCTATGGTCCTCGGGTAAGTCACTCGAGCCTCAATTTCTGATGGTAAAAACACTTGTTAATGGGCCGGATTTTTACGAGCCACTGGCAACAATTGAGCCTTTGCAGTTCAAGCTACTGAATTCGGGAGAAACGGCCACTGCGTTTCCGGTTTATTCTGCTAAAGATATTCCAGATTCTCTCATTGACTATTTGCATGCTGAGTTTAACAAAGAAGTTGAAGATGGCCTTACATATCCGCACCTAAACACCCTAACGAGAGATGAGTTTGTGAAGTATTGGTTTTTTTCTTTCTGTACGATCGTTTTGAAGACCGAACAGAAAGAAATCGACCCGCTCTGGACTGACTGGGACAATCTACTTCTTGGCACGTTCTACATCAAACCTAACTACTCTGGAAGATGCTCTCACAACTGCAATGCTGGATTTCTCGTGAACTCCGTTCAACGGGGCCAAAAAATCGGCTTTCGTTTGGGACAGGTGTATTTGAAGTGGGCTCCCTTGTTAGGCTACAAATACTCTGTATTTAACCTCGTATTTGTCACAAATCCTGGCAGCTGGAGGATTTGGGATAAACTTCAGTTTGATAGAATCGGATATATCCCCAAAGTCGCCATTTTGAAAGGACACGAGGAACCAGTGGATGCAATAATGTTTGGTAAAGACTTGACGAGCATTGATAGCAGACTTCTAGACGATCTTGAGTAAACAAGACACGAAGTCTCAAAAAAATACCCAAAAGACGATGGTAGAACCTGAAAAACTGGACTAGTAACCGCCGTAAATCCAACATGAATCTAGCTGGATGACGCTTAAATGTCATGGCATCCCAGTCTGGCATATACCGTATTCCTTTAACTATAGGCCGTGTTCATCGTGTTGGACGTAAATATTTCAACTCAATAACCATCCTTTTCTGTAAATCTAACCAGTACATCACAGGCATCAGATCTCTGCAGTTTGAGCTCGAGTAGACTTCGTATTGCACTTCGTTGGTATCCTCACTCGATAGTATTGCAACAATTGTTACAACGCTCCCGTAGCAAAATAATTCTTCATTGATCTCAACAACCTATGGGTTTGATGAAATTGTTCATAATTCTTAGAAGCGAGAACAAGTAAGAAGTCCAAGCCAGAAAAGGCCTCAAGAAATGCAGTTTTTCGGTACAATCTATTGATGTCGACGTGTGGATTGAAACTCTCAACATTATTGCGAGGTTCTAGATCAAATGTTCTCGGTATAGGCACTGATATAGTGCATCTTCCAAGATTTGCCAAATTGATGGCTCGAGACGCATCCATCAAGGACATGCGTACAAATGAACGTGTTTTAAGTAAATTCATGCACACTGTTGAACTTTCGAAACTGCAGCGTATGCGTGAGGAAAGATATCAGGAAAAGGCGCTGGTTCAATTTGTCGCTGGCGTTTGGGCCACTAAAGAAGCCGTCTACAAAAGTCTATCTTCACGGTTGGATCACGACAAGACGGCTTTGCCACCTGCGAAGTACATTTACACACAGCTGTGTTACAAGACTAACGATTCAAATGGGTCTCCGAAAGTAGTGATCGATCCAAAGCTGGCCAATGTCTATCCAAATTTTAAACAAGACTTCATTGAAAAAACTGAATTTCTTTTGAGTCTTTCTCATGACGATAGTTACCTTGTAAGCTTTGTTTGTCATGTCAGCGTCTGATGAAAGGCTTCATTGCCGAAATTTCGCTACATGAGATTTTACTAAGACAATTCGAAAGCTTCAATCTAAAACCGGTCACCGTTCATTCGAAAGCTCAAACTTCTAATCGCGAAACAACACCAACGGCAGCTGGGTGGTATCAACTTTTGGCGTCAGTTTGGGAACTTGACCAGATCATCGCCATTCATGTGACTTGAGTTGAAAATTTTGAATGAAGAACACCTTCTATCCAGCCATCTTCACACGGTTAATACAGCGGAATAGCGATAGTTCTAGAACCTGACGGTATCAACCAGTGACACGATAGAAATGGGTGTTGCCGACTTGATTAAAAAGTTTGAAACGTTCAGTTCCCAGAAGCCTAGCTCAGAACAATCTGAAGCTGGGAAGAATGTGGAAGCACAGCGCTCTTCAAAGAACGAAGCTGACATCAAAACCGATGAAGTTGAAAGAACAATGACCACTTCAATTGAAGAAAAGAAGTCAGATGTTTCGAATAATGAGAGCACGGACAAATTGCAAAGCGCACTGGCAAAAGAAAACTCGACCAGGGAAGATAACTCGATTGAAAGCCATGAAGGGTCTGCCGTGAAAGAAAATGACTTGAATGAGCAAAATAAACCACAGCAGAGCGATCAGGAGACTAAGATAAAGCCTGTGGAAATTGAATCTGTTTCAGGGCCAAAAGGAGAATCCTCTGATAATTCTGAGTCTCTAGCCCTTGAAAAGCCATCTGAGGACGAAGCAGAGAGTTCTGAATCAGGCTCAAGAAAATTTGAACCAGAAATCATGGCTGGTTCTGAAGTGAAAGATCAATCAGAGGACTTAACACCTTCAAATAAGCCAGAGGAAGAAGAAGAACAAGAAGAACAGGAGACAGCTGACGACAGCCAATCTTCTCCGGAGCCTGCTGCAGAGGAGAGTAGAGAAGAAAGTGCTTCTAGTAAGAAAAACAAAAAAAAGAAGAACAGAAAGAAGAATAAGAAAGCTGCTGCCGCTGCAGAGGCCAACTCTGCATCTATGAACCCTGAACTTGTAGCCCAAGAAGCTTCTGATTCACTTAGGCCTCTCTAAATCCCCAACAGATAAACAAATTGAGATTCTCAGTGCAGAAGTTCAAGACGAGGCGGTTGAATCCGCCAAACATGAGGTCGAAGGCTCGAGAGAAACAACCCCCGACACACGCATCGGACGCGATGATCCTTTTCAGTTCGGGCGACGGCAACTCATCGAAGAATCCGATGTTTGGAATCACAATGCCTGGGACAATGTTGACTGGGGCGAAGAGCAGGTTCTACAAGCGGAGGAAAAAATCGCGGAGCAACATAAGTCTCCAGTCTCTGATTACGATAAGAATCTTTATAATTCCAACCCAGCACGGTACTGGGACATCTTCTACAAGAACAACAAGGAGAACTTCTTCAAAGACAGGAAATGGTTGCAGATAGAGTTCCCTTCATTATATGAGGCCACAAAAGCGGATGCAGGTCCCAAGACCATTTTCGAAATTGGCTGCGGTGCAGGTAATACAATGTTTCCTATACTCAGTGAAAACGAAAATGAGCATTTACGAATCATAGGAGCAGATTTCGCGCCCAAAGCCGTTGACCTGGTCAAGACCAGCAAGCATTTTGATGCTAGATATGCCCACGCCGCTGTGTGGGATCTTGCGAATCCCGAGCATGAGCTGCCCGATGGCGTCGAACCTCATTCGGTGGACATTGCGGTTATGGTATTTGTATTCAGCGCGCTATCTCCAGAGCAATGGTCTGATGCAATGGAGAACCTGCATATGATATTGAAGCCCGGTGGTCAAATACTTTTCCGGGATTATGGAAGGTACGATTTGGCCCAGGTCAGATTCAAGAAAAACAGACTGCTAGACGACAACTTCTACATTAGAGGTGATGGTACTCGCGTCTACTTCTTCACGGAGGACGAGCTCAGAGACATTTTCACTCAGAGATTCATCGAGAAGCAGATTGGTACAGACCGTAGGCTACTCGTGAACCGGAAAAGGCAAATAAAAATGTACCGCGTATGGCTGCAAGCGATGTTCGAAGTTCCATCGTGAAGTAACCTATTGATATTGTGTTTAGGTTCCAAGCATTGTATAAATTTTCAACTAGCATTTTTAAACAGAATAGAGAACTTGGCCACTAAGCTTCGTCATCGGTTTTCGCAAGGAGACAAAGCGAGATGTGCAGAAAACCATCGAAGCTAGCCAGCTGTTGATACAGTAGCCATAATTGGAGATCCAAGGGTACTATTATGCCTTGGATTACCGGCACTGCAAGATAAGGCGCGTTCCCATCGGGTGCGAACCACTCGGGAAACTCGCGGGAAAGTAGTTTCTTCAAAGTCAACTCCACTTCTCTTGTATTGTCGTAGGCATTGCACACCGGTTCCACCAGTCTTATTTCTGGGAGTGCCAAATGGATTCTGACAGGAACAGATTTCACATCATTTTTTGAGGGCAGGATTCTTTGTCTGATGTCAGTGAAGCCAGCGAAGCTCCTGCGAAGCACGCTTTCCCAGAACGACAGTGTATCGGGTTTTGAAAACGACATAACTAGCTTTGAATTCCCATTCATAACGAAACAGGCTTGTTTCCACTGGTGCATCCACAGTTCTCTGATCTGTTCGCTCCCGTTTCGTATGGGTATGAAACCCCGAGGAAGTTGCTTCCCATAACGTAGCATCAGTTTCCACACGTTGACGCTGTTTTCTTGAGACCCTGAAGCTCGATTTTGTGGATTAAGACCCGTGAACGAATCGTAAAGTGCACCTATAGGGAAGTTCCATGGGATACACACATTTTCCATTTCAAACCACCAGCCTTGGTAAAAATCTTTGACATTCACTCGAAGTTGCGGTTGCAGCTTCTGAATGATAAACGGCAGATACAACACCAGATACGAGTCTCTCGGTACTTGAACATTCACACATATCGTCGTTGTACGTTCTTTTTGGTCTGTCAAAACCAGCTCTGGATCCAGTTCTATCCTCAAATTGAGCGTTCCCGTCCACACTAGCCGCTGCTGTTCACTCATGGCACATCAGTAGCTTGCTTCACCAGCTTGTTTCTGATAAACATTTTAAAGATGGTCAAGAAGAGCAGCTCATCGCATCCTAAATTGATGATGCTCATCGCTAGTTCTTAAAAGTTCCAAGAGCATAACAAGGATGGACAAAGAAGACCTCGAAGAGATCGATAGCGCATCGAAACAGCTCTGGATCAACGAATCCGATGCTTATATAGACGTTGTGAAAAGACCCGATGAAACTACGTTGTTTTTTGGTATATTTTATCTCGATAAATGGCGCGACCATGACGTCAAACAAAAGCTTGAAATGACAAGAGCCCAGTTGACGGAGTTGATTGGTATCTGGAACCGCTCTTATCCGTGGGGAAACTTCGAAGGTATAGAAGTTGGCATAATTGAGAATTCGGACGAAAAACCGTTCTTATTCGGGTCGCTTTGCGTGGAACGTCATCAGGAAGCAGAAGAACGACTAGTTGTATGTCTTTTACAAAAGCTCTCTGAGCAATTAGATTCCAGCTTCTTCATCAAAACATGCACTTCAGAGGGCGAGTTTCTGTTGATGGAGTGTCACGACGTACTGCCGTCAGAATATCAGTATCCTATGGGCAACAATCGATTGTGGATACACCAGGGAAAGTTCAAGTTCATTCCTAGCGATTTGGCTCCACGCAGAGGGGTCAGAAAGCAGGAAGCGCTGCGTTTTCTAACCAACGAATACTTCAAACTTTCGGAGAATCCCAGCGTCACAGAACGGATCAAAAAAGTCACTGGACTGGCCTACTTTCCCGACTCTTACGTGGTTGATAATTTGGCTTCTTTGCCCTTGTGTCTGACCGATAAAGCGCTGGAATCAAAACTTCGCGAGAACCCGAAAGCTATAAGCTTGGCTCTTAACAACATTTACATGAACGGACAGGATACGAAAGAAACCGTAGATATCAGTAAACTAGCGGGAAATGAAAGCACAGTCGAATTTAAGGTCCTCATATCAAAGGCACAAGAAAAGTTCCTTGCTGGATTCTTGCGAGACTCGGGGATTGATTTGAACAGCGCTCGTTTACCTTCGATCACCGGCCAAATTATAGCAGCATCGCTGCAGGATCTAGTGCGCAATGACGAGTTGACATTAGATTCACCCAGTGGATCAACACCGGATATTCTGTCGAGTTTGAAGGCTAAGGGCCTTTTAAATGAAAATTACGTGACTTCTGGAGTTGACTTTGTAGGCGCATTGCGTCGCGACGACGAGATTACCAATGAGGACGCTATATCTCGCATGCAACGTCTCTTTTCCAACATTCGCATGGATATGGAATCTGGAAATGCCCAAGAGACAGATGAAGCAGACAACTCAAGCGATGATGACGACGACGACAACCTTGCAAATACAGAAGCCATGAACTATTTCCGAGACCAAAACGTAGACATTGACGAAGACGACTTTTTCGAGTACTTCGTCACCGAAGCGCTCAAATTGAAACAAAGCGACCTTGAGGAGCTTCGTCAGAAGGGAAATCCAGGCATAAACAGCTCACCGCCAAACCAAGAAGAAAGGGAAATGCTTCAAGAACTCGAGAGCTTATTCGGTCTAGGAACTAAAACCGATAGTGGTAAGTTCTCTGATAGTGTTCCAGCAGATCTTCTAGAAGCAAGAAACTCGGACCCACCCGCGTAATAAGATGTCATGACACAGTTAGATCACATCCAAAGTGAATAGTTCCCTCTAATTCTTGATTTATCTAAATAACGGTTATGAAGTATGAATTTTCAGGAGCTTATCAGTCTTCAAAAGAATTATCTTCATCATCAGCGATACCGAGAATGGAGTGTTCATCCTGGGCATCGCTAGCCCTGACTGCTGTTTCCGAGTGGCGATCTTCCAAAAAATTATTAGACCAAACGCCGCTGCTACCGCTTAATGACCGAGCCATATCAAATAACACCGGTCGGCGGTCTATTGGCGGTGTTTCTGGAAAAGAGTTTGTGGTTCCTGGAAGAGAGGACGGCTCTCGTGGTAAAACATGTTTTGCCTCGACAGGATCCCTTAAACCAGAAGCCTCAACCTGCACAACAGGTAATTCGACATTATCTTCTTCATCATCGAACGAGCTCTCCTCTTGGATAACGGACTGTGCAGCCGACGTATTTTTATTGAGGAGCTTTCTGCTGATGTTTCGTTTGGGAAGTCTCCCTCGTCTACCAACGGGTGATCTCCCTCTTTTAGCAAGCCATTGAGAACCAACACTCGTTCTCGGTACAGTGCTGTCAACATTGGAGTATGTATGCATAGCCCTCAAGTCCATTGTTTTGGGCGAAGAGGCAGTCGAAATTTCGTAGAATGAATCAGTCCTGGAACTTTTTTCTGACGCGCTAGAGGCACTCGACATGATACTCATAGACCCACGAACGTTGGCTCGCGAATGGAGAGAACTTGAATCGACGCTATCCAAATTCGGAGACAGTACAACACCATTTCCGTTTCTGGTTGTGTGAGAGCTCAGGGAACTGGCAGGCTTCGAGTTCGAAGCATTACCATCAGTTGAGTATTCTGAATTGTACGTGTCATTTGAAATCTCAGATTGCTGCGATAAAATCGAAACAGGTCCAGTTTTGGATATGTCATTCGTGCTGTCATCATAATTGGACTGACCATTTAATGCAATTGCTTTGTGATCTAGTTCGCTGTCAAAGTTGCCTATAGAATTTTGACGCGACATCTCGCTGGATGTATTGGACTTAAACTTTTTGAGACGGGGCTCTTCTATTCTTAGAATGTCGAACCCGTTATGTTCGTTTGAATTGGCTGGTGGCTGAGGTATGATATCGCCTTTTCCAGCATTTCCATTGTTTCCAGAAGGCGTGCGTGATCTTTGTGGACTGTTTTTCCGAGATTCAAATGAAATAGCATTGCGTTTCCTCTTATCTGCGAGACCACTGTTCGGGCTTATGGGCCGTTCATCGACTGCGATTGAAGGATGCTTCTTGCTTTTGAAGAAGCTGGTCATTTTGTGAAATAGGTTAGGTCTTTTGGAAGACTTCCCACTACTAGTTTGAGAAACAACTCCGTCCAGCGGTTCAACCTTTTTTGGCCCTTTTTGTTGCGCAACATGGGAGGGAGGTCGTATAGACGCTGTGTCGCTCTTCCTGCTCATAATTCTTTTTAGGGAAGTGGCCTTCCCAAATGTGTCACTTTTTTTCAATTCTTCAGTAGACCTTCGGCTAGGAGTTGCAGAATCGAACACCTTCTTTACTGACAAAACTGACCGACTTCTCCTGGGATGGCGTAAGTTTTCGCATCGCTTTTCTTTCTCCACGAGAAGAAACCACAACCCAGATAAGCTGTCGCACCTTTTCCTATTAACGGAGTGCTTGATAGCCTGTGTATCAAATCCGCTTTGTTTGAGTTTTTTCAAGAGCTTACGCTCCAGCTTAGAATGAAAATGTTTAGTACCATGACTTTGGCGTTTTAGGATTTTGTCAGTCTTGTCAAATATCTGAATCCCATACGGTTGAAGAAATGGATGCTGTAGAACCTGCGTCAAAGACGGCCTTTGATTTGGGTCTTTGTTTAAAAGGATCGAAATGAGATCTTCGCCTGCGTTGTCGACAAGATCGCGATTGTATCCCGGATTATCATTGACAATCTTAAGTTTTGTCCTCGTTTCGTCTTCCTCTTCAAACGGCATGGACCCGTGAATCAAAGTGTAAAGGATTATTCCTAGGGACCATATATCTGTTTTATAGCCTTCGTACGGCTTTCGTTCGATAAGTTCGGGTGCCATGTACACTGTAGTTCCACAGACAGTCTCCAATATACCCTTCGTGGCGCATTCGCGGGTGAAACCGAAGTCCGTAAGCTTTGCCTGACCCTTTTTGTCCAGTAGGATGTTTTCCAGTTTTAAGTCTCGATGCACACATTTCATGGAGTGCGCATAATATACTCCGCCCACGATCTGAGAAAAAAGTCGGGCACATTCAGCTAGAGGCAGATGTTTTTTGCTCAAAAGATAGTCATAAAGCTCTTTTCCGGGACAATATTCGAGAGCCATCCATACGTGATTTTCTGTCACGATAACCTCGTAAAGTTTGGTGATGTAGATGTAGTCAAACTGGCGATGGTAGAATACTTCTCTCACAACATTGGGGTCATTTTTAGAGCCCATTTTCAAAACTACCTTCTGGTGCGTCAGCCGATGACTAGCAAGGTACACTTTCCCAAAGCTTCCTTCGCCAACTACATTCAACAACTTGTAGTTTCCCACTTCTTGCAGTTCTCTTGAAGAAAATTCACCATAAAGCTTATTGTAAGACGCTGAAATGTTGGCCTTGAGCTTGTTTTGCTCAAGTTTCGAGGGGAACATGTTTGATCACAGGCTGCCTGCCGGACAATCCAATGAAACTCAGTTACGCGCCAAAATTGATAGTTTTGAGTACTGAAACTCTCTAAAATCCAGTAAAGCAGTCTTTGACAGTTCGATTGATGGTGAAAATGAGACTGCTAGATCAATATAGCCTTCGTTGGGTTCGAGTTGCAGTTGTTGAAACTTCAAGAGTCTGATCCGAATGAGTTGTGTGGTAATTTACACGCAGTCACGTGCATTGAAGAATCCATTAGTTTTTGGGAAAGATACTAAGTAAACGATTGTTCTGATATTTTACTGGGTACGACGATAGCAGGTTCTGCATTCTTAATGGAGTGTGTAAATTCTGGCGTGCTGTAACTGGTTTTTTCCAGGTCCAGATTTCTGTCTCTGCCGAGTTTTTACACAAATTATAGAGGAAGTTGTGTGACACATCAGAAGGTTGGCAAATGAGAAATTTGACGGATGGTAGAAATTCTGTAATAGTAGAAGCTCATTCCGATGATTTTCGTGAAATATCTGGTCTTTTCGCTTCTAAATTTACTAACAATTCGCTGGCTTTTTTTATTTGAGCTATATACAACTCTGCAATTGGAAAAACGGCACTTTGCAAGGCAAAAAAACGAAGATGATATTTGTTGAGGCATTTGATAAGCTCTGGCGGCCTTGGTGAATATGATGTCAGTCACTAAACCATTGTACTGCTAGCCTTCAGTCTCATACAAGCGGGGTCGTGGAAAAGCATTTTTAAATGATATGTGAGCTAAAAGTTTAAATTATGATGAATCGGATAATTTAGAGAGCACTATTAGGATCAATGTATATTGAAACATAGTTTTGATACTCATTTGCATTTTGTAGATGCCCGAAGTCGTAATCCACCTCCACCAAAATAGCAATGCCTTTTGAAACTCTCAACACGGAAATGCATATTATCTCGGAAAACTGCCGAGCCTAAGCAATTCTCGAAACTAGTGCTCTTCTCTTAGTCACATAATCGACCTAAAAAACCCCGTCAACGACCCGCTGGCGAAGCTTGTCACTTTTCACTAATTCCGTCGCTGTCATCAGTGACACGTGACTGGATGAGGCCTCGCTTACTGTATCTTTCTAATCTAAAGTTTATAACTGTATCACATTTATTAACAACTGACTCGACCTGTATCTTCTGCCATAATTCAAACATTCACTACAACTCATGGAACGCGAGATTAAAAACCTTTATGGTAGCCAAAAAGTTGTAATGTCACGTGATCAGTGTCAGCGACGTTTTCCCTTCCTAGCGACGTTGTTTGGGCAATCATGATTTTTGGCTATGGTGTTCCTACTTTTGTATGGCACTGGCTCGAAACCGTAGTGATATAGCGGTGTTACAAATAATCAAATTAGCTCGCCAGCGTTTGAACGTCAATCTATTCCTCGTTCACTGAGGTGTGAAGATATTAATAAAATTGCAAACCATATCATCGAAAACAGTATTTGAAAATTCGAAAATGACATCAGAAATCCAACTCATCCTAGTGTTTATCATGCTCTGACAGAACCTTGAATAACATGACCCCCATGGCCTTCCGAGCCTAGAATAAACGATATAAGGTATGTTTGTCGTATGATGTGATCCCTTATTGAAGCCATAGTTATTGATTGAACACACCTCAGCTATCAAAAACCGATCTACAAACTACCTGCCTTCAATTGCATGTTCACTTTCAAATCCTTTCTCTGTTCCATCATATGAGACTTAATTGGCCACTCAAAATGTCTGTCACCGTTTCAAGAACTTACAATGATGCTGTATCTGCCTTGAACTCATTACAATCTAACTACGCCAACATCATGGCTATCAGAGCCTCTGGAGATCGTAAAAATCAGATGAATATTTGGGAAATGCAAGAATGGTGCCGAAGAATTGGGTACGATACTAGCGAATTTGACAAGCTTAACATTATCCACATCACCGGAACCAAGGGGAAAGGGTCAACAGCTGCTTTCACGCAATCACTTCTGCAACAATATGGCAACAAAATTCACAAGATTGGGCTATACACATCTCCCCATTTAAAATCGGTGCGTGAAAGAATTCAAATTAGTGGTAAACCCATTTGTGAGGAGAAATTCTCTCGCTATTTTTTTGACATCTGGGACAGACTAGACAAGACTTCGTCATCACTAGACAAATTCCCACACATGACTCCTGGAAGCAAGCCGGGCTACTTTAAGTATTTGACTCTTCTTTCGTTCCACGTTTTCGTGCAAGAAGGCTGTGATTCGTGCATTTACGAAGTAGGTGTGGGTGGAGAATACGACAGCACTAACATTATCAAGACCCCAACTGCTTGTGGTGTTTCTTTGCTTGGAATTGATCACACATATATGCTTGGTGACACAATCGAGGAAATTGCTTGGAACAAGGGCGGAATTTTCAAAAACAATGTTCCGGCTTTCACGATTGACGTGCAACCTGCCGCCGGTTTGAAAGTTCTTGAAGAACGAGCTCACGAGCGAAATGTCGATCTCCAGCAGGTGCCTGTTTTTAAAGAGGTGAAAAACTTGAAGTTGGGTCTGGCAGGCGATTTCCAAGTTCTGAACGCTTCATTAGCTGTCGCTTTGGCATCTCAACATCTCACTAAGCTCGGAATATTTTCTGCGCCTTTAGCATTGGAAAAAGACACTACCCTTCCGCAAGAATTTAAAAATGGACTGGCATCCGCTGAGTGGAAAGGCCGTTGTCAGACAATACAAGATGGAAAGATAACGTGGCTCATCGACGGCGCTCATACCAAAGACAGTATTGTGGCAGCGACTGGATGGTTCAAGTCTCGAGTCGTAAATACCAAGAACAAGAAAATTCTTCTCTTCAACCAGCAAACTAGGGATGCAGCTGCATTGATTACCACCTTGAGGAGCTGCTTGACTCCAGAAGTGAAGTTTGATCGCATCATTTTCACTACCAATGTTACATGGAAATCTGGTGAGTACAGTGCCGATCTAGTTTCAATGAATACTTCCAAAGAGCAAGTCGATAGACTTGAGGTCCAGAAGGCTCTCCGCCACACCTGGCTTAATCTGGAGCCTAACGCTCAAATAGACGTCGTGGCAAACATTGAAACAGCCTGCAACATTGTTAAGAGGTACGAGGAGCCGATCGAAGTTTTTGTGACAGGGTCTCTACATCTCGTTGGTGGCCTGCTTGTTGTTTTCGATGGCGACAAATGATTATAGACTATTGTTTTATTAGGCGTTTTGTATTTAAACTTAGGAATCGCTAAAGCACATCTCAACTCGATTGGTCTCTGTAGATTCAGATCTTCATATAGCAAGGTCTTTCTGTGATGTCGCGACCATAATTTATTGACCACTCCCTGTGGTACTTCCTGTTCATGTACGTGCTTGGATTCTCATAGCTTGCTATGACATTCATTGCAGATTGAACGTCAAAATAGCTGATAGAAACACAAAGTTTACGTGATATCATTGGTGTAACCTCGGCTATTCTTCCAAACTCGGCAAAATCTCGCTTGAGCTCGCCAATATCAAACTCGCACAATTTTTTTGAGGACATTTGGCGGGAGCGTAGGTGTTCTTTGTGACCTGTCTTCTTGACAATTATACACCGGCGTGGTGCATTCTCGATGGTATTAGCACCAGCGCCAAGTCCGAGCAGTTGATCTTTTTGTGCTTCGAGCTTCCCGTTTAACTGATAAGTCTTGAAAGGCGAGACCCACTCGGGCTTCAAAATGTGTCCGTTAATGTGCAAGTGTTCAGACTGACCATGAAGCATAAATCTTTGCGCACTCTCATCCGAAACAAATTGAAATCGTATTGCTTTGATGACCGACTGGTCTTCCGGATCGTTAAAGACATCAATTTGTTCAAGCGGGCCGCCAGTGATTTGAGAAAGCAAACTTCCAAGACCACAATCATTCGGTAAATTGCAGAGCTGTAAAACCCTCCCAGTTTCAAGTGTCCGAAGGTCAGTCATTGCGGGTCCAACCTCGAAATTGCAGGCATCAGAAACACTTGCGTCATGAAAAGTCCGTTCTCGAGATGCCTTAAAACCAGCGGCATCGCACGATATCAAATTAGTGCGATCCGCTAAAGTATACTGTTTTTTCTTTGTGCTTCCACCGTTATTCAATGGTTGATCTGCCAGTGACTCAATTGAAATGGAGTAATTTTGTCTCTTCTGGGGTAGGCGATTCCCAACTTTGATCATCGTACCGGTTAGAGGATAATTTCTTGGTGAGCCAGAAATTTTAACCCGGTGTTGATGTGATCCATTGACAGACAGATCCTCTTTTGTTTGAAGTTCACCACTTTTAAAGTAATTTCTTGCCAATCTTTTGAGCCCAAAAAGATCATGAGCTTCTTGCCTCCACCTCGATGCTGAGGCTGTTCCAAGGGGATTAACAGATCCCACCATCGATGAAACAGACACCAATTTGGCTGGTCTGGCCCTAATGCTCCCCTCATCACTACACGGCTTTTGTACATACACTGTGCAGTCGGTCAACGTTGATTTCCGTGGCGCCATTAATATAGTTATTTGAGTAATAGATTCCTTCTTCTCCTGAAGTTTGAAATATCCTTTGGGTTTTTGGTAGCCCCAGGAATGAGTTTGTGGAGTCCGTCTTCTTACACTTTGTCCTTCGCTTTCAACACTGACGTCAGATTCTCGAGCCGTGCCATTTTGTGAAAAAGTGATCTGAGATGACAGCGAAGACGCCTAGCACAGTGCCGAGATACCGCACTAGTTTCGTAGCGATTATTCACGATCTCACAGCACACATATCACCACGACGAGAAGATTCTACCTTCATGAGTTCACGCAGAAGCATTGTAGCGTATGCAGAAACTCCTAGCTTGAAAGTTAATATCACGGCGATGCTGTCGCCGCCCTTATCCTCGGGGAACCGGTTCAGCTTGTCTTTCATGTACCTTTGGTGGTTTTCCTTTCCCTTCTGATTATTCAATATCTCCAGATCCGTGTTCACAAGTTGCTGAGTAGGCGACGAATAATGCAGTATTTTGTATTCAAGGTTGGTAGGTTTATGAATCACATTCCTGTAAGACCCAGCAAGAGAAAAATCACGAGCCTTGCGTCTCATATCAAAAGGATCTAGCTTGTCCTTTGACATCACATTCACGTACAGCTCGCGCAACGTTTCGTTGCCAGGGTAGACAACGTCAAAACCTGGAGTTGGTAACACCACATCTTCGATGTTGTATTTGCCGGCATCCACTTCATCCTGAGTGACTGGTCTCGCTCTCACAAATTGAGCTTCCCGCAAATCTTCCGCAAAATCCTCATCTTCCTCATTGGTATCCGCGTTTGCGCCCTCCTTAGCATCTTCTGACGTTCCAGTAGCACTTGAGTCTAGTACCAAATCTCCAGCAACAATTTTCAATCCAAACAGCTCTATACGCTTGCTTGCCACAGCATTCCAGATGTAGCTCTGATAAGCATGCGCATACATAGTTCTCAAGTTCCTGGGAATCTTATTGATGGCCTGGAAATAATCGAGATTAGTTGAGCCATTTCTTTGTTGTTCAGCGAAATTGTTCAAAATAGCATTTTCTGCAACGCATTGGCGTGGCATCTTCTGGAGAGCAGCTTCCGCATCCTGAGTATCGGACCAGATTTTTCTTGCCTCTTTTGAGACAGGCAAAACGTTTTCCTGCTCAGCTAGAATTAAGTCAGCCACTGTCTTCCAATCCCCTAGCAAGATCCACTTGCCGATTTCGTGAGTGGAAACACTGAAGGTTCCAAAGCGCTGCATCCCGTAATAGTTGATGAAGCCGTTGTTTCTGATAGAGGAACAGCTTTCCTCCAAGATTTTCTCTAAAGGTAAGCCAGCGTCTGGTGCAATTTCCACGTCCCTTATCGCAATGGTAAATTCGTTTCCTTGCAAGTCGCCGAGGCTGAGAGACTGATCTTCAAAATTGAAGCCGCCTAACGTTACGCCTTTCAATACTCTGTTCAAGGCGTTCAATCTCTCGACACCAATCTTCGAAACGGACATACGCTGGCACGTTATAGCTCTGCGATCTTTTGTTCCAGCGTATCTGATCAATCTGGTGGGAACTCTCAAGTATCTTGCAAGGATATTTGCAACATCCATAGTGTCTTTGTTCTCTTTATAGGTAGTGAAGTGAACAAAATCCTTCGTTGGACCATATCCCCAATTTTCCACCCCATTGGCATCCCTGTTGCGGTCAATCAGATCCTTGCGGCTAACACGCGATTTCCGAGTCGCAAGTGCGATATGGAAAGTGTTTTCTGGCGATGTGACAGATTCGAGCTGATTGTTGAAAGCAGCACGGAGAAGCTGGTGGAGTTGCGTACGTTCCGCCTTGTCCTCGAACCTTTTAGTAGTTTCCATCTTGGTCACATTTCTGTAGACTTCTTCAATCTTAGCCACATCTGATTCACCAAGGACTTCAACAAGCTTGGCTCTCAACTCGGCGTCTACTTGAAATGATTTGCGCTTCTCTAATTCGGCTTTTTCCTCCTCGGCTTCCTCAGACTTTGTTTTCTTGGGTGGTTTGGGCATCTTGAATCCCTTGTCTGTCAGATGCACGACAGAGCCTTGCTTGTCGATCTCATTAACCAAGAAGTCCGTGTATCTCTGTTTGATCTGGCCTGAAAACCCTGGAAGTTCTGGAGTCAAGAACCATGTAATTCCTACGTCGCTCTCCGTGATCCCATCAGAACTTGGAGCATTGCTCTGCTCTTTGGGCTCGAGCTTTGACTTCTTATCCTGGTGCTCATCTCTCGAAGACTCTGGGGAGTCAACTGGAACGCTGTTTTCACCGGAAAAGTCTCTATCACGCTTCCTGTCCTCCAATTCCGACATGGTACACTTTCAATGAGTTCTTGAAGCGTCTTTGGCTGAGTTTAAGCTCTTTCCTTTGAATTTCGATCTGTTCGATGAGATGCGATGAGCTTAAAATTTTCCACTTAAAGGGCATATTTCAAATGGTGAAGCTACCAAAGGAATTGAAGAGCAAGGTAAGGCCCATGCTGCTATGTCTGGAGAGCTTTCGGCTAATCTGGAAGATGCACGTAACACATATGTGAACATTTTGTGGGAAAAAAGGTTCAAAAACCTTACCGTAGTACCAAGTTACGTTCAAGAGAAGATTGATCAACGGAAGACAGCGTTCAGACGTCATCAGGAGCTCCAGGAGAGCTTCAAGCACGATAAAAGTCTAGACAGCGGTGCCTTAATTAAGTATCAAGACCCGCAAGATCTAAAGGGTACTGTTAAAGCAGCAGTGGGTGCTGTGTACGGTGAAAACGACTTGTTTTCCAGCTCCTTGGCAGAGCGTCATAATCAACTCCTGGCCGTCCAGCCGAATTGGCATGCACCCTGGAAACTTATGCGGGTCATTAACGGTCACAACGGCTGGGTCAGGTGCGTGTGTGTTGACCCTGTGGATAACGAATGGTTTGCAACTGGGAGTAATGATACTACGGTCAAAGTATGGGATCTGGCTACAGGGAAGCTTAAACTGACGCTTTTAGGGCACGTCATGACGGTGCGGTCTATAGCGGTTTCTCAAAACCACCCTTTGATGTTTTCTGCGAGCGAAGACAAACTGGTAAAATGCTGGGATCTCGAAACCAACAAGGCCATTAAAGACTTCCATGGACACTATTCGGGCGTCAATTCGGTCGACGTGCACCCCACACTAGATCTTATAGCGAGCGCTGGTCGGGATGCGGTGGTCAGGTTGTGGGACATTAGGACTCGACTTCCGGTAATGACGCTTGGGGGCCACAAAGGCCCCATCAACCAAGTTAAGTGCTTTGGGGTTGACCCACAGATTGTCAGCTGCTCAGCGGATGCTACTGTGAGATTGTGGGATGTGCGGGCTGGCAAAAGCGCCAAAATTTTGACTCACCACAGCAAAAATATCAGGGCAATAGCTGCGAGTCCCATCGAGTCTTCGTTTGTCTCAGCGTCCACGGGGGACATTCGATCGTGGCGATGCAAGGACGGTCAGCTTCTGACCAATTACGACTCGGAAAGTCTCGGCATTATCAATTGTTTGTCAGAAAACTCTGACGGAGTGTTGTTTGCCGGCACGGACAACGGTAACTTGGCATTTTTCGATTACGAGACTGGTCACAAGTACCAGGAGCTTCCGACGGTCAAGATTCCTGGCTCTTTAGACAGTGAGCGGGGAATTTTGGCCGGTTCTTTCGATCAAAGTGGTTTGAGACTAATCACTGGCGAAAGCGATAAGAGCATCAAGGTCTGGAAGCAGGATGACACTGCTACACCTGAGACCCACCCAGGACTGCCGTGGAACCCTAGCATTGACTCTCAAAGATTTTAAACCGGCTCTTTCCCAGAACTCTTGCCCGAACATTGCAAAGGTATAAGTGTGCTATGAAGCTACGCCCATACAGGCCATGGGTGCTGGACCGATAGATTAGAATTCAGGTCTTCAGACAAAGAAACCGCTGTTTGAAGTATACATCGTCGAATTCAAGAACTAGATGGCAGAGAAATGCTACGCCCATTTCGAGGTGCTACTGTCCGGCCTTGTCGCTTTCTACATGGTGATGAGTGGCTTAGAAATGCCTTTCTGGTATCAAAATGATCCAATGATCACGGACAAGAAGAAACTATTGTCAAGACATCTCTAAAATTCAAGCGTGCTGAGTGAAGCTTCAATTTGGCTAAATTCGCACTATTTCCCGATACATTCAACATCCTCAAGCGATACGCCTATGTTTCTCAAAATTTAAGGGGCGGAGGACTTATGTTTTTCTTGGAGATCCGGAAAAAAAAGTATAAAAGGGACATGTCCTCCTCATCTATTTCCTTTCCCTCGGCGGCTACTTTTTGAAATTTGAAATCAAAGAAAAATGGCACAAGGATTGAAAGTAGTCAAGTTTAATTACATTTCACGTAGTTTGAATATACATAGATTATAGCGCAATTAGGAAGATGTAATGTGTTCATTGAGAGAGAAGCTGATGTGTTGATGTATAGTATCTAGGTTGGGAGCGACATTAGCCTGTCGCACTCTGCTGAAATGGAGACAGCTTCGACTGCACACCACGTTATCCAAGCAAGAAGCTTGAAGAATGGTCTTGACAAACAAGCGGTGTTGGGTTTTCGTCTTGGTTTTGTAATGATCCAGGTCTAGCAACAGCGTATCCTTCACATCACGTGGTGTGGGGAATTGATCGGAGATGAATACAGCTTGCAAACGCTTAAGATGCATGTAAACTATATAAAAAGCCAAAAGGTAGAAGAGGCAGGTAGCTCTGAGAGGACTGAGCGACCAAACCGGCAGTATGGGCACTGATGAAGATAAGAAACCTGTGGCTCCGAGACAAGTCCAGGATGTTACAGAGATCGACATAGGGTGCAAATGCTGGGTAGAAAAGGATGGGGCAGAGCGACTAGCGGAAATTTTGAGCATAAACAACCGTAAAAGTCCTCCAAAGTTTTACGTGCATTACGAGGACTTCAATAAGCGTTTAGACGAGTGGATATTGGCCCCGCGGATCAATGTGAAAAAAGATGTCCTTTTCCCAGTCTCAGAAAACGACAATGATGCCGATACGGACAAAACGAACAAGAAAAAACAGAAACTGAAAAAGAGTTCCGAACCGCCCGATAATGATGAAAAGACAGTGTCTGAATCACAGGCGCAAGATGGTGGAGATATCATGGATTTGGACCATTTGAATGTGCAAGGAATAAAGGACGAGGAAATTTCTAGAGACGACGAGATCAAAAAATTACGAACTTCAGGCTCGATGGTGCAGAATTCACACGAGGTGGCCAGAGTACGAAATTTGAGTAGAATCATAATGGGGAAATATGAAATAGAACCTTGGTATTTCTCTCCGTACCCTATAGAACTCACGGACGAAGAAGTGGTATATATTGATGCGTTTACGCTTCAGTATTTTGGCTCCAAAAAGCAGTATCAACGCTATAGATCTAAATGCACACTGCGACATCCCCCAGGTAATGAAATTTATCGTGATGATTATGTGTCGTTTTACGAGATTGACGGAAGGAAACAGAGAACCTGGTGCAGAAATCTCTGTCTTTTCTCAAAGCTATTCCTGGACCATAAAACCCTCTATTACGATGTTGACCCTTTCTTGTTTTACTGCATGACAAGAAGAGATGAGTTGGGTCATCATTTGGTAGGGTATTTCTCTAAGGAGAAGGAATCTAGTGAAAACTACAATGTTGCATGCATTCTCACTCTTCCTCAATATCAAAGAATGGGCTACGGCCGACTTCTGATAGAGTTTTCATACGAGCTTTCTAAGAAAGAGGGTAAGGCTGGATCTCCAGAAAAGCCTTTGTCGGATCTGGGACTTCTTTCCTATAGAGCTTATTGGGCCGATACTCTAATTAAGTTGCTAATGAATCAAGTATCCGAGATCACCATCGATGAAATTTGCTCACTCACGTCCATGACCACCACAGACATTCTGCATACGGCTAAAGCCCTCAACATCCTTCAGTATTACAAGGGCCAGCATATCATATACATGAATGAAGATGTAGCTCAGCGGTATGAAAAGATCAAAGAGAAGAAGGGCCGACGCAACATTGACCCAGCGAAATTGATCTGGAAGCCACCAGTATTCACTGCTTCCCAGTTGAGGTTTGCATGGTAAATCAAAGTAAATATATATATGTGCATGTGTGTGTGTGTGTGTGTGTGTGTGTGTGTGTGTCTCCGTTGTACTTCAATCGAATGGTAATCTTTTGGTTCCATTCCTCTGACTTCCAGTGGCAGCGATAGCGCTAGGCACTCTGATACCACAGCAGTCACCCCAGGTGTTTTGCAGCGAGTGGTGCTTGCAATTATGATTGTCGGAATGGGTGTGCGACCCCGGTGGAGATATGCCTTCAGGGCAGGATAGAAATGTGCCAAAGAAAAAGTGCTGCATGATCGGAAGCTTGCTCAAAACCTCCGCCTTATACATTTTAACCATGCCTTCAGCAACTTTTGACCAGGATTTTACGCCACTGATATCGTCCAGCATGGGAGAGTGCCACCTGAGCGTAGCTGTCGTTTTCACTTCGTTGATGAAGGATATGCAGCCGAAATACAGATATTTGTGCGCGAACATTTCTACCATGTCAGGGTTGTGAATAGACTTTGGCCGGAGATTTTTGTGGGTCGACAACTGGAAGGCGCCGAACAGAAAGGGAAGGAAGTGGTAATCATCCAGCCCCCATACTCCATGAGAGCCGGCAGGCTCAAGCCAATATTTGGTTTCAAGTAATCGCATGAGTGACAGGTATTTGAGAAACGTTTTCAACACGACGTTTCTGTTCTGAGACCTACTAATTACACCGCACTCTCGCAGCCCATAAAGGAAACACACGAAATTCAATTCGTGGCCCGAACCATAGTCAATTCTCTCACGATCACCCCAGGATTCGGTGAGATACACGGCCAGTTCTTCGACTTGTGATTCGCTAAGAGTTGTAAAGTGTTGAGAAATCATGCTTTGCGAACTCGATTTTAGCTCATCGTAAAAACTGCGGAACTCTACTTTACCGAACCTCGATGTTTCTGCATCCTCTATCACTGGAAAATTGTCAACGACCTTGTGGATCTGCTCCAGCAGCAGCATGGTATTTTCCACGGATTCTTCGATAGGTTCTTGCACCTCCTCATTTTGGAACCCTTCTACAGATGTTGCCAATTCGCGGATGTACTCCAGCAAGTTTTCGCATACCGAGGAGTTTTTCCATATCTCGATATCTTCCGTTGTGAGCAGTCGTTTTTGAGGTATCATTGGATTGGTTTTAATCCGTGATGTGGTTTGCTCTTCACTTTGATACTTTAAAGGTTGTAGTTGAATCACATTTCGAGTGATTATTTTGAATGGTATAATGTGATTACGAAGTTGATGCAAAGGGCAGTGGAAGAAAATGTAGAATAAACGGCTAAAAGAGAATTTCTTTATGTCTCGAATTGTTGTGAATGCCTTTTATTTATTCTACAAATTTTAGTTCCTGGTGTTCGTACCCGAACTGCTTGCGGTTCGAGTAGAAAATCCTCTCGAGTTCTTCGAGGTAAAGGTTTTGATAGTAGTCGATCTCCTCCATAGTAGGGTTCTCATGTTTATCCTTGACATATATGGGATTGCCTGTCACAACATTTATAGGACTCCGAAAGGGAATGAGACCGAAATCGTAGTTGAAAAGTCCACGCGCGAAGAAAAACGGGATTGTGAATCCATAAGATTTCTTGAACCACAACTGGAGCCGATGTAGGTATGACGCTTCGTCGGTTTGAAGAATGTTGTAACAATCTGTTTCCCCAAATGCATAACAAGGCACGAGGCTGACGTTTCCGGTTTCCAAAGCCAGTTTGATGAAACCTTTTCTTCTCTTGAGTACTAAGTCTGCGGAATCAATCTTACTAAGAAGAGCCTCCTGGGCCCCTCCTACCACAATACAAATCGAATGGTTTCGCTGCAGCACTCTCAAAGCATTTTTCTTCGATACAGACGTGATACCCAAAAACAACAAATAGTCCCTATAAAAGGGAATTTGGAACTGGTTGATAAGCGTCATCAAGCACATTTTCACGCCTGGGAAAAGCTGTGAAAAATGAGCTCCTTCCGTTGCAAACGCTCCAAAAGCACCCAGCGCAGCAACGCCGTGAGGATGATAGCCAAAAATGTAGCGAGGGCCTGTTGCCTCCATTTCTGGCTCTATAGAGCTGTTACTGCGTTTGAGGATATTGAATTTCAGCGAATACTTGAACGGATAAATCCGAATTTTGAAGCTTATGCGATATGGACTTTTAGTGCTTTTCCCAGTGCTTTCTTTGGCCGTAAAGGAGGGAGGTAGATCTGCCGTTTTGTGCAGACGGATTGGGTAGTAAGCGCAGTAGTAGTGCCAAAAAGAGAGGCTTCTAAACCAAGGAGAATACCGTCTCGTCACGTTTCCGTTGGCTGGAGACCGGTCCATTGCATAGTACCCCATGTAGGGAATCATCAAGATCCACATTATTGGGTTTGCCAACGCCAACATGGCAAATGCCGAAATGTACACAAACGAACCCACATGCCACGCAACAGCCAAGGTTTGCAATCTGCGTCTCCAAGGAGTATTAACCGAGCAAAAATTGACTTTTTGTTCCTTTCGATCTTTTTGAGACGAGCTGTTGTGATTTACCATGGCACGATGCTGCTGTTCCTCCGTTGATTTCCTAGCACCATTACCATCTTTGTGTTTGCTGGAAGTATGAGTAATGGCTTGTTCGAGTTCCTGCTCGTTGTCCAACACTCCAGTTCTTGACTTTGCGTGTTTTTTCACGCCATTTGTAAATCCGTTTGTGCTGCCCTTTTCCCTGCTTGTTGGTTTCCCTCTGTATTTCACTCGACCTGGAGAATCCATTCTTTCAGACCAGCAGTGAACTCACCCTCAATCCTCCTAAGATAATGTGCAGCTTTCAATTCAATACCCCGATAAATTTCCCAGCAACGCAACTAGCTTACTCACCAACCAAAGTGGTGGGAACAGCAGCTAAAATGAAGCTAGGTTTTGAGTAAGATGAAGGATATTGTATATCTCGAGGCTTCTTAAAACCTGTTGATATCGTTGAGATATAAAAGGAACACAACGTCCGCCCGATCAGAGGAACTAGTACCGAAATGGGAGCGGTTTAAATACCCGAAAGAATGTTTATGACAAGCACCTCCGCATGTGCAAGAGCAAGGACGCCTTGTGACTCTCTCCTTTTGTTGAATGAATTAATATGGGTATAATGACATGTCTTTCTGACATTTCGTGACGCTGAGTGTAAGTTTTCAAATAAAGAGGTTAGAAGCATAGAAGAGCGTGCATGGACGTTGGGAAAATCCGTTTGAACAGGTTTATGCGGTTTTCAGGAGACTTTTTACTGCTATGTTTGGTGTGCATTATATGCTGTGTTGTACAGGCGAGATTGGAAAATTGCGATTCTCGAGAGCGTCGAAACTTTCCCACAATCCGAGGCGGATATTTACAGGGATTGAGGTATATCTTCAGGTGGGGATTGCTGCTTGAATTGTGGGATCTTGGGTCTCGAACTCGCTATAAAGTCCTGTCACGTGATGCGTGTCAGCGACAGAAGGGGCCAAAATGCTATGGATTATTTTAGGAGCTGACATTGACACTTGTTTTCTGCAGAGATGGTGGTTTCCCATTTGATAGCACGAAGTTTATTGATGCAGTAACGGTGTTTTGCGACTTGGCAAATGAACACCAAAATAAAATTTATGTTTAGTTGGCATACTGAATGTTTCAGGTGAGATAGACTAAAAACACATGACTATCCCAATGTCTGGGCAAACAACACCCGAAGAAACAATAAGAACGTTTTCTCCAATACAGCCACCCAAATGACCTTCTAAGCGCGACAATCGTCGTGGCTTGACCTCTTCTCTCAACGCTCCATCCAAAACTACAAGAAACACCAAACATCACTATCGACGACAGAGACGCGTCAAATTAATCAAGTATTAAACTTCCATCTTTCGCGTTATACGGCCATCTTGCTCGAACTCTCGAGAAAGCAAGCGCTAGCCCACCCACCGACCCACCATCGCGGCATATCGCAGTCGTGGCGATGGACTACATCACACAGCCTACGCAACAGGCTACTCAGGCCACTCAGAAATACATTATAGAAAAGTTCTCGCAAGAACAGATCGATGATGATATCGTGTGCCGGATGATTTGTACCAATGGCAACATACCTATTCGAGATCTCAAAGCCGAACTTCGTGAAGTTATTCGTAAGCGCGAAGGAATAAAAAAAACCTGGGTGTTTGGCCGGAACCCTCAAAGCGACTACCATCTGGGAAATACATCTCGGTTTTCCAACAGGCATTTCCAGATCCTCCTAGGTGAAGACGGCAACCTTTTACTCAAAGACACATCCACTAACGGAACTTGGCTGAATGGTGAACGTATGGAGAAAACAAGAAACCATCTTTTATCGCAAGGAGACGAAATAACGGTCGGGAGAGGAGTTCCGGAGGACGTGATAAGTTTGGTGATTTTCATAAATGAGAAGTTCAAGCATCGACTAGAGCTGGCTAAAGTTCAGGGTCTCAAACCTATTAAGGGCAAGAATTCCAAGCAGGCATCTCCCAATGCTCATTTAACAGGTATTCACAAGGACTATTCTATAAAAGATGAGGTGGTAGGACAGGGAGCTTTCGCAACGGTAAAAAAGGCAATAGAGAGAAGAACTGGTAAAACATACGCTGTAAAGATAATCAACAAGCGTAAGGTAGTGGGAAATATGGATGGCGTTACTCGAGAATTAGAGATACTGCGACGACTGCATCATCCACGAATAGTGCGTTTACAAGGATTTTATGAAGACAAAGACAATTATTATCTGGTAATGGAGTTTGTATCTGGAGGTGATCTTATGGACTTTGTAGCCGCTCACGGGGCTGTTGGAGAAGATGCGGGGCGTGAAATCACACGGCAAATCCTTGAAGCTGTTAAATATATTCATGCGATGGGCATCAGTCACCGGGATCTAAAACCAGACAATATACTTATAGAACAGGATGATCCTGTGCTGGTTAAAATCACAGATTTCGGACTAGCCAAGATTCAAGGCAATGGAACTTTTATGAAAACCTTTTGTGGGACACTAGCATACGTTGCGCCTGAAGTGATCAGCGGTACAAACTCTGATGAGAAAGAGGGCAATAAATACTCATCCATGGTGGATATGTGGTCAATTGGGTGTCTCGTGTACGTGATCTTAACGGGACATTTGCCTTTCAGTGGTAGTACCCAAAATGAGCTGTACAAACAGATTAGCGCTGGATCATATCACGAAGGCCCTTTGAAAGATTACAAAATCTCGGATGAAGCCAGAGATTTTTTGGAATCGTTCCTACAGGTCAATCCTAGCGAGCGAATGACGGCCGAACAAGCGCTCAAACATCCCTGGATCAGATCAACAGTAGCGTCGGATCCGCTCGACTCTCAAATCAGTCTTTCACAGTCAATGTCCCAACAAAGGCCCATTGAAAATCTGAGTGACGCACAGCAACAATTTTTGAACATGAGAGCATTGGAAGAAGAGAGAAGAGAACAGGAACAACACAAAGTCGCCGCCAGTCAAGCTCCAGAATCAATTACGAGCCAGGTTTTGAAACCGTCTCAAAAGCCAGTCTTCAAAGTTCCAGTGCGTGCACCAGTCCGATTAACACAGCCGTGTATTCCTGCGGAAAACTCAGAACCCGACAGTTTGAGGCAAGTACCAACGGCGAATTTTGACATCAATTACTCCATCCCTTCAAGCTACGAGGAACAAATATCAGAACAGATTCCACATGCCAAAGTGGATCCAAGCCAAGTTGAAAGAAACGCGGAGCACGACGTGTGCATCAACACCGATGGTGTGTCACTCGCAGGCGGGAAATTCATGACACTGCGATCTACGGCTCGCAGCGCTATCAAAGGCGTTGTAGAGCTCAAACAAGGTGTTAACCCATTTTTCATAGGGAGATCTCAGGAGTGCAATTGCAAGATAGACGACAATCGGCTGTCACGAGTGCACTGTTTTATTCTGAAGAAACGGCATCCGATTGGTGACAGCATCTACGAATCCCCAGCACAAGGTCTTGAAGACCTATGGTATTGTCACGCTGGGACGAACATGAGCTACTTAAACGATGTGCGGCTCACACATGGCACCAAGGCTCTACTTCACGAAGGCGACGAGATCAAGATCATATCCGATCGCATCAACAATTTCGTGATATCGTTTGTCGTGGAGATTAACGACGCCACCGGATTGTTCAACCAGGGTAGACTTCTAGCAGGCCAACAGCGTCTGGTTGAGCCCCAGACCGTTGATGAACTCCAATTAGCCGATAAAATGGGGTCATTAGGGAGCAGCTTGGCGCCGCCCAAACGTGCCCATTCTATCGTATCTGCCAGTCAGGACTCCGTCAAGAAGACGAAACGCGCCAAACTCGACAATTCTGTCAATTCTACACGTAACTAAACCAGGGCAGGACACTACACAAATTACAGGACTACAAATTGAGAGAAGCCTCCGATTGATTCTCCAGAGAAGTCAAAAATAAGTCATCTCGATGTGCTAAGGGGTCTGCTTGACTGAAGGTTATGGCGTGGACTTTTTGCCGCCTTTTATAGTCTCAAGATCCCCGCCCGTTACCCGTCTTTGAATTTCAAGGGGTTCGAATTAAAGTTACACAAAAACTAATTTGACTCCATCCCCGTTTTCTCATCTCAGCTATAAAAGGGCAAAGAAACTGGAATTCCCAAGTGGCTCAGTAACAGTATCAAGCCCTCACGAACTTACTGTTTCTCGAAGAGGTCCAAAGGTTACACGCAAGAAAAATCAAGAAGCCGTGTATACACTGAAAGTCTCTTGAGTATCCAGTGGTTAAAAGAACAAAAAAAAAACGATAATATCATAAGCAAATGCATCTACCTTCGCTTCTTTCGCTTGCCACACTGTTGGTTGCGAGCTTGAATGGAGCGCAAGCTAAGGCACACACCGCCAAGGTTTACAAGAATAAAATTGATACGGACGAAGGGGAGTTTTTAGTGTTGAAAAGTGCTGGACAACTGGGACAAAAGTATTTGAAGCAGTTTGCAAATGCTTATCCTGAGGCCGGAATAAGCGCAGCTGATGTACAAACGCATTTTGACCAGCAGTACATGATAAGCGAAGCTTGGGCCATTTTGGGCAGTCATGACGTTCCCCTATCGAATTATTTGAACGCACAGTATTTCACGGATATAACGCTTGGAACGCCTCCTCAAAGCTTCAAAGTCATTTTGGACACCGGTTCATCCAACTTGTGGGTTCCAGGTGCTGAATGTGGCTCGCTAGCTTGTTTCTTGCACTCCAAATACGACCATGAGTCCTCGTCGTCGTACAAAGCTAACGGCACCGAGTTTGCCATCCAATATGGTACGGGGTCCCTAGAAGGTTACATCTCTCAAGACACTTTGAGTATTGGGGACTTAACTATCCCCAAACAGGATTTCGCTGAAGCCACCTCGGAACCTGGTTTGACTTTTGCTTTCGGAAAGTTTGACGGTATCTTGGGTCTCGGCTATGACACCATCTCCGTCAAGAAAGTGGTTCCTCCTATTTACAAGGCAATTGAACAGAAATTGCTAGACGAACCAAGATTCGCGTTTTACCTCAACGACGCCGATGGCGCTGAGGACTCTGTGGGTGAAGTTTCGTTTGGTGGTATCGACAAGTCCAAGTACAAGGGCGACATCACTTGGCTACCTGTTCGTCGTAAGGCGTACTGGGAAGTCAAGTTCGATGGTATTGGACTAGGCGACGAGTACGCCGAGTTGCAAAACACCGGTGCTGCCATTGACACAGGTACTTCGTTGATCGCCTTGCCTTCCGGTCTTGCAGAAGTTTTGAACTCGGAAATTGGCGCCAAGAAGGGCTGGACCGGCCAATACACCGTCGACTGTGACTCAAGAGACCAATTGCCGGACTTGACCTTCACTTTCAACGGCCACAACTTTACCATTTCAGCCTACGACTACACTCTGGAAGTGTCGGGATCTTGTATTTCAGCGTTCACTCCAATGGATTTCCCAGAGCCTGTGGGACCTTTGGCCATCATTGGTGATGCCTTCTTGCGTAAGTTCTACTCGGTGTACGACTTGGGCAACAATGCTGTTGGTTTGGCCCAAGCTGTTTAGAGAACTTGTCCCAACCAGGCACCTGGACTACGAACTTGAATGTTTCTAAAATCAAAACGTATCACTCAAAAAAGAAAAAAGAAGGGTCGGAAGACGATATCAAAAGTAAACACCAGCTTCCTTGCAGGCTTAGCCTTGAAACATGTCCTAGTGTTTTTAGCCCTCTTGGAATGGGGAAACTTTGGGAATATACTCGCCATTTCAAAAAAGCATTGTATGCACACTTTGTATATCTACTCTACACTGAACTTATAAAGTGCCTAGAAGGCATTTTCAGTCTGTTCTCAAGGATTCGAGCTGGATAGATCTCTTGAGTGTTGCTTAACTTCGTGAAATGTTCGAATTCCGTTGATACTTAATAAATTACCGTCAATTACCTAAGTTCAGTAAAGTAGATCTCAAAACAAACTCCATAAAATACAACAAATAGCTCTTAATAAAGCCATTGAACCTGCTAAGCCAGCACCATTATTGTAGCAATACCTGAGCAATACCGCAAGAGAAGTTCTGATCGAAAAGTGGGACATCCAAGTGTGGTTTTTCGTTGAATAATCTTTACACTTTTCGATCTCGAGCATGATTCATAAGAGTCCTACTCGAAGATCAATGTCGAGACCTAGTTATCAGCAAGTTCCACAGAGTCCAGCAATACGTAGCGGGAAACTAGTGTCGTCAGTGAAGCGGAAAAATTCAGTGACACCTTTGTCAACGCCCATATCAGTGTCATCGACGTCGAGGAATCGACATGCTTCACCTACTCGGTCGTCAATGGTGTCATCACCAACTCGAACAAGCTCTGCTTCGAGTAGTCGCGGGAAAGCGTCGGATGGCATGGTAAATTTGGACTCTGTTTGGCAAAACGGAACTACCCAGCAATATCGTGGCACGATTTCAGTATCGATTCGGGTAAAACCGTCCGAGTCAAGAGTAAAAAATCCATGGAAAATAGGCCAAAATCACACAATTGCGCATGAGGACCATGGTGAGTTTGAGTTCGACCATGTGTTTCACCCGGATTCCAGCAATTCGGAGGTTTACGAAGGGATCGGAAAACCGCTTATAGATCGGTTATTCGAAGGTTACAATGGTATAATTTTTGCCTACGGAATGACAGGGTCAGGCAAGACTTACACTATGAGTGGAACAGCAGAAGAATCTGGGCTTATACTGCTTTCAGTGAGACAAATTTACGATCGCATCAACAATGAGCAACAAGACAATACTTCACTCTCGGTCAAAGTCTCGTATTTGGAGATTTACAACGAAAAAATCTATGATCTTTTGAACTACCCAGATCACAGAACTGGAACTTCCGCTTTCGCTCCAAGATCGTCTCAAGCATCATCTGCAGCTGAGCTGCAAATAAGAGACGATTCTAGGAACGGTGTACGGGTTGTTGGACTCACAGAGCAGCAAGTCCATACAACAGAAGAACTAATGAAGGTTATTTCTGTTGGTAACAGCAACCGCCGTACTGGCGAAACCGACTATAATGCCAGAAGTTCGCGTTCTCATACAATTGTGTCAATTACCCTTACACGCACCAATATAATAGACGGGCTAGACACCAGCAGTACACTTTCTCTATGCGATTTGGCTGGTTCCGAGAAAGCTGCTGGACAGCAAGAAAGACGCAAAGAGGGCGCATTTATTAATAAATCGCTATTGGCATTGGGGACCGTAATTTCAAAACTAAGTGCCGGTTGCACACATCCAAACTCACATTTTGGGACCAGCCATATTCCTTATCGGGATTCGAAGCTGACGAGAATTTTGCAACCTGCGTTGTCTGGCGATAGCATTGTTACAACTATTTGCACTATTGACACCAAGTTAGATTCCGTATCCGAGACCGTGAATACAATTCGTTTCGCAACGCGAGCCAAAGATGTTTCGATGACTGTGCGAAGAAACGAAGCAGAGTCCAACAATGATAAGGACAAACTTGTCAACGATCTCAAGCGGCAAATCGATGAACAACAAGAAATTATTTGGGATTTGAGACGACAGTCAGGTACCAACGACATTCCTACCACTACAGCGCACCCACTGCGACACGAAAACGAGACGTTGAAAACGAAACTTCAGCACTGTGAGCGATTACTGGATAAAGACGATACGCCTGTACAGGACGAAAGTTTTCTGGAAATTGTTGAAATGTTGCCTGCTGCAATTGGGGCCGTACTGGAGACCAAGATTCAAGGCCTGGAATCCAAGCTGCGTGAGCACCGAGCTTATAATACGCTTCTGGAGCGCAAGTTAAAGGAGGCTGAACAACGGCTGGTTGTCGAAGAGGCAGAGGAGGACCCTATGGTGCGGGAGTTGTTGAAAGAGCAAGAAGATGAAATTTTCGAGTTACGTCGGGCGCTGACTCGCAAGAACAAGATGCTGGAGGCGTTACAAAGTGCGAAGCGACTTCGCGAAGGTGCATTGAGACCGCTGAACTACGAAAACAGGAACTTTGAGGCCTCTACTGGGAGGAAATAACAAAACAAAACAAAACAATCAAGGAAGATTATAGATAATAAGGAACTGCGGACGACAAGAAGGAGAAGAGACCCAAGAGAGCATGGTAAAAATGGACCGGAACTGTTGTCTCAAAAAATTGTACTATTAACCAGAATCAACGAATGTAGATATATTTCGATACATGTTGGAATGTGAGCCCATATACACCACACCGGGTTGACACAGGAACTGGGGAGAACGGATCCGAAACGGATCGTAGTTGTGTACGAAACGAGTACTTCAAAACCAAAACGGATCACAAACGGATACCTGCTTATATAATTTCGGGTACTTATCGGATTGTTTCACATCACTCTGTACTATTCTGACATCACTCTTGTAAAAAAGCCTGGCGCGGTACCTGCGAATATCTTCTAAGCCGCTCAAACTTACATTCCACCGTTGCGACAGCCCCGGGCAACCCGTTCAATGCATCTTATTGGCCTGGAATCAGGATTCTATGCGAAAAAAGTGCATATTTCGCGAACCAAGAAAATTATTACTTGGTATTCCGTCAACGGTCCCAAAGTTGCGAAACTCTCGAAGGACTGAAACTACCTACAACGTTAAAATCTAAAAAAAGCACACGGGACGATAGCAGCGTTGCCGGTGGCTTTTTTCCGCTTTTCAGCAGCGTTTTTTTTTAACCACTTTGAACGGTGCTGATTTTCGTGATTTCGAGAAGGCTTGGTGTGTAGTGTACGTAATAATTTACCGTATTCCCAATACAGTAGTATTGAACTTGAATCAATCCACGGAATAAACCACACATCTGGAATTTTTGTGAGCGATCCAGAGCAGTTCAAGACGAGATTGAAGGCTCATTGCGTAGCCACAAATTCGTTCGAATTTTGGCATTTTCGTTTTAGCCTTTTTCCCTCTTGTTGCGGGTTCCAGAATTGGTTTTCATCCAATGTTGTTGTGCTGGTTGTTCGAGATTGCAGCAGGTTTGATACCTAATCTGGGGTTGTTTTTCGTAGATCTGAGCTCGAGCTGGGTTTCGAAGCCAAAATAGTATGGATGGGGACCCGGATGCCTAGAATATGCTGCTGAACCGGTATTGGCTGCAGTCGGCCTTGTCATTGAGAGGATGAGACAGTTTCGTTTCCGTCCTCACTTAGAAATGCCGTATTAGGATAACGGGACGGTCAGAGTAGTAGTAGTGAAACATGTATTTCTCCGGATTCGGATGTCAGCCATAGTTGAGGTGACGAAACTGGGCCTTCGAGGCGGAGTACCACCAAATAATGGTATGTTCCAGTATCCATATATAATAATACGCATAGAGTTGGGTACGGTCGGGAGTTCAGGTTCAAGAAGTGTAGTGCCTGATCTGTGGTAGGTAACATACGATACATCTACTTCCATTACACAGGAACCCAAAATGAGTGTCAAAAGTGGCAGTTCCAAGAAAATGTCGAGCAAATCGTCAAGAGCTGTAACGTCGGCCATCGGACTACTGATGCTTCTGGCATTCGTGGCATACACCAGTCGCGATGCAGTCTCGAAGTATGGAACAAAATCGCAGCAAAACGCCGCTGCGTTGCTTGCGGGTGCCGCAGGAAACAGGAAATTCACATCAGAGTCGAGCGTCTCAACCACATCGGTGTTGAAAGAGACTGCAGCAGCTAATTTGGACGACGCCAAGGAAGTGGAACAAATCTTTTCGGACATCAAGCTGGAAATCGGCGAAGCCGGAAGCCATACAGGCCACAGACGTGCTTCTGCAACTCGTGTGGCTTCTCCCGGAGAAATAGTACAGTCAGAAGTGGTGCACGGACCCCGCAACTACAAACCTGGCGATGCGAGCTTCGATCCGGTACTAAATTTCCACGAGATTTTGAATGCATCGCCTGTGGTGGTATTCGTGAACTCGAACGAGGAATCCCAGCAGCTGCGCATGCTATTGCAAAACCATTACGAGATTTCGCCTCCTCCTGTCGTCGTTGATTTAGAGAAACACTCCAAGGGCGCTCAACTAGAGTCTTTCATTGAAAACCATAAACTGGAGCGTTTCACAAACGACGAGGAGACCGAAGAATCCCTGTCTTCGGACACTCACGATGCACCATACCTATTTATCAACGGCCAGTCCGTGATAAACAGAAGTTTCCGGTCCGATATTCACAATTTGCATATCCACAGTACTCTTCTCGAGAAGTTGAGATCCGTGGCCGATGGTAACGTTATGATCCACCGCAACAACGTCCCATCCAACTCATAATAAAAGAGACCGGGTTGTAAGCAGATTAAGCTGGCCTGATCGAGTCTTGCATACCCCAAAAAATTACAGCATCCCCACGGTATTCTTCCATTCATTCTTTATTTCACATATTTTGTACAGATACAGGTAACAGGGTTTTTTATACAAGTTCTTGTCCAAACGCAAAGCGTATTGTTGTTGGAGTCGTAGCTAGCCGTCGATATCGTAGTCAATAGTCGACGATACAGTCGTTGGATCTTCTGGTGCCGTTTGACAAGCATAGTTGTAGAACTTCTCACCCCAGAAACAGAGGATTCCTTTTAGAAATCCGTTGTCCTTGACATAAAGAACCTTGCAACGGGCCTCGTCGCCCAAAATCTCACGAGTCACTTGCGACACTTGTCCCAGATCCGAGTTGCGCGGCAGAAACAACACAACGTTTTCACTCACTCGCAAGAAACCTTGTAGCGTCTCTCGAAGGCCCTGGGGCTGTAATGCGGCTTCCAAGTCGTAAACCTCGCTTTTCAAGTACTGCGGACCGCCCCAGGGCGGTGACGAGAAGATACAGTCGATTTGAAGCTTTTCAAACCGGTTTTTCCGGCTCAACGTTGGCCAGTCGCCATATTTCAGCCATACTCGATCTTCCACGCTGTACGCTTGAGCATTGCGATATGTGCAGTACAAGTGCTCCAAAGAATTATCCACGCCGTAGACTTTTTGGAAATATTGTGCAAACTGGATGGTGTTGCCTCCACCACCACAATAGACATCCAGAATGACTTGGGCATCGGGTAGACAGCTTTTGATGAATCTGGCAGCAAATTTGGCCACTATTTCGGGAGTAACGCTAAACCACAGCTCTCGGGTCATGTACAGGTCATGGGTTTGCATTTTGGAAAACAACCGATGTCTATTTTTCCAGTATTTGAATATGGATTTGTCTGTCACCTTGGCATCGGGCTCGATTCGATACGTGTCTTGCTTGAACAGGGCTTTCAATGCCTTGCGTTGTGGGCGGTACTTGTGTTTGGATAGATGAACGAAATGCTTGAGCCGTCTTCGGCTCAAGTTGGAGGCTCTAGCCATTAAGTTGTGTTGAAAGATGTATTAGAGCTAGCTAGCTTGATAGCGATGAGCAGGTACTTATTCATTAAAATTGGTCAAATACCGAGAACAAGAAGAGAAAAGTTGTTAAAAGGTAAAGAATGATGGAGTCCACTGTTGCATTCAGCAGAATTAGAGGCTCTTGCTGCCTTGTAGTATGGATGGCTCTTTTAAACGGAAAAAATCCGGTCAGTTTTGACCGAGTTGGGTGAGTTATGCTGAAAGTCAAGACTCACCAGATGTTCGGGAGCTAGGGCTTCAAAGACGATCTGGTTATGTGTGAGGAGAGTTTAGAGAGGCATTTTTAACCGCCAAGTTCAGCTCAATTGGCAGGTCTGCAAGATATACAGCAGAAACTGTCGCATTAAAGTAGATAGCTCTCAATTTCAAGAACGGCAGTTCCTGAATCTTCTCCCCGATATCGGACGTCAAATTCCAGGTCTAATTCCGTTTCTTCTTTCAATTCTACTTCCAATCGATCTACAAGATCAGTCAGTCACCACTTCAGTCAAGATCTCAAGCCAAACTCCGAATTTTGGGACTCTGAAAAAACCACAAACATCGTCAGAAGCCGCTGCAATCTACCAAATCCACCAAGTTCCACGTTCATAGCATAGATTCTTTACTTGTCCAAGAAGTCTTCCTTTTTAAGCTTTAAAATAAGTGGGCTAGCTCGAGCTTAATTACTACCAAATCTCATCAACCAGCCATCTCATCTCGATCATCAAAAAAAAATTGGAACACCGAGAATGACCAGAAGGGATCTTCATCCAAGCTAGGAAGACCAAGATCAACTGGGGTATTGCTTGAGCCATGGCCTGAGAATTTCTGGTGTATAAAATGTCTGCATTTTTGGCCAAATTGTAACCGTTCTTTCAAGAACGGTCATTGTCATCCAGAATATTTAAAAGTTGTGGAACCATCGACAATAGGATATTATAATCACACACATATTTATGCTCCGATCTCCAACAAGGACCAAGACCAGTTCTTTTGGCGGCTCCCAAGTGGACTTTCAATTTCCACCTTCTCCGTCTACAACTCAGGAAAAGTCGTTGAGCAGTTACCAGATGTCAAACCACCATTTGCTCAATTCTGCAGTTTTGGCTAGAGACAACGCGTCCCATGTCTTCTCCGATAGCTCTGCAGGACTCTCCAATGGGATAGATAGTAACAACTACTCGTTCGCCAACATTTCGGACAACACGACAACTGCACGTCAGGGCATCCACAAAGGCCCCAAAGTTTCCAACGCATCGTCCTGGAACTCTGGCGCTTCCGTTATGCGCCAAAAATACCCAGAGACCCTCGCACCTGGCTACGCGTCCGCTAGGAAATCTGATACCACCGCATTTCTCCATAGACAACGCTCCCCCGATATGCTGGGCCATCAATCGATATCTACCGATGCTTGCACCATACCGACGGCAACAAACATATCTTTTCAAATCACCTTTGAATCCAGTCCTAGCGAAGAATCACTCGTCAGCTTGAACAAGTCAGCACCGGTTGAGGAAGTGCCACGGTCAACTCGCAAAGAGAGCATAAAACTGGCTAAAAAACCATCACAAAGTAGAGCAGCCTCGTTGAATCGCCCACGCACTAAGCTCAAGAGATCCGCCGCGGTGCATTGTAAAGGAGGTCTTCTCCATTTCTTCGCACAGCTCAGATCGCGCACCAGGAGTAGAGTTAAAAGGTGGAGGTTGGCCGTAAGGAAGAAAATATTCACCTTCAAGGCCAGAAGACAAGCAAAAAAGAACCAGAAGCAAACTACCTCGCATCTCAAAAGAGCGAACGGATACGTCTCCAATATTCAAAGATCCATATCAAGCAATTCCATCAAAGCCAAGTCCGTCAAGTCAGACACCTCAGCGAAGGTTACTGAAAACCTTGCGAAGAAACGCGGGGACGTACATACTCCGGTCCAAAACTCACAAAAAAACGGTCACAATTCTCTGCGGCGCTCTCCTTCGTCTATTAAACGAGCGGCCTCAACTTTAACGCGCGCTAACACACTTGCAAACGTTTCTTTAGAAAAATCCAATACAATTGGCCCTGAACCTAAAAGCAAATTGGTAAGGTCTGATCCCTCAGTGTCTTTGAACTCAATTGTTCGTCAACCTTCAATAGTCGTCAGCAATAAAGTTATTCCCTTGTCCAGGTTGAATGGCGAGATGAATGATTTCAGCATCAAGGAAGAAGATGAGGATGAATATGTGATCGATACCGAGGTCATGAAAAGGAGCGACGATAATATGACTATGAGCTCAGACCAATCGTCGAGCGGTGATGAACAAGAATATCAAGATACCTCCGAGTATCCTGAAATTACTCAAGAGAAAGTGTCAGTGGCATTAGATGGTTGGAACCACTATCTGCGGGCAGTTGTGGCCAAACGCATCTCCACTAGACTTCAAATCCGTAAACTTCAGCTGTCAGGAACCGACGCAGCGTGCGAACAACTCGTCAAGTCTCTTCTACCAGAACATGAAGGAAGCTCATCGAGTCTTTACAGCGATGATGTTAGGACTGAGCTAGGGTCTGTGACTTCTGGTAGTACTTACTTAACATCAGGCCGTAACGCATACGACACAGCTTCAAAAAGAAATGATAGCACCATGGCTTTCAGCCCTTTCAGATCTACTCTTCAAAACAGTGTCAAGAGATCTTTGACGCTACCGGTGGGGTTGCGGGTTTGATAATGTAATGTATGTGAATATTGACAGTATAATATAAGTAGTGAACACTCTTGATGCTTTCATATTTCATTCAATAAGACCTGACTGTAGCATCGACAAGACGATCGCCGTTGAATTTGTTTTTGTGTGGCAAGGTGACAGAATCAAGGTCTGCTGTCAAGCCTTTTGCTGAGATTTCGGTGTGGAAGGCGCTGAAAAATCTACAAAGTGGGTCTTCATACCAGCGTTCACCGTTAGCATCAAACCACGCGACATGCCCACCTTTACTAGACTCTACCAGCAACATGTAGGGATTGCCTTCAATTTCTCGGTGCGGAAGCGATTCCTGTCCAACGATTGGGTCATCGGACGCGCTTAGTGCGAGCGTGGGTGTGCGTATCAGAGGAATTCGATTCGAGCTGGTACCGTAGCGATAATACTCATATGAACCATTGAATCCAAACATCCGAGACGTAAACCAATTATCGAATTCCTCCACGGACTTCACGGAATCCAGTTTCTCCGCATATAGCTTAGCCATGTAGGGATCTCTTTTTAGAACTTCTAGATTATCGGTCAGCAGCTTGACCAAGCTTTGTGCGAAATGGCCTCCATATAGGTAACGACCTATGAAAGAACGATTCATGTAGTAAGAAGCGTTGCAGAGGTCCCAAGGATTGGCTAAGATTGCGGCGCATTCAATATCCGTGTCTTCACCTTCTTGGCCCAGATAATTTGTTGCGATAGAAGCACCAAGAGAAAACCCAACCAGATAAAACTTGCGGTTTGGGAACATGGTGCGCAGTTTTTTGACAAAATGACGAATGTCATCAGTCCACACTCCATTGTACAATTGGGGTGTAGTGATACAAGACTCGCTGCAGCCTCTCGAGTTCAAGACGCAGGCTTCAAATTCGAATTTCGTAGTCATCTTATTGACCAGACTGCGAACGTAAGCTTCATGGGACCCACCTGTGAGTCCATGCAAGACTATGAGCATTGGTTTTGAGTCTTTAGTACCTAAATTCTTCAATTCTTCCGGAGTGAAAAATCTGTATCTTGGCTGAAGCTTCTTAGTCTGATTCGAAGGTATATAGTCTGGTGTTTTGTCATTCTCAGTTTCCATATTCCACGGTTTCACTCTAAAGTCTGCTGTTGCTTCACCACCATCTGCAAGATTCAATACCATACGCTTATAGTAAACTTGATCAACATCCTGGAAAGTCTTGAGAGCTGCCGCTACCGTTTGCAGATGACCGTTGAAATATAACCTATGGAACAATGAGAGCGAGCCTGCACTAAATTCAGGACTGTATCGATCAACAAGGTTTATTAGATTAAGCTTGTTCCCGAACGACAAGGGCTGCAGAGGTCTAGTTTGTCGTACATGGGAGTAGAAGGGTAAGTTGTGAAGTATGCTGTCCATCATTAGAACGCAAGAAAGACCTCGAAATGGTGGGAAAGATACTGTATTTTTTGACTTGTTTCTCGAGCGCTTTTCTCCAGAATTGGTGCATTTATATTAATGCAGGTGTGTATATAGATAAACATATAAGTAGGCAAGAAGTCGATATTTCCGGAGTATTAAAAGTAGACAGAAAGAGGTGGTATCAAAGCGAGTTCTTGTAATAGCATTGAGTATCGAGATGGCTATCTTGTGTAGTTTTTTCGGTGAAGAAGGAGCGTTAGAACGCTGAGAAATGTCGATTTTGAAGCATTTATTTGGGAAAGGTGTGGGATTCGTAGCTTAAGTGGAAAATGCCCGAAGAAAAGAGCCTCCTAGGATTATTAATGACAATGCTCAAGCTGAGCAAAAGTTAGGGAAACAGCAACGGAATTTGAGTTCAAAAAGGTGAGTTTTGGTTATGATAGAGCTGTGTCATCTGTCACGATTGTGTCGTCGAGATCTCAGCTATGAGTGCTAGCAACTACTAGCATTTTGGAGCTGTACTCAAGAGCCTCAAAGGTGGAAAAACCACTGTCATCAAGCGTGCGATCAACCATGTAGCACCTTTACTACTGTGAGTCCAGGCGTTAAAAAGGTTGTCAGGTTAGCATGCGCACGAAATCTGGTCGAAAATTGTCTCAACACACAAGGTCAAACCTGGCATGTTGAGTATTTCAATTGCTCTGACGCTTCAAGGACAACGAAATGGTGCTGAAATTCCAGGCCGGCCGAGCTCGCTTGAGAACCGGACCCTAACAGCTTTCACCACTACATTGAAGATCACGTGACTCCATAATCATTTTGACATTGTTTAACGTAACGGCAGACACTCTCCCATTTGCATTCACCACCTTAATCCCACCTCTCTATGTTGACGTGACTATTGACGCTGCTACCTCTCGAGTTGACTTTTGGCGATTTCCAAATAAACAACAAGCCCCTACCGAAAACAACTATTTTCCGGAGACCAGCAGATCTTTTCCTCCAGTTGCCATACCCTTAACATCCTCACTCTCTACCAGCTAGCATTTCCTCGAAATATGGTGTAACAAGACTCGCTCATCGATCCATAAAACACGGAGCCTTCTAGTCATTCCTCTACCCATTCCTCCAATCGTTATCAAACCTCTAGTCTCATCACAGATCCAATATATTACAGGATTATATCCATCGACACTCACAATTAAAGATCAAACCATCTTCCCAACCAACTTTATAACCAAAAGACACTTCTGTTGATGCTCAAGCCTGCCACTACGGCACTTCTCGGTCATACGCGCTGTTTCGGTCCTCTTTCTGCGCGAAGATTGCAATCGTCGTTCACTTTTTCGAGCAACAAATCACTTCTTCAAAAGGACCAAGTTAAGGATGACAAACGCAAGAAAAGACAAGAAAAGCTACCCTCTACGGTCAGCAACGGGGTCTCTGTCGAGAAAAAGGGATTATCACGAGAACTCCGTCCAAAATGGCGTGAACACGCCGATTACTCGTGGCTGCCCAAAGCTCCGTCAACGGCACATTTAAATGCTCGAGATGTGAGTACTACCGTACTGTATTCCGGATACCGTCCATTTTTCATGAAACCGCAAGAGAAGGCACCAAATGAAAGTACACTTTATGAATTTGCTATGAAACTGGAAAACTTGGGCGATCCTTTGCCTTGGATCTCGTCTGCTACGGGAACAGAGTTTTATGGCGAATGGGACAACGTTCCAACCGACGTAATAAAGCGACTCAAACCGTTTCAACCGCCGCCCAAGAACAGTACGGTGCAAGACGCTGCAAGTCGCAAACTGTTGCATGAGAAACTAGTCGAAAGGGAGAAGGATAAACTCATCAATAGATCGAGAGGTCGAAAAAAGCCTATAATAAGGTTGATGCAGCTACGTAAGGACTTCAATGACCAGGGTGGCGACTAATGACGACAAGCAATACGGAAACAGGTTATGATTTAAAATAAGTATAGATTTGCAGTTTTTTCCTGAATACATGCCTCATAGCAGCGGTATTTAGCCATCGTAAGAACGTGATTAAGACAGGAAAACAAGTCAACAACAACCGTTAGTCTGTTGATACCTTTCTCATAGCGGTCATCAGATATTAATCGCAAATGATCACACAGCTGGGTTGTTCGTTACACATACTGTATCATTTTCTTCACTGTTTACTATAGCGTAGAAACTATGTTTTTCTATAAAGCACCACACTCCGATTAGATGTTGGAAATGATAATGCTAGGAGAACCAGGAACAGCACTCTCCACAGCCTTTACAGAGAAGTTTATGTCAACTTCTTCTCCTGTGAAGATATCCTTACCGGTCTTGGAACCGTATGGGAACGACAAGAACTGGAATTCTTCACACTTGATCGCCTGACAGCACTTTTTCAAGCTGGCCACGGTGGATTTAACAACAGCGACCTCATCGAAAGGTAATTCTCTGTTGAATACAGTTTCCACGGGCTCACTTACTAAGCGCTGCTTTAGCATGGAGATAAAAGGCATTGCACGTTTCATGTCCTTTGGATCCACAGCTTCCTTGATCTTCTTGTTGTCGTTGAGCGACTGAGCTTCGAACAGTGTACGCACTAGCTCGATGTACTGATTCTGCCATTCGGGGAAACTTTCTGAAATGAGCATGACTATCTTAGCAGGCTTTGTGACATCCACATCGGCGCCCTTGCCCTTCTTCTTCTTCATAGCTTGACCTTCAGATTCTCTGATGCTTCTTTGTAGGTCCCTTAGGTACTCCAAAGCGGACAATGCGCCCTGGTCAACGGGTTTTGAAGCGCGGGGGAACTTCGCTACTTGAACAGAAGTCTTATTGCCCAAGACCTCACGCCAAATGTATTCAGAGAAGTGGGGCGCAATTGGAGCTAGGGCCAAAGCTTGCAGCTCGATGTAGCGCAAGACGAGATCTTTGTGCATGGTTTCGCAAGACTCTCTGTAATAATCTCTGGATGTCTGCAGGTCAAACAGACCGACCTTCAGAGCAGCCTTGTAGTTCGTCAAATCATATTGTTTGTAAGTCTCCTCGATCAAAGAATTCATTTCGTTCTCAAATGAAACGTCAAAGAACTCAGTAATCTGGCCTGAACGGAAAGAAGAAATGTTCTGAACAACCTCATCAGCCCATTCTTTCAGGTTGTATAATCTCAAAATAGCAGCATTGGCATTAGTTTCGTCCAAATTAGCATCTTCGACAGTGTCACCTGCGTCAGCCAAAGCAATACGAGAGGCATCAGCACCGAATTTTTCGACAATTTGTTGCAAAGTCATGAAGTTACCGGTAGACTTAGACATCTTGGCATTATTCAGCATCAGATGCCCGTTAGCCCTGATACCTCTTGGCCAGAATTTTTTGGGAAATAACGCGACATGAGTGTATATGAAAAATGTCAAATGGTTAGTGATCAAGTCCTTACCAGACACCGAAACATCTAATGGATAGAAGTATTCGAATTCCCTTCTCATCTTTTGCAAACTTTCAATGGGTATGTCGGTCTTGACATCGTCAGTGTGCTGGAAGACATAGTCAAAGACATCAGGTGTCATTTGCTCCGCTTTGATACCCAGTGGGCCAATTTCGTTACCGTAATAGTCCTTGAAAAGTAGGTGAGCGATAGTGTAGAACGCTTGGTATATGGTGGAGTCAGATAAAGACTCCACCAGGTACTTCTCATCCCAAGGTAGTTTGGTTCCAAGACCGTAAGTACGACAAACAGCCCAGTTTTTCAGCCAGTCTAAACAGCCCTCAAAAGCATTTCTGACCTCAGGAGCAAAGAGCTGCATGTGGTCCAAGCAGTCAAGAGCCTGTTTCTTCCATTCTTCCTCACCGTAGTCAACGTACCACTGGTCCTCTAGAGAGACAACACAGTCATCACCCGAACGTGAAACGACCAAAGACTCAGGCTCGTTATAGACAAAAGCTTCGTTGGCTGCAAGCAAATCAGCTTTCAATTTGTTCTTGGCAACTTCGACCTTTTCGTTCTTGTACTTACCATAAATCATGGTTCCATTGTAAAAATCTTCCTTGTAGGCGATCTTCTTGGCTTCACCTAGTAAAACAGAATCTTTTGGAGATTTGATCTTGAGCTCTTCACAAATACTCTGGGCAGTCAAATTTCCGTATTTTTCAGATTGAATGATCGGAACAGGTTCGTGCTTCACCCATTCAGGGTTAATCCCGTAGAATTCTGACTTGTTTTGCAAATCCTTTGTGGTCATAAAGTCATCGGGAGAGTTGGAAGGAACGCAAGTGACAACACCGGTACCCTTCGTAGCAATGACGGTCTCCATTGGCAGAATACGCAAAACATCATAAGCAGAAAGTGGAGCGTGGATCGTCGATCCGATAAATTCTTTTCCGCTTATCGTGACGACAGGTTTGTACTGACCTCTAACTGGGGTCAATTTTTGGTAAGACATGTTCTTGAAAGCTCTTTCTGTGGTGATGTAGTACGAGTCGCCTGCGTCAAAAATGCCGTAGTCTATCTTTGGTGAGACGAAGCAGCAAGTTTGACCGTACATGGTCTCGGGTCTCAAAGTTGCCGCCACAAAGTAGAATTTCTTGGATTTGTCGATGTTTGCGGTGGAGTCTATGATCTTCTGTGCGCCTTCAGCAAATTCCAAAGTCTCTATCTTGATACCGACATATTCCTGGGGCGTCACACCCTCACCCGACTGTCTATCGTGATCCATACAGGCCTGGCCATCCTTTTCAGAATAAATGGTGTAACGTTCACCGAACTTGATTTTACCGGCTGCCTTGAGCTTCTGCATTTGCCACCTGATGAACGCATCGTAATAAGCGTTCATGTCGGTGGTGATGAAGCTACGTCTCCAATCGATACGAGCACCGATGGAAGTACAATCTTGCTCACAAAGAGGTGGGAAGTACACGAGCCAGTGCTGAGGGTCAGCAAATCTTGCCACTTCTTCTCTTGCGATCCCAAGCTGCAGCATGATTTCGAATTGGAATTTACCACGACCTTTCTTGGCGGCTGCTTTCGATTTTTTAGCCTTGAATTTCGTGACATCTTCGGACTCTTGCTTGGCTTCTTGAGGCTCTGGTTCGGCATCTTCATCTTCAGCTGGGGCATTGGCAAAATCCGCACCAAAAAGTTCAATTTCTCTTTTCAACTTATCGGCACAAGCCAAAATAGGCATACCAGTACAGTGGAAACCCAATGGAAACAAAGCTCTTTTTCCCTTCATTCTTTCGAATCCAACAGAGAACTCGACTTTGGAAAGCGTAAACAAGTGACCTGCATGTAGCACACCGTTCATATAAGGATAAGCAAGCGAAGACATGAACTTGGGATACTTCACCTTCAACTCCTCAGGGTCTATGGTCACATTTTCCTCCTCGATCGATGGTGCATCTATTTCGAATAAATGCTCTTCAGCCCACAATTTTTGGTACTTTTTTTCAATGGCTATCAAAGCATCTCTACGTGCTGTATTTTCCAGGACTAAGCCCTTGGTCCCAGCCTCAGAAGACATGTTTATAGACTATGTCGATGGTTTTCGTTGGCGGAAGAAACTAGTTGAGTTAGCTGATTTTGAAAATTTTCTTACTTAATTACTGCCGAGAGAGTAACGAACTGAGGTCAACAGATTCAAACAGATATCCAAGAAGTTGGGCACTAATACAAAAATGTAACTAATGAAAGTTTGAGAGCTGAGAGTGGGCTATCTAAGGAAAGTTTAAAATAGAGATTCTGATAACCCTACGGCCCACAACAATTGCTAAGAGTTTATTACCAAAATGGTCATTATCTGTATAGGAAAGAAGCTCAAAATTGCCTCTTCAATGGCCTGTAAACCAAGCGTATTTTGTGCTCAAAAGAATATGTTGTGGTTAGATTGAAGCTTTTCCGGGTTTTATAATGCAAGATGACTGGTCTTATGTTAGTTTGGCGAGGGATAAGAAAAAGAGACCGAGAAGGAACATTTTCCAAGCCCTACTGTCTGTTGGGCAACTCTATTTTGGCTACAAGTGACGAAATTGGGCTGCATTTTAGCGGCACTTGCCACTGATACCAGTGGTCCCCATGACCATTATCGTTTTGTCATTTACCGTCACTGGCAATGACACACTACACCAACGACAAGGTTTCTAGCACCCATAGATGTTTGGTCAGTTTCGTGGGTTTCAAAACAACGCTCACATAAATATTCGACTGTCCTTATGCGGCATGATAGTGCGTTCCGGCTTAAATATATATATTATTGTCTATTATGATCTTCACAGCGCTAAAACGAAATGTTCAAAAATCGTACCCACGGTCTCGTAGTTCGTGGATTGTCCACAACCAAGTTGAAGCGGCATTATCAAGGTTATTGGCCACGTAGCTTGGTTTTGCTTCTCGTCCCCCAGTGGTCAGATACTTCCCGTTGTCCCACTCCCGTTCCAGTTCTGTCGAAAGAGCTGCTCGCAATGTAGCGACAGAGCCCTGTTCATTGGAGACGCCAAAAAAATATCCCACTAGCTGGAAATAAAACCAAAAGAAAATGCCAACAATGGGCAACCGAGTCCAATAGCTGAAAAGATTGGTTTTCATAACTAGACCTGGGTGCACAGACATACACAGGACATCCGAGTGCTTGATTGCCAACATTTTCGCAAACTGAATACACGCCGTTTTAGCCATTGCATACCGCATCCACGTAAATAGTATGTTCGGTTTGTAATTGAAACTCTGCGATAAACTGAAGTAGGAAAGCTCCAAGTTGTGGCCTATCGACGAGACCGAAATAATTCTGCCCCGACACCGTTTGATGTTGGGTAAAAGCTGCATTGTGAGCAAAAAATGAGCCACATAGTTCGTTTGCAGCTGAATTTCAAACCCATCTTCGGTGACGCTGTACGGAAGCGCCATAACCCCTGCATTGTTTATAAGAACATCCAAGGAGGATTCCAAACTCCGAAATTTTTTGGCAGCTTTCTCAACGCTCTTCAATTGCGCCAGATCCAGAGACAAATACAGCAGCTCGCCCACGGGATTTCTGTTCTTCGGTTCCAAAGCCTTGAGTCTGTTTTTGGCTTCCTTTTTGATATCCTTCAGTGCCCGGGAAACCCTATTAGCATTTCTCCCAGCTACGTAGACCGCAAATCCGTGCATATATAGGTGCAGAACCGTGTACCAGCCAATACCGCTATTGCCACCTGTCACTAAGGCCACTTTGCGGTGTTTTCGCGGGTCGTAGTACGGCAGTGAACTTAGGTCGAAATTCGTCATTGGACGGTGGTGTTTGGTGTGAAAAACAAGAGGAATCCCGGTAACAACTTTTGAGCTTAACCTTCCTCTTGCTGTTTGAGCGAGCTAGGATGCAATTCTACTCAGGAAAGGCCTTTCAATTGCTGGGTTGTAGTGATCTTATCTTTCTAGTTTCCCAAGGCGATGAGGTGATGAAAGTTGTAGTTAATTTCAATATAGTAAGAAAGATGAGAACAACGACAAAAAGTGAGCTTAGCTTTCGAGAAGAAGCCTGAGTGACCGTTATGTGCTGGTAACAATGTTCTATAATTTCTTGGGTCTACTAGCAATGACTAGACGGAACTCCGCAAACTTTTGGAGCTTTTCTGGGGCCTCTGGACGACCTTTTGTATGGCTAATTTAAGTTACAGCTATAAGGTTGAGAAACTTGAAAGTTTCAACCGCTGCTTGAAAGTTGATGCTTTGATGCTTTAAAGGTTAGTGCCATGCAATCGAGTGGAATACTCATTCTGAAAAGCTGCTTTGTTCTTTAGGAAAGACCAACTCAGGACATTCGACCAACAGCAGTGCTGAAATGATCATTCCTTGTCATAAAAGCATAACTGAAAAATACTCAATTGAACTCAACGTAATGTGACTGTGTATTCACATTACGTTATATGATGTTTGTTTAACCAGTAAGTGAAGAATACAGGGGTCGTATTCTTATGGTCAATACATTTAGGTGAACTAAAGATATCCAAGAGTGCAGACAACAACTGTACTATCTCATAAAAGCTCCAAATATTTGTTCAAATTACCAAGCTCAGCAGCACATATCTGGAGAGCCAAGTGGCACGCACATAGCTCGATGACACTACTCTCGAGACTTCCCCACGTGACCTTTTTGGTCACTTGTACATAATGAACGAGTAATGGCTTTCCATCGCTAGGAACAAGACCTGGAGTCCAAGTGAAGTCATAGGCTCTAATAACCAGTCTTAGAACTCCACAGATGGACTTCGACCACCTTCTCCATCAATTAGAACCATTACTGGATAATGAAGCCCTTTCCAGGATACAAGACGACTCAAATGCGACACAACACATCGTCACGACGTTAGCGGAACTAGCAGTTCAACTTCGGGCTCCAAACAATAGAGACGTTGTAAGGGAAAGTGGTATTTACGACCGTTTTCTGAAGTTTCTGGACTCCGCTTTGGAAAATAGCGAGTTATCGGACAACGTCATCGCCGTGCTATCAGAGCTGACCCGCTGTTTAGCCAATTGTTTGGCTGACAACGACCCTAATAGAATTATTTTCATGGCCCGATATGTGAGCGGAAAGAACTCCAATAGTTCAGGTCTCTCAAATTTGTTAAAGCTGAGTGTGTCTCACCATACTTTGAAGTTCAGGTCATTGGCATTGATCAAAAATCTGTGTTTGGGTAATCAAGAGTATTCAGAGGCAAGTTCCTCAATTTTGACCTCTGAGTTATTTCAAGTTCTTAGGTCTTGTAGTGCTGATAGCACTCAAGAAGACGAAATTGACTCTATAGCCATGGCAGCAGATCTGCTGTTTGAATTCACAGAATTTTCATACAACACAGTTTCAAGAGCTGACATCGGGATACTAGTAGAGCTACTGCGGCGGGTTGCACCCAATTCTGGGTTACAAAGCTCCAGCGAAGATAGCGGTGATGAAGAGGATGCTCAAGGCGAAATATCACAGCTTTTGACAGGGATTGTGGAAGGCGTTGTCTCCAAGAACGAGGACCTGGACTTTTCAGATTCTGTTGCAACCCACACACTACAAAAGACCGTATTGGAGTCATTGGCACTGCTGGAGGCGAAGACAACGCTCGAAAACAAGCTGATCATGATGCGCAGGCTTGTTTCCATTGCGGGGCTTATTTCTGCCAGCAAATCTAATACCAACCTTCAGGACAGGGATATGTGCTACCAGATTGTCCAGAACGCTGATGGCGGGTACACAATCGCTGCTGCGCTTATCATACTGTCAAATTGCGTTTCGTCACGTCAATCGGCAGACGAGATATCTGCAAATCTGTCACTGGGGCTCATTATCGAGAAGTGTGAGGGATTCAGGGACCCGGTGCAATTTCAAGGATTTTTGGACCTTTTGAAGAAGATTTTGAATCTATCTAACGCACACGAGCTACATGAACCCGATCTAAGTCTTCTTTCACTGCAATTGAAAACCTGCCACGATCAATGCCAGTATTTTCAAAGTCTGGCACCGCTTGTGGATGCTTTTCTTGACAAGTTGGTTGCCGTGCTGCCCGGCTCTGTGCTTCGAAGAACAATATTGTCAAACGACAACCTCAAAACTGTCATCACCGAGCGTGGTGGCATTGCCACTGCTCTTTTAATAGACAAACTAGTCTTGCAGCGCAGGGGTCGCGAGGACTACTCACTTTTGGATACCCTATGGGCGTCTATATTCCGTTTCGTGCGCGATTCTTCAACGGTCACCCAGCCACAGGGAGTCTCTACGCCCTTCTTGTTCCAACTCATGAAATCACTAGGAATATATCTTCGATCCCTAAGAATTGAAGACCCCAATCCTGTGTTTGAAGCGCATTCTCGCCAGCTTTCCATGTTGTTCGATACAATTGCGTCGTTGGCGACCAAAACCGATCCTGCAAGCAAAAGCATCTACAACAACGCCCGTTTCGTCGCAGGAATGACCATAAACCTGCTCAAGGATGTGACAGGACCTACGTACCGCGCCCAACTGCTGGAATCTGCCACGCAACTGCTTATGGACCATTAGTTCGACCTTTCAATGGCTACAACGTGACCTAAATTACAGCTGCTCATCTCATTACCATAGACAATACCACGCAAGAAAGGGCATCGCATAACTGGAAACCTGACTAAACTCAAATCAGGGCACCCCAATAGCTCTTTATTACTTCTTTATAAACTGTGTATATCCTTTATTTAAGCGATGGCTCTCGATGACGACGAATCCTGCCAATTGCTGGGCCCTGTATCGCTGTTTATCCAGTCTTTAATGGGACTTATAGCCATTGGTGGTGTGTTAGTCAAACGGCGCTACGAAAGACCCAAAAGACGGTGGAGAGTATGGAGTTTCGACGTTGGGAAGCAGGTTCTTGGATCGCTGATCTTGCATTTCCTCAACGTCGGAATTAGCATCTTGAAGCAACAGGGCGAGACCGTGTTAATTGCGATGAGCTTGAAGGAACATCACACATACAGTGGAGGTGATGACGATCCCGGTGGGGACCAATGTGACTGGTACTTTCTTAATCTACTGATGGATACTACGGTAGGCACTTTGGTACTTTGGATGTTGCTACGTGTGCTGGAAAACTGGCTCACATACCTGGGAGTCGAAAACATCGAGAGTGGTAATTACTACGCGGAGCCCTTGGGCGAACTGGATCTGGAAGAGGTATCCATTGAGAACCCAGGCGACGGAAACAACGGGCTGGAGCGCTATGAGCCGCTTTTCAGCGCATTTGGCAAGCAATTGATGATGTTTGTGTGCGGACTGGCACTGACAAAAATGTGTGTTTTCCTTATTTTAACGTATTTCGAGGTTTTGGCCGTGTGGTTTGCGGAACTGACCCTCAACTGGGCCAATCCCTGGCCCAACTTTCAGGTCTTCCTCGTTATGTTCGTGTTCCCGGTGCTTTTGAATTGCTTTCAGTACTTTTGGGTCGATAGCATCATCAAGTTGCATCCGAAGACCATGTCCACCAGCGAGCGGGAGAACTTTGAGGACACTTTTAGTTCCATAGCGGACGCTACAGGGAACAAGAACAGCTACGGTGCGACTACCTAGGGAGATACTTTAAATTTACTAAAAAGCTCAAGTATACGTCAGAGCACATAAACTCTCCAGAGACATACGTCCAGCCGTTTCAAAAACTGGAGAAGCATTTGTTCTCAATTGCGGAGCGTTCTTGAGCTTAACACAACGGTTTTGGTTGTCCTCTTCACGAACGAATGCCAAAAAAGTCCTCTTTTGGCAATAATCTTGCTATGCCCAAAAATGAAGGCCACTGTTAGAGGAAATTCCTGCAAAGCCTCTACAAGCGTGGTGCCAGTGTGTCGTTTGCTTGATGGCACGTTCACGACGTCACATGAAATGCCAAGTCGTCGATCTTCGTCGTGGAAGCCAGATTTTTTCGCGGAATGCAGTGCACATTTTTCGCGGAATTCGTGGACGCAGGTGAACAATGCTCAAGAATGGTAAGGCGGCATACCGAAAAGACTAAACAGCATACCAGTAGATGGAGCGCTGCGGTTTCGCGTTTTGGAACAGCATTCGTGGTTTAGCCACCCAGCTGCGAAGTATAAAAGAGAGACACAATTCTGGATTTCTAAGAATGTGAAGACGTTTTCGCGGTTAGAGATTCATACTTTCCAAAGCTGAACTTCGCTAAACGCCAACACTAAACTAGCCTGAGCCACTTTTACAATCGGTCTCGTCCACTCATTCGTCTTTTAGCGTTTTCACCTCTCAGTTCATCCAACCTTCGAGTCCTTCATTACATTATCGAACTTTCACGAATCAACTGCACTTCATGAAATTTTCCACATTGATCCCAGCTGTTTTAGCTGCCAGTGGACTTACATCTGCCATCGGTTACTCCAACCTCACCACTACGACCCTTGCACCCAGCAGCAAAGCCGTGTTGACCACGGAAACTACTGAGTTCACCAGCAACGGCAACGACTATACCTCTACGGTTACGCTTTTAACCACGATCACATTGAGTAATAGCGCTGCATCTGCCTCGGCTTCTACCCCTGCCTTGGCCTCTGCTTCTGCATCTGGTGCTGCTGGTGTGTCGGTCAGTGTCAACGGTAACGCTAAGGACGCAAATGCGCTTTTGACCACCTCGTCTGAGACTGAGATCTGGTCCACCATCACGTCCACTTTGTACACTACACAGAGCGTCACTATGTCAAACAGCCAGGTTTCTTTGTCGACCAGCGCATATGAGAAGCAAATTGTAGTAGGAACTTCCAACCCAGCTTGTGTTCCTCAGACGGTCACTGTCACCCAGGACCAGACCCATACCCAATACGTCACTGTCACCGCCTCGGGGCCTGCTGCGTCTTCATCTGCCTACACCTGGGCTCCAGCATCAGCTTCCATCTACAACGGAACCAGCACTGCCCGCTAGTGTCGAAAACGATAAACTGGACTCTCATTTCTGCAATTTCCCCTTTCTTAGGTATACGGTGTAAGCTTTTAAACATGTTATTCTGAAAAAGGACCACATTCATTCATGGCCGGGGGACGCCTTTGCCGTGCAGCTTGGTCGCAGCTGGCTACTGCTGCTGTCGTCAAGTTCTTAGCTCTTCACTGACGCAGTGCCAGAATAGTACAAAGTGATATGAGCAAGAAGGTGTCAATAGTATCGCAGAGGTTACCTTGTGAATGGTTGGAACGGCCTCACATGTTCTCTGATACTCTTTCTCACCGCAACAAGGTATATAGAGACTCATTAGAAGCTGAAAAAAGATGTTTTCGCATTTTTTCTTCCATTTTGGAAACGGAAGTCTCACCTAGGAAGCTAAGTTGACTGGTATCAGTGAACTGTCAAAGACATTAGGAATTGTTGCTAAACAGATTTATCTAGGGTAATCGAACATGCTTGAACTAATGGCACGGCTCAATTGACATCAGAAACCTCCTATCATGGTTTTATACTGACATGGAAAATTGAGTCACATGACCTTTCAACATACCATTTGAATATCAATAGCAGGAATCAACCATTCATAGTCCGTTAGTTCAACCAACTTCAGTGCAAGGTCTGGCTTGTAGAGACCACTTCAATTCAGTTTTGTTAACCACTTTATAGCTTATCCTAAACTACATAGAAAATGGTATAAACATGACCGGTGAGATCCGCAAATTGAGTGCAACAGTTGCGGACGCAATTGCTGCTGGGAAGTCCGTGAAATGCATTACCACTGCGATAGGAATGCTGTTGGAAAATAGTGTGGAATCTGGCGCCTCCGATGTAGAAATAGTTGTGGATCTGGATCACGACGCTTTTACAGTGCGGGACAATGGATGTGGGATGAACGCTGCAGATCTGGAATATTTTGGACGTTCTGGGTATTCTTCGAAAGCTGAGAAAAAGGGCTTGAAATGGCACCAGGGTCGCAGCATTCACATAATTTCGTGCATGGCGAAAATCACAACGTTCACTCGAGCTGGCGGTGATAATTCGGCTTTGTCCAAACTTCCCATGGGCGAGATACAATTGTGCGATTTTCCACTGCCCTTTGGGACGTCAATCATCGTAACAGACTTCTTCCACAACGTACCCGTTCGTCGTGAAGTTTTGCAGGCGACTCCGAAGAGTTTGATTTACGACAAACTTCGCTTGCTAGTTTTTGACCAGTTGGTGATGAACCCAGATCTGCAGATTTTGGTCACATCTGCAACTTTGCTGGAAAATGGATTCACCATTTTTGAATCTCGGAATTTGGGCCCGAATGTCTCTTCTGATGCCGAAAAGTTGTCCTCCTGCTTGCATAACGTTTTCGGTTCGTGTGATCAGAATTACGGGATGATGCCAGTTCATGCGCAGTTCAAAAGTTATAAACTCAATGGTCTTGTATCAACTGCGTTGACTTCCAACAAAGGGTTGCAGCTATTGTACATCAACGGCCAGAGATGTGAGGACGAAGCTGTTAAGAAACCGATATCGCGGCTGTTGTCGAACGTGCGATCTCCAGGAAGCGAAAGTGAACTTCACTCACGTAGACATTTTTTTCCGTATGTGCTCAAATTCTCCACTTCGTCTGGAATACCTAGTGACTTGCCCCGAATGCATTTAAAAGGCCACAGTGCCAGCAGTGTATTACAGTCCCTCATCACAAGCATTGTGAATACAGGCTTTAAGATTGGCAGCTGGTCACCCCGCAAGCGAACAGCAACCCTGTCAAGAAGAGATTGCAAACGCCCACTCACTCATAAACTAGCAACTGACGGCGTTTCTGAAGTACACTTCGCTTCTTTTAGGAAATCGGTGCTGAATACGTTTGCAGTCGTTAATCAGGTCGACAGAAAATTTATTCTTCTTAGAGCGACTAAAACCATCAAACACGACTTTCCGCTATTGATTCTTGTCGACCAGCACGCTTGCGATGAAAGAATCAAGCTAGAATCAATGCTTCAAGAGTTCATATGTGAATTTGCACTTTTTCCCCAAGCGTTGTTTGATGTGAACCTTCAAATCACATTAACACTGCGAGAATACCAAATCATTGAAGCTTACCGAACTGAGTTGTCTAAGTGGGGCTTGAGATATATTGTTGAGGACTTAGACGCGCAATCCTCCGAGATAGTTCTTATCATGACTACGCTGCCAAAAATATTGCAGCACTGCTCGAAAAGCGTTTTGAAAAAGCTGTTGGTATGGCACGCGGACGATCTACGTTTGTTCAGAAAGGCTTGTGTGGGTAACATTTCCGATACCGACAACTTTGAATGGTGGAAATATACGAAGTGCATGCCTTCAATTTTGCTAGACCTTCTACGTAGCAGAGCATGCAGGTCGGCAATCACATTCGGCAAAGAGCTTTCGAACACCGAGTGTGAGTTAATGGTAGCCGCATTGCGTAAGTGTAGAAATCCGTTCTACTGCGCTCATGGGCGGCCTTCAATAGTCCCCATCACCACCGACCGTCAAACTGCAGGTGTTTCATTCAGCTCTGACTATACTTTAGAGGCGGACTAGAAGCTAGATACAGTTTAGCAACACTGAGCTGCAGTTCAGAATCTGCATATGCAAAAATATTGTGCATGACACTGCGTAACAGGTGAAAGCACTCCTGCCGCTTTCCCACTAAAAGGAGGACCTGTGAGAGCAGTATGATGGAGTTACCCATGAGAAATCCATTTTTGGTGGTTGCAGCATGCTCCGTCACTTTTGATAGAATCGGCAGGGCCCTCACTTGTAAGCCACAGTCAACTAGAATCCGACACTTTGCCAATTGAAATCGATTTTCATTATCGACGTCAGGAAATGCTGATTGACATTCATGTATTCTAGAATTGATAAACTGCATGGCCTGGTCGTATTCACCTTGGGCCACCCAATTTTGTATGACCTGTTTCTCGAGCGAACGCTTGTCATGGTATGTTAAATCTGGTGCTTTGAGACGGGCTAGCAGCTGCGGTACATGGTCTAGCGAAGGGTCGTTTTGAGAGAGGTCACTTGGTGCAAAACTTTCATAAACTTGCTGCAGTGTTTTGGATCCCAAATACTCCCATACTTGAGCACTGTGTGCGGCCATCAGTCGCAAGCCGTTACTACGCTGTAACGCTAATAAGCTGGACTTGAAGGATGACTCGAGAATCTGAATTACAAAACCCGTATTTTGCATTGTCCACAGCGTGTCATAACGGTATCCCATTTCGAAAACGTACGAGCTCTGATCTGGCGGACAAGTTTTCAAGTACTGCAGGATTTGAGCTGTTGAAACGTGGAATTTGGTAGCCAGGTTTGGATATTTGCACATGAACTCAAATACCCACATCAGAATCAAATTTAGCGTGTGTGTATCTTTATTTTCGCGAGCCACCGCAATAGCTTCCTCGAACGTCTTCACGGCCGCATCACCATTGTGGAAATGCGCGTGAAATGATGCTAGCGACAATAAGGACAGGTAGAAGTTAGGTTCCGTGTTTTGACCTAGCATGTAGTCGAAATATCTGTATAGCAAGCCGAGAAAATCGTCGTAACGGTTTTGTCGTAGGTCTTCCAGACCTTTGAGTACATACACGACTGGAAATCGTGCCGTATCTTCAAGAGACATGTTGTCAATCAAATCTCTTGTTCGGTCTTGTAATGGCGAGTTGCTATACAACATGCAATGCGCTTCGTGTGCAAGTAAAGCGCGCAAATGATCATGGGAAATCATCATACACACGTTGCGGTCGTTATTCATCAAATCTGAATAGCGATCGTTCAATCCTGCGTCTTGCAGCTCTTGCAATCCGTCAAGATCTGCGTCGGACTCCAGAATAAATCGCATTAGTGGGCCCAAAGATGGTATTTCACCATGGAAGCCGGTCCAGTGGGGATGTTCGTCTCGCAGTTGTTGCATATTCCATCGCAGGTTCCGCCAAAGTCGTTCAGAGTCTTCAAAATCTTGCAATTGGTGCTTGGACATGCATTGACACACAAATTGTCCCAAAAGACTGTTCTTAGTGAGCTGCCGATCCAGGACACGACCCTGGCGAGCTTTAGCAGCTGCTCGGTAGTTTTCAACAATGCAATGGGTGTTAAGAACATTCATAAGTTTGTCAATGGCTCCCACTGTAGTGATACGCTCAAGCGATGCAACAAGAAGGAAGGCTGCTGGAGCACATCCATCATCTTCAAGTAGCTGGACAAGGTCCCAGATCATTGGTGAAATCACATTTGCCACGTCTGGAGCAGGTGTGCAACTGTCGAACGGTGCCAGGACTCGCGTGGGTCCACCTGGTGCTGGAATGAGCTTCAATAACGTAAGATGACCTATTTGTTCCGTATTCTCACAGAACAACGCTATAAGCACCAACAATGCCACCTCGTGGGGCGACAATGTATCTGTGATGATCACTGTACGCTTGGAAGGCATTGGACAGGGCCCTTAAGGATGCAAGGTTAGGTCCTAGACGGTTTAGTTGGTGTTTTTGTCGTGACAAGTGGATCTTCAAGACGACAACGACACAAATGAACCATGATGTTTTTAGTGAAGAAGACTGAAGCCGCGGTATCTACGTTGAATCGCGAGTAGTATTCAAGGCACTTTACGATTTCGACGATTGTGGCAAGGCTGCTGTTTTTATGAGTATGTACAGTTTTCTATAATTTTTGATTTGTGGAGGATTACGACCGTAGTTGAGACCTGAAATGTAAGGTAATGGTTCCGAGGTCTCGAGTAGAGCATCATTGAATTAATAGGCTAGTGGTGAGGTGTTTTCCACGCTTTGAAATGAAGTTCCCATGGTAAACATATCATCAATGATAGGGATGGAATGAATTGTACGATAATGTGAGAATACGATCAGATCAAAGCATTTTTGAATTGATCAAAGATTTTGCGGAGATTGATGAAGTATTGACCTGGTCACTAGAGCCTCTGCAACTGTCTCAATGTTTGGTAGTGTGGTTGCAACTTCCCGCGAATAATGAAATTGGGAAAACGCACCAAAGAGGCAGACTCGATTATACAGATATGACCGCTGCTCCAGGATGGCGATAGAAACCTATTAGTAGCCCTTCTAATGAACATTGATACCTGGCAGGCCAAGTTGTGCTGATGGTAGCGTGGCAGATGCTTCAGATGACACTTCAGTCGGAAGTGATAAGGTTATTGGAACTGTCGTCACAGAAAAAGCACAGTGTCAGCGATGATAAAGTCAACAATTGTATTGGTCCAGAGTAAGCTCCTCAGTGCGTGTGTGTTGTGCCCAAATGTGTTCCACTACTTCACTGTGTGTAAATGCTGCGAAAATTGTCCTCGAGAAACCATTAGGGACGTCAGTTGTGCCAGCGGAAAGCAGATTTCTTGATTTTATCCGGTTCGACCTCTCACATTGGCTTTTTCAACGCTTTCACAAGTCTTGTATCTATCACCATCAAATAAGCTTTGTATTTGTTCTCCCACGTCCCCTCCTGCCCCAACACATTCAAATTTCCCGATCCTGCCTCTTTTTATCAACAACTTCAGTAAGCTTCGGTATGTTAGCTTTTAGTGAACACTGAGAACCTCTGAGCTTCAGTCTCCCAGGTAATTTGACAAGCCATGAAAATAACCGTGTTGCTGTAATATACATACAGATGCACCATTTCGCGCCAAGTCACTGTTCCAACAGTTACTTCGTCTAAGTGTTACTCCATCTGATGTAGTTCCGCTGCTATGGTGCAGCGATCCATTCAAAAGCTATGATGAAATGTTCTAGCTTCATTCGGGGATGTGACCAGGTCGCAGGTATCATGGTGCAAGACATTGTTGTATATTTTAGTTGGTCAAGTGCTCCATGAGTAGAGCGCAGAGTATGGACGTACTCCAACGAAAAATAGATCAGGAAATGGAAAAAGGCATTTCAATCATCTTCGTGCATTTGGGGCACGGTGAGAAGTATTGTTTGATGTTGCAGTGGTCAAATATGGCCCTCTGAACAGTATTTGGAACACGGATTGTCGTAATAGCGGTGACTATCTCAAAAAGCGTTTTCAACCCTGAGATAGCAGCAAACTGCCCACCTTGTAGACGACATCCATTTCGTAGTTTTGACGATCATCTTCTCCACGATCAAAGTGCTGAGCAGCTCTATAATATGAGCGAGTGTACGTAGAACAAGTTTTCCGCAGATTATCGTGAAAAAGACCATGGCAGGGCTTCAGTCCTCGAAGACTCAGCTCATAGCCAATTCACACCATGTTCAGACATTCGTTCAACCAACAGACCTTTCCATTGGATTAATTGCGCATCACCTCGCTGCATAAACAGCGTTCTAAACTTGTCTACTCCAAATACCTACTCTCTGTCAAAATCAACGCATTATCAGGCAAAAGTCCTGGGACGGGCAACAAGACTCTTAGCCTTCTTCGAGTATCGTGAACCTCCAAAATCAATGCAAATCCGAGAATGCCGCTTTTCACAACATCTTCAGGCGGCGCAGACCTTGGGGCATAACTTATTGCAACCAAAGCATGTTGTAAATTACTTGCGTTGACCTCCACGGGCTTCAATCGGGCTTGTGGTGCTTCTGAAGATCCAGACATGACATTTTCGGGCTCCCATACAGTCACTGCGTCACATTCAACACCTACGGCGTATGGGCTCAGCACAGTCGAGGGGTCTCCATAGAAATAGTCTCTAATAGCACCGCTCTGCAACGCACGTATTTGAACATCTTCATTTAAAATCACCCCACTCGAGGTGGGCAAACGTACGATAGTCAATGTCTCTACCGGAAGTTCGCGGTGCAGTTGCACCGCGAGTGAGTCGTCTGGAGCGCAAACCACCACCGCATTGATATGAAAAAGTGTCACTATCTCATGTATCAAAGAAAAATCGTAGTTGTCATCTTCTCCATCGCCCAATTCACGCAATGCTGGAGTATCGACTACGATCCCAACACGGCGCAAAGCACTGTCATGCGCTAAGCGAGCGTCGAGCGACGTGGCAAGTTGTTGCAACTGCACTCTATACCATTCTCGATTACGCGAAATGCGCTCTAGCCCAAAACTTTTGACCAGAGGTTGTTTCGCATGCAACGCAGTTGCACCACTTGTTGTACTATGACCCCAACCATTGTTTTGAACATCGATCAAATCTGAAATGGGTGTTGCAGACAAACAACCGGGAGGCGTATATATGCACTGTTGTGGGTCCAGATTCACGACAACAGGGCCCTGGTCCCTGGTTTTGAGAGCGTAACTGCTCAACGTTTTGGCCAAACTTGTCTTTCCCGAAGCTCTTTTGCCCACGAGCAGTACTCTTGGGCCCTGGGAGCCCGCAGCACGCTGTTTTTCAAGTGCAAAGTGCAAATTGTAGACATGTAGAGCGTTTGTATCCTTTTCGCCAATGATTTGTTGTTGAACCAAAGTTCCCGTCCATTCCAACACCACGTCTTCGACGGCATGCAGCGCGAAGCTGGTATTTTGGAACCTGTAGCTTACGGCAACAGCTAGCTCTGTGCCAAAGATCTCAGCGATACCTTCTTGCACCGTGAGAGACATTTGCGAGTCGTTGCTTACTTTAACTCGCCATTCCGATCCTCCAGCGAGCTGAACCGAATGGGGCCCCGACAGTTCAACAGATTCTAACGCATCATTATCGTACTGGTCCAATGAACCATTGAGTCCCGGCAAAGAAGCCATTTGGTGATCGCTTTTCCGTTTGAACAAGCAACTGATGTGATAAACAGTAGTGTAAGATTAGTGATGAGATGATGGAAAATGATGAAAAATTGGTGAAATGGGCATATGTAGAGGGTATTTAGATGTCGTAGTGGTTGTTGAGATGAATTCATGCCTAATTGTTCACTTTGACTTCCCCCCCACGCAGGACCCACTCGGTCCAACTGCCATCGTAAAGCCGGACGTTGGGCACACCGGCGAGTTCGAGCGCAGTCTTGATGATTACACCGGATACACCGGTTCCACACATAGCTATAGTGGGCTTTGCGGGATCTAAAGAACCTTGATGTGTGGCCAAAGCTGCAGTGATACGGTTGTGCACAGTTTCGGAGTCTTCATCGAAACATCCGAATTCTGCGAGCGTGGAGGGAAAGGGCAATGATTGGGAACCGGCAATATGTCCGCTGGGTAGTCCAGGACGAGGTTCTGGGGCTTTGCCCGTGAAACGGTCCCAACTGCGAGCGTCAACAAGGTTGTAGCGATCTCTCAGCGTGTTCGATTCCACCAATGGCAATAATTCTTCGAACACTACCACTTCTTTGGCCCGGTTGTCAATATGAGAGTCGTAGTCCGATGGCTGTGGCAATGACGACACAGTGGTCCGTTTGGCAGTGTCTAGAGGCAATCCTAGTTGCTTATATTTGGGGAAGCTGTTGAGTAAGTAGACCTGAGGGTGTCCAAAGAGCGCAAAAGTCCAAGCGGCTCGAGGAGCAGAGAAATTCCCTGCACGATCGTACACCACCAACACGTCAGACTCACGAATGCCCAGAGATCGCATGCTGGAGTTGAAAGTTGGGAGGTCTGGTAACATGTGTGGGTAAGGCGAAGCCGGGTCTTTGACGACATCGATATCGAAGAACACCGCGTTATTCAGTCTTTCTATGGTCAAAAACTCGTTGTGTGCGTCCCTGCGGGTATGGGGCATGTACCAGGACGCATCCACAGGGATGACTCGGCGACTGGTTTCGCGGGCTAAAAGCTCAATGAAGGCTGGAGGGGTGAGAAGTTTGAGAGGCATATCAAAGGCGTTTCGAGTCAAAGGTGGAAAAAAGATTGGGGGACGATTGACAATCGATAGGTAAGGTAGAGACCCTTCAAAAGAGCGAAGTTTTGAAGGATGGTTGAGAATTCGAGAAAGTACTCGAGATAAGCTCTGTGGTGGTACTCGGAGATGTACTCGAGGATGTGGTTTCAAAATGTACTCGCCATCACACATCGAGTTTCTAGTGAGAGCTTAAGGCATCGACGACAGTAGTGCTGGAGATGCCCGGGAGGATAAGGATAGACCAGTATCGTTGCACCGTTGAGCATTGCTCGTGTCTGTTTCAGACACTTCACAACTTTGGCGGATCAAATAGGAGTTTGGAGTGGTTCTTGGGTAGTAAAACATAGGATTTTTGAAGCGTCGGTGGTGGGTGGTGCAAGTTTCTGACGGTGATACACTGCTGGAAATACTCACATGGAAGTAGCAATGGTTCGGAAGCGTTAGGACGCTAAGGAGCCCAATAAAGGTTGAGGGTGTCAGAATCTGAATTCTACAAGCACACACAAGTATCAAAGCTTGGACATCATTCGTGAAGACTAGCTAATGGAAAAGTAGCCTTGACAGTAGCCTTGACGGTAGCCTTGACAGTAGCTAGAAGTCGAGTTTGGACGACCACGTCAGATAAGCACGCATAGGAAATCAAAATGGTAGAATCGTGCATTCTCAAGTGGTTAGGGGAAACCGTTTGTGATTCAATGACGCTTGAACCTTTGACACAGTTTGATACCAGAATTGTAGAGAATGCTTACAATTTGTAGGAGGAAACGTTTCATATGCAGTAGTCGATACTGTCTCAGGGCCAGCGAAGCATTCAGCTTTTCAGCAAGTAATGGAAGTGACGAATCTTTCAAAACGTTTAAAAAGTAGACAAGCGACCGGTGAGTCCACCCAGGAAGCTCCTTATCTCCATGAAAGGCTCAAAAGCCATGCATTAACTTCTTTTTCAACGTGTTGAAGGATCGACCACTAGCTATTCCCTTGTGGTTCGATACTATTAAGAGAGTCAGTGAGAAATGACACAAACCTTAGAAGACAGTTAATCCTTGTAACTTCCGCGATCTTCGACCCAAAAAGTCATCAGCTGAAGTATCAATTTGCTGGACAAGAGCTTTTGGCTTCCACGATGTACGCTTGGTACTGCAAAGTTCGATATTTAACCGCTAACAGCTCCAAAGGATATACAGGTATGGATATGTAGCTAAATAAATAGTTGTTGCAAGTTATGAAACGCAAATTAGTGTGTATTAGACGCTCCTTTCCTTGATGACCGTTGTTGTGGTTGGGCGTGGTGAAGTTGACGGGATGTATATCAAGAGACAGACCGGAGTTTTGATGATGATGCTTAAGATGTATTCGTCTATGTACTCACGATACAAACAACTGATGGTAGCGACCCAAACCCACGCCAGCAAGCAATTGTGGGATCAATGTGTGGTTCTGGAGGTACTTGGTGAACCTGAGATGAGTTAGAACTGCAACTTCATAGATTTCTGGACCAAACAGTCAGAATCAGGGTTTCTTGAGGCGAAGGTTGATAACTTCAAGAGACAGTAGTCCATAACGGTGGAAAGCTGGCGATTCTGCAACTCAATGGTTATAATACCATTCGTGTCATAGTTGGACGTTTTCGGGACTAACGGTAAGCTCGTGAGGGCCAATATTACGCTCAGATGCTAACACGGTCTCTTGGAGGTGCGGTTTACAAGCATCACCTCTTGGCTCTTGAGTGAGACTGAATTTGAATCAAGGTTACAGTTAGCATTCACGAATTGGAAATGTTCCCTCATGTTTAGCAGCAGACTATGGTTTGTTTTCGGGGAATCATGTTCTGCCTGCAGAACATGGTGTAAGCTGAAATTACGATTTTGTCGTGTCAATCTCAGTTGTTCAGTAGTACTAATAGCCAGTACTACTATTCACGACTTTTCAGTTGTTCTTGGTGCCAAATCGTGATACAGTAACTGTGTATTCCAGCACTATATCATCGGCACTACAACTCACCTCTCACCCAATCCCCAAAGCTGCAGTCTGTCCAGCACTGCTTCTTCTAGTGCAGATTTGCTCACACTCAAATTCGACAGTTCACTCAAAGACGAGTCTGGGGCTTTCGCATCTCCTGGAATTTTCTGATTCAAGATCCTCGACCACCTCAGGTTCTTGGCACCCTCTGTAGCACCTTCTTCCTCTTCCCTAGCTTGTGACTCTTGACCACTCTCATTTTCCTTCAATTCATCCTCATCCTCATCCTCATCTTCTTCCAGTTCTTGTCCCACATCCAATCCGCGAGTCTTGGTCTCAATTTCATGTTCCAGCATTCGTAAATGCTTTGAAAACAGTCTGTAGCTCCTCTTCCGCAGGAAAAACTCCGGTGTCTCGAATTCCCGACTCAGTTTGGACCAATCGATGCTCTTGTTGTTGCCAAATCGTGATATCTTCAACCACAGTTTCTGGTCCTTTTCCAGGTCCCAATAGAACTTTGGAGGCTCTACAAACCCTTCCCTATCGCGTCCGGCAACTTTGACATAGATTACGGTATTGTCAGCGTCCATTAGGAACCGATTTAAAGATACTTTCAGGATATGTTCTTGATTCTTGATGGTGAATGCAGTATATGTAGCTTATATTGGGCTCATCTCATCTCATCTCACTCGAAAAACACAACAAACTTGGGACAATGCCAGCATGGGCAGTGCTACCACGTCAAGTGATCCCTTCTCAGCTCTTTCCCAGGACTTGATTCATGTTCAGGTCAACACTTATGACGCTTACCATGAATTTCCGGGCGATTTTGATCGAGACACCGGATTAAGTTTACCAGACCGGAAATTTGATGCTGTGCCCGTAATACGAGTGTTTGGATCGTTACCAAGCGGCCACAACGTTCTGTGCCATGTGCACGGAATTTTTCCGTACATTTTTGTACCGTATGATGGTCGAGAACATGATTCTTTGGGTGTGATGCGATCGCGATGTGCTAGCTTTCATCTCAAACTCGAAGAAAGACTTAGGGAAGTGTATTCCCGGGGCAAGAATGGTGATGATGAGAACGGTAATGGTGGTGAAAACGCCAAGTCTTTGAAATATGTAGCAGACGTTTCCCTCGTCAAAGGTGTCGACTTCTATGGTCACCATTCTGGATATGCTGCGTTTTTCAAGATCTCACTTCTGGCTCAGTCTTCAGTGGGGAAAATATCGGATCTCTTGCGGGATGGAAAGGCCACAGGCCGCAAGTGCAAAGTATTTGAAGCCCATATACCCTATTTGTTACAGTTTTCCACAGATTACAGTATCTTTGGGTGTTCATGGCTTAGGTTGCACCGCTGTTACTTTCGAACGCCCGTCCTCAACCCGGATTTTGCCCAAGACTCATTGCTGATGAACGATGACCTCAAGAGGTTTCTGCTCAGGTTCCATAACGGACCAACGACAGAATCCGGAACAAATGTTCCAAGAGTGGGCAACAGTCTTTTAGAGATCGATGTCGTTCCACAATTCATACAGAATCGCGAGGATATCACGTACAGGGATCTTCATAATTCACTCTTCGAAAAGTCTCTGGATGAAAAGGAAGAAACACTATTTATTCCATCTACTAAAGAGTTGTGGACTCAAACGTCCCAGTTGCGCAAAGAGTTTGGTCTCGATGATTTCCAGCCAGCATCGGAAGGCAAAAGGCCCAGTTGTCTCCCGCAGTGGCAGAGTCATGATGAAAACTTGCTTTTCTTACAAAAGGCTAAAGAACGAATGTCTCATCGCAGCAAATTGAAAAACCACCAAGTCAGCGCGAGTGCTGTAAGCAACTTAAACCTGCCTCAGACGTCTCTAAGTACTCTTTGGCCGTCGTTGGATGGAAGCAGGTCTCATGGAATGAACGGGTCATTTATAAATTCGAACGAGACACCTGTAGAGTTCGTCGTCTCCCGAAGTCCTTCACTGCTAAGCAGCGGTTCCTCCGTGGTGGAATCCGAAACTGATTTGAACGATGGAGAACGCGCTTCCCCGGGGCAAGCACCCGATAAACTTGATGAAATTTCTGAACCAGCCGCCATTAGTAACCCGAAGGTCACACCGCTGTCTTTTGATGATAATGTTCTGACTCAAGCGATGGTGCATAAACGGAAAAACTCCTGGGCTGCGCAAAATTTGGAGAGACCCGTGAAATTGCGTAAAAAGTTGGACCTTCAACGTTCAATACAGGAGTTACCGGGATCTTTCAAGTATAAAGAATTTGATCTTGACCACGCTAGTATCCTCACAAGTCTAGAAGACTTGGGCTGTCCCAAGATTAAATACAGAGACCCCTTCTTCGGAGAGCCCGAAGATCTCAAGAAAAAAGATCATGTGTACTCAGGACGTAGATTCCTGATTCAATCAACGCATTTGACCTGCCGAAGGCCGATTGACTTTGGCGGAGAAACAGTGCGCTTGGAATCTGATAATTCTGTTGAATCGGGTAATGATATCTCCTGGAAGTACGCGATGGAGCCGCCTGGATACTCTGAAGTTCAAGAATACACTTTGTCTCGAAAGCGCAAGTTTCGTTCTCAAATCGATTTCAAGACTTTAAGCAACGAATTCGGCTACAAGTTCAAAAGTAACAATTCTTTGAAGGGATTGAGTACTGGAGATCATAACACTCTGTCTCACCTTACCCTCGAAACATTTTCCAAAAGTAGAGACATGTTACTGCCTGACCCCGCAAATGATCCTGTCGAGCTGATATTTTGGCAGATAGAGCCAGGCTCTTTACCAATTGACTTCGGAATCTCTAGCGATGGTGTTATGGCATTTTGCGCGGATGAAGATAACGCATTTGCAGCTCGACTAGAAAGCGCTGCAAGACCAACACCTGTTGCCATCTATAATTCAGAGGAGGAGATGATAAGCGGTTTAGTGGATCTGGTACTTTTGCTTGATCCTGATATTCTCTCTGGATTTGAAGTGCACTCTAGTTCGTGGGGGTATCTTATAGACAGATGTGATCAGGCGTATGACCGCGATTTTTGTGAGGAGATCTCAAGAGTTAAGCACAAGCACTTCAACAAAAGAAAAGACGTTTGGGGGTTTTCACACGATTCGGGAATTCACATAGCTGGAAGGCATGTGTTGAACTTGTGGCGTTTATTGAGGTCTGGTCTAAATCTCTTGAAGTACACTTTGGAGAATATAGCATTTCATGTGTTGCATGAACGATTAGCTCATTTTCCGCCTGCGGAATTGACCAAACTCTGGAATGCCAACTTCGACATGACAGGACTTACTACTTTGGTGTCATACTGGAAGAAGAGAACGGAAGTTAATATCAGATTACTCGAAAGCCAGCAAATTATTAACCAAACCGTGGAACAGGCGCGATTGATCGGTGTAGATTTTTATTCTGTTATTTCCAGAGGCTCTCAATACAAGGTCGAGTCTGTTTTGGTACGCCTTTGTAAGTCTGAACATTTTCTTGTTTTGTCACCTAGTAAGGTCCAGGTGAGAAACCAAAAGGCTTTGGAATGTATCCCACTGGTCATGGAACCTGAGTCAGCATTTTATAAAAGTCCGCTGGTTGTTTTGGATTTCCAGTCACTGTATCCATCTATTATGATAGGATATAACTACTGTTACTCCACGATTCTGGGCAGAGTTCAAGAGTTGAAAGTTAAAGGAAGTGAAGTCGGCGCAACCAAGATAAACATTCCCAGAGGATTTTTGCAAGAGGTAAAGGACTCTGTAACTGTTTCACCCAACGGTGTTCTGTTTGTTCGGGAGAATGTGAGGAAATCCATGCTTGCTAAAATGCTGGCTGACATCTTGCACACTCGCTTCCTTGTCAAGAAGACAATGAGCGACCTGAAAGCCAAAAATGAGACAGTTTCCAAGTTGCTCAATAACAAACAAATAGCTCTGAAGTTGCTGGCCAACGTTACTTACGGTTATACCTCTGCTTCATTTTCCGGCAGGATGCCGTGCTCAGATGTTGCCGATAGCATCGTGCAAACCGGAAGGGAAACTTTACAAAAAGCTATAACTTTAATAGAAGAAAGAGCCGAATGGGGTGCAAAGGTTGTTTACGGTGACACCGATAGTTTATTTGTTTACCTGCCGGGAAAGACTAAAGAGGAGTCTTTCAAATATGGCAAGCAAATGGCTGCAGAAGTCACAGCCTGCAATCCATTCCCTGTCACTCTGAAATTCGAAAAAGTGTACCACCCGTGTATTCTGGTTAGCAAAAAGAGGTATGTGGGATATTCTCTCGAGAAGGAAAACCAGAGAGAACCCAAATTCGACGCCAAAGGTATTGAAACTGTCAGAAGAGACGGGCACCAAGCGCAACAGAAAATAGTAGAAAAATCTCTGCGTATTCTTTTCGAATCTCAAGATCTGTCTGCTGTCAAGGCTTACGTCCAGGACCAATTCCAGAAAATCACGAAGGGACAGGTTTCAGTCCAGGACTTCTGCTTTGCACGCGAGGTGAAGCTTGGGTCTTACAAAAGTGATAAAACGGCACCTGCAGGTGCCGTGGTTGCGCAAAAGAAGACGCATCTGGATCGCAGGGCAGAACCCCAATATCGGGAGCGAGTTCCTTACGTGGTAATAAAGGGTAGGCCTGGTCAGATTCTGCGCGAGCGATGCATCCCACCAGAAGTGTTTCTTTCAAACGAGAATTTCGAACTGGACTCGACCTATTACATCACCAAGACACTGATTCCGCCCTTACAACGATTTTTCAATCTTATGGGTGTTGACGTCACACGATGGTACGTTGAAATGCCTCATTTCAAAGACATGAGCTACAAACAGTTCAAAGAGGGCAAAATGCCTGATTTTATGCGCTCCACGTTATGTTTCAATTGCAAAAAAGAGATTAGAGATAAAAGAATCAACAATCTTTTATGTGCAGAGTGTTTGATTCAAAAGCCACTCACCGTGACGGCTCTTTTGCAGGAGGATATGGCAGTTAAAAAGCAATTGGGTACTATTTTGACTGTTTGCAGAAGCTGCTGCGAACCGTTGACCAAAAATTTACAGGATGATATGTCAAAGATCGTCACGAAGTGCGATTCTCAGGATTGTCCCGTGTACTATTCCCGGATCAAATATAAAGGATACGTCAATACTGATAGATCTCGACAACGCTTGAAACTGCTATCAGAGCTGGACAATTGGTGACCTAGCCTTTTACTGACACCAAAGTAACCAATACTCGAAGTCCATTACACATCACGTGATATTGACGTAGTAAATTTTCGATGCTCATCGCATGGGCATCGAACTTGAGCAGTGTCTAAAAGCTTTTGACCAACAAAATCTTTGAAGAACGGTTTTGGAACGAAAGGAGTCGTTATCAGCATCGATATCATCCCAGGAGTTTAATAAATCACGAACGACACACCGGTACGTTTTTCAAACTAAGAAAATGACGTTGTCAAGGGCTTTGTCGAAAATTCAAAAGAACCAGAAAGGAAAGAGTGTTGCAGTCCACCCAAAGGGCCGGAAGTTTCAAAAGCTGACAACCGCTACCTTGCGTGAAGACAAAATCGCTGCGAAAAAACGGCTCCACAACGAACGCAGAAGCCATGAACTCGGTAGAGTCAAATTCTTGCAGGATGTGGTGAACATGGACACCTTCAAGGACAGAGAAACATTCACACTCGAGGAAACCCTCATTTTTGCCAAACAGTACATTGGTCGTGATGACGAAGAGTTGAGCGAGCTCAAAAAGAAGAGAAGATCAAATAGACCACCCTCCAACAGACAGATTGCCTTGCAGCAGAGAACAGACACGGAATTGAAGGAACTGGAAACCGGGTTTCTTGTGCCGGATCTAACAGAAGCTGCAAACGTGGAGTTTTTGAGAAAGTGGAATCAAACTTTTGGGTCCATGACTACTTTGCAGCAAATCAGGATTAATGACAAGGCCGAAAGAGTGATTGGTGGGAACAAAAGTGCTCAAAAGAGTGCTGCAGATGTAGAAATGAATTAGTTGGCATTGTCATCGTAAAAGCGTTATATCTCTTGCGCATGATGATGGTATTTTATCGAGTTCGTCGCCTGCAAACGCTGCTGTCTGAGCTCGAAACCATAGGTTGTGAAGCCCGCGAGCAAAATCGCGAGTACAACGTTTGTTGCTCGAGAGAATCCTGTTTTACCTGCACCTTCGGCGCTCCCCCGCTTAAATACCAGTTTGCGTGCTCCGTCTACCAAAGAGTCCCCAATTAGTTGCCATTTATCGCGCTCAAGATCTGTTATGACTTTCAGCAGATGCTCTGGTGATTTGCTGCTGCCATTTATCACCGTGAACAGGTCCTTGTACTCTATATGTATATTAGTCAATTGAGCTTTCCATGAAGTCAGCAATCGAGTCCCTTTTTCCAGATCATATATAAGCAATTCAGTAGACATTGCCATTGGAGCTTGATTACCTCTGTTATCCGGCTGGGCCATACCTAGACCTCTCCAGTGGAAAATCTTGGAAAAAACCGATCTTCTTCGAGACGTATTGTTTTCGAAAAGGAGCATACCTGGGGACCATGCAGTAGGATTTGCGGAATTCTGGTTCCATTGGTATTTTCTGGTCTGTTCCGTTGCAAATTGTCGTTGTTCTCGTTTTGATTTTTCGGTTGTTTGCAGGAAACTTTGCAACGACGACAAATTTATATCACCGGGTCTGGTCATAGCGGGTGGTTGCCATTTTGATTCTGGACCTGGCTTTGTAGTACCAGTATTGGCCATTCCAAGACCCAAGGTATCTAAAGTCCTGTGAAATTCTTTTGGAGTGGATGGATGCAGTTCTAACAAGTCCGAACCGGCCTTTTGAGCAGTTCTCAGAGTCTTGGTCTTTCTCTGAGGCTCTGCTACATTCACCATACCCTCTTGCTTCACAAAATGCCCGTTCCAAGCCCGGTCGATGTGCCGAGCGCTGACTTTACCCTGTAAGATGAGTTGGAACAGTTTTCGCAGCTGTTGCAACGAAGCTGTGGTGTCTGGCAACAATTCCTTCGCCAAAATAGACACAGTTGCGTTCAATTGAGTGTCCAGAGAGGGAAACTTTCCGGTTTTCAGTTGTTGTTCCAGGGCAACGAGTAAAAGGTGTCTGTTCTGCTTACTTGTATTGTACTTCAAAATGCTCATATCGCGGCTGTTGGAGGCTCGTTTGGAAGCCCTTGTTCCGTAGAATCTCAATTCCAGCCTTATAAACAGTCTAGTCCCTTCAATCATCTGTTATTTCCGCTTTTACTGTTATTCCATTAACCAGATCTCAGACATCTATAAGAATTCAACGTTAATTTAAAGAAATGCTCTGTACCTTGAACTAAACTTAAGCCAAAGTCAACCTAAAGCCACCAATTGAGCCCTCTAGCACTCTCGAAAACAATGTCCAAGGACCCCGTTAATCTCGACAACATTTACGCTAACAATGTGGGAACTTTCGCCAAAATCGTCAACACGGTGCTGCCTGTAACGTATCCAGAAAAGTTCTTTGACGAACAGTTCGATGCGAAGAATAAATCAACCTTCTTTGGCCAATTGGGCTACTTTGGCGAGGTAGCAGTTGGTGGTGTAAGAGCTGAGCTCATTGCAAACAAGAATGGAGGCGTGAAACCTGCAGGTGTGTATATTCAGGTTTTAGCAGTGCTAGCAGCGTATCGTGGAAGAGCCATCGGGTCTAGGCTTCTAAGCTATATAGAGGAACAGTCCAAAGAGCATTTTCAACATAAGATCTTTGCACATGTGGCAGTCGATAACGAAGAAGGTCTGGAATGGTACAAGAAGCATGGTTTTGAAATCGAGGGTTTACCACTCAAAGACTACTACAAGGACACAACTGGATCACCAGATGCATACGTTTTGGTCAAACAGGTATGAGGGCTGCGGTGCCGCAGTTGATCCTGGGCAAAACAGCGTTCAAAAAACAACAAAGCGTTGAAATGACTATATACTTTTTTTATCATTAGGTGCACCAACTAACCAGCGAATTTTGGTGATTAATTTTCAGCGGAGTCGCCCTCTGCTTTTGTATCACTCACACGCCCAGCTTCAGGTTCTTCATCATCGGTGTCTGTGTCGATGTCTGTGTAGTCGCTCTCTTCTTCATCTGACTCGTCGTTGCTGTCATCGTTTTCGTCCAATTCGCTGTCGTCTTCGTCAGACTCGGAGGCCTCATCCGCAGCCTCTTTCTCCATCTGCTCAACGGGCGATGGATCACGTACGGACAACGACAAGGTGAAATCTAAATCGGTGCCGAAGTATTCTGTACTTTTGACAATGACTCTGAAAAAGAAATCGCCTTTTTCTTCCGGAGCAGGCTGGCTGAAGGGGATCTTGATGGAACCAATGACCCAATCCTCTGGTTTGAATTCTTCATCCAAATTCTTGACAGTTCTCTTGTCGAAATCTTTGTTCAGATTTTCGAACGACAATCTATCAACCAGCATAGGAGTCTGTATAACTTTGCCATCCTTTTGAAGAACGACTAAGGCACACCAACAACCGCTACGTTTGCCAGGGTAGTAAGGCGCAAAAGTTTGCGGCAGTTTGGGTTGTTCCAAGAGAGATGCAAATGGGTCTTTCAAAGATTCAAAATCATCCTTATCTTGACACATCTCGTCGGGAATCAAATTTGGTGGGAAAAATTTGTGCTTTGCAGAGCGCACAAGTACCTTTAGCGAAATGTGAGGCATCGATTGAGGTGTCACTACACTCTCACCAGGAACCTTGAATTCTGCTCTGATCAATTTCAAGTGTGGAATGGAAGATGCAACACTCAACGTTTCTTGCAGCTTGGTACTGTCGTCTATGCCTAATATTTTGCCGATCTTGGCATCCTCGTACGTGAATAGCTTACCAATGGTACGAATGTCGTCCACGGAGCCCTCTGTCAAGCTTTCTGCATTGACATTAGGAAGCTGGAGAAGTTGTGAATATGGCGAAATTGGGGTTGCTTGAACAACGGCTTTTAAAGTGTCAATTGTCATGTTTGAAATTTCCAAGTTGCGGAACGTGGTTGCGATATCTAACAATCCAAACAAAAGAACGTTGCTTTTAGCTACAATTCTGAGCTTTGCAGTTTCAAGGTTTCCGCTATGCTTACGGTTGATCTGGTCATGTAGCAAAGTTTCGAAAGTTTTTTCGTTGAGTTCAGGAAACATAAGCTTGAATTCTTCAGCATGCGACAGCCATTCTATAATGAGATCCAAGGTTACCACTTGTGAAGGCTTGTAATTGAAAAGACGGTCAGAGAAATAGGATGCAGACTTGACGTGAATGCCCTTTTTGGTCACAGATTGTGTTCTAGACCACCATCTGCTCACAAAGTAGGGCAAGACAAGTCCTAGGAGAGCGATATATGTTAAAATCATAATTGTGGAAGCAGAACTGTCGACCAAAAATTTTGGCAAGGCAATTCCGTGCGAGATGGCTTGTGGACCGTCTGGATGGCCATATTTGAGGTAATTTTCGCGTGTAATCTCGTCTGTTAACGACTTGTAAGCCTTGGTAATCAACACATATTGTTCTTCAAGCACAGAACGCTGCTCAGAGCTCAAGTCCTTGGAAAGTTTATCCGGATGAAATTTGACGGAGAGTTTACGATATGCGGAGCGAACCTCACGATCAGTTGAGGATGTAGATATGTCCAGTAGCGCATATGGATCAAACAGAAGGGTTGCTGCATCCTGAATCTCTTCATTAGAACCGATATATTGCACCAAGTATGCCACTACAGTCCAGCCTGCAATAATGAAAAGGTTGCGTTTGGCAAGCCATTTAGACTTTTTCGCCATAGCTTTCGCTCTGAATTCAAGAATTTCACGACTCGCGTATTGCTCCGACATCTCACCCAAGATTGATGCTTGGTCTTTTAAATGCTGCTCACTTTTCTTTCCTGAAACCAGTTCCCACAGTTGCATTGCCGTTAATGGTACTAAAACCACACATAAAACGGCTAAAATGAAAAACGGCCAAGTCTCCGAGCTCTCATCGTAGTCATAGCTTTGTGGCATGGTCGATGGAGTCACAAATCTAAGGTCTCTGGAGGGATATGAAGGTTAAACAAGTATGGTGTTCAAAGCTTAAGATGAGCGTGTCATTTGAATAATATTGAGATCTGAAATTCTAGGTCACTACGTACGAGACATCATGTGATGGATTTTTGACTATAATAGTGACCAGTTGAAACGATACAAGGCGTAGGTTTATGGACTGTTATTGTTTCTAATGCGTCGTCGTATAAATTTGGCTAACGTTTGAGGTGTCTTTGAAAACTTCGTTTTTGTTTTTGGGGAATTTCTGAGAAAACAGGGTACGTCGTTAGTGTACTCGAGGCATGGAGAGTTTTGCAGAAATAGAGCTGGATGTAGTTCTGGTAATGTACCGAGCAAGCTCGCATAGGAGATTGTTTGATAAATGACAGAGAGCGAAATCCTCGTAGTCACGTGACACATGTCAGTGACAGAAGATCTATGACATGGAGTATCTCAAGTTAACGCACAATCAGATATGAGTTTAGGTCCCCCGAGTGAAAATACGGAGTGTTTCGACGTTGGGGACCTGAAAAACTCTAGTGACTTGAACTGGTTTTGAAGCCGGATTACATTCCTTTGTATTGAGGAATCTCTATAATAAGAGAATTTCTATCATGCCTTGAGGTTGCTAGATGATTTCTGAAACTCGAAGAAAGGTCTTTGCATTATTTCTGGACTGACACAAGCAGCAACTTTGAAGGTTTCTTTCCTGATCAGATTTTGTATATCGCAGTTTTCACTTTCATCCCGAGCAAGGCACTTTATCAAATGATGAGTTTGCGGCAAAACAACGTCAAATTTTGCCCCAAATCTCGAGAATTTTATCTACGGAGCAGCCTTCAATTGGTTCTGCTTTCTTTATCTGTTTTCCATGAAATATCACACCGCACTTAACCTCTTGAAGTGTGTTAAATCTGCTGAAAATTGTAACACTGAATTTTTTCGAATCTTCTGAATTCTCTTGGATTATCAGACGACAGTCTCGTGGAATGCTCATGTACTACCTTAATCTCTCACTTCTATCGTGCTAGACAAGACATGGCTTCTTCGTACCACTGTGATAGCTGCAAAAAAACATTCTGTCAAAATATCAACACAGGACAAAAATTGCGCAGAAATAAGCCAAGAAAACAAAAGTCACATCAACAATTCTAATAGCGTACCACCATCCAACTGCGGCTCAGTTCTCTCTTCTAAGGCTTGCTGGAATTCTTTGTAACGATTTTGATCACTTTGTACTAATGTGACACTGCTGTCTGTCACTTCCAATATTTTATGCCTTTACAACACATTTTCAACTGTAAGATCAATCAAAATTGAGACTGACAACATTATAAACTGTTGTAAAGCTCATTTTCTCCCTAAAATCGCTGTCCACCAATTTTCAGAAAATTATTCAAAATGGTCACAACTTGACGCTCAAACTAGCTTCAATGAACCCAGTTAAAACAATTGAAAGCTAAGAAATTCAAACCATCGATTAGAGGCTATTTATGAACCAAAACCACACTCATTATGTGGAATATTAATCAGTTTGAGCCCAAAACCGTATAACGCGATATTATTCAATTAATAAAAAGTTTTACCAAGTTAAACCATCAATGAACAGAATTTAACCAAAATAATCCAGCTTTCAACTGCAATTGGCACATCGGCAAGCTTTGCTTGGCTTCCAAGTACCCGTCAATTCGAATTAGCACGCTTCGAGGGAATTCTGTGATGCAAAACATTTATCAAAATCCGAACGCTTTTGCTCAGCCAAATCCGTTAGATAAAAGAGTGAAAATCAGCGTTAGAGGCTGGCAAAATGCCACCAGACAAGACCTTGTGAGCTTTGTGAGCCGTAAAACGAGAATTGGCATCGTGGACTCGACAGTAGAAGGTAATCTGGTTGTCGGATTTGTGAATAGTCAAACGGATGCCCAGTCATTACTGAACTGGAACGGGGTTCGGTTTGCAGGTAATGCTTTGAAATTCGAGATTTTGGGTAGTGGCACAGGGGATGCTGGCACGTCGAAAACCATTGTGCTATTGAAATCGTTCTTGTACAAGCGTTACAGTCCTCAGACGAAAATGCTAGATTTAGGGAATCTCCGTAATGACCCCGATCTGGCTACCAACGGACTGTTTTCGTCACAGACCACTCAGTCCAAGATTTTCCCGGCTATGATGAAACTGGCATCGAAAGAATCGCAACTCGTGGTAGAATCAATCAATCTCTCTGACAACGATCTGAGAGATTTGAACATGATCTCGTGCCTGGCGCAAACGTATCCAAATCTCAAAAACTTGTGTCTGGCCAACAACCAGATTTCCCGTTTCCGTGCTTTGGAAGTTTGGAAAAACAAGTTCAAACAACTGCGGGAGCTTTTAATGATGAATAATCCGATCACCACCGAACCTTTGTATCAATCGGAAATACTAAGACTCTTCCCAAGACTTGTGATCCTTGACAATGTGGTTGTGAGGAATGAAGCTAAAATGCAACAAGTGTTCTCCATACCCATGAAGTTACAGCAATTTTTTTTCGAGAACAACGAACTAGGAGCTTCTTCTCTCGAGTTTGTGAGTAATTTCCTCACATTATGGGACACTAACAGAAATCAGCTTATGGCTTTGTACACACCACAGTCCCAATTCTCTGTGGCTGTCGACTCCTCGGTTCCCGCCTCTAGTGTGCCCAATGCAGACCAAAATCCAACATTTGGTTATTACCTCCCACTTTCACGCAATTTGACAAAGGTATCCAGCGAAAGAACCAAACAGCAAAGACTCGCCATGGGACCGGAAGCTATCGACAAGCTTTTTAATTCCATGCCCAAAACGAAACATTTTCTTCAGGAGCAGGCATCCAGCTATTCGGTAGAAGCTTTTTCATATGCACAAGTTCAAGGTTTCACAATTACATTGCACGGATACTTTGACGAAGTAGCTCACCCTGACCTGGACGCCAATAAATCCACGCCCAACTCGGCTGGTGGTCGTAATCGGCGTTTCAATCATGGTCATGCCAACACAACCAACAAACTGGCCAGAAAATCATTTGATAGAACGTGGGTCATTGTGCCTTCGCAAGGCACCGTCATTATTGCATCCGACCTTTTGAATATAAGAGCGTATGTGGATGGTTCCTGGGTAGCTCAACAGCAAGCCCAGGAGCCCTTGGTTCAAGGACAATCACCAGCTCCCCAGCTAGCCTCCCAGCCCGTACAGCCCATGCCTCAGAATCCTTTACAACCAGCTGTTTCCGGCGTACCGGCGACCGCAATGCCAACAGCTCCTCTAACGTTACCAGCTGATGTTCAGGCAAAACTAAATCCTATTCAACTAGATCTCCTCAACAGACTACATCAACAGACAAAGCTCAATGCAGAATTCACCTACATGCTAGCGGACCAAAGTGGCTGGAACTTTGACGTGGCCATGAAGGGATTTCAGGAAAGTGTAAACAACATACCTCGAGAGGCTTTCATTTGATAAAGAAACTCAAAAATTATGCATGAAGGTCAGATCTCGAAATCTGTCTTTCCACAGTTAAAAGGTCTTCCATAAAGTACACAACATTTATTTAGACAAAGTCAGCATTTTGTGATTCTAGATTGTCGAACCGTGTTTGAAAGACCTGAGTGAACGTTTATCTTGACAATGTTCCTAATGGTGACAGAATTTATGGAGCGACAACGACAGTGTCAGAGAAGAGTATGTAAAAATATTTAAGCTTCGAAATCACAAACAGTTTTGAGTAGAGCCTGACAGTACCCATTAGTGGTGATTTTGGCTCATTATTGTTCCCGGCACTTGAGTATGAGAGCGATTCCGGTTCCAAGAAAGTCCAGAGCTCGGTTCTTGCGACGCAAAGCAGGACGCTTATATCAGGTCATGTCATTTCGCAAAGTTAGACGCAAGTTCAATCTACACCAGATACATCAACTTCATCGAAAGAATGCCAAAAAGTTTCGACGAAAACCTTTCGATGCCGGAAAATTGATGACACCAATTGTGGCAGGTGATGGTGTGAACTTGTGGTCTGGAATAGAGTCCCCAGCAGCTAAAAGCAAGCCACTGCTCATTGCATCATTCCCAAATGGATATAATAGGTCACCACGAGTAAAGGTGTTGCAGAAAAATAGACTCTCGAAATTATGGATCAGTCGCAGGCGGTACCGTTTGCGTAAATACAACCCAGGATTGCAAAAGTCTCAAATCCCAGGAGCTGAGGTAGGCTATGAGGATTGTGTACGTAGCTGTCGTACTATTAAGAGACAAGCTTCGAAATATGCAGACGTCAAATTCATCTTCGAAAGGCAGAATGTAATGAGGACTGTGTGCATTCCCAATGGCCATTTACCGGACCAGAACCCACGGCTGCTAGAGTTTCATCCAGATCACAGCATCAGATTAGAAGATTTTCCGTCTTTGCAGCGACCTGAGAACAACGCTGAAGGACCCGTTGTGATAAGCATGGATGCAGGGCCAGGTTTTCTGTCACTCGTGAAGCGGAAGGTCAAGTCACAATTAGAAATCCTAAACTGGAAGATCAGCGAGTATCTGCCTCGAACATCATTGCTGGAGCACCCTGATGTTATTATCTGGAGCACCATTGCTCCTCCTGTAGATAGCAGGGAAAATTCCGCTGACGCTGGCGCACAAACGCTTCACGATAAAATCAATGCTCTTGTTGAGGCTTCAAAACTAGCCGGTACTGCCTTTAATAGCTACAGTCGCATGCTACAAAAGCTCGAAACTGTCTCACCGGGCGCCACCCGTACTATTCGAAGGGCCACGGCCAGACGTGTGGCCCGGCAATAGTAACTGCATAAATACGAACACTAAATTTAAAAGACCAGCAAAACCAATTGTCAAACGTCAATTGTTGACGCCTGCCTCTGGTACCAGTTTTCCAATGCACGGGTATTTCTTTTCGAAGTGCTCCAACCAGCCATCAAGAGCTTCCATGTCCTCTTTTCCCAAATCTGAAAGATCGTCCATTGGTTGATCCCAGTGTCTAAGAGTATCTAAATCAAACGAATTGGTGGCAAGACCACGAGATGCGTCGTGGCCCGCAAAATTCGAGTAAGGTCCGCTAGGACCATAAAACTGTCTACCCTGCGTACAGTCGAAAACTTTACCCTTGATAGCCAAAAAAATCTTCTCATGGTCGTGGCCGTTAAACTTATAAAGGGTTCTAGGGTAAAAAGTTCCCTCAACAATAGGCTCAGAGGTGTTTTTGCCGTCCTTGGGCGAATCAGAATCGCCTGTAACGCCTGTTGGATCTTCACTTGTCTTGACACCTCCGAATAGTAAATTCTTGACGAATGACATGTTTTTACGCTAAATTAAATCAAATGTGTGGTAGCTAGAGTGACTTACAACGCCTTGAAAACGCTTATGATTCGCGTTGGGGATGTATGCAGGGGTCCAAGTTCGTTTGGGAACAGGAAACCTTTAAAATAAACGAAATATATTCGAAAAGCGACAGTTTGGATAAAAGTGATCTAGAGCGGATTCAAGTCTGATGTGGGGTATAGACGATGGAATGTATGTAAGGTGTCCTAAGACTCCGATCCACCTACAGGCCTCTTTGGTATTTCTTTCAAGGCTATTGCAAGGTAATATTTCTATCCGGGTGGTATATTTGTAAAATTTTCTATGCTCACACTTCTTGAGAATTGTCAAGAAAAAGTGCCGAAGATTGTTGAAGCAGGTTTGCGGCAATTATGATTTGGTTTTGAGCACGGGGCTTGTCCCCATCTACTATTGCATCTCTTATTCCAGGGAAGCTCCAAGAACCCGGAGAATCTTGGTACTTGGCAGTTGGCCCGAAAAGTACATTCTTGTAGAAACTGCGATTCGGTAGTCCCTGCGCAGCACAGTGGTATTTCTCAATGCTTGTAAGTCTCCTGTTGAATGCCCACCGGCTTACTGACAGTAACGAAGGTTCCAATCCCTCGTTTTCAATCAGCACCATGTTTTCCCATGTACGAACCCAAGAGTTCACGCGCTCTCCAATCCGCTTCCACGCGCCCAGTTCTGCAGCCAAATACCGGAAACTCAACCCCATTTCACCAGACTTTTCCTTCAAGTCGTCCAGCAAAGCTATCAGTGACGTTGCATACTTCTCAACATCGAATGGTATCATGGGCGAGTCTATCAACTTGAGACAAGTTTGCAAGACATATAGCGTCAAGTCCGAAGAGCGCTCCCAAGATTCGCTGTCCATTTTTTTGGAAAACAGCTCGAAAGTATCGTCGCAAGTGTAGATTGGATACTTTCGCTCTAAGATATGAGGAGCGGAAAGAATTGCCACAGGGATACCGTTCGTCGAGTAGGCGCTCCAGTCGCCATACTGTTGGACTTGTCTAACATTTTTTTCAAATTCCATCATTGAATTGTCACCATTGAAGAACTCAAAAAGTAGAGGATGTGTTTGAATGTCTAGCTTTGGACCACTGGGGTCAATTCCGAGTTGACTTATATCGATTACAGCATAAACCTCTTCTCCTATTTTCGAGGCATCCGATTCCAAGAATTCGGTAGCACCAGCATGTCCGTACTCGGATCCGTCGAAGGAAATGAAGTATATGTTCCTCAAAGGCTTCCAACCGAACTTGTACTTAGCCTGCTGGAACAATTGCACCAAAGATAACAGTGTTGCAGTTCCATAGTTTGGGTATGTGCATCCAGTACAAGCAGAGTCCCGTGCAGCACTTAGGATAATGGCTTTGTCATCTTGTTCTCGGCCTTCAACTTTCCCAATAATACTCCAGGAGGTATGCTCTTGTCTTTCGATCGGTTTCAACATAAAGTTTACCGTCACTCCATCTGCTGCACCACTATACCAGCCGTCATCGAATTGTAAACCTTGACTTTCGGCGAGCAGCTTTTGAAGGTCCTCGCCTTGTCTTCTCGAAATTGGAATAGTGGGTATCTTGGGCACTATACTAGAATCTGCTAACGGCAGTCGCCTATTCGAAGCAGAACTCCAGCCTGGCGAAAGAGGATCTCCCATGCTAGTACGGAAGTTCTGAACAGAAGCCTGCTGCACGCTGTCTATTTGCTCTTCGCCATATCCATCAGATACGAATATTACACCTTTGTAACCACGGTCCTGTGCCCTCTTGACCTGTTCGCCAGGATACAGGTCATAACGCATTAGTAAAACCGTGTTTTCGCCTGCGAAACCATTTTGGTTTAAAAGGTCGAAATCCTGCTGGGTCCCTAAATGGGCATATGCGAGTTTAGCATTGAGGGCTTCTCCTTCCACACTCAATGGATTGAAGTTCTGACCAGTGAGATTCAATTCCAAAACCTTTCCTGACGAAGATTGTACATTGATTGTAGCATTCCCTGGGTAGTTCAGATACGTATCGAAGGCTGCATCACCAACAATCCGTAGTCCGTTGTTGTTGAACGCTTCCTCGATGTACTGTGCGATGGCCATATCACCCTTTGTACCTGCCATATGAGACATGCTGCTAATGAATTCTAGGTCGTTTTCCATTTTGGACATGTCTAAAGCCCGTTTTGCATATGTCATTAGTTGTTGATGATCCGAGAACATTCCTCGAGATCCAGTTGCAGTGCCATTGGGTAAAAGTCCGCTGGATGTAATATAATAAATGAAGCACGAAACGAACAGGACATAAACAAAGCGTCTTAAGATGAGCGGGTTCCCTAGCTTACTCAAGTAGTAATCGAACTTGCGGGATATAATGGCCATTACCACGGCCAATGGGTCTGTAATTCGTTCCCGAACAGGCACCACAATATAACGTTGGAATTTGAGCTTCAGACGCTCTACCTTACTGGATTCAACGCTGTTCTCCGCCAAAAATGGGTCTATAATTTCGAAATGCTCCATACTCCTCTCGAACTCTGCTGCTCTGTCGTTGTCATATTCGGGTGGGTTTGTGGGTAATTCCAGATCTTCCTCGGGGCTATTTGCGGTGATATTACCCTCGTTCGAAAGCTCTTGATCATCCCGATCAACTGCAGTGTATTTGTGAGACGAACGCGGCATTGAAAGCGCTCTAGAGATGGAAGTAATCTTTAGAAAAATAGTCTTAACATGGTTCAATGAATAGTAGTAATTATAGACACATTATTATACACGCATACTAGTGAAATATACACTTCTACGGTCAAGTTTGAGAAAATGATACCAGAGACGATCAAGACTGGGTGACGCCAGCTTCAACTCACCTATAAAAAGTTATGGCTTTGTCAAACAATGTGTTGGTTTTCAACGGGATTTTTGTTTGTTTTTAGAGAATGTTATAATGGTCTGGGTTATTTTCGATTTTATCTGACATCACCATCCCGAGCCTTGAAAATGGGGTAAACTAGTTTTGCATCGCCATTGATTAAAAGTTAGAAGTCGATTGGATCGTTGGGTCTGTCATATTCGCCAGCGTTAAAGTAGCTGGCACAATAGTTGTGCTTGTAGTCATCTAATTTTTCGAGAAGCAGAGCATCAACGACCAATCAATCGACGACTGTTATCGTAATCTGATGAGTAACTGAATATGGTGGCTTCGCTATCAATTGATACACTACGCAGATTATCAACTCTATTCACAACAGGGCGCTGACGTTCTCGATTGTTCAGCTAATATAGTTGCATTCTTACGAATTTAAAAACTGGCATTCACGATTTCGATTGTTGAGTAATTTTTATAAATTCATTTTTGAACACCCTCGCTCAAACTGCCCTATCCGAGACCCTGCTTCAGCTGGAAGTGTCTGCTCTGTTGGTGATCGCTTGGATAAAGCCTGGTGACAGTTTGTTAAAAAGTGATAAAGCTCAATTTACTTAGACTCACACCTCGTATATAGGTATCTAGACTTTTCCCACGTCGCACATGGTGATAAGCATGTTTAGCAAGGCTCAAGTACCAGTTTGAAGTTCTGACCTCCTTAATTACAGATGCATTCATAAAGTAGCTCCAGTTCCAGCGCTCGTGTACTTTGGTTTAGGAGGAACTACAATATCGTGACAATTGTGCTTTTTTTTTTCTTCTACAATAACCCACGTAAAACCTCAATCAAACTGGCTGGTCTCTAAACATTTTCATAGCGTAACAAACACTCCAGCTTGCTAGAGATACAGCGAGAATAACGGCTGAGCCCATACCTCGTGATCGAGAAAGTATCACAAATAACGAGAAGATACGATTTTATATTAATCACAACTAACGACATCTGCTGGTCAATACATATTCTTCTACATGAACCTCGAGCAGTTACTGCTCATCGCTTACTCCCACATACACCTCAAATGGTTGACAAGCATCGCCCACAATGGCATATAATATAGCGTAAGTATGCTAGAATTTGTGTATTCTCATTTGGGCCACTTTGTCTCACTAACTTGTACTCTATTCAAGCATGGTTTGCGACTTTTTCTACCCGCAATTGGGAGGTGTAGAGTTCCACATCTATCATCTAGCTCAGAAACTGATCAAAATTGGCCATTCGGTAGTTGTTATAACGCACGCGTACGGCGATCGAACCGGAGTGAGATATCTGAGTAATGGTTTGAAAGTTTATTACGTCCCATACACGATCTTATACCGAGAAACCAGCTTTCCAACGGTTTTTGCCAGTTTCCCAATTGTGAGAAACATTTTGATTCGTGAACAGATTCAAATAGTGCACGCACATGTGAGTGTGTCGTCTTTGGCTCACGAGGCTTTATTGCATGCGACAGTCATGGGACTCCAAACAGTTTTCACCGATCATTCTCTGTATGGATTCGACTCGTTGGCATCGATTCTTGCTAACAAATCGCTGCGCTTCACACTAACTAACGTGGGTGCCGTCATTTGCGTATCCAACACTTGTAAGGAAAACATCATATTGAGGGCTGATCTTGACCCGTCCCATATATCTGTGATTCCCAATGCAGTGGTAAGCGAAGATTTCACACCTGTCCCAAGAAATAAGCACAAAAATCTTGATCAAATTACCATCGTAGTGATTAGCCGCTTGTATCCCAACAAGGGAGCTGATCTTCTGACACATTTGATTCCTAAGATCTGCAATATCCAGCAAAACGTTAATTTTATAATTGCCGGCGACGGACCCAAATTCGTTGACTTCCAGCAAATGATTGAGACGTATCGTCTTCAAGAAAGAGTTCAGTTACTGGGGGCTGTACAGCATGAAAACGTTCGTGACGTGATGTGCCAAGGCGATATCTATCTACATGCAAGTCTCACAGAAGCCTTTGGCACTGTACTTGTAGAGGCTGCGTCGTGTGGGCTTCTAATAGTGACAACAACAGTCGGCGGTATACCTGAAGTTCTGCCACAACATATGACCGTGTTTGCAAAGGAGACATCTGTTTCCAGCTTGGTAGAAGCCACATCAAAGGCGATTGAACTACTAAAACAGGGAAAAGTCGATACTTCTCTTTTTCACTCGCAAGTTGCATCGATCTATGATTGGACCGATGTGGCCGCAAGAACTACAGCAGTATACCGTAAGTTGATTTCCGAGTCAGCAACTCAAAACCACTCCTGGCTGCAGCTATTGAAAAATTACCACAACCGCGGCGGGCCGTGGGCTCGTTTTTTATATATACTTTGTGCTGTGGTGGAGTTCATGCTATATTCGTTTCTTGAATGGTGGTATCCAAGGAATCAAATCGATGTTGCTATAAAATGGAGACGAAAGTTGGAATGAAAGACCAATTTTTCAGCTATTTTAGCTAGTCAAGTCATGCAGCTGATCTACCAGACGAGCCTTTTTCTCGTCAAGCTGTCTACAATAAAAACCTAGCGAGCTACCTTTCGAGGGATACTCTAAGCGGATCGGCATGATGTCAGCCTCGCGCACAAATTCTGAGAACATGTTCCGACTTTTCTCCAGATCGTTAAAAAACTTGGCATTTGCAAACGAGTGATTGGAGCTCAAGGGTTCCATCAACCAAAAGTTCTCGTCCAGGCCCTCGTAAGCATGCTGCATACTTGAAATTGTCACTTGCAAATCATTGATCTTACAGGCGAGACCTAAACGATCCATTCCATCGGTCTCCTTGGTCAGATTAACAAGCTGCTTGTTAGGAAATAAAAATCTTCGTCTTATGCGTTCGTCCTCCAGAGCCTCTTTTAATTCGGTGTTACTATCCTTCAAAGAACGAACAGATGACTGTAGTTCCTCGCGAGAAAACTGCAAACTTGACAAATTGTTTTGGAGATCTGAAACGATGTTCTCCTGCTCGATCTGTCGCTGTAGTTTGTTTTCAAAGACTTTGAGTTTCAATTTCAGTTCCTCGATATTGTCGGTCTTGACCGACACCATTTTCCTTAATTCCTTTACCTCGAGCTCAAGCTTCTTGGATTTTAATATAGCATTTCTGGCATCTGTATTCTGCAGTTCAGAAGCATTGTCGTGGCGCGCATCAGCCTGCACGACAATTTTGAGCTCACTCAGCTTGTTTAGAAAGCCCTCGAGAAACGTTGTAGCTTCGCTTTGCTGGAGACTATCACTCTTCAAAGCACATATGACTTTTTCGAAAAAATCGGTGGCAGTTGCGAAAACTCCGTTGCTTTCTAATAGTGCAATGCTCCCTTCAGCAGCAGGTTTTGATCGTTGATCACACAAGACAAGCAGGCGCGACAACGCTGATTTGAGTTCATCCGTAAGGTCACGACGCGAACTGGTTAGCACCCTCGATGTCCGCTGAAGTGTTTGAAATAGAACTAGTGGATCTAAGTCGACCCTTGAGTTCTTCAGATTAGAGAATGATTTCATACCCAATTCCACAAGCTCTTCTGGAACTTCACTTTTGATGAGACTCTCTTTCCAATTCTCTATTTGACTCTGCGTATAGAGCTCAACCATGGAGTTTTCTAGCTTCGCATGCCTGGAGGTCCGAGCCTCTGATATGTAAGACTGGGAAGCCAGCTGAAGCAGAAAATATGCCTGTACGGTCTTATAGGAAATGTCAGGCGAACCCGCGTCCAGCATTTTTGATAAAAATGATAACTGTCTGGACAAAACCAAAGGGTGTCTCTTATCTGAACCACCCCAGCTTTCCACCAGAAACTGATTGTTTAAAGACTTGTAATGCAGCTCCGTGTGTAGTTGTTGAATTTGATCCGTAAGTTCTTCCAAATGACGCTTGGCAGTTGGATCGCGCAACATAAGCTGCGAGTTTTGCGCTTCAAGCGTATTTATTTTCTGCTGCGCGTTTTCTAGCTTTTCGCGTAGTGAGTGCAATTGCTGTGAGAGCTCCTCTTCTAGATCGCGGTACATGTGCTCGAGGTCGTTGGCAACTTCGCGTTCAGCTCGAAGTTCGTCCATGGCCAGTGTGTAATCTTCCAGCTGGGAATGCAGGCCTGCATTTTCTTGTGTAAGTTTGTCGACTATGTGATCATAGGACACCTCAGAATCCAATTGTGAGCCCATACTATCAAGTAGACGACGAAAACCGTCTAACTCTTCGTTTGCGTCTTCTAACGTCTTTCTAACTGTCTTGTTTTCCACACTAAGGTCCTGATTCTGCTTTTCAAGGTCCTTATTCAAGTTCCGAAAAGTGTCCAAACTAATTTGGACTTTGAAAAGTGTTGACTGCAATAGCTTATTCCGTTTCCACAAGGCGTCTGAAGACACATTTTCTTTCCACTCTTCCAGGTCGATACTTCGTCTTAGGTCCAATTCCTCTGTAAGTTCTTGAACGTGGGCCACCAAATCTTGGTGTTCGAGTTTCAACGAGTCCAGCTCAATTGAGAGCTCTTCGATTTCTAGCCGCTGGGCTTCTTTATCCATAATACATGCTTCCAAATCCAGTTCCAGCTTTCCGTATCTCGAGTGAATGTCATTCAATTTGTCCTGCAGTTTTACCACCAGTTTTTGCATTTTTCCACCAGAGTTTTGATCCAATGGCAGCATGTGGCCATGTATCTCATTCTCAACAGCGTGAACAGCCCCTAACTTTCCAAAAAGACCGTAAAACCCATCTTTCTTGAGCGTTTCGAAATACCGGATCCCATCGACAGAACCATCGTTTTTGCCCGTTTTTTCGTCCAATTCAACGCCGCACCATACTCCTTTGGCAAACCTCGTCTCGCCTATAAATCTCACAGTGCCCACAAGCCCACCAATCCTCGCCTTCTGGCCTAACTCAAGCATAAATGTTAGCTCATCGCATATGTATTCTTCGGCATTGTTAATATATAGGCCTATAAGTATACTAAAGTTGGATAAATCACATCGAATTTCATCAAAATAAGCGTTTTGAACTAGTCAAAAACTAACGAAAACTAGAGCAAAAGAACCATTGAATTCCGAATGAACCACAGAAGATCAACACCAAGAGGTGCTTTGAACGGTGCCAGCTCTTTTAAGAGTTCTAGCGCCGAAAACGGAGTACTACAGAAGGAATTATTGGAAGAAAACAAACAAGAGATCTTTGAAGCATTTTCGCTTTTTGATATGAACAACGACGGGTTTGTAGACTACCACGAGCTTAAGGTAGCAGCTAGGGCATTGGGATTCGAGCTGTCGAAACAGGAGCTACTGGAGCTACTGGAAAAGTACGATCGCGATGGACGCCGTCTGATGCACTATGATGACTTTTTCGTGGTGATGGGGGAGAAAATCTTGAATCGGGACCCGCTGGACGAGATCAAACGTGCTTTTCATTTGTTTGACGATGATAACACGGGCAAAATCAGCTTGAAGAATCTCAGAAGAGTGGCAAAGGAGCTGGGCGAAAACCTGACAGACGATGAGCTCCGGGCAATGATCGACGAGTTCGACCTCGACGACGACGGCGAAATTAGTGAGCGTGAGTTCATTGCAATTTGCACAGATACGTGAGGTCGCGCTGGTACCTTTAGGAAAAAAGAGAAAAGTAAAAACCCCGGGTCGGAATTCAAAGCTATACAATCTGTACTATATATATATAATCACTGGTCGTCTCAGAAGGGCGCTTAAGAGCCACAAGTGAAAGAATCGTCAGTGGCGGTTGCCACGTAATGATAAGCGCATCACGGAAACCTACCTGCATGCTCGACGTTAGTTTTATCATTCGGTACTTCTCTGTCGTTTCCAATCCAAAATTGTGTCTTTCCAAAGCTCAGAGTTCGATAAACATGGCAAGAAACTTGCCCATATAGTTATTTGAAACTTGCCCATATAGTTATTTGAATTTCATGACCCTTGACTCTTCAAACCAGGTGTCAATTCACTGGTTTCCAACTTTACCGTTGTATCAATCATCAAATGTTGAGAAGCATCTCTTAAATTAGCCCAAGGCCTAAGTCTCCTGGTTTCTGGTATCAAAAGATAGGCAAAATTTCCCTCTTTCATTTGGCATTTCTCGACTATTGGTAAAGGCTATCTTTCTCATGCTTTAGATATTTTTTTATCCCTGTCATTGCGAGTTTACCGTACCCTCTTGAAATGTCATTATATTAAAAAATTTGACCATCGAACTCATCTTGTTAAAGTTGAACTAACGACAAAAGAGAGAAAAGCGATCGAAAGAAGCCCGTTTACCACAGTTTCAACCATCGCATTGGATTTGCAGACATCGATTTGTTAGGGTTAGTCTAAAATGTCCGGTTATCAACATCTCTCTAAGGCCGGAAGCCGCTTCCTAAAGCAGGTCGAGAACAGACCAAAGCATTTGGTGGACCATTTCAAGAAGTTTGAGGAAAAATCCATGCCGTCGTTTTTGGTACCCTCTATTCCACGCGTTGAAGATGAAGAGCGGTTTAAAAGCGTCAGAGAGTGGAAATATATGCCTGGGGACCGTGTAGTGGTGACCAAAGGCAAATGGAAGGGCCAGGTGTGTTTGATCCACCAACATGACAAGGAAACAAACGGGTTTGTCCTGGACGAAAATGGACCCACCAAAACGGTTCCGGTGCCCAAACAGTTTTGGTCAGAAGGTCAAAATTCGCACATGGTCACTTTCCCAATGGCTGTTTCCCAAAATGACGTAAAGCTCGTTGCAGATATCGACGATCAGAAAGCCCCAGGCGAGACCAAGACCGTTGCAGTACGTGATATTGTTTTCCGGGGATCGTATTACGACGAAGCATACAAAAAATTGATGCCCTTTAGATGCGTCTCAGGGCAAGAAGACTTGGTGATACCGTGGCCCCAGCCTGAGAAAAAGCCCGATGGAACACTAGCTACATCTCCTGAGGTTGCAAGAGAACAAACTTTCTGGGTCTCCAGTATAGCACAAAGTCCCATTCCGCAAGGCGCACTGCTCACAATCCGTAACCCGAAATCCAAATTCAGAAGAGGTGTGCTCACAGCAAGAGACATTGGCAAGCTCGTGGCTCCGAAGATGCCTTTGACCAAGACGAAAAAATCATATATTGCAGAGAAACAACAACTGGCTGCTCGTCCAAAGCGGAAGCTGTCCGATGACGAAAGGGAGCTCATAGGCTCAAAGGTCTTCGAATATTACAGCCAGAACGCTTAAGGTTTCACCGGTTTGTAACTAGATTCGCCAGTCGAAGAGCACCATGCATGTACATACAACCATAAAATATATTATAAGGTCATCACGGGCCAAACGTCCAGAATAAGAAGTATCTTGATTCTATAGAACTTTGGACATCGGTTACTTTTGCAGAACTAGTGTGCGGACATGAGTTTCAGAGACGCACTCAAAGCGTACCTAGTCAACCCTGGTGACTATCCAGAAGATGTTATTTTCCATGATGAAGAGGTTGTCATAATAAGAGACCGCTTTCCCAAAAGTCAATGCCATTACTTGGTTCTGATCAGAGACCTTTCAGAATCAAGGAAGAAGCCATGGGCTTTGAGCACAGAGATCAAGCTTAAGCTACAGCCGTACATCGAGTGGGCGTTGAACCACGCCTTCGAGTCATTTACAAAAGAATATGAATGGAAAGGGACGAAAGTTGCGCCATTCGCAAATAAGGCTCAGTTCCATAATAAAAACTACTTCTTCGAGAATTTCACTAAAGTGGGCATTCACAGTGTACCTTCGTTGAACAATCTACACGTTCATGTCATGACGAAAGATTTTCATTCTGAAAGGCTCAAAAACAAGAAACACTACAACTCTTTCAACACTGAGTTTTTTGTCTCGTGGGACAAACTACCATTAGAGAGTGTAGATGTTAAGTACATGGAGGAGACAGTGATCAAGAAAAGAGATTTGAAATGCTGCTATTGCAACGAGAACTTCAAAAATCGGTTTTCACAACTGAAATTGCACCTTGATCATGAATTTGCGAAAAGATTCGTTAAATGCTCTATGTAATTTTCTTTTGATTTCAATCGGGTTATAGCTTTTGATACTCGATTTTACCTTCAAGCTTTTTAACTTCGGCTACTTTTCTCACCGCTTTCATCAAGTCGTCTTGGATAATGTATTCACGGTCATCGCGAATGGCGAAAAATCCTGCTTCTGTGATACAGTTACGAATATCAGCACCGTTGAAACCATCACTCATCTTTACTGCGGCTTCAAAATCAAACTCGCCAGCTTTTTTAACGGATGCGCTATGAATCTTGAAAATTTCAAGTCTTCCAGCCTCGTTAGGTAGACTAATTTCGATTTTCCGATCCAATCTCCCGGGTCTCAGTAAAGCAGGGTCAAGTGTGTCCGGTCTATTTGTGGCCATAATAACTTTGGTCTGTCCCAGGTTGTCGAAACCATCCATCTGTGTGAGCAATTCCATAAGCGTACGCTGAATTTCACGATCCGCAGATGTACCTTCGCTAAATCTCCGACCACCAATGGCATCGATTTCATCCATGAATATGATGCAAGGTTCGTGTTCCTTGGCGTATGCAAACATTTCACGAACGATACGTGCAGACTCACCGATGTACTTGTCAACAATTCCCGATGCAGGCGAAAAGATGAAATTAGCACCAATTGTGGCGGCAACGGCTTTTGCCAGCAGGGTCTTACCGGTACCGGGAGGCCCATACAGCAAAACACCCTTGGGGGACTTGATACCCACTCTTTGGAATATTTCTGGGTTTTTCAAAGGTAGTTCTATCACCTCACGTAGTTCGCGGATCTGCTCTGTCAAACCACCGATACCTTCGAAAGTGATCTCGCCTGGTTCGAATGAGGTCATATTGTAAACAAGCGGGTCTGTCTCACGAGGCAAAACACGCATGATTGTGAGAGTTGTTATGTCCAGAGTCACACGTACACCCTTTTTGAGTTTTTGACGGTCCACACTGTTACGCACACCTACAATATAACGGGGGCCTGATGAAGCCTTGACAATGTATTTTTCCTCCGAAAGCTCCTTCATCACTTCACCGACCAATTGGCCAATACTTTGTAGCGCTCTGATGTCTGCTTCGGTGCGTTCGTATTCCTTTTCCATATCGCGAATCCCCTGACGTTTGCTCTTCAATTGATCTTCGTAACGTCTGTGTTCTGCGATTTTTTTCCGGAAACTCGACAAAGCACGCTGGCGTGCTTCCTGTGCCAAGTCCTGGGCTTGTTGTTGCGGATCTATGGTCGCAGTGTTGCTGTTGTTTGCATTGTTTTCAGAATTTCCACTTTCACCAGAGTTTCCCTCCAAAGCGCTCAGTAGCGGGTCTTGTTCTGCACTCATTTTGGTCTCAATTTGTAGCCTGGATCGACCTTAGTTGTACAGCAGCAAAAGAAACGTCTTAAAGCAGTATTTCGAGTCCTTTTAGGTCGATTTTGTTCGGTGGCGACTGGGTTGCAATTGGGATGGTCGACTTTATTTTATATTAGTATTTATATATAGTTATGTATGCTTAGAGGTAAAGGTATAAAAGAAGAGAAAAACGAGGGCATGGGAGGGCTGAGAATTGTGGGGAAAGAAAAGCTTGACGTTTTCGGGGAAGGTGTTTTTATATAGAAACTCTAAGCATCAAAAAGCGCCTATTTTTGAGGAAGATATCTTCCCTACAAAAAACAGTCCTATCTTCAGCAGCAATTCGAACCATTTAAAACACACAGTGTTACAATATGTGACAGACCGAATTTGGATCAAATATAGTTAACGGTGGCCAAATACTACCTATTATACCGGCATTCGCTCTATTTTGCAACAATTGGTGGAGCCCGAATCCTGTCACTATGTCATATTCTGGCATCTGTCATCTGTCACCAATATATAATTGAGATGTGTAAATTACTCAACTAGAATTGTAAAGGCTTCAAAGAGAGGCAAAAAATAGCATAGTATAGCTATTCTAGTACCCTGTAATTTACTACTCCAATGGGTGTCTCTCTTGAGACTCCTACATTAGAAATTTCCACAGGAATTTATGTCGAAATTACCCAAAAATATGATTTTTCATTGCCTTAAAGAGTCAGTTGAATACATGTTGAATAGCTGAAACGAAGTGATTTAAGACCACGATATAATGCAGTATAACTGAATCCCAAGTTATTTACAACTTCTTTCTTCTCATCCATTTTTCGATCAGCAACACGTACATAGTGACAGTCGTCTAAAATTCAGCGATGAGCTAAAATCACCCAAATTTCGTCAAGATCTCACTCGAACACTACTAAGAAAACTTGATCTCCAGCGCCCAATCGATCCCTAATGGACTTGCAAGCCTTTATTCTATGCGGTAAAGGAGCTAAACTTTCGCCATTCACGCTCGCACGCGGCGATTCGGGCCTTTCCAAGGCACTTTTGCCCATTGCAAACAGACATATGATAGAATACGTTTTGGATTGGTGTGAACAAGCGAATTTTTCGGAAGTGGTTGTTGTAGCAGGAGCGGAAGATTCTGCACAGATCCAAGATGCTTTGAAAAGATACCAGGAGATTCGGGAAGGCCAAATGGCGTTACTTGCTCGGCATGGATCCAATGCCACGACAGGTTGTGGTACACCTTTGGAGCCAGTTCCAATCAAGTTCATGACCGCTAAACACGACCAGACAGGTGCCATTTTGCAAAGAGAGCTTCTTCCTCGTATCAAGGGCGACTTTGTGCTTTTGCCCTGCGATTTCGTCACAGAAATACCACCACAGATCTTTGTCGACCAGTTCCGCAATAAGGACCCTGATAACCTGGCAATGGCTGTCAGATACCGCAACACATTTGACTCATTTGACAAGAAACAGTTGGATTTGTCCTATACTATCTACTCTGAAAATGAGAACTCTATCAAGCAGCCTGTGCTTCTAGACGCCTATTCTCAGGAAGACGTGGAAAGATCTAAATACCTACAGACACGGTCCCATTTGCTATGGCGTTATCCCAATACATCTGTATCCAAAAAGCTTTTGGACGCATCCGTGTATTTTTGCTCGTATGAGCTCGTAGAGCTTTTAAAACCGGCCGAATTATCAACTGCTATATCTGAAACCGAGTCTGACAACGACGACGATACTCTTGGTCCAAAGCACGCAGATGATTTGGTGCAACCCATCAGATTCCGAGCTAAATGCAAGCTCATCAAAGATGCTATCAATTGCAATAAACCGATCTACAAAATCTTCAGAGATCTGGCCAGACGGTCATGGCAGCATTCCACGCCTCGAGAAACCATCGGTCTTTTTATCCTTCCCAGCTTGGGGCTCTTCATCCGCTCCAACATTTTATGTGCATATATGGAAGCGAACCGTTGCATGCTGAGAGTCAGGTCGTCGCTTTTCGCAACTCATGGTCCCTCTGGTGTAGGTAATACGATTGGAGGTGACTCAATAGTTGGGGCAAACTGTACCATTTTAGAAAAGGGTAGCATAAAATTGTCCGTCGTGGGAAACAACTGTCGAATCGGCAAGCGTTGCCGTATCGTCGGTTCAGTAATCCTCGACAACGTCGAAATTGAAGACGAATGTGTTCTTGAAAACGTTATAGTTGGAAGCTTCTCAAAAGTGGGGAAGAAATCCAAGCTCACAAATTCTTATGTTGAGGGATCCTACGTTGTGGCAGCAAAAACTGTCGTCAAAGGTGAAACTTTGACGCACATCTACCTCGAAGAAAGTGATCAAGGCTCGAGTACCACGGAATCTTCAGATGACGATGAAGACTCGGATGGTTATGCTGAAGATTACTACGATGAAGAGTTTGAAGACGATGGCCTTTTCGAGCGTTGAAAAAGAGCTAAATGAGTGCGAATATCCCTTATTAGTTTTCTTATTTACAAGAACACGCTATACATGTAATTTTGAACCTCTGGCCTCGCTGTCAAAGAGCCAATCCCAACGACCTTTCTTGTGCAAAATGGCCAAAATCAAAACCGCTGGTAAATGCAATACGCTAACCCAGAAAGTCTTCCGTGCATACACATTTGCCAATGCAATGCCTTTATTGAATTTTAATCTGTCTTTCAATATCTTTGCAGAATAATTGTACCTCTGTTGCCACCAAAATTTCATTGCCCAATACGATAACCAAGCATTGGCAATGGCGGAATCCAGTTGATAATACCAGTCTGTAACATTGTAGTAAGATAGACCGAAACACAGTGGGAACATGAGAAGTGAGTATCTGAAAGCGACTCTTGCGTTCAACTTAGGATTTTTCCAGCATGTCATAACATAACCAGCGTCTTTGTATTCGTTTCTGATGTTGTGACTTAACGTGTTAAAGTGTGGGAATTGCCATGCATATAGGAATCCGGCTAAACACCATCCGCCCGGATCCGTGAGAGAGTTGGCAGCACACCAGCCCATCAGTGGTGGAAGGGCACCCACAATTGCACCTACCCATGTGTTGATGATATGTTTTCGTTTAAGAGACGTGTAAATCCACGCATACAGAGCGATATTTGTTGCTCCTAGTGCTGCCACCGTTGTGTTGACTCCCAAATAAAGGATAGCAACCCCCAACGACCCTGCCACCGTAGCAAATTTATAAGCCTGTTTGGGTGTCAAAACACCACGCACCACCGGTCGTGCTTGAGTTCTAACCATTCGTCTGTCAAAATCAGGTTCTCGACCCATGTTGATGGCATTGGCTGCAGCAGAGCTTAGAGCCGTTCCCATCGTCAATGACATGAGTTCTGGAACTGTGGCTGCCGAAGGACTTAGTGCATACGAACATATGCAGCTGAGCATCACCAGCACTGTGAGTCTTGGTTTCGATAGTTGGACATAAGACTTTAGTAACTTCTTTGCGGCCTTTTGGGTCAGGACCATATCGTTGGTATTCACCTCATTTTTTCGCTGTTTACGATCCAACGGTTTTACCTCGAACGGAAGGTTTGATGTTCGTTGGGGCGTAATGTCATCTGTGCAGCTCAGAGCCTCCAGGGCTGAATTGGCTAGTTTTTGACCCCGTTTTTTGGCATCCTGAGCCGAGATATTCGAAGAGAACTCTATTGGGGACGTATTGAGCGGAATTGAGGTCTTATTCGGGCCGCTAACGTCACCATAGCGGCGAACTTTCCGTGAAATTGTATTGATTCCGTAGCATGCCAAAAACCCACCCAAATTGGCTTTTCGAAGCGCTGTTTTCAGCAGTAGACCATTTGCAGCATATAAGCTGGCCATACCAAAGGTTTAAGAGCCACTGATACTGCGTTCAAGGCTACAGATCTTGATCTAAAACTGGTGATTAAGATCTTCCGATGATCATCTTTGGTTATTTAGAAGTACTATTTTTCAATCATATCTCGTAGCGTGTGACTAGATCGTCATTTACGAAAATTCCTAAAATGATTTCTCAGATACTTGGAAAGGTCAACTAAGACCTCGTTTTAGGGCAAAATCAGTGTCTTTTTCGTCGAAAACTGATCGTTCTTCTTATAGCCACAATTTTCTAGCTTTTTTTTCGGCTTATTTGGGCTTGGAAATTCATATAATAATATATCAAATCATGTAATGAAAACTGAGCTTAGTTGAACCACTTTTAGCGCTACTGATAATCCTAATTGAAATGGCATGTCGAATCTGTGCATTCTACTAAGGAAAGTATATAGTTATGACTTGAAAATGACGATTGACACTTCGACGACACATACGTACATGGTGATTCATTGCGCTAATGGCACCGAGAAGTAAGTCAGACTCTTATTGAATGTATTCTCGAGTTCGGTGTAGTTGGTGTATATCGTGGTTAGCATTGGGACGAAGGGTTCTTCTATTATTATCAGGCTCCAATCCTGATTGACATTTTATGTAAATGCTCGGATACTATCTCTCGCACTCTCAACGGCATGCAGGAATATAGAATGCACCGTTTTCGAAAGAAATAGATCATAAGTCGTATCTTGCGTGAACCTTGACATTATTGCAATGGAGTGGATTGCTTCCAATGTCGGTTATGCCTTGAAAGCGCACTTTTTTACTTTTTTTGGGTTGTGCCAAAAATAATGCTGCTGGTGTGGATAGAATATGAATCACTATACCTTAAGGCCCGGATTGGCGCTTTTCACTGTCACCAGCGGTGGCATTAGACGCAAGTGTTTCGTTTTCCGTATCCTTTTCGGATTTAGTGGCTTCAGACTCAGTTTGATCATGTTGGCGCTTTAGCTTGGTGTTTCTGATCTTGTTTTCAATCAGGTTATCGAAAGCAAGGATGGCGCGTACCAGGTTACTGACGTAAATGACCATAAGCTCGTCGTTGGTTTTGACGGCCAAAGCTCTTTGTAAGGTATTGGAAGCAGCTGCAAGCTGCTCATCAGACGACAGTGCAAGCTCGTCATCATCTGGAGCCCCCAGGCTAGGCAGAAGATTGAATACATCCTGTAGTTTGCCGAGAATCGTGTGGTTGACGGGAAGCTCTCGACGGCTCACTTTGTTCAAATATGCAGCTATGTCAGCAAGTTTTTGTTGCAAACCCTTGAGAGATTTGAGCTGGTTGGTAAGCTTGATAGAAAGCCCGCCAGCGGCCTGATCGCGTACGTCACGCAGTAGATGTTCCACACCTATTTCTTCGGCTTCCTCTGCTTCTATCGACGATGGTAAGTGCAGAAATGTCTTTTCGGTCGATGTTCCATCGTCTTTGACCTGTTCTACAGCCATGTATGCTGTTGTAGGTAGTCCCACGCCCTGTTGTTGGACATCCACGATGAGCAACAACGGTTGCTGTTGGCGTTCTCCTGTGTACTTTTTGAACACCTCGTTGATCTTGAGGTCAGCAGCCTTGAGTTTTGGCCCACTGTGGTACCACCCTACCAATTTCTCTTTGGCGTTGATCTTTTTGCACATTTCGTTCATGCTTTCGATGTAGTTATGGTCTAAAAACCACACATCTGAGTTTTTCTCATCTTCTTCGAAAGGAAGGGCAAAAGAGTTTGTGACTCTTAAGCTTGTTCCCTGGGTAGAGCCTAGTATCACACCAACGCATCTTTTATGAGCAGGTGTGTTGATACGTTTGTAGTGGTCCAAAACCGAGAGTAACACTAATGGTGCTACGGTAACTTGTTCGTAGTTCACGGACATGATGGGTGGTAGGCTGATTCTTGGGTCAATGGATTCGTGCTATATCTAACGGTTCTATTGGAAACCCACAACCAGTTGAACGGAGTCGAGACTTGGATCAGTTCGTGTCGTTTTCGAGAAAGTGTCGAGTAAGGTGGCAAACCTTCAACGCTGATATTGAGATCTTGAAATGGAATTTGAGATTACGTACAGCGTGATATGGGTCCAGTTACTGATGACAGCGACAGAAAAGTATCGCTGTTGTTGTGATAATAAGTTGGATAATATGTGTAAGGTATGCCTAAAGTTGAATGAGATTGGCGGCTATCGCCAGGATTTTTGTTTTTGCTGTTTGGTTGTCGTTGTTTTATTTTCTTTTAGATTGCATTTTCTGAACCAATGGGCTTCGAAATGGCAATCAAATTGGCAGTATGAATTGTTTTCTGATGTTTTTTTTGCTAGTTTCTGGTGTCAACTTGCTTCCCCGTCGAGTTTTGATATCTTTTTGGTTTTCATTCGCGCAGTTGCAGCGATAAGCGTTGTCGTCCTTATGTTTGAAAAAGTACATGAGTAATTCTATGTCAATGAAACTGGTATAATACAGCAGCATATGCCATGACAAAGATCCCCTTTCTACGGTGTCTTGGCCTTAGTATGGAGTTTTACTCATTTTGTCCAACTTGCGTCCTCCACTTGATTCTCTTGTTGCGACCAGAGGATCAATAAGATGGCAGGAGTTCAAAAGTTCAGCAAACAACGAACTAAAAGAGATGCTGTTGAACACGAGCAAGTGCCTATTACCACTCAAAAAAAGCTTAGTCTTCCACGCCTGAGCTACTTGCATCTACCACCGAGAATGTCGCGAATTGCACCTTCGACATACGAAAACCACTTTTTTAACCAAAAATTAGTGTACCTTCGCGCAACACATCAGAATACCCCCATCTCACTGCCTGTAACCTCTATTCAAATTTGAGCACACGTTCAGCACTCTCTTCAAACCCATCTTTTTTGGATCTTCTACGCTGTTTTTTCAATCAACCTTCTATCTGTCATATATACACACACATATAGCTGAAAAATTTCGATGAGCTAAAAGTTCAACTTCTCACAACTGCGCAACCCACGGCACAAGCGCTTTTAGTAACCATGCCGTTCGGTCAAATCGTTATAGGCCCGCCAGGATCAGGTAAATCAACTTATTCTCACGGTTGCATACAGTTTTTCAACGCTATCGGACGTCATGCTCAGGTGGTGAACATGGACCCTGCAAACGACAGTTTGCCTTATCCATGCGCTGTAGACATCCGGGATTTCATCACTCTGGAGGAAATCATGGCAGAACAACAATTGGGACCCAATGGGGGTCTCATGTACGCTTTAGAGTCTGTTGACAAATCCGTGGATTTGTTCCTACTGCAGATAAAGTCGTTAGTGCAGGACGAAAGTGCATATGTAGTGTTCGACTGTCCCGGCCAGGTCGAGCTCTTCACCCATCATTCAGCCTTGTTTCGGATCTTCAAACGTCTTGAGCGTGAGCTGGATCTTCGGCTCTGTGTGGTCAACTTGATCGACTCCGTTCACCTCACTTCTCCCTCTCAATATGTTTCCATTCTACTTTTGGCCCTTCGATCCATGCTCATGCTGGATCTTCCGCACATAAATGTGCTATCAAAGATCGATATGGTTAAGTCCTATGGCCCGTTACCGATGCGTCTTGACTACTACACGGAAGCACAAGAACTGGATTATTTGACACCGTTTGTGGAACAAGAAAGCTCCAGCGTTTTAAGCAAAAAATATGCCCGGCTTACCCAAACCATTGGAGAGCTTGTCTCGGATTTTAACCTGGTTTCTTTCGAAGTCTTATGTGTTGATGACAAGAGAAGCATGATTGCACTTCAAAGTGTCATTGACAAGGCAAATGGCTACATTTTCGGTGCATCAGAAGTCGGTGGAGACACTGTATGGGCTGAAGCCTCTAGACAGGGTACCGCATTGGTCGCAGACGACGTTCAAGAACGGTGGATCGATAACAAAGAGGCTTACGACAAGCAAGAACAACTACAGCGCGAGAAGCAGCTTGAGGAGCAGAAACACAATGACCAAGAGATCGATGTCGATAAAGAAGACGAGTGGGAGAATGCATTGAAGGATTGGGAGAACGAGCATGGTGCCAACTATACGAAATAACGAGGACGACTTTACAGCTCGTGGATGGGTCGGCTGGCATTGTCTTTTTGTACGAAGAGTACCAGCCATCTCTCATATTGTTACTGGTATCGACAAGACGACAGACATAGAACAGGACATTTTCTAAGACAGTCCTTTGGATTCAGCGATTGATCTGATATTTATGCTGGCTCGATGTTTTCTAACGCCCCATCTTTGGGATATTTCTCAAAACAATGGCCGCGGGTTGAGAATTAGCAGAACGGTAATATAAATGGTGATAAATTCTCGAGTGCGTCGTCGCCTGGTCTGGTCTCCCCCAACATCAAACGGTATTCGAAACAACTGTGCCAATTTGCACCAAATTTAGTTTAAATTTTGGGTATCGCTATAACTGCACCAGCATGCCTCGAAAATTCTTGGGCAATAGAATCGATGCAAATCTGGATTTCGTTAGACCCGCCTCTCTTGGCGTCACCAGCTTCGATCTGAACAATCTGCCGGATCTGCCGGGTTGGAGTTCGAAGGAGGCACATGCTACTGAAGACACTAAGATAATTGGGAATAATGGGCGACGGATTTCACGAGCATTTGGTGGTACCGTGAAGCTGAAAAATAGACTGAGCTCTGTTCCCGAGCTTCTGATCCGCAGAACCGAACGGCTAGCACAGAAAAACTCTGAGGTTCAAGAGCATGATAGCCTTTCTCAAACTCCACTTCCAAAGAAAAAAGATATACCCGTTGAAGCGTTGCAACAGATAAATCCGGTCTTACGCCAGCAAGCTTCCAAAGATGTTAGAAGCTCAGGGTCAAAATTCACTAAACCTGCTGTGATGAATCGTGCTAGTCGGTCACACGTTCCGTCTCCGCTAGCCAGTCCTCCCATAGTGAGCAACCGTACAAATGTCATGGCATTCCCGGCAATCACTAACACTGCCACCAACACTGGATTTAGTCTCAGTCGTAATAAATCGATAGGTGAGGCCCTATTTGATGAGATTTTGACGGCGTACGGATCGCTCCCGGAAAACCAAAAACCGAAGGGCAGGACGACGATTTTTCGGAAAAACTACGAACATCCCATCAATCAACAGTTGAAGGCTACGTTTCCTACTCTCGAGAATAAGAATCGCGCTCATTTCGACCCTGTCATTCGTGTAGACGACTACAGCGATGAGCATGTCAGAGCTGTTTCTGACAACACTGAGCTTGCAACTGCGATGGGGGATACTCTACCCAGTCCCTACTATTTTAACTCGAGTGGGTCTGATCCTTCGAGCTCTGGAGAGGAATTTTCCGATATCGGCAGTATCATGAGCAGTCTCAAATCGCCACGCAGTGACGAGTCTGCTACTTATTTTTCCGCTGACGACCATCTGTCAAGTCCCACTAAAGTCAGTGTTGCAACATCAACAAAAACACAACAAGAACAACAACAACTGATGCCTAGCTGCTCACTACGGCATGTTCGTACCTGTCAAGTACACCCGAGGATTTTCACGCCGGACGATTCCTCTGAAGACTCTGGAGCGTCTGATTACGACAGCGAGGACAACGGGGAACCTCACATCGCCCATTTACAAGATGAGCTAATAGATCTGGATATCGGGGATACCTCCAGTTCTATCTATCACGATTAAATAAGAGGTCTAGTATACTGCATATAGGTTTTAAGACACGGAGTTCAGGAAGGGCGAGAAAGATAGCTTCAGGGTGTCTCAAACACTAACAATTACTTGAATAAATACTTGACGTAAACCATAGTATTTATATGGTCTGGAATTCGTCTTTTGTCTGTCCTGTTCATCGTCAAGTCAACAATCTGTCATAAATATACAAAGTTCAAGCTTGAATGATGAGATCCATTCTTGATCAAGAGTTTTAAAGTTCAAAGAGTAAAGACCAAAGGAAAGCCATTGACTGTTGTTTTAAGGCCAATCGAACTCTAAAACTGTAATTCCAACTCTAGAAACTGCCCAAAACATGGCACCATCCCAATTAGAAATCAAAATAAGGTCTTTACAGAGACTCTTGAAAGAGGAAAAGTACTATCAGCAAGAGCTTCAGGAACAGAAAGACCACGTCAAAAGTCTGGAAACAAGTGAGACCGTGGACCCGTACGATCTGAAAAAACAGGTGGAAGTCTTGCAAGATACGGAAAGACTGCTACCAGCGTTGTACGAGAAAATTGGACAATTCAAAGCAGACTTGGAACAGTTTTCCGAGACTTACAACGGAACAGAGGACCTGCAACCGGCCAAGACTACTTTGAAAGAAGCTGACGCCCTTTTGGCTAGAAAATGAAATACTTAAGAACAACAAGAATCCACACTTCTTAGTGCTGAAGCTGCATATCCTTTGGACAGCTGAATTTTCTCACACCACAATTGCTAGATAAAGTCAAGAAATAGCCACACATTTTGTCGCCACTTGTCGGACTATCGTCCCAAAGTGGTGCCTTTAACTAAGAGCCTTCATACAGATGTTCACAACTCGTGCGATCCGGACAAGTTATCCTGGAAGACATGTCAAAGGTCTTAAATGATCATGAACTAGCATAGAACTTTCCAAAACAGGAGACTAGAGTCTGGAGAACTAAGTAGGCCTGCCAAAACGGACATACTGCTGACTCGTTGTCCCCTACCAGCCGTTAGGTCAGCTCGGTAACAGTCGTCGTACATCATTAGGTGGAAAACTTCATCAGCGATGAGCTTGCAAGATATCCAAACGTGGAAGTAGCCCATCAGCCAAGAGTTGCTCCTTCATGATCTCGATACGATGTGCTAGACGCTATTCTTCCTTAGATAATTCTAAACTATCCAGCATAATCGCTGTCAACAGCGTCCAAAGCTTCCAGCAGTCGCTGTCAAGCAATTTGGCACTGACAAAACTAGCAAATGCCTACCAAAATGGGAAATTTGCCATTGAAGACGGCGAGGGAAAGGTCTCAGATGGTTTGAATTCAACTAGAACACTCCCGTTGGTTCGATTCCCAAAAAAACAGGTTTTCGAAGAGGTTCTGAATGATCCAAAGGTCGGGAACTGGAGAAAACCCGCAACAAAATGGATTAGGCTGGGAAAGAGACTGCTGAGGATGTATGTGAATGGCATTAAGAATACATGGCAAGCTTATTTCGATTCTAGGAGGCTGTTACAGAGAATAGGACCCTCTGAGTCGATGGTGGTCTCAACGTATAGGGATTTGGAATTTCAGCAAATCCAGAACAGAAGTAATCCCGGCGATACAGTGAGACTCGCGCTTTCAAGGAAAGAATTCCAGGAAATCCACAGGCGTCGGGAATTTTGGAAATTACCATCTTTCTTCGTTCTGTTTTTGGTGTTTGAAGAAACTTTGCCTGTCATATGCTATCTGGTTCCCTCACTAGTACCTTGGAATTGTCTGACACCAGGTGCCTATAAGAAACTGTCAGAACGGATGATTGCCTCCCAGGAACAATTGCCTTATCGAAAACTGGGACCCGCTGTCCGCTATACCACGCCCTTTGCCTTGGAATCTTCAAGCACCATTGATTTGCTAAAAAGTTTCAAAATGCTTCCCCGGGCCAAAGCTGTGCTTTGTGAATGGTCTGGTAACAAAAGCTCATTGTGCGAGTTGCTAGCTAAATTTCACCAATATCTGGTCTTGGACGATTGGTTCCTGCTACAAAGTATTCTAAATACCGAGGATAAAACCATCTTGTCTGAAAGTGAGCTCGTTAACGCAATTTTGGAAAGACAACTATATCGATCGGGCGAAGATCTGAATGAGTTAGTCTCCACCGAATCTGGTCAAAAAGTACTTGTCTGGCGTCTCATCATCTACTGGTCTTTCAGATTTCAAAATACGATTGTTACCGGAGGAACAAAGACGTTTTCGGAACTATGGGGCGTTAACAACGTCGGGATTCTCAACCACCCCGGCTCCCAAAAGCTACTTGATGAATCAAGCCTGCCGTACGTCACTCATAAAGATTGAACTCCGCTAAAATAGGTTCTATTTGTTTATTACACACATTCTCATATAATCATTACATGTTAACGCAAATTTATACGTTGTTATCAGCTGCCGCCTGTAACTCGACGTAGCGTAAAAGTGCTATCAACCTTCGTAATGTTCCAAATGCGCTTCTTCTTCACACACAATTGTATGTGTATGCCCTGGGGCGTTCCTGACCATCTTTTTCAGGTCCTTCGTACAGTATGGAATAGAAGAAAACCATTGATCGCGATACACTTCTTCCATAGTGGCTCTTTCATTAGGATCAATGGTCAATATTCTGGACATTATTGGCCTAGAAGCATGCGGTAAGAGACGCAGTAGTCTGTAGGGTCCGTGCATTACTCTTCTACTTTTACCATGCTCCCTACTCCTGTGTTTTCGTTGCTGAGCTTCAGGGTTTAAAGACGATGATGGAGCTTTCGCTGAGTCGACGGCATGATTTTTGCCTGCCGGTTGAGATTCATTGGTTCCCGTTTTCATCTGATCTTGAACCGCAGGTGCATGTTTATTATCAGTTTCTTCAGTTTCTTGGGCCTTCTCAATAGATTTCTCTGCTTTTGCAGCGTGCGATTGATTTTCATTCTCAGGATCCAGCTCCTGTTCCTTTTTGACAGGAACTTTATCCTGCTTAATTTCGGTCTCTCGTTTCTCGGCCACATCGCCTGATGCAGCCGCATCCCCGGTTTCAATGGCCGGTATCACCTTTTCTGTGTGTGCAACACTTTCCTGTGTATCTTCCTTTACTTTCCGGCTTCTATGCTTCTCCTGACGTCTTTGCTTCATCAATTGTTCATGTTCTCGAGCAGATTTCACGTAATCGTGTTCAACATCGTCAGGCAGGCAAAATAGTCTGAAATTCTCATCGCTATCTTTGGGTGTCTTCCATGGAAATCTCTTTAGCATCATACAGCAGTAAATGATACCAATGGACCAAATATCGACGCACGTTGGATCATACTGCTTGGTAGAGGTCATAACTTCTGGAGCCAGGTAAGGGTCACTGCCAACAATTCCGTGAGCCATAGTTATACTTGAATCAAATGGGTATTTGTATACAACCGCGCTTCCGAAATCAATAAGTTTGAGGAGACCATCGGTACTCATAACACAATTATCGAGTTTAAGATCTCGGTGCGCTAAACCCATTTCATGTAAGTACTTGACACCTTCTGTGAGTTGACGAAGGCAACAATTGATTTCGCCCCGAGTCATTTGACCGGACATCACCACAGCGAAGAAATCAATAGGACAGTATTCCATCACCTCGTAGTATTTGTTTTGTTTCGCATCGCTGAATATATCCAGCGTTTCTATGATATTAGGGTGGTGTAAAGTAGAACCGATGCAAAACTCTGCTGTGCATTTCTTAGCGTAATCCTTGACCAATTCATTTGGCCTTCGGGGTCGAAATTCTTTCACGGCGAAAGTGGCTCCGTCACTAGGTCTTGTGATTACACGTACAGATCCACCTGCCCCAGAGCCCAAAATTTTGCCCAGTTTACCGTACTTCTGGGCCAAAATAGCATCATCATGATATATGTTTACTCGATTTGAAAGCGACAACGACGATTCCGAAGAAGGTGGGATCGCAGATTGTGTGTGCGAATGGTGATCGGGCGATCCGTTCCGCATGTTAGTGGATTGTGAGGGTTTGCGGTGAAGTATGGCAGGACGGAAGAATCGTTTCAGCTCGTTCATGGATCCGCCAGACCGTTTCACAATACCACGAGATTCAGTCCCAGAGTCACTACCCACCGATTCGCGGCTGCTAGTATGGTTCATGAATCCGAGAAATGATCGACTGCTCCGGATATTGGTGGGTTCTGTAGGGGAGCTATGGTCCTGATGATGAGCATGGAGGCCCTTGCCATGGTGGAAGACGCTTCTGCCAAGTAGGTTAGGCATCTTTTGCGGCCAGAAATGGTGATTTGGGGTAAAAATCTGGCTTCCGTTAAATTTAGGGCTATCCCGTTTTTGAAACTTGTGAAATGGCTGTTCCGGAGTCTTTCAAGCCAGAACTTTCGCAAGAAAGTTTCCAGTCTGTGAGTTCCGCACTACAGTTACGATTGATACACCTTCTAAGCACTTTACAAGAGTCTGTAAAGACCAACTGGTGCAAATATAAAATGACTCACGGTATCTGTCCTTTATAACGTTATACCCTGCTAGAAAAGCCAAAACCCCACAAAAAGCTCTGCTAGAAAACACCAAAGCGTTTCTTATAGTAAGCCTTGCGGTTGTGGATTGATCCGAGATACTATAGAGCTCACTGGCCTTCAAATCCTTTAGTTTTCGGTCCTTAAAAGTGGTGGTTGCTGATCTTTGTTGAGATGTTTTTTTTAATAGGGTGGATGACAGTAACATAAGGCGATATTTTGACATGAAATCGACAAAAGCTGGAAACCCGATGGTTTTGAGCGCGAAGAGAGTAGTTGGTGAGTAGTAAAATGATTTTCATGAAAGCGAGTGGTTTGTATACCTGTTTGCGTAATTTAGAGCATTTTCTATTTGTTTTGGAGAAGCCTTCGGAGAAAGAGACGTTTGTAAAAGGGACAAGCAGTTAGGTAAAGGTAGTGATGATTATAGCAGAAATCTAATAGTAAATTGGTGACTATTTTGGTGAGACTTTTGTCGTGAGAGGTGGTGCTGTTGTTGTTGCAAAATAATAAATGCTGGGTATAAGGATTATATTTATTTCTGCGTTTATAGTGTTCTTAGAGAGCTTGGAATGTGATATATGTTGTTTTATGAATAACTGGAAAAGAACGGTAAGGAAGGAAAGTTATTTGGGCTGGGCTTGTATCTCGCAATGGCACGTACAATACGTTTTCGTTGGAATTGTAGATAGTGGATTTTATTTCGGGCTAGAGAATTTTTAGAGCACAAATCTGGTATCTCAGCTCTACTGCGTATTGCATACCATTTTACCATTGGATGAAACTCTCGAAAACCGGTACTCAACTGTCCCGCGCCAGGCTTTGAAGTTAGCGAGCAATTCGTGTCACGTGACTTGACAAATCAGTGGAACTGCAAAAACACAACAAATGGGGTATATAAGGTGATCAATCCAAAGTGGTAATCTAGCCCACTAAGCTTAGCCCACTCTGACTTCAAAATTCCAATACTTTCCACTTTTCTCTGCTTATCGGCAGAATCGTCGATAACCTGCATTATAATTCGTCGAGATCGGTAAATTATAGATCGTCAGAACAGATGACAGCGACGTAATTATTTAAACCATGGAAAAGAGATAAACATTCAACATCTGTCATCTATCTTTTAAAGGCGTTGATCACAGAGTGTAATTAGTGGGTTTCATTCCGGATCATTGGTCAAATCTAACAAAAAATATTTTGACTCCCTAACTCCCTTGGAACAGTACTCATCGTCCAACTAATAACATGCGCCACGAACGGACGTTACCTTTGCCAACTGCAAACCATGTCTAAAGATCGCAAGTGCACAGCAACTCAAGAACAAAAGCACATTAAAACACTAACAACTCGTATTGGTCGGGGTTATTCGGTCAAGAGCGCTACGAAAACCTACAAAAAAAACGAAATCTCAGTCTTTTCCCAACTCAAACATAAAATCACGCCTGACATAACGTAGCTCAAAATCTATCCATTTCTTGAAATTTCTCGGTTCTCTAGAAACGTCCAAAACTCCCTGTTGAAGCTGTCTCGAAAACTTTCGCTGTCATCGCGTTAAAAAGCTCATCATGTGGTCTCGAGACTCGAGCTCATCTCTAATAAATCAAGCATAATAAACCTATATATACATATACCACCATCAACCATACATCAACTCTAATTTGGCAGTCAAGTAGATGAGTTTGCTACCCAATGATCAGCGTCAACTGCTCCATAAATGTCTTCTCAAATATGTTCGTAACCATTCCTCGAAGAGTGAGCTCGATTCGCTTCCTGGAACAGAAAAGATCGATGAAAATGTTGTTATGCGAACGCTGGCAATGTGGCTTGACGTAGACTTAGAAAGCCTGGACGATAAAGAAAAACCGGTAGATGCCTCTTTACTGCCGCGAAAGTGGAACTCCATTGTGAGGTTGCAGCGTAGAATCATCGAGCTGGAAAAACAGATCCAAGAACTGACGCAAGAAAACGAAACCTTAATGAATGAAGGACCTGTGTCATTGGCCAGTAAATCGTCCCTAACTTGGGTTCCTAGAGACCAAAGCAAGATTAACATCAACTGTGGTGCGTCGGTGTCGAGTGTCAAACTTCATCCTGAACTTCCACTGCTATTCGCAGCAACAGATAGCGGGAAACTGTTGTGTTACGACATTATGAACTCTTCCATGCCGACAGTATCTGTCCAGGCCCATATGAGAGGAATAACGTCTATTGACGTCATAATGAGTGAAAAAACTGAATGCTTTGTGGTGACAAGCTCAAAAGATTTGTATTGCAAAGTATTTCGTTTGGTCGAGTCCGAGCTTCAACCAATACGAAGCTTGGCCGGACATGAACATGTCGTGTCTCAAGTCCGAATATGGAAGCAAGGGAGCGATACCCTGGTGGCTACTTGTTCGCGAGACTTAACTTGTAAAGTGTGGGATGTTTCTAACGGCTGGTGTCTGACATCATTTCAGCCTCATAGCGAGTGGGTACGATCGCTAGACGTCATGGGAGATTATATTGTCACCGGCTCCAATGATTGCACTGTGCGGCTTTCGCATTGGCAATCTGGAAGAGGCCTCTCTAATGGAATCGGTCACACATTCCCCATTGAACGGGTCAAGATCATACCTATGCTCCAGAGCGATTCAGTCGCCGACGAAGTACGAACTGTTTACAACACCTACGATGAGGCGTATGTGAACCTAGGGTTCTCGCATGTAGTTACAGCCTCCAGAGATAACACAATTCGCATATGGCAAGTACCGTTGCCCAAATTCGTGGCCCACCGGCCACCGCAACCAGATCAAACTCGACAACACTTCAGTTTAGTGACTATTCTCAAGGGACACACATCCTGGGTCCGTGATCTCTGCATAAGAGGCAATTATTTGCTAAGTTGTGGTGACGATCGTACCATCCGGGTGTGGAACCTCTCTACGGGGGAAATTGCCCGCGTAATAAGTAGTTCGCACGACGGGTTCGTGAACTGCATTCACACTGATGGGAATGGACTTATCAGACAAATAATGGCGTCAGGGTGCGCCGATGGGAAAGTGAGAGTATTTATAAAATAAAAATGTACTTTTCGTTGAACGGATAGTTCTGTTTTTGTATCAAAATAAAAGTTGGACATTGTCTTAGTATAGTTTATGCTTGTTCCATGGATTCTACATCAACAGGCTCAAATTTGAATGGAGTGTATGGCGTACCTTCACCTTCGAAAAACTTCGACATAGATTCAACCCAGTGCAAACGCAAGGAATGCAACATTGCCGAAGTACCTTCCATCAAGACTAAGATGACGCAGGTGAGGACGAACCACATGGTAAACAAAACAACCGTCATGATCACACCGACTACGCCGGTCATGCCGAATGAAATTTGAATAGTCATAGTCCACAAAACGGTAGAAAGCTGAGCGTGCGCAAGAGATAGAGCCCATAGACGCAAGTAGGATGCAGTGTGAGAAACAGTATTCAAGCAGAATTCAATAGTGTGGATGACTTGGTGAATAACAACATCGCCAAACTCTTCACCATGACCACCTTCTTCTTCTTCATCTTGGTCAGCGCCGTTTTTAGCAGCGTTATGCTCAGCAGTGTTGACCTCATCGCCTTCGTTCGTGCCAACAGCTTCGTAACCATTATCGGAGTGGGTGAGCTTGAAGTGAATAGGCTTGATTAGAAGCAAGCATGGGATACAAATTAGGGCAACAATTAATAAGAAAACTTGGACCTTTGCCTGATGAGGGTATAGTTCTTCTTCCACGTTTCCTGGCGATAAAAACATGTTGATCAAGGTGTTCAAGAGACCAGGAGCGACTCGTTCTTCTTTGACCCAATCAATTGTCCACTTGTAAACAATACAAATGGACAAATATCCAAATATTCCCTGCATGAACAAGAGCCCTGGAATGAAATTTCCGATGATATCAATCCACTTATTAAAGTGAAGAGCGTTCACCAACGCGAACATGTACGAATAAGTCATATGAATGAAACCAAGCAAAACGGACAGTTTCATTTTGTAAGAATTGCTGAAAAGTAGAGCATTATCAGTACCATGCCACATCCAGTCTAAACCGAAAGCGTAAGTACCAACGGAGATAGCCTCGATGGGTTCGCCCTCTTCCCAGTGGGAGGGCCATTTCCAACCAGACTTGAACAAAGTCAAGGACTTGGAGAACATATCGTTGTATAAGAAACCGGTGTAGATGGAGAATAAGCCCATCAATAGAAGGATGTAACGTCCGGAGTAAGCCATGTCAAAAATTTCGTCCCTCTTCATCTTACCAAGAGGCACTTCATAAAAGACCAACAACGCTGCCACCATTGCCATCAACATACCATGTCCCATATCACCGAACATGACGGCAAACATAAAAGGAAAAGTGACAATGGTGGGCAAGCCGGCGTTCACTTCGCGGTAAGTCGCTATACCGTAACAATCGACAATGTTCTGAAAGGCCTCCGTGAACTTGTTTGTTCTGTGAAACGTGGGGGGACTTTTGTTTGTGTCCAAAACTTGGATGATAGAGGGAACATCCACTCCCAACGAGGTGGTGAGCCTGGCCAATTGTCCTTGTAAGTTGCTCAATTCATCCTTGGGCACCCAACCTTCACCAATCAAAGTCTTACGGTTCGAATCGTAGTCAAAAAGATTCAAAGTTTCAAAAACAGCTTTCTCACGAGCAATGTCCGTGTTCCAGGCTTGCAACTCTTTGGAAATAGCGTACAGCTCAGTTTCCAAAGTAGTGTTGGTGGTTTCCAAGACAGTGTAGACATCAGCAAGGCGGGAGTTGATTTCTTGCAGTTGCTTCGACCGAGCACCATGGTCATCACTGATGTCGTAAAGATTAGCGTCCAAAGATTCGGCGACCTTCTTTACTCTTTGCAAAATGAGGTCACCGTGAGAAAACACGATAAACGCATCCTTAAGCACTGTTGTCCTGGCCTTGGCATCGTACAATGGCTCGGGCAATTGAACATGCTTGAAAAAGAGGTTACCTCTCAAGACTCTCCATAAAATTTGCTCCAAAGTTCCAGCTTTTGCACGTGGAATCGTACCTGTGACGAACGAAACCGAGGTGGGAATACTTTCGTCTTGCGACTCAGTATGGGTGAGACCCGTAGCATTGGCAAAAAACTCATCACCGGCCTGCAAAACATGGCGAAACTGTTCCAAGTCCGATTTCTGTAATTCCAGCTGTTCGCTGGCTTCCACCAGCTGTTGCAAACGTTCTTCGATCAAAGAGCCATTTTCGACGTGGTCATCAATCTGAGACGTACTGGGGGCGATACGAAACACTCCTCTGGGAGTATCTTCCTCGCTCTCTTCAAAAATCTTGATATCATGTTCGCGCAAAAGTTTGTAAAAGTATCTGTACTGTCTTTGCAAATTGTCCAGACGTCTCACTTCAGGCACAAAAGTCCTTTGGAACGCACGAATCTTCGTGTTGAGATCTCTAAACTGAACCAGTCCTTGGTCTCCTAAGCTGTAGACCGAGTCCCTACCAATCTCTTGAGGAATGTAAAGTTGGACCAAACTCATTTCCGCAGAGCGGAACATCGCTTCGTATTTTTCGACCATCCCAAAGAACAAGTGAAAACAAGCGGAAACGATGAGTCTTTAAAGCCTGAGCAATGCTTCTATAGCTGCTTTTTGATGTGGTTTGTGGTGGATAAAAGTTATGGAATGCGGTGATAGGGATAAATTTCTATACACAGGTGATTCTGAAATTTTACAAGCTTCGTAGTCGTATCTAGTGATTTGGGAAGCAGTGACGGTAAAGTTTGTCCTGTGGTCTTAGTTGACCTGTATGAATCATTTGAAGTGGTTGAGTGAGTCTTTTGGATTTCAGTTATGTCTGGACGTTTTTCCGTTCATTATTTTGAGCACATTTGGTGATGATTTGGATGATGACAGTAAATTATTGTTCGGCATGAGTATTTGCGAGTCATGAGTCCTTCTTGTTCAGTAAGTGTCCTTGTACATCCCGAATTATTCTATTTACTTCGCTTCATGTATTAATAGATGTTTGTGATGATTTAATTGGTGAGGATCTGAGAGCCCACAGTTTCGTTTTAGTTCGGCTGGGCGACAGGGGAAAATGGAATGTGAGATTGGAATGTGTTTTGAATTGACCGCGATTTAGAATTGCAGCTGAAGTGTGTCTCATGGTGCTCTCTTTGAAGCCGGTGGGTAAAGATGTATCGTTGTGATTTTAGATCCCTATGTACGTATGTGTCATCACCTTATGGTAAATCACGTGCTGGTATAAAACCATATTTTAAGATGGGCGATTGATGAGCGTAGCTGTTTCGTTCGCACGTATTGAGTAACAGCTGATTCGATTTTGTCTGTATCTATCAGCTGCTTTCTCTCTTCAGCTTTACGACCCAAAACTGATAATGTTATTTGGTGTCCCCGGCGTACACATGATATACCTTTTTTTCAGCACTTATGAACAGCATCGAACCTGATTTCGATCAAATGCCACTGTTCTGCCTTTTTCTATATTCATAGCACAGCCAGCCGTTAGTTCATCTTTCAGAGATTTCTCAACCCAATGTTCATTTACACCACTTTATCATTAATTTCAACCCAAAACTCATATCACCTAAGTTTGATGAAAACCAGCAGATCCTCAAAAACAGCTAGGGGAGCCCCATGATCTTCAACCATCATATGTAACTACCACCCTTTCTCGATCAATCCATATTTGATTTTCATTTCCAGAACGTCATTTGGATATTGCCAAATCTACTTCTCGCGGAATTCGAACAGCCGACTAATTTCCTGAAATGCGTATCACATGATACGTCGTACCTTTTCATAATTACTATAGTGATATTCATCTAGGAACGATCTTACGGTAGGTAACTTGAAAACGATGACACGACTACTTAAAAGGAGCTTCAAATCTCACTTCTCAGACCTCACATCATTTGTTTAACGTGCAAAATTTCCGCACCCAAAGAATTGACCATGTCGCTCCCGATTCTCACGTCCGCGCCAGGAAAAGTTATCATTTTTGGCGAACATTCAGCTGTCTTCAACGAACCTGCAATTGCAGCAAGCGTAAACTCTTTGAGAACGTACCTTTTGGTAACAGAGACGGAAGATAGTGACATTGTCGAACTGGATTTCCCAGACATTGGACTTGACCATAAATGGCACGCAAAAGAGCTGTCTCAGATAGCTGCGCCCTCTAGAATAGCTGCTAGCGAACACTCTAAAAACCTAAATCCGGCATTAAACGCTGCTTTGGAGCCACTTTTGAAGCCCCTGCATGGATCATTGCAATACCATGCCGCGTATTGCTTTTTGTATTTGTATTCGTGCTTGTGTGGCAGTCGAAGAGGTGTGAAATTTAGCGTAAAATCAAGCTCGCCCATTGGCGCTGGTCTTGGATCCAGTGCTTCTATTTCCGTGTGCCTGGCACTTGCAGTCGGAAAATTCGGTGGTCATTTGAACTCGGAACCCGAAAAGTTGTCCAAACAGGAACTTGACTTCGTCAACGAATGGTCATTCATTGGTGAAAAATGCATTCATGGCACACCATCTGGTATAGACAACGCCGTGGCTACTTACGGAAATGCGGTGCTTTTTCAACGACAACCAAACGCGGAAACCAAGTTGGAACATATTTTGAACTTCCCTCAAATTCCCATGATTTTGACTAATACCAAGATTCCAAGGTCTACCAAAGTGCTGGTAGGGGGTGTACAAGATTTAATAACTAGGCAACCGGAAATAATAAGCCCGATTTTGAAGGCCATGGGTCAATTGGCCTCACGCGGTGCCAAAATTCTGGCTGATTTGAACGAATCCAATTTAGCAGATTTGTGCGAACTGGTACGAATCAATCACGGTCTTTTAACTTCAATTGGTGCTTCACACCCAGGACTAGAGGTAATCAAAAGCCTCAGTGACTCTATGTCCATCGGGTCTACGAAACTCACCGGTGCCGGTGGTGGCGGCTGCGCTTTCACTATCTTAAACCAAGATGCTTCGCTTAAAGATATTGAGAAATTTAAGAACACGCTTGAAACGCAGTACAACTATCAAACATACACGACAGGACTTGGCGGACCCGGATGTGTGTTTCTGCCATCGGAAGAAATCCAGCAAAACATAAGCGTTATCGAACCTCTGTTTAAAAAGTCCGCCAATGTTTCTGATCTTAACGCTGCTTTGCTGCCTGGAATTTCCGGTTTGAAATGGGTACATTGAGCATTTCCGATATTGTTGTGTCAAATAATAAAGATATAGAGAAGCATCGTACACAACAAAACTTGAGAGTAAATGAGTCTATTCAATACATCTTTAAAAAAACTGTACTTAAATGCTTGAGTAAAGAGCGATCTTAAATGCCTCTGTTGAACCAGACTTGTTTGATGGTATCACCATGTTGGTCTTTCTGGTTTTTCAAATGGTCCTCTAGTTTGTGAACATCAATTCTTTGGTATTGTGGGAAAACGCCCAATGCAAATGGTAGAGCTGCCAAAGACGTACCTAGAATCAAACCCAAATTTGCGAGGGTTTGAACGGTTAAAGATTTGCCCTTCAAGACACCTTTTTGGAGCCTCACCAGTAAAAGCGGTGGCAAAACCATGATTGGCGTGGCATTTATGACTCTGCTGAGAGCTGTTTCGCCAACAGCCAGGAAAGCGGCCTTTTTGGACGTACCTACCTCATCACCATTCTTGTCGTAGACAGAAATACCCTTCTGGATCTCACTTCCTCTCATCAAAAACACATTGATGACACCAGCACTGACCACGGCAGCGAATGGCACCAATCTACCTAGGACCAATCTGGAATTGGCAGAAATGTTTTGCAGACGAGGCACTATTTTGTTGAGACCAACGGCTACACCACAAGATGCAGTCACAGCCATGGCGTAGTTGGTCGCCAATTGGGAATTTGACATAGGATGCGATTTATTGGCATTTGCAGAGTTGATAGCCACGTTTAGCGACTGATTGGCCCATTGCCAGAAAACAGTACCAGCAATGCCCAATCCTGGTGTTAGCATACCAGCGGTGACGACCAAATTCGACAAGACACAGCAAGACATACGGAAAGGGAGTAACACTGTTTCTCCGGTGTCTGGGTGTACTGTGGAATCCAGTTGTTTCTTTGCATGCCAAAATTCGGGAGAGGGATCTTTGAGTTCACCGCGACGGTAGCTGGAGACGATTTTGCGTGCATTTTTGAGCTGGTTTTCAGTGGTTAAAAGCATGAACGGATCACTGATTTCAGAACAGTGACGCACTCTTCCCCAGTATGTAGAGAGGTCGAATTTCGAGTCCGGAAGTGGAAAAGGGCCGGGAACCGAAGATGCCATGGTGGAATTCACTTGTTTAGGAGGCTTGGAGATGCTAACTTACAGGCTTGGAAAAGATCTATAGGATGCTGGAGGGTCCAGAGCAGCGGCAATGGTTTCTGGAGAAGAGTTTTTCAATGTAATTTCACGGTAATAGTTTTTCATGAGTACTGATGGAAAAGGTATTCGTGAAACGAGAAAAGAGAGATGAGAGATATTGAGTGGAATAGCGGAGAAGGCAGAGCGTTGAGGTGATTAAGAGAGGCTAGATGAGCTAGGTTTCACAAATGCAGACTGGAAGATGGAATATCGTTTATCAAAATCTCAAAATCACGTGACCGTGGCGACGGAATGGGCTAAAATTATGATGAAGGTTGGAGTGATATTTGAACTACCTACGTCGAAACGACGAAGGTAAGAGTGAGATCTTCATCAACTGTCGGCATTTTCTCTTCACACAAGCCCTGATAAACTCACTTTTCAATTTTTGCCTACATCAATTCGGATCTCTACACGTGACCAAATGCTATCCTCATATATCGTTGTATTTTGCCAATTCATCACATACGAGAGTTTGGCCGAGTGGTTAAGGCGTCAGATTTAGGCTTAACTTTCATAATAAGTCAGATTCTCTGATATCTTCGGATGCGCGGGTTCGAATCCCGTAGCTCTCATTATTTTTTGATTATCAAGTTTTTTTAATTATTGAATTTTGTCAATATGAGCGTCAGTCAAACCAGCTCAAAGAGAAAAGATACGTCTCAACCAATCCCTCACACATATCTAACAAGTCTCTATTGCTCAGTAAATCCAACCTCACTCACCACTTTTCCCACCGTTTTCCTTTTTCCGTCTCTCTGCCCTAAACCCACCTTCTCTGTCGTTACCCAGCTTATTTGCCATATGTATAAATTAAAAGATCATCAACCAATTCGTCTTTCCTGACTGCGACTTTTTGATCGGTTCTTCAAAACAGTGATACGAAATTATATTCGCCTTCTATTCACTGTGCCATCTGTAATATCCGTAGATGATCAGAGGGGAAAAGAACGGCCAGACGGAAAATCGCCAGCGTCCTCATACTGTCCGAATCGATAAAGTTTACTCTACTGGGTTCGGTCGGTAACTGCGCAAGCGAGACAACTCTCCAGCCATAAACCACACTGTTCAAGAAACAGAAGAACGTAAAGGAACCTAGAACGACTTAAAAGAACGGCAATTTTCGTAGACTTGCCGTCTTCACCTCATTGTAGATATAATATTTGATAGTGCTTTCACCACGAATCTTGACCTTGAAACACCGAAAGCTACAAGATATAGGTATTTTAGCAAACAACAGCAACATATCGTTGTGGTTGAGACTTGCAAGTGTTCTAATTCGATGTCTAGCTGGTCCTATTTCTTCTTGTCTTGTCGCTGTTCTCATCTTGTGTATTTTCCCGTCGTTGGCCCTATAGGCCTATAATGAATATTATTGAAAAATTTTGATGAGCTCATCGCATCGCATCGCTCAAGCTCATCGCACCAGAAAATCAACGTTTATACATCGGATAAGCAGCAGTAATGGCTGAAGAGGCACAGGTAAAGGTCAGATTCTTCACCAGAGAACAAGATGAGAATTTGAAGATCGAAGATACGACTCTTTTTGCACCAGTATCGCTAAAAAGATACGGTCTTTCCGAAATCGTCAATCATCTGCTGAAACCAGATTCGCCAGTGCCATTCGACTTTTTGATCGACGGCGAGCTTCTTCGTACCTCGCTGGATGTCTATTTGACCAAAAAAGGCTTGTCTTCGGAATCGCTGCTCAACGTCGAATATACCAGGGCTGTGCTACCACCTTCGTATCTGAAAAGTTTCAACAATGACGATTGGGTCAGCGCTTTGGATGTGGGCAGTGCACGCATCTTGAGTGGTTCCTACGACGGTATAGTACGTACATGGAATCTCTCGGGAAAAATCGAAAAGCAGTATGCTGGCCATTCCGGTGCCGTTCGTGCTGTAAGATACATATCCGGCACCAGACTAGTTTCGGGCGCCAATGACCGTACTCTACGTCTGTGGAAATCCAAAAACGATGATCTGAAAAACAACCTTGAAGCGGACGATGAAGATGTGGAAGAAGGAAAAACTTTGGCCATTCTGGAGGCTCACAAGGCCCCAGTTGTCACTTTGGATGTCAGTAATGACCGCATTTTGTCCGGCTCGTATGATCACTCGCTTGCATTCTGGTCCACAAATCATAAGGAAATGACCGCACTCGACCCTATGGATGCTCTAGGATCCTCGGTGTCGTCGGCCGCCAAAAAGAGAAGAAAGCTCGCACTCAAAGACGGTTCTGTGAGAAGGCGGTCGCCTCTTGCTCTTCTAGAGTCACATACCGCTCCCGTGGAGGCTGTTCGTTTCGATGCACAAGACAATACGGTTGGTTATTCTGTGTCTCAAGACCATTCTATCAAAACTTGGGACTTGGTCACATCTCGTTGCATTGATACAAAACATACATCCTACTCACTTCTGTCTCTAGCACAACTGCCGCAGCTAAATTTGTTGGCTTGTGGGTCAAGTGCCAGACATATCACGCTACATGACCCCCGTGTGGGCTCTTCAGCCAAAATCACTCAGCAGCAGCTCAATGGCCATAAGGGTTTTGTCGTCTCTCTTGATACGTGCCCTGAAAATGAATACCTATTGTGCTCTGGATCCCACGACGGAACTGTGAAAGTTTGGGATGTCCGTTCCACGTCGCCAATGTACACTATTACCAGGGAAGCCGATGTTGTTAAAGGCATCAACGATAAAGTTTTTGACGTTAAATGGGCCAAGGGCCTCGGAATCATCAGTGGTGGACAGGACAAAAAGATTCAAATCAATAAAGGTGACGACATCTTTAAGGCTTGATAATATCCCGCACCCTGCCTATGTGTAAATTATTCATTCTCCCGTATATACTGAATGAAATCTAACCAGTCCGTAATAACCTTGATACAAGGACTTTTCGTTTGTGACATAGCCGCATAGCTTTTTAGTATCAGCGTCGTGGTAGAGATCTTTCCATTTTCTAATGCTGCGCAAACTTTTCAATTCTTCATCCGTGAACTGTACTTTAGGCCTGGTTCCATACTTCAATGGGCCTATGTTTATCCAGTGTAGCTTCAAGCAGAAACTCTTGAGTCCTTCAATAGCATCAAAGTAATCAAATACATTTTCCGCTGTGTCTATGAAGAACGCAGACAGCACCACTATGTTGTCGTAAGTAGCACCAGGTTGAAAGTCACAAAAATTGCCTAGATGAACTTTAAGGTTTGCGGGCCTGCGGATTTTGGATAGGTTTATGTCAAATCCAGTCACCTGTTGTTGTACAGAAAGCTGACCCGAGAAGTGTTGTGCGAACGGTTTGATGTTGACTGTGCCGTCATAGTCTAGCACAAATTCGTTGCAGAGATACATTAGCGTGGAGAGTTCAACAGAGTGGACGTCGAAGGTGGAGAAAGCACAGGCGATTTCGTAGGCCAGTCCTCCTAGTCCCGATCCAGGCACCACCAGTAGTGTCTTACCTTTTAGTTTGAGGCCCTTGAGTCTTGATTGGATAAAATCAACCAGTGGTTGGCGCTCTGACTGAAAACTGGAGTGCCAGTCTCGACACATATGGGAAATGGCTTCATTGACGCGCGATTGTTTCGAACTTGGAGAAAGCGTAAGTTTGTGCACTGAAATCCGCTTCAAAGCTGACTGGCTATCTACCTCGAAACCCAAACCTTTGGCAACAGAAAGCAGCTCTTTACCGTATTCATTATCGAGTTGATTGTTACGCAGCAGTTTGATGAGTGAGTTCTCCACAATAAGCTGCGTAGTCGAGCTATTGTCACCGATAGCATCATTGATTTGCTCGAGTTTTTCAAAGTACTGCAGAGCCCTCAATTGCTCGATTTGGGCCGGATTTACACTTTTGGACATATGGTAAAGCGTTGCATTGTATTTGAGTGCTCTGGCCCGGTATTCTTGCAAATAAATCAGCGAATCATACACCTCTGAGAGTCCTACCGGGTTATTAAAATGCTTGGATTCTTCCAGTCGAAAACCAGTAGATATCGGTACATGTTTGGTCATTTTAGAAAATGAACGTTGAAGCTTATTTGCCAAACGCATTTTCCAGCCATTGTTCTTGTTTAAAATCATCAGAACGACCGAGAGAACCACCATAAGACAGGAAGACAATGTAGAGTTCATCGTTGCTCAAATGGTCCCAAAGAGTCTTCTTTCAAGGTCAAAGTTGGCGTTCTTTTCAAATCGAAAATCAACTTAATGTCATCGATGATGGGTTGACAATATTTGTAGAAACTATAAAAAAACGGCTAGAATAACTACGTTCTTTCCTGGTAATGCCGATTAGTATATATTTGAGTGTTGTAGAATTTAAACAAGAGAGTATTTTGAAACTTGGTGGGAAGCAGCAGTCTCTGCGGTGGAAGTACGGGTGTGCGATGAACGAGTGTCATTTGCCGGTTCAGGATCACGATTTGCAGATCTGTTCTTGTCATTGAGGGCTTCTTGGGAGTCATGAAGCGTAGAAACAGCATTTTCAGAGTTCTTGTCATCGTCAGCTTCTTGCTTCAATGCGTTGAATCCAAAAGTCGAGTTGTGACGCATGGTCTCACCGTATCTGGCAAAGATCCACGGTATTGGAATCATGGCAATGCAAATGAAGCCGAATAATGAGCTGGCCCAACTTATCTTCAGCTTTTCGTACATCTGAATTGTGAACAGCGGGAAGACACAGCTAGTGACGTACCGCAGTAAGTTGTTGGCAGCTAATGCCGAGGCCACGAATAGTGGTGGATAGCAGGTTGAGAAATACATGATGACACTGAAGAAAATCAGAATCAGACCGAATCCAAATGGCACGCCTGCTGCCATTGGGGCCATCCAATGAACACTCGCACGTCCGGTCCACCCAAGCCAGAAAAGACTAATTGGAAGCGCTATTGAGCCGATTTTGCAAATATCAAGCAGCTTTTCTGGTTTGAGCACCATAAGCTCGCCAGTTTCAGGATCTCTATGGCCTCTGAGGGGCCTGGTACGTTTGGAAGAGCTGGAGACCAAAGGAGGCGTGCCGGCGGGCGCTTTTGGGAAGAAGTAACGGCGATCATAGAGAATGTAGAACAACGAGCCCAACCACAATCCGATACCGATTCCGATGAACGCCAAACCGGCCACTCCGGTGCTCATGTGGTAAACACCGCGGAAAATGACAGGATAGGCTTCGAAAAAGGCAAACAAAACTGCAAAAATGAAAGCAACGTAGATCGAGAAGAACAGCACCGTGGGCTCCACTACCAGCATTTTGATGGGTCTGAAAACGGTGATGGTCAGGGTCAGTTTGAGGAAGTCCTTCTTGGCCTGGGCTGACGGTTCGATGAGATTGACTTTCCGCTTACGGGCTCTCTTTATGAGAATGACGCCCTTGTGGGTCTCGGGCATCAACACCAAGAAGGGCAGGATCAACCCACCGGCGAAAAGCTGGATGTAAGTGGCCCATCTCCAGCCTTCCTTTTCGGTAGCAAAACCCGCAATGATGGGGCTAATGATAGGACCCAAGAAGGGTGCCAGACAGAAAAACGACATGGCCACGGAGACTTCGTCCTGGTCCCATATATCCATGATGGTACCGGAAGCCACTGAAAGTGCAGGCGAAGCGAAAACACCCGAAAAGAACCGCACGGGCAGCACCACACGCAGATGGCCGCCGGAAAGTGCCACTCCCATTGTGAACAGCATCGAAACGGGCAAAGAAACGATGTAGATGATTTTCCGCCCAAAAACCTCGGACAGTGGAGCTCCAATGACCGTGGAAAGTCCGAGCAGATAGAAGGTGAGCCCGGAAATCGCCAGCGTTTGATCGTAGCCGTACTCGAGCACCATACGTGGCACACCGTTCACGTACAGCGACGAACCCATTGTCACCACTAGACACAACACCGCTGCGGACATCGTGGTGAACCATTTTCGCCAGGTGGGCCAGTTGTGTGGGTTGTCGGTGTCAAGAGGACCGTCCCAGTCCAGCTGGCGGGGGTCAATTGGCTTGTCCGGGAGCTGTTCAGGTGTTTCGGTGCTGTGAGAGGTCATCGCCAGTGGTTTTAGGAGAGAAATGCGATGAGATGTCGACGTTGAGCGCCGATGCGATGAGCTTTCGAGGTTCGAGAATGAAAAAACAGACCCGAGTAGATAAGTGGGTAGATGTGCGGATGGAGGTCTCCCTAGAGGTCCGGATCGAGGAAAGCACGTGCAAAATATTTTTTAACAAAAAGCTTCGTACAAAAAGACCAAATTTTTCCAAAGTTCTCAAAGTCACGTGTAAGCCTAGAAAAATTGAAATTCCAGCAAAACCTCAACCGTTGAGTTTTTTTTATGCTCTTGTTTGAAAAGACCCTGTGTTCGAGCCTTTGCCAAGAGGAGATACAACAAAATGCGTCTGTGCGTAATAAGATCTTCTTTGATACCTATACGTGATCAGAAATCTCCTATCAAGGTCCCACTATAATTCTGTATTCGCTTTTATATATACAAGCTCTCACGAGAGTCTCATTTTGTAGTGTTTCCGGGTATAATTCCTACCCTTCCGTTGTGGTAGTAAGATCATATAATGAGTCTAGATCTGTAATACCGGTGTTAGTGAGAAGAAAGCGTTGGCAGAAACAACGGTTCAAAAACGGCACTGCACCCAGAAAAGGAGGAAGGTCACGGAACTCGAGCTGTGGTGTGTGGGCGACGAACTTGTGTGGATACGAAACGTATGTCTTGAATAGAAGACGTGGTGTGTAGTGGTGCTAGCGACGGGACTGGGTAATAGTGATAATCCGCGATGAGAAGGATGTCGTGGTGAACTGCTGAGTTGAAGAACACGATGTTCAATCAAGATAGAGCGATGATGAGGTGTATGAAACACGATTGAAGGAGCTTGGTGAAGATATCCAGGGCCTTTTTGATCTGTCACGTGCAAAATTCGAGTAAATTCGAGTAAAATTGTTTGTCACTTTTTCATATCGTGGCGCCGTGAGTGTCTACGTGATAGAAGCGTTTCTTATGCTGTTCAAGAAGACTGTTGCGTTTGAGAGGGAACTATAAAGGCATTGGTCGATGAGAACAAGTTGGAAAAACTACTTTGAGAGCTCTGATGGTTTTTTGGTTAATTCCAACCAGGTACGGCTTTAACTTTTCATGGTAATGACACGCGAGTACGCGACGATGGGGAATCATTCAAGCTCCCTTACAAGTGTGGTAGCTCGTTGCTAGCACTTGTCTAAACACCCTTTATATCCAACTGAAAGTGGTTAGTTGTTAGTTGAATCTCTATTCAGCATCGGCAGTCACTCTACACGTTGCATGACACGCTGGACTAAAATGATATTCATTCTGTCACCAGTAGGACGAAGGCCTCAGCCCATTGCGTGGACAAGCAGGGCTCCAATTGTTGTTTGAATTCACCAATCGGAAGAGCTTGAATGCGTCTGTCAATTGGTATTTATACATGCAGTCTGGCGCCAGTTCGCCACATGCAAAAATCTGGGTTCTGCGCCAACAACGACAACAACGACAACAACGACCTGCCTTCCCCCACTACTTGCAATCTTTAAGCAAACCCACTATTCCTATGCATCTTGGTAGCTTGCATCTTCTCAAACGTTTTTGTAGCGGGTTGTATACAACGACACCTCCATTTTTCGATTTTTACTTCATACCCAAAGTGTGGAGGATTCGCTAAGCTCCAAGGTCTTTCAACTGTCGCAGTTTTTCCTACCTCTGGTGCAATAGCACCTAACTTTTGATGAAACTATCAGCTGAACTTTAGAAATCAGGCGGCCTTGATGTTTCAAGCTTTCAGACAAGCATACCTTTACATTCCGACTCGGAAGACTCGATATCTTAACCACATATATTCTGGGTGTACTCGGTCATATAAAGTTGGGCCTATTCAAATATATTCACAGAGCGTTGAATTTACAGAAACTGCTTTGTCTAAATCCTTTCGTATCTGTCACCAACAACTGTAAAGTCTTTGAGAAACGCATTGATCTTCTGCAACTCCGAGTCCGAAAGCTTCTTGAACGTATAGTTTTCTAACACGCGACGCCCAGAAGATCCACCTGATAGCGGGATGAATTTGGTACCGGGATACTTGGAATTGTTTGACACTATCCATGCCATAGCAACCTGTGGTAGCGTAATACCATCTTCCCGTTTGTCCACGATTTCCTCCTGCAGAAACTTGTTCAATTGCAAATTGTGCTCCAAAGCTTCGCCCGAAAACCTTTTGAGCGACCTCCGGTAGTTTCCTTCGGGCACGTCATCAGCAGATTTTATCGATCCCGTCAAAAGCCCACGACAGAGCGGAGAGTAGCACAAAATGGGCAATCCTCTTGCGTTACAAATGTCAGCGACGCCGTTCGACAAAATTTCCGGGGAAAACAGCGAGAGTTCAACCTCAACGCACGCTAGGTAGTCGTGATATTTATCGTCAATAGCTGCGATCTGTTTGGCGTCGACCTCGCTCAATGAAATGGCCCCAATGACGCCCTTTTGCACAAATTCTACCAGGGTATCGAATGTTTCTGCAGGGTAAACGTTGGATCCAGCCAATTTGACGTCTAGTCTTGCTGGCTCGAAGATATCGATGAAACCACCAATTTCACGAACGCAGTTCTCGACAGATTTGATAACACTGGCACGGTCACCCAACGGTGTGAATGTCTTAATATCGAAACAGCCTTTGCAGCTGACGATGACTTTTTCACGCACACCTGGACGACTTTCGAAATATTCACGGGCCACCTGCAAGTTGATGAAGTTGGGACCGTAGAACTCACCGACATTGAGCAAAACTGGTTTTTCCTGCAACTTGATCGCTGTATCAATTGCTGCAAAAGATGTTTCTTTGGGTGGAGGATTAGGTGGCATTGCAAGACCCATCAGCCCATAACCGGCCGTAGCCTTGAAGTGAGCTGCTCTAATTTCCTCAGGTGTTCGCATTTCAGTTTGATATTGTCTTGAGAATGGGATTTGCGTTGGCAATTGAAGAGCAGGTTAGTCTTGGCATCCAGTAGCATTCAAAAGACTCCTCTTTTTATATGCTTTGGCAGTTTAGAGATAGGTTCCTCTCATAATTGCCTTGAGGGCAATACGAACCCGGCTTTAGAACGGATTTTTTTGGAGCATTGTTCCATGAACGTCATATTTCTGTTGATAGATAGTGATTGAACGGACGTGGGTAGTCAAAGTTCATGACAGAGTGGTCGAATATGATGTATAAGCAAAGGGCTGCTATGGGCAGTGATTTTCAGTGCATATTTAGAGCTACCGGACCCAAGACGGAACACATGAGAAACAAACTGAAGTGAGGCTTGACAACTGAGGTAGGTGAAGTTACAACGGGGGTATGACGGAAAAGGAGGCTTCTCTCGTTCATGGTTCCATGAATAACTTTGGTTGCTGTGAGTATCAAGATTTTGGAACAGATTTATGGATTTCGGAAGCCTTGACGATGCAGTTTGAATACCAATAGATGCTTACGATCAAAAACTTGAATTCACGAATAATTCCTCGGTTTTATTATACTTCACCTCATCTGTTCCTTGTCTTGTTCTTGTATCGATGCCGTTGAGGCAATACTAGATTATTGTCTTGATACTAGCGAAAAAGCTATTTTGTAGAACACTTTACTCGTAACTGTTGTTGTAGACCTCATCGGAACCGTAAAATACGTTTATCGTCACTTTCACTGTCAATTTCGTCCTGACTTCTTCAATTAGTGTCAAGTTACTCAACTGAACGCACATTTCCCATATTCATTGAGATTCTGCCCCAAGCTTCGGCCCTGCGTTCTTACACTTTGAAAATCAGCACTTCTGTCGTGGGAAACCTATTAAAAAGTATTGTCAACAATCGAGCATCGCTCCCCATTATCGCATCCACTCTCCCTCCCATCATCGCTCTCGCTGACAATCCATGCGAGAAGTTATCAGCATTAGTGCTTCCCATCGAGCAAACCATGTTCTTACCCAATTCTACAACGGCCAAGAACAACTTCTCCAAGCTACCAACAACGTCAATGAACCGGGCGTGTTTCTGAACCCAGTGGTTGACAGAATCAGCAAAACGGTGTCTTACTCACCAAGAGCTCTGTTGTGGGACGCAAGAAACGGTGTAGGATCGCTTGGATTGCACGAATACGAAACTGGCCACGATTACTATTTCGACCCAGACCGTAAGCCGGAGGAAGCCACTCAAAAAGGCGTCCAAGTCATCCAAACTCACCAGAGAATACCAAAATCTGAATACCAAACGGCAATTGACTCCAACGGCCGCCTGCCAGAACTGACCGATGCCAACACTAAGTACTGGTCCGATTATACCAAACTGGTTTTTGGATCGTCCAATTTGAGCTCTTTGAAAGACTGGTACCACAACGTGGAAGATCCATCGCTGCCGGACTTCCAAGACCAAAATCAAGCGTATTTCAACAACTACGAAGTCGGCTACAACGAGTTCAAGAGTAACTACAGCACGGAGTTTCTAGATGAGAAATTTCACTGGCAATTGGAGTCCTGTGATGGCCTCCAGGGCATCAATCTCGTTTCCGAGCTAGACAATGGTTGGGGCGGGTTTTCGTCCAGCTTGCTGTTGGAAGTACGAGACGAACTTCCCAAGACCGACATTATAACGTGGGGGTTCAACAAAGACGACGCATTGACGCTGCAGAAACCCGTTCGTTCGTCCAAGACCAATTTTGATCTTATTTGCAACAAGATTCGTTCTACCATCAGTCTTGTGCGCGACTCAGAGCTGTTTTTCCCATTGTATTCAAATCCACAGCAGTCGCTTTGGCAGTCTGCTGGTGCTGCAACTCTGCTTTTCGATGCTGTGAACTCTGTTTCTTCCAATCGAGTTCCGGAAGATCGTGTTTTGTTTGGCCAAATAGTCGCAATGCTCACACAGGGAGAAACTCGACAAAACGTTGTCTCGCAGCTCGAAGCCGATAACATCGATTTTTCTTTCTACTCACGCATTCCTAAAGTCAAGACTACTGGAGAGAAAGTGTTTAACAAACTCGTCATTTCAAGAGACTCTACAAGTGTCGTTAAGGAGCCGTGGATGCTGAAAAGCTACGAATGGCAGCCCTCAGACACAATCCCTATGGACTATAGAGCGAACACCAAATACACTACCAACTTGGCCGTGACGGAACAACCCAGAGATGTCTTCAAGAGCTGGTTTGACCTGGTTTCGCGCTATTTCCGCTACGATTCCGACCGGGAAGAGCTTAAGGAAGAGTTGGGCACTTTGGCAAGCGAGTATGAACACGGATGGTACGACGACGACGAATCTGGAGACGATTGCTGATGATTTCTGTCATTTATACGTGTGTACGGCGATGTCATCGGTAAGAGCTGGTAGAGGTCAATGATTTCGTTGATTATAGGCGATGAGCTACAGTTGACCTTTAAATAAAGCTTCGATGCTAAGAAGGCTTGTCGCTAAACTAACAATGGCAAGGCCCAAGGTTATTGTGATTGCTGGTACTACTGGTGTGGGCAAGTCGCAGCTGTCCGTTGAAATCGCAGCTCATGTCTCTGGTGAAGTTATAAATTCAGATTCCATGCAAGTCTACAAAGATCTTCCCATCATCACCAACAAACACCCCGTGGCAGAACGCAATGGGATTCCACATCATGTCATGAATCATGTGGATTGGAGCGAGGAGTACTACCTTCATCGATTCGAACAAGAGTGCCTCGAATCCATCGACGACATACATTCCAGAGGGAAAGTGCCTATCATAGTGGGAGGGACCCACTACTATCTTCAGATTTTACTCAATAAGCGCATCGAGCAAAAACACAGGGTACCGACCAAAGAGGAGCAGCAACTTCTGGACGATGGGGAGCCAGAAAAAATCTACAATATGCTTCAGCAGCTAGATCCGGTCATTGCAAGCAAATACCATCCGAACGATTCCCGAAGGGTTCACAGAATGCTCGAAATATACTACACGACTGGCCAAAAACCCAGTGAGGCTTTTGCAGAACAGCAGAATACTCTCAAATTTGATACTCTGTTTCTCTGGATTTACAGTACACCTGAAGAACTCGATAGCAGACTCGATAAAAGAGTGGACCAGATGATGAACAACGGCGCATTGAAAGAAATTCAGCTGCTGTTCGAAAAATATCAAGCTGGCAATTTCAGTCCAGAACAATGTGAAAACGGTATCTGGCAGGTTATTGGCTTCAAGGAATTTCTTCCTTGGTTGGAAGATTCAAGCGCTGCCTCGTTCGAGTCATCAGTGGAGAGGATGAAGATCCGTACTCGCCAGTATGCCAAGAAGCAAGTCAAATGGATCAGAAAAATGTTGTTGCCTGACGTTAAAGATCATCTATATATGCTTGATGCTACTAATCTTGATCAGTGGAGGAACAATGTTCTGGAGCGGGCAGTCTCCATAACTGATAGCTTTCTAAGCTCGAGTAGTATTACAGAGGAACACGCCCCGTCGAGCCTCTTATCATTGCTCTCCAAAGACAATTTAGGCGAAAATAGTCCTAAACTCGAAAACGACTGGACTCGATATACATGCAATGCTTGTCGCGATAAGGACAATAAGCCATTGGTGGCCATTGGTTTTAAAAGCTGGGAAATTCATTTAAAGAGCAGGCGTCATCGTACGAATTTGTCGCGAGACAAAAAGATGGCAAATCATGAGGCGTGGAGGAAGGGGAGGATGGCAATCGCAGCCCAGCAGGAAGAAAAAAGTTGAAGGTCAGTCTCATAATTAAGTACTTCGCTACTTCAAAATTTCTTGTTCTGCAAGCTTTTTCTCCTCTGTACGTGAAGCTTCAAAAATCTGCACGTCATTCAACAATGAATTCACTGAGGTTACCAGGTCTTGGTAGAATTTCGAACCGCTGTTGAGGTTTTCTTTGACATCTCCAAAAAGCTTCAGAGAGTACTTGAAGTCCTGAATGTATAAATCTCTGGCATCTAGCCGTTCCATCTTCGTATTTCCTTCATCCTCAATGTTTAATCTACAGAGAAGTTCTCTGTTAGCACTTTTCTCCCTCTCGATCAACAGCAGATCATCCTGATAGATCTTCAACCCCTCGGCAAAAACATGCTCGAAATCTGTTTGACCTGTTCTCTTATACAAAGAAACAATCTTGGGTAAGAGCACGTTTCGGCCTGCTTTGATTTTAACCTGTGAGATCACATCTTCTCGACGATCGATTGCTGCCGAAAGATCTTTAACAACAGGATCGCTAGACTCAGGAAGCTTGATTGGTTTTGTAAGCAGATTTGCATCGATAGTATTGAATATCTGAATTGTTTCTTGGTCAACCGCTTTCCCCGTCTGTAAATAAGACTCTAACTTAGAGTATCTTAACCAATATCCTGCATTGACTTTGTCAGAGGGCTCAATTGTCCATCTGTCGGTGCCATACTTTGTTCTCAAAAGCTGGTCTGTTTCGTGCTCATGATTAAGTATCTTACTTATTTGTTGTAGAGCGCTGGTAACATGTTGTGCATTAGTCTCCGATTGTTCTAGCGAACTACGACAAACCTCGAACTCTTCTTCGGAGATGGGTCGAAGATCCGCAGAAAGAGCAGACGGAGGAAACCTTTGACTGATGATTTTGTTCAAAGCCTTTAGCGGGTCGATAATATGCTGCTGAATGTATTGATCCTGACGCTGATTGAAGGCACTGGAACTTTCCATGACAGATATGGGCAAAAGGTCTTTGAAGAGAATCTTGTGAGCGTCATTATCGTTCGTGCCGGACTTACCTTGCAAGCCCTCGAAATAAAGCGGACTGACCATCGGGGCTGGTTTTAGGTTCGTAATAGTCGGAGGGACGTCCTGCAGGTAAATTAAATCGTTGTCTCTCTCGGAAGCTTTCAGGGCTTCCTGGACCTTTATGGTAAGAGAACGTACTACATCATCCGAAGAACTCAAACTTTTCAGGAGGGCTATACTGTTCTTTAGTGCTCTTATTTTTTGTCCAGTAAGTGCAGTGTCACTACACCCCAGGCTGTATCGATAAAAAGCGACCGCTTGAAAGTAGATGGACTTCTCTGTGAACCTATTTTGCCAATCAGACCTTAGAAGCTGACTAGCGGCTGCATTCTTACAGCAAGAATCGTAGAACCCAGCAACCTGAAGAGCGAGCCGAGCTATCAGAGTGTGCTTCATTTCGTCCCTTACTGCCTTCAACCAAAAAGTTTCTTGAGCCTGAGCAAGCATCAAGTATTTCAGGCTAGTAATACATCTAGGTTCCATGACAGGCTCGTTCATGGATTCCAACTGCGATCCTATGTATTCAAAGCAGCCAGCGCTATGTCTGTAATAACTGCATGCTGTTTTGAGACCCTCTACAGAGCCATTGTTGGCATCGGCAGCTAGGAGAGAATACAGAGCTCCTATGTTGTAAAGAATGTTTAGCTTTTCGAAAATAAACCTCGAATCTTCTCTACCATAAGATTTGAGCCCTAGGGTCTCAAACCATTTGACATTGATTTGACCATCTGGAAACTTTCTTTCGAGCTGGTCAAATTGAAAAAAATACTCTTGTAGAGTGTGGAGTCCTGCTAGCGACACATCAGCTTCCAATGCTGAGTTTCGAAGCTTGTCGATGGACTTCAAATCAGCAGCGAACTCTGAAGCTATTTGGTAAAAAGTGCTGTCGATTACCCTCGAAAGTACATCCCCCAGATTGATGGATAGACTTCTCTTGAAAGGAATGCAGAGCAATTGTGACATTTGATAAGCTTGGTATCAACTGAAACAATGAAAGAATGGGTTTACCAAAGAAACTTTACCGATGATGTCAGTGTGAAGGCCTTTTAATTCTGTAATAATTGTATTAAAAACTGGATTTCAGTAAAAGTTAGCTCAACGGCAAGGAATACACTCGATTCAGGTTGCATTCGGTTCAGAGATTTAGTTCGGAAATTTGGTTACATTTTACACATTAAAACAGTAGTACGTTTTGGTTTTTAGGCGGCGAATAGCTTCCCTCTTGTAGATGTTATTTGGAAATCTTCGGTAGCATCTTGAAATTCGTCACTGTCCTCTTGAAGCTTGATAGGAATGCTCAAGCGTTTAGAGCCTCTGAAGGCAGTGTTGTGGAATTTGAGAGACTCTGATCTCGCAAGATCTGTTTTCTCCAAGCTCACCACCTCTTCTTCGTCAGGGTCCTGGATTTTACTTTCTTGGCAATCATCACCAAGTTCGGAGAGAAGAAAAGTTATATTTGTGATATGGGACTTCACTGACTGCGAACCGTGAGAGACCGCGTCGCGTTTTTTCCGTAGTGCTCCGTTGCTTCTTGCGGATTTCAAATCCCTGACGGTAGGCGACGAGTGTTTTAAAGACCTCAAAGATCTGGCATCGGACCCTAGCGCAGATTTCGGTGTGCTACCAAAACCTTGTGTTAAGGGTGGCGGAATGGTAACACCGTCGGGCAGTTGGCCACCATTTGCGTTGGCATCGGAGCGGATGGTGATGTTCCCGTTCGACAGCAAATCTGTAGTGGAAACGTTGATTTCTTGGGACAAAATAATCTGTCTTCCCTTGTCTGAGTACTTGTTGGATCCCATGTCTGAATAGAAGTTGAGCAAATCGTCTTGACTGAAACGTTCTTGTGATGCCTCTTTGAATTTGGCTTGGGAACGGTAGTCGCTTATGCCCAAAAATTTCGCCGCCTCCAGATGGTAGAAGAAGTAGCAGCTTTTTTCGATATCATCAGTTTCAAGGTAGTGCTTCAAGCCTGCTAAAAGTGTGATACCTTTGAACTTGTCAAAAGCTGCTGACATGAATGTTTGTTGGATTTCAGATGAGTTCAAGTTGTCCATCACACGGAAGAGCTTAGAAATAGAGAACGAACCAGCGAGCGTACTACTGACCACTTTGAACAGTGCTACTGGCTCATGAAGAAATGGAATGAGTTCCAGGTAAGTGTCCAAATTGAGGGAAGGTGTGAAAGTGGAAGTTGCCAGTTCTTGTAAGTCACGGCGTAAACTGTCAGTACGAGCCGAGTTTCTATCGTCTTTTAGTCTAATTAGTATCTCAGAAAACATATCAGAAGTCTGGTCTTTGTAATAGGTTTTGCGATTCAGATCTCCGATTGTAGTAGCACACTGGCTTGAGATCTCTTTTGAGACACCGGCTGTGATCTGCACGTCGAGCAGTTTTCTCATAATGTCAATGATGCTCAGGCCAACTATACTTACCTCGGAAACCAACAGGCTCGATATTAGCTTCAAGCTTATCAATGAGCGCTGGGTGTCCTGTCGCAATTGGCGAATGAAAATCAGCACTACGATGTATCTCAGATGAACGGGTATACCGTTACATATAAACTGCAGAAGCTTTTGATTTGGCGTTTTAACCAAAACATTGAAAAGCGCTTTAATCGAAATCGTCAGCTTGTCGGTTTCGGAAGTACTGAAGAAGGACCTGAGTGCCTGGATGGCATGGTCTTCGCTGTTTATAAGATCATCTAATCCCTCTGTGTTCGTTTGGGTCCTTGTGAGCCTTTTGGCCATCGTTAGATCGCCTGGTGCCTCGAGGCTTTGCACTCGAAATTGGGCGTTTTTCTCCTGGAAGATCGTGAGTGCCGTTTCTGCTGCTCGCGATATCAATATGCTACCTTGTGGATTCAGTGCGAGATTTTGCACGGTCGAAATGTCTGTACACCCTTTGAGCAACAAGTTATCGTCGCGTAGTCTTTCCGTAACAACTCTGAAATACAAATCCACGAAACCTTGGAAGGACTCGATGAAATCGGCATCACCGTTACACAGAGCACCGTCTAGAAAACGACAAATACTGCCAAATGTCTTTTCTGCGTTTTCAACCACGCTTGCGTCGTTGTTAACGTTGTTATTGGATAGAATCTTGACCATAATCTGTAAAAAGTCCCGGACGAAAACGTTCAGATTCTCCTTGCAATGGATCACAATCTTGTCCATAAGTTCCAGTGTCACTGAAAGGTTTCCAATGCGTCTATGGTTCAAATCAGCAGTGCTCTTACGGGCCAAAAAGCTGCTAACCTTTTCGAGCTTGGTTCTCCTGGAGTTCACATAATACAGTAAATAAGAAGTTTCTGATGACTTAGGTTTCTTGTCTGTTGTCCGCCCGCTAGGATAGCATTGATTGACCAGTTTCTGATGCTTTGGGGTAAACAAAAGTACCATGTTAGTCCTTTCTAGCTCTTTTTAAGTATAAGTTGTGTTGGGAAACTTTAGTTATGTTCTTCAAGAGGTTAAATTGAAGTAATTAACTTATTCGATATTCTTTGAAGATGAGAATCAAGAGATCTCAGAGACTTTGAATGTACATTCCAGGCAGATTCCATCTTTTTCGAAAGTAAACCCGAACCGGAAAGAGTGAAAGTACTTGACACCTTTTTTTTGGAGGTCTTACGGTGGAAAACGGATACATATTGGGGAGCTTTTAATACTTTTGGAGAAGACATTAGTGATTCGATTAAACTAGGGGCAGAGCTAAAACTGTGGGTTTAAAAACGATTCAATCTGCTTTAGGTATAGTTAGGACGGGAAACTGGATAGGCCTTTTCAATCTTTGGCCATTTACCGCCAAAAAATCTTGTTAAAATAGCGATCTTATTATGCCACCAGTACCGATTTATGTGAAAGGTGGAAGCTGGTCCAACATCGAGGACCAGATCCTGAAAGCAGCAATAGAAAAATATGGAACGCATCAGTGGAGCAAGATTGCCTCACTTTTACAAAAAAAAACTGCCCGTCAATGCGAACTGCGATGGACAGAGTATTTGAACCCAAGTCTCGATTTCACACCTTTCTCGAAGGAGGAGGACGCGAAGCTCCTCGAAAACGTCAGAAGACTCCCGAATCAATGGAGAACCATCTCAGATGCAATGGGCCGCACGCCACAAGTATGCATTGACCGTTACAACGTGCTTCTGGAAGGCACAGACTCTGAAGTCAAGCTCGGTAGCTCTTTAGACTTGGAAGCCGGTGATATCGATCTACACGCCGAAAGCAGACCGGCAAGGCCAGATCCATTGGATCTCGAGTCAATGGACAAAGAGATGCTCGCAGAAGCCCGCGCGAGACTCCTGAATACACAAGGAAAAAAAGCTACGAGGAAAATACGAGAGCGGATGCTTGAGGAGAGCAAAAGGGTAGCTCAGCTGCAAAAGAGACGTGAATTGAAGCAAGCAGGTATCGATACCAAAATTAAGGCTCCTCGAAAGAAGTTTTCAACGCAAATAGACTATAATGCGGACATCGTATATGAACGGGAACCCGAAAGCGGACCCTACGACACAACATTGGAGGATGAGCGGAGTGCAAAAGCCGTAAGAGCTTTTGAGAAATCCGTGGAACGTAAGGGTTTGCAAGAAAGTGGACGAGGGAACAAAGCGAAGAGGAAACGAACGCACGAAGAGGCAGCAACAAAGGTAAGCCAAAGTGACGTTGTTACAGACAATTTCAAGAAACCCAAGCTCACCTTACCACCGCAAGAGATAGTCCATGAAAGAGCGATCAAGCGTTCGAAACGAAGCATTTTGAAACTATTTGCTCGACTTCCGCAGCCCAAAAATGACTTTGAACTAGAATTGGATGACGACTTTGGTGACATTGACGACAAAAATAGTCTGAACGAAGATGTGCAAACTGACACTCATAGCCCAGTTGAAGGTGGCATTTTAGTCGAAGATATTGAACCGAGCCCCAAGGCCTTTTCTGATCTGCGAGCCGGTCTTCCTCTTCCTAAACCGATAGAATCTCCTTCGAATCCTGTAGAGCACGAGTATAATGAGCTTATAAGGTCCGCACTGAATCCGACCTTTGTCCACGATGAAAGTCTTTTGTTCAAATCCACCAAAGAAAAGTTGCAGCAATTTCTTCCTGACAGCACGCCTGAAAAGTCGTACATTGACCATGCTGTTCGACTGATAGAAGGTGTCAAGCATTCAGAAACACCAGATGCGCAGGAACTCCAAGAACTACAGTCACGTCTTCAAGGTCTTCAGGACGCTATCGACGAAGTAGGGTATTTCAGAGACAAGAACCAAGATACCAGTACCACAATTTTTTCGGAACTGCTGCCAAACATTGCTGAACTTCGCCACACATACTCTGTGAACTACAAAAAGTATCAGAACGAATACTATGCTTGTCAAGTCAGGCGAGACAAATTACAAAAGCATCTTATCGAAGTTGGGGTCGAGAAACAGATTTGAAAAAAGCATATAGCTCCATGCATGCAATCGTAATAAGTTTGCATAGAGCTAATGGCGACGTATACTATCTCCTTCTTCCTCGTGATGAAATAGGCGGCAACGCTGTCGTCATAGCGAACTTACTCTGAAAAGATGCCAAGAAAACGCTCCGAGTTTGTCAAAATACTCCAAAAGGACATCAAAATTACCAAACTACCAGTGAACAATCACTAAGCTTATTTCAACCCCAAACTACCAATTACACCACCGATTTTTCTTATTTACATCATTATCGGCCAAGGACGCCGTCATAATCAAGAGCCTGCTAGAAAAACATGCTAGAAAGACACTTGGAATCTCTCAGGAGACGCAAAAGTCATATCAACATTGTCAAATAAAGCTACATTAATCACAAAGCTAACTACCTCTAGAGCTTTCGATGACATCGCCTGTTGATCAATTCATTCGCAGGGTCCACAACTTTCACCTGTCATATGATATGAAAAATTTTGACCAATGTTGAAATATGGCAGTGAAAGTGGACAACCACAGTGAACACAAGTTTAAGCGTCTTTGGATCCTTACTAACGTTCGAATAAGGCTTATCACATAGTGGAAACAATGGTTAGATATACAGAAGAAGAACTCTTGCAATTGCAACCTGACGTCGAAGTTCCTGTGAACTTTGACATTGATTCTTTCAGGGCAATTATCGACAAAGTCAAGGAGATTCAAGGCTTCCAGGAGGAAGAGTACCAACATTTCCATCGCAGAAGATCATCTCATCACCATGGTAAGCCAAAGATTAAGCACTTGAAGCCTAAAATCAAAACGGACTCTGATGGTTGGTCCACATTTGACAACAACGCTAGAAGAAAGTCGAGCGTTGCAGCTGGCAGTGCTGGAGCCCTCAACAGCAGTGATGAAGAGGTCGCGGTGAAGGAACCTGCAAGTATCGCTCAGGAAACATTGAAAGTCAAGCCCAACAAAAATATCTCTTCGACAAAACCGGCAGACGCTCGTGACATCGTTACCGACAAGGCCGTTAATAACTTCAATGCGTTTGCTGCTCTCGAAAGTGATGAGGAAGATGATTGAGGTGGAGTGTTTGCTGCAGAACAGAAGTTTGTTGCATACAGGGTGTATAATCACGTACTATAAAGACAACAGCAAAGGACGTTTTGTGACCTATATTGGTTGACAAGTGGTGTGGCAGAAATGCTTTCGGGGAAATGTGGGCATGCTCAGATGAGAGTAGAGTGTGAACACGGTACTGCTGGTGTCCGTTGTATGAGTTGAGCTCTACCCGTAGGAAGTGACACTAAACTGCAATTGACAGATACCTATATGCTATTGCGTGGATGCACCATAAGACACATGTACGAGCGGTATGGGAGTTTTTGAAATTTGCAGGCCAAATAATAGCTGCAATTGATGTATTTTTTGCTTGGCAGTAGAAAGGTCGGAAAACTGGTCACGTGATCCGCTACGTTTTTAGCCAACAGGGTTTAGCTTTGAGGGTTTGGAAAGTGCCTAGTTCAGAAGTATTGAGTGATCCCGAGTCCTTGAGAGTGTGTTGTAACCATTATTCTAACGTTGACCTCAATCAAATCAAATTCATGATCGTCTCAAGGATCCCAAACGTCCGTCAAACTCAAAATGCGATTTTACTACAACATTAGTGACACTCATATCAGAAAGCGTATTTGTAACAGGAAACGTGAAAATTTACAATGATTTCGAAGTCAGAGAGCTAATCGAGGAAACGGTTCTCACCTTGTTGACTCTTAGGCCAACTGGTGAAATTGCAAATAAAGACGATATGTGGAAGTCCAGGTCCCGAAATACCATTTTTTTGGGGTAATTCAAAATTCATTCTCGCTATAGAGATTCGCACTGCTACTCATACCACTGATCTACAGCTGATGACTTCGTCCCTTTAGGTACAATGGTCAGAAGCTTCCATTCCACATATCACTTTTCACTAATGCGACACCTTGCATATCCAACCTCGAGTTGAAACTATAAATAAAAGGAGAGCCGTACTACAGCTAGTCGAAGAGGTCTTGTCAGCGTTTCAAAAGTTATCGGTTCTCTCTAATTTCACTGCAACCCACTCGAAACGATTGTATGTTCAAAAAGTCCTACCCTGCCTATTTTGGCAGTTAAACTCACGTCTATTTCAGCATAAGCAGCGACGAATCTGGGATCCCACGTCCGTAGATTCCAAGCTTTTGCAATTGGAAACAAAATGCCTTGTTGTCGAGTTTTGACTCAAGATTCAGTCACGTGATATACTGTAATAATGGAATAAAACCGGTTCATTCACACCTTAAAATCCTTAAGACCTATCATTAAGGCACCGATGAGATGTGGAAAGCTTCCCCCGATGCTCTCTTGCGCGCCGTTTCCATCTAATTCACCTCTCAACGATTATTTCGAATTTGTTCAATGCCCATTTCACGAGTACTAAAGTACTCGCTTCAAGACCTGTATTGATTACCTGGCATCTCTGCTCGACAAAGACATCTCTAATGCATCGACATATAATTCAAGTGACACTAGTTCACCATTGCTAGGCTCCAATTGCATATTGAAATCTCTGTATTATTATCCAGCCCATGCCGTTTTCCTGGTGTAGAACAATCGGGCTTTTATCGATTTTCCTACTTGCATTAGTGACGGCACAAGACTACTATGGTATACTAGGTGTTGGAAAAGATGCATCCGACAAAGATATCAAGTCTGCATACCGACAGCTGTCCAAAAAGTATCATCCAGATAAAAATCCAGGGGATGAAGACGCTCATCACAAGTTCATCGAGGTAGGAGAGGCATATGAGGTGTTGAGTGACGATCAAAAACGTGAAGTGTACGATCGGTACGGAGCCGATGCGCTAAAAAATGGGGGTGGTGGAGGACCTGGAGGACATGGGGGGCCTCATGGTGGGTTTGGTGGTGGATTTGGAGACCCTATGGATATGTTCGAACAAATGTTCGGAGGTGCACATCGTGGTGGACACAGAGGCAGACCTCGTGGCCATAATTTGGAAGCCAGAGAGGAACTGACACTCAAGGACTACTACCACGGTACTACTTTAGACTTTACGTTAAATCTGAACGATTTTTGCGGTCATTGTCACGGTTCTGGGTCTCAAGATGGCAAGACAGCTCAATGTGGACAATGTCGAGGCCAAGGTGTGGTAATCCAGGTGGTTAGAATGGGCCCCATCACACAAAAACTTCAGCAAGTTTGCGGTGCATGCCAAGGTAAAGGTAATATCATCAAAAACAAGTGTCGTCAATGTAAAGGTGCGAAAGTTGAGAGAAAGGCCAAACCTTTCCATGTTGACGTTCCTGCCGGGGCTCCTAGAGACTTTATGGATGTCAAGAACGGCGAAGCCGACAAGGGCCCTGATTTTGACGCTGGTGATGTGTTCATCAAATTCTCTGAGTCGTCCAGAAACAATATGGGCTACAGAAGACGTGGTTCGCACCTGTACAGAACTGAAGTCGTGAGCCTAGAAGAGGCACTCAAAGGCGGATGGACCAGAGATGTCGAGTTTTTTGATAAGAATAAGAAAGTCCATTTGGCTCGCAAAGCTGGCGTTCCGATCAGGCATGGAGAAGTTGAACGTATACCGCAATTTGGTATGCCAATACCCGGGAAACCTAACGCCTTTGGTGACCTTTTCGTGGATTATATAGTGGTCACGCCAAACAAAGTGGCATCCCAACTGATAAAAGACGAATTGTGACGGATTCGCCTCACGCATTTGAACAAGGGCTCTTACGTTAAGCAATTAAATATAGATTGTCCTATTCAAGATTTCATTTTACTCACAGGCAACCAGTGTAGTTGCATCAAACTTTTTTTTACCTTTCCAAGAGTTTGAAGGGAATGTCGCAAGAATCATGACCAACTATATCAGATTGTATAGCGACAGAGAGAGAAAAGTCTCTCCGTCAATTTTCAACAGCTGGAGATACATCTTAAACCATTTTTCTCCCATGCTTCGTTATTAACACCACTGAAGTATAATAGCATCAAAAATGTGACCATAGATGTCGCCACATTGACGCCAGTGGAAAGCATGGTTAAAATTTGGTCTCTTTTCAAGAGAAAATTGGTAAGAAGTGTTCGTCAAAGAAGGTGAACTAGAGGTAATCAAATTTATTCTTTATATACTAGCTGTATGTCGCTTTTCACGGGACCTTGCGTAAGTTAAGAATCCCATTGCCAAAGTCTCAAGGATTCCTAGTGAGCTGTATCAGGTTGTCAAAAGCTTTGGTATTTGATTCCTTTGGTGAATTTCTTGTCTTCATGGTTTTTCTGCCTTAAACATCCCTACAGATACATAGTAGTAGATGTCAGATGTTCGACACAATAGTTGCGGGACGTGGGAAAAACCAAGCATGAAATAACAATGTGTTTCTTTGAGCCTCACCGTTATGGAGTGATTCCTTCTTTAAAACACTTTCAGTTTTTATTAGTGCACTTAAGGCGTATGTTGTATTTCCGACGTATTACCCACAATATCTATAACGGTAGTGGCTCTCTTATTAGCTAACATACGTTTATTTAACTTTCTATCATACGCTACATGCGTGCCGCCGCTTCTAAAAGATTTGTAGTCCTGCTACCTTTCCCTTTTTGTGAAAGCTGCTGCCCTCAAAGCGACTTGGACCCTCTAGCTCTAATGAAGGTTTCGGCTTTGGTCCTTTGCAGTCTGTACCAGTAACTGAACGCGACGTCAGCAGTCACATATCCCATGGCGAGCACGGAGAGGTTTCTGGGAGTAGAAGCGAGCTTGATAGTGTTGATCATTGGAGTTATTGCTGATGATAGGTGAGTCAACGGAACTTAACTAAATCTGAAAACAAGCCTGATGGGGATAAGTCTGCTCTTTTATAATTTGAGAGGACGAAATACTGAAGCTGAATAGAGAAATCTGCTCGTAAACTTTCTAGTACACCTCACGTTGCTAAAAGAAGAGCCACCCGATTATGCAAATGCCCTCCTTTTTTCGGCTAACATATTCTGAACGAAGTCAGGCGATTTTAGAAATTTTTAACAGGCTCACGACAATCATGGCGTCAATCCTCGAGACGATGCTATGACTGGAATGTGATCTGCAACATGCATCCCTTTCCTGCCAAAGTGTTTTTTTTTTTTTAAGGCATGAAGATTGAGGGAACTTAAACGAAGGAGTGAACTAGACCAACTCGGAAAAAAAAAAGTCTAGAAGCCCAATAAATTATGACGTGAAAGTCAAAATACATCAGACTTTAACGAGCGCAGCGCGTAAGGGATAAATTCTCCCGTGTAGCCTTCTGTTGGACTCCAAAATTCTTGCAATGGCTTACAAAAAAAAAAAAAATTGGCGAAAAGCTTGTATAGCTTCAACTAGTGGCTGAAAGTGGTCTGTAAAATGTCTGTTTACATCGCGACTCGAGACTTAGTGTCTTGGGTGGCCTGCGACTTCTCGGTACCAGCCAGGGATATCCGCGCCGCTTCCGTATAGCTGTCTTTCGCTCAGTTGTACGCCTTCCAGACCTACAGTATCATTCAACCACGGATGGTTCACCATTCCACCTGCATCGGCTCGTTCGCTCGGATTTAATCGTAGCATAGGTAGCAAAAACTCCGATATAGTTTGTGCTTCTTCTTCCGGAAACTTGTACTTTTCGCGCAAGACGTCCTTCAATGGCCAAAATTTTAATTTGGAAATATTTCTCAATTGACCCCGAGAGTTGAAGAACGAACGTGCGTGACGGCCGGTCCGTAGTAATTGAGACGGTATTTCGCCGAGCAATTCTACGATCTGTGCTATGTGATCGTCATCTTTACTGTAGGAATGTCCTTCGTCAGGCTCAAAGAGAAAATCCCCTGTCAAAAGCTCGAAAATGAGACATGCAGCGGACCATATATCGGCGCTGGCCCCCCATTCGCATCCGATAATAACTTCCGGTGAGCGGTACTCGCGTGTCTGGATTGAATTTGTATAGTGCTCGTCGAACCAACAAGCATTACCAAGATCCGCTATCTTGACTTGAATGACATCGGAATCTGTGCGCAATTCTTCTTCCGTTCTATCATCACCAGTGGTATTCGAGATTTCCATTGACGAAAGTGAATTTGTAGCCTGCTCTTCCTCACCAGCGGATACATTGGTTTTTGGAGTAGTAGGCATCGGCCTAGGTAGCGATTGGCCCATCATCTGAGCCTTTATTTCAAAAAAATTTGTCGAGCTTAAGGGAGAGGGAAGAGGCTGAGATCCGGTTATCAATGTGTGTCTTCTCAATCTACGACCACTCACCCTTTCCCGCGACCCCGATGTGCTGCTTCTGGATGAAACTGCTGTGGCAGTTGGCGTTTCAATAGATGTTCTAGTAGCACGCCTATGAACTTTTCTTTGATCTCTCTTCTGTTTATCTAGAAGCTCGACCATCTTAACTATCGCTTCAACGTCTCCCACTTCCATGAGTACATTTTCTGGTTTGATATCGGTGTGAATAACGCCGCATTTTCTATGCATGTAGTCGAGACCAAGTAGCAGTTGTTTTGCTATCTGTTTTACGTACATCGTGGGAATACCGCGATGTTCGTACTTTTTTATCAACGCCAACAAGTTCTCTCCCAAAACTTCAAACACCATCACTACGTGCTTACCATTAGGTCCAGTGTGGGTGAAGTTGTCTAAAAGACTGAGAATATGTTTTGAAGCCTCGCAGAAACCTTCAAGAAATCCATCACTGCTGCTCACACGTTTCAAAAGCTTGATTTCGTCTAAGGCAGCTTCTGTATAAACTTTGTCGCTACGCACCACTTTCATGGCTACGTGTGCGTTGCTGACAGTGTCTTTGGCAAGCCAAACGGTAGAAAAGTGGCCCCATCCGAGCTTACGGACCAAAATATACCGACCATTGTTGTACAATTCTCCTCGAGAGGCCGGGTGGTATCCACCCGGCTTATAGTCTATTAGACTTTCTTCATTTTTCTCGTCGCACGACGAGTAGTCTGATTCAGAATCTGGGGCCTCCTCACCTTCCTTGTGAACAGAAAGCTCTGGACCTTCCTCGTCATCGTCTTTCTGGATTTGCAAAGCCAGCGAAAGCTTCGACTTTGCGGCCGTTTGCTTGGATTTAAGGTTTTCTCTAAGGAAAACAGGTTTGGGCACAACTGTCTGTTTGGGTTCGCTCACAAACCCTGGGTAATTGATAGATGATCCCATATGCATATAATTCAAAGTTTGAATATCACTAAACCAGTCTCAACACGCCTCAGGTTTGATGTTTGACCTCTTTTCTCCAGGTTTCCCGACAAATCAACAACGGTTTTGACTTGATAGTTCGTAGAACAACACAAAATCCACTTTTCGAGCTCAAACTTTAAGCCAAATACACCGGCGTAGACTGCGAATGTGTAGAGAGCGGTCAGAGCCTGGAAAACGCTGTCTTTATAGGCTTTTGTCCCTTTCAAATTGCACGTTGGTTTGGGTTGAGTAAGATTTTAGGCATTAATTGCTGTATTTTCCTATACATATTTGACAAATATGCCATGGTACGAGACGGTAAAGTTTCGAAGGAATGGATCCAGGTGGCTAACCCATGAGCACTACATATCAAAGCAGTATATTTAACAATTATTTGTAATGGTCTTCACTTCTGGTTTTTGAGAATTGTCTGTAAACAACTTGTCCTTTTTTTTGGTCTGGTTTGTCTTTAAAAAAGACGCTCTAGGCTTGACCTCGAATTGAACAGACAGACAAAACGATTGCAGGATCATTTTCGGTAGTATGTATGTGGTGTGGGCATTGTTTTCCACAGTTTGATGTTCTAATTGTACCTTAAGCTGCGTGGACTGTAATACTTCGAAAAATACAATTTTTTTGGAGGGAGGCTGTTAGTTCTTGATGGTGTCATTTGTGGGTGCTTGGTCCGACACAGAGTTTGAATTCTCGGTGATTTCAGTTGCTGGTGTTTGGTGCAACAAAGGTTTTGAATTTTCGGTGGAGTCGTTTGCTGGTGTTTCGCCAGAACCACTGGAAGTCGCTTCCTGATTTGCGCTAGATGCTGTAGAGCCCATAGCGGTTTCTGCAACAGAATCTTGTGGCTTGGGCAAGTCTGTTGGCGCCGGAGGGGGTGGTAAGCCTGTTGAATTCTCGCTAGCCGGTGCCTCCGCTTTTTGGGCATTTTCCGAGTGTGATTTTTCATCTCCATACATGTCAACGTCAAGATTGGAACGGCTTTGTTCTTGCACCGTCCGCTTCTCAGAAGCACCCTCGTACCTAGGTTTTTTCAAGGCCGCTGCATTATTGTGCAAAACGTCTTGGTATGGAGCAGGTCCATCAGCTGCACGTACTCTTGCAGGCGACAGCTCGCGTTTGAGCATAGCGTATTCTGGCCTTTGATAGCTGCTTCTCGGTCCACGATGGCCGCCGCCGCCGCCGTAGCTGCCATAGGAGCCTCTGGTATTACCGTAGTGCATTTCATCCGCACCAGGTCTTCGACGACGAAAATCGTCGCGCGATGGTCGTTCTCTGTAATTTTCTTCAGGCTCATACTGATCATCTCTTTCTTCGTCCTGTCCGAAACTTTTGGGTCCTCTTGGATACTCGTTCGGCAGACGACGAGACTCTCCCCTGAAGGACTCCCCATATCTGTTTTCACGATCTGATGTCCTTGAAAACCGTGACGGACGAGCCTCTGAGCGAGCTACTTGAACTGTAATTATAGCTTGTGGGTCAAACGACAATGGCCTTTGGTTTAACTGATGAATTGCATCCTGCGCTTCTTCTGGGGTTTCGTATTCCACGAAAGCGTATGGTCTGCCAAATTCTGATCTTGCCGGAGGCATTTCTATTCTTACAACCCTGCCAACGCTTTTGAATTGGGGCATTTCGAGTCAGTTTCTTGATTTCTTGGTACATACATGGGAACATTGTATAACGGTTATGAGACATACCTTTCGAAGTCTGGAGCAAGATCTCTGGTTCTCACTCCTCGTGGAAAGCCACTAACATGTAGTGTGGATCCAATTGCCATCTTGTGAGTGCGTTTGTTGCAAAACTTAACTTCGAGAAGTCTATCTTGAAGGTGGTGATCTCCAGTAAGTGAGACTGGTAATGTATATCCTTATACACTATAGTGCATCTTTTATTTATTTAGTGACGCTGTCGTAAGAAATTTTGAAAGACATCACTACTGCACTTTTCCGATGGTCGAGCGCAACTGATGAGGTAGTGTATTGTGTGCGACTAGAACAAATGAATTGAATTGTGAATTTTCGTTAATGCAGGGCTATGTGCTGCTGCTGCTGTTTTGGGCTTACACAGCGCTGGCAGATTGGAGCCCCAAGGTTAAAAAGTTTGAAAATCCATTTCCTAGTGAATTGAAGTCTTTTGACGACTCTCCGGTGTTATTGACCATCGAACATAGCACTGTGAAGATTTCCAAAGACATTGGAGAGCACTGGAACGCAGTCAAATTGGTTGGGGACAATATCGACTTCATTATTATTGATCAGAATTACAAGAAAGACCGTGCGTTTGTTACTGGCGCCAACAATGAAGGAAGGCTCTTCATGACAAGTGACCAGGGAGAAACGTGGTCACAACTTGATGTGCCCTTCTCGTCGGTAAAAAACAACGGATTCTTTACAATAGATGTGCAATCCAACGCTTTTGCAGAAAACGACCTTCTGGTCACCACAGTGAACTGTCAGGATGGACCGTGCAAATCTCATGTATTTGTAACAAGCGATTTGAAAAACTTTGAAAAGATTCAGTTGCCTCGTAACGATTATCGCAGTTTACATTGCCGTTATTCCGGGCTCGCGGGCAATGAAGACTCCACTCACGATATTCTCTGTGATGCATCCTACAAATACAAGGAAGCCACTCTTGTTAAACTGTTTGTTTCCAGGGATGGCGGTGTGAAATTTGAGTATCTCGAGCCATTCAAAGAAAGCGATGTCCGCAGGGTAAGTGTCATGTCTGGTTACGTCATTGTCTCGACATTGGAAGACCGATACAATCGTGATTCGCCTCAAGACCTATGGATATCGCGAGATGGTCAAAATTTCAAAAGGGCTTCAATCCCAACCAGTGTGAGGGGTTCTCTTTTTTTGTCGCAAATTTCTGAGTACTCTAACCGGTTGATGCTCTTGTCTGACTTCGAGAATTCCGCAAGGCGAGGGGGTGGTCTCTTTCTATCGGACTGTGAGGGCCTCAAGTTCTCTCCAGTGTTCGTTTCTCCTCCATACCAAAGACGATTTCACACGATATCCGATGTCAGTGGTCTAGAAGGTGTTCTCGTGGATTCTTTCATCGACTTTCCCGGTTATCGGGGAAAGTCGACTTCTGTTATAACTAAGATTACTTTTGACGGTGGATGGTCATGGTCTGACTTACTAGTGGACAATATAGATAACGAGTTTGACTGCGAAGCGGGTGATTCCCGCAAATGCCCTCTCACAGTTCCTGAGATGAGCTCCTTCTTGTTTAGAAACAATCCGCATGCTACGTTACCTGGACTGCACTATTTTGTTGGATATGTGAAAGAAAAAGAGGTTAATAAAGAGAAGGGTCCAACAATGCGAACTTTCATGACCAGCGATGGAGGCCAGACGTGGAAAAAGGCTTTTGACTTTCCCGTGGTAATTCAATATGGTGATTTCGGTAACATCATGGTTGCCTTTCCGTTCGCACCTGATTCTTATGAAAGAGATCCGGCCGCCGAATTCTATTACTCGGTGAGCCGCGGTGAGATTTGGATCAAGTATCAATTGAAAAAGTCTGTGTACATTTTTGACTTTTTCACTACCGCGCTTGATGGGTCAGGATCAAGTTTTATCGTGCATTGCAGAGACTCAAGAACTCGTGAAACCTGGATTTACACCATTGACTTCTCCGATCTCTTCGACGGAAAAAAATGTGGAGAGGACGACATGGAGGGCTGGTTTTCGAACGGTGGTGAGTGCATTGGCGGGACGAGACGTAAATACACAAGGAGAAAGAATGACGCAGAATGCCTCATCAGAGAAACCTACAAGGATCTCGAGTTTGAAGAAGAAGTATGCCAATGTAGCGATGCTGATTATGAATGCTCTCCCGAATTTTATCTCGCACCTAGCGGTAACTGTGAATTAGACTTCAACTTTCTTGAGCAATCACAAAGTTGCAGCACAGTGAAGCAAGGTGAAAAGATAAAACTACGCCCAAAGAAGCTTCAAAGAGGAAACAAATGTAATGGCCCGTTGACCATAGATCCAAAAGAAGTTGATTGCGGCGGGCTTACCGATGGAGATCGAAGAGCGCCTATTGTTGTCTTTGAGAACTCGCTTCAGTCCGAGCTCAAATCATACCAATACTTCAACACCATAGCCGATGAGACTGTCCTGCTAAGAGATAGTAAGAATGAGGTTTACGTTTCATACGATAGTGGTAGAATCTTGCAAAGGCTCACGAATAACGTCACTGAAGTCGTTTTCAATCCTTACTTCAATACGAGTGCTTACATTTTTGATGATGACGACCAATTGCACATTACTAATGATCGGGCGAGGACTTTCGAAACGTTCAAGTTACCTGAGTCGAAGCAGCTAGGGTTTCCGTTGTCATTCCACGCGAAGGACCGAAATACTTTCATTTACTACGGAGGCAAAGGTTGTGAAAGCATATTTGACCTGCATTGCCATTTCGTCGCTTACATCACACAAGATGGCGGAAATAGTTTTACTGAGCTAAAAAGTGGAGCAAACAACTGCGATTTTGTCGGTTCCTTGTACGAAGATCCGTCGCACCGAGATATGCTACTGTGCGCGATTGGCGAGCCCGGATCTAGAGGAAATGAAATAGTCACTAGCATTGACTTTTTTCAAAGTGAGCCCAGAACTGTTTTTGAAAATGCTCTTGGGTTCGTATCCGTTGGAGAATACACCGTCATTGCGGTTCCTCATGAAGACCAAGAATTAAGAGCATTCGTTACAATAGATGGCAAGAACTTTGCCGAGGCCAAACTGCCTGCTGGCTTGGGAACAGATAAGCAGCAGGATTACACTGTGCTGGGATCTCAGAAAGGTGCCATTTTTTTTCACCTAACCACGCATATGAACGACAATCAAGAGTTTGGAGCTCTAATGAAATCCAATTCTAATGGAACATCCTTTGTAACTCTAGAACAAGCGGTGAATCGAGGTCCTCGAGGCTTCGTTGATTTTGAAAAGCTGGAGGGTCTTGAGGGTATCATACTCATAAACTCGGTAGCTAACGTTGACGAATTGAAATCGGACACAAAAGCTCAAAAACTTCTGAAGTCAAAGATATCGTTCAATGACGGCGCCGATTGGACTTACCTTGAACCACCGAGAAAGGACTCAGAAGGTGAATACTTTAAGTGCAACCCAAAAAATAAAGAATCCTGCTCTCTGAACCTTCATGGATATACTGAGAGAACTGACCAAAGAGACACTTACTCCTCAGGTTCGGCTTTAGGCTTTGTGATTGGTGTTGGAAATGTTGGAGAGTATTTATTACCGCTTGAACAATGTTCAACGTTTATGAGTGTCGATGGAGGGTTCACATGGAAGGAGATAAGAAAGGGTGTATATCAATGGGAATATGGTGATCGAGGAAGTGTAGTGGTTCTTGTTAAAGATGGTGGGAAAACAGACTCACTCACTTATTCTGTTGACTCTGGAAAAACCTGGCAAGACTACAAGTTTTCGAACGAAGAAGTATATGTGGAAGACTTGGTGACTACACCTCAGGACTCATCCATGCGTTTTCTCATCATTGCCAAATCATCTAAGGTGACGGGCAAAGAGACACGTACGTTTACGGTGGACTTTACCCATTCATTCGAGCGTCAATGTCGTTTGCGGGAAGGAGATTACGTTTACCGCAGTTTTGGTAAGTGCCTCTTTGGTCATCAAGAAGAATACCTTCAAAAAGTTAATGATGATTGTTACAATGGCGCAGCGCCCATCAAAGACATGGCGAGGGTGGCTAAAACATGTGCTTGCACCAGAATGGATTTTGAGTGTGACTACAACTACTATAAAGCGAGCGACGGCACATGTAAGCTTGTCGAGGGAACAGGCCCTCCAGACGGTAGTGAAATATGTCGAAAGCATGGCTTTCCTGTAGAGTACCTTGAAACCACAGGTTACAGGAAGATACCACTGTCAACCTGCGAAGGAGGCCTGGAGCTAGATTGGTCCTCCCGTCGTCATGCATGCCCCGGTTTCGAAGAAGAATTCAAGAGACTTCACCGGGCTACTGGTGGTCATATATTCGCAATTGTTGTTCTTCCACTCGTCGTGTGCATTGCTGCTACCTGGTTTGTGTACGTCCGTGGTGTCAATCGTAATGGCGGATTCTCCCGTTTTGGAGAAACCAGATTAGGAGACGAGGAACTAATTGAACGAAATGGACTAGACAAGGTTGTAAACTTGACCGTCAAGATAGGTGTTCTAGGGTTTTCAGGGCTTCTAACTGCCAAGCAATTGACCACTCGAGCGGTTCATAATGCGTGGCAGCGTTTACGTTCAAGATTATCGGGTAGCACAAACGGCCCAACATACTATTCGCTGAATCGCGGCCAATTTCTGGATGAGGCTGACGAGTTGTGTGCCGGCCGTGACGACGATGCAAACGACCTAACGAGTTTCCGCCACGATGATGAAATCCAGAGTAACGAAACGGCGAGACCATACAGACATGAACTCAATGAATCCGAAGGTCACGTGAATGCCGATAATGTTAACGATGCTTGAAAAATCCAGAACAAGGCTTGAAAAGTATTCAGAATTGAAGACAAATGATCGCTACAAGGTCCTCAAATTCTCTGATAAACTCTTTGATAAATTATTTGATAGATTCTTTGGTAAAAACTAAAACTCATTACTGTTGTATTTGTGCTTCTGGAGTAGTCTTGGGACTCTTTTAAAATTCTGCTTGTTGTTTGGCCAGCTCAATCTCTCTCTACCTTGCAACTACGTGAAACTATTCTGAAAAGGCTTGTACATTGAAGGAAACGATTTTCGATCGGAATATCCGGTCGCTGTGCGCTTATTGAAGATCCACAAGTTCGGGACCGGCCGGTTTCTCCGTTATCGAGAACCTTTTGATGTCTCGCTTGATACGCTCGGGCCTGTGTAATGATATCCTGACGTTCTAATTCTCTAGGTACAGGTAGCGAAGGGACCCAAACAGAAAGGCGAAATAAGGAAAGCGAAGCAAGAAGATAAACCCACCATGGCTCTAATTGAGTAGCTCATGAGGAATTGAGCTTCAGAATAACTGTTTTTCAAAAGACTGGCTGGTCCCTCATGCGGAGATTAGCGAGCGTGTGACACTTCTTAGCCGAATATGGCGAACAACACTCCATGGGAAATGAATAGATACCACTCCGCACTGATACTACGGGTGTTTGCCCTTTCTGGTTTATCGCACTTTTGGCCCGTAGGTTTCCAGTGGTATAGGCCATTAGCTTTATTTTTCGCGAAATCACTATTCTGCTACACTGTCGCTGTCATTTTGGCGGTCATGTGATGTTCTGATTTTTTTACCCAAAAGACCTAGTTTCTCGAGCGAGTCTCCCGCAACAATCTTTTACAATACCTGTCTTGAACATACGCTTTCCCAATACCTACCGTCTAGGCGTAACACTGTTGTCAAAACTACTTCGTTCTTGAATATATGGTGATCATGTTATACGGGTGTGTCGCGGGCGCAGCACGCATGCTCAAAAGTTCTATATTTAAATCAATCACATAATGAACCCGAGGTACATCAACCAAAACACTCACCCTCTCCAGGACACTCTTATCCGTTACGTTCCACAACTTCTCCTATGACTCTTTAATCTAATCTCATCTGGTCACATCGCACGAGCGCTTTAGACCGGCCTTGCTCAGCACTATACACGGCTCATCGAAAATTTTCATATTGGGCAAATGAATCATACCTTGGATAAGAAACCATATAACATGCATGGAAAATTGATCAACTCGAGCTAGTCTTTCATCTTCCGCTTTTCTCCTTCTTCCTCATCTTTTGGATTAGTCCCTAAAATCAAAGCACACTTCGTGGGTTGATTGAGCCGCCGTCGTCTTTCTTTCTGTTTCCACCGTTTTTTTTCCAGGCCAAAAACACTTCATATTCTTTGCCCGATGAGCTCCACAGTTGAACAGGTTTCTAGCGTATTTGACACCATTTTGGTGTTGGATTTCGGCTCCCAATACTCCCATTTGATCACCAGAAGACTCAGAGAGTTCAATGTGTACGCAGAAATGCTGCCATGCACTCAGAAGATCGCAGAACTTGGCTGGAAGCCAGCTGGTGTGATTTTGTCCGGTGGTCCATACTCGGTTTACGCCGAAGATGCCCCACACGTCGATCTAGATGTGTTCGAATTGGATGTCCCCATCCTCGGTATCTGCTACGGTATGCAGGAATTGGCGTGGCTCAACGGTAAGCAAGTGGCCCGTGGTGAAAAACGTGAATACGGTCCAGCCACTTTGAACGTCGAAGTTGCATCCAGCCCTCTGTTCAAAGGTATGGACCATTCTCGTGTGTGGATGTCCCACGGTGACAAGCTACACGGCTTGCCCACTGGCTTTGAAGTAATTGCTACTTCTGACAACTCCCCATACTGTGGTGTGGCCCACAAGGAAAAGCCAATCTATGGTATCCAGTTCCACCCGGAGGTAACCCACTCCACTCAGGGTAAGACTCTACTCAAAAACTTTGCCGTTGATATTTGCAAAGCCAACCAGAACTGGACCATGGAGAATTTCATCGACACCGAAATCAAGAGAATCAGAGATCTCGTGGGACCTACCGCTGAGGTCATTGGTGCCGTTTCCGGTGGTGTTGACTCCACTGTTGCCGCTAAGCTCATGACTGAAGCTATCGGCGAACGTTTCCACGCCATTTTGGTTGACAACGGTGTTTTGAGACTCAACGAGGCCGCCAACGTTAAGAAGACTTTGGGTGAAGGTTTGGGTATCAACCTTACCGTTATCGATGCTGCCGACGAGTTCTTGGACAAATTGAAGGGCGTGACTGATCCTGAAAAGAAGCGTAAAATCATCGGTAACACTTTTATTCACGTCTTTGAAAGAGAAGCTGCTAGAATTCAGCCAAAGGGCGGTGACGAAATTGAGTTCTTGTTGCAAGGAACTCTTTACCCAGATGTGATTGAGTCTATCTCTTTCAAAGGTCCATCTCAGACCATCAAAACCCATCACAATGTTGGTGGTCTTTTGGAGGACATGAAATTGAAGTTGATTGAGCCTTTGAGAGAATTGTTCAAAGATGAGGTCAGACATTTGGGTGAGCTTCTCGGAATTTCTCATGAGTTAGTTTGGAGACACCCATTCCCTGGCCCAGGTATTGCCATTCGTGTCTTAGGAGAAGTGACCAGAGAACAAGTCGCTATTGCAAGAAAGGCTGACCACATCTACATTGAAGAGATCAGAAAAGCTGGTCTTTACAACAAAATTTCTCAGGCCTTTGCCTGTCTGTTGCCTGTCAAGTCTGTCGGTGTGATGGGTGACCAGAGAACCTACGAACAGGTCATTGCCTTGAGAGCTATCGAAACCACTGATTTCATGACAGCCGACTGGTTTCCCTTCGAGCACGAGTTTTTGAAGAAAGTGGCCTCTAGAATTGTCAACGAAGTTGACGGTGTTGCTAGAGTAACATACGATATTACTTCAAAGCCACCAGCTACTGTGGAATGGGAGTAAGTAGTCTTGTATCATACATAATTCATAGAAATTCTCACCCGGTTAGGATTAACCAAATAAAAGAAGAAACTTTATAGATATTATTAGTTCATCCATTACCGCTAGTGTTTGACCAACGTCAAGTTGATGATGGGGATTTCGAGGGTTGTTCTCCTCAAGAACAAAACAACTCCAATTGATCCTTACGAAGCGGACTTCAAACAAGAAGATTTCGATCCAGTGTTTGTCCCATTAATTCAACATCAACATTTGCCTGCTGAATGTCTAAGTCTTCTGCGAGATGAAAAGTACCTGTCACAACTTCAAATCATTGTCATAAGCTCCCAACGTACCGTGGAATGCCTGAATGAGTCTATAATCCCAAGACTAACTGATAAGGAAAGAAACGAGTTGCTACGCAAGGTTGTCTACACAGTTGGTCCTGCTACCGCTAACTTTTTAAAACGCTGCGGATTTCAAAACATAAAAGGTGGCAAAGATGCTGGTAATGGTAGTGTTTTGGCTGACTTGATCATTTCTGATTTGCGCACCCAGTTCATCGAATTGAGCCAAGTTTCAAAACCGTTACTACTCGTTGGCGAAACTAGAAGAGATATTGTTCCCAAAAAACTAGCTTCAGTTGGAATAGATTCACAAGAGGTCGTCACATATATTACTAAGGAAAACAATGATAATTTGGTGCGATTCCAGTCAGTATTTATTCCACGAAGCTGGGTTGTATTCTTCAGTCCGCAAGGAACAGAAGAAATCATCGAATTTTTAAAGCAAGAAAAAGTTAACATTGCGAGCATTGGCCCCACCACTAACGAGTTTCTGAAATCTCACAACATTCGTTCGCAAGTTGTGAGCAGCAAACCTGAGCCTAAAGCTTTGATTAAGGCACTAAAACTTTTCGAAGAAACATCACAAGCATAAAAGGTCATTTATAGAATCTATCAATCTACACCACTAGTGTAACTTCATTTGAGTTGCAATAATACACTTCTGAAATCTTTCGACCAGTTTTCGTTATTTCGACTTTGGGAAACTTTAGGTATCCTTTTCGAAGCGGAATCATATTGATTTTTTGCACATGCTGACCATCCTTTAAGCTATATCTTCTCTTTCCATCGATAAGCCATTCATTGGAATTGAAAAGCTCGAGTACGTGTTCATTGTTGTCTTTAGCCTGAGCTTGCCAACCGGCCACAGCGTCTGTCACACATATCGTGAAGGGCACGACTTGACCCAGCGCCAACGTCGATTCTGAGTCGATCTCACGGTTCAAGTTCACCGAGAAGAAGTGGTCTATCTGAGGAAGAGTCACAGGAACCAAAAGAATGGAGGTTGCCAAGTCCTTAGTGTATTCAACGATTTCCAAACGTGAAAATTGAAAACCTTTTTGAATTTCCTCAAGGCAGCTTGTTGATGCATTCAGGAACTGCTTATCGTGTATTTTAGATTTGAAGAGTATCATCAGGTCGTTCAAATGAGACTCGTTGGGAAGAATCCGCAGTAAAAATGTGTTCTCAAACAAGGCGTAGTCATATACCAACCTTGTGAGAACCATAGAGTTCCATGTATCACGATGTAAGTCCATTTTGGATGCTAGCTCTGGGTTACCTTGAATCAATATTGCGTTCGTTACCAAGTGGTCCAACTGGTCTTTGAGCTTATTGAACACGATTTTCAAGTGGAAAAGATCCTCACTAGCAAATCGTGCCGGAGGTTGGGTTGATACGTGAAAGAAAGAATAGCAAGTGTCGATTTCGCTATTTTTGACCAGTAACGAAGATTTTGGCTTGAACCCTCCACTGACATTGTACTTTTCCGGTTTCAATGACACGAGGTCAGATCTATGCAGTAAAATTGGCTCGGAGAATGACGAAGAGTTGATCAGAAATTTGAAGTAGAATGCGCCATCCAAAAGAATATCCTCGACCGAAACACTTACGGGCAATGTGCATTTGATATCCTTTACATCCCGCTGGTAAAACTCCTCTTCGGGGTACTCGCTTGTCTTGAAAGTTAGCTCCTGTTTGAGCTGGAAATCTCCTGACGGGAGCCCAAACAAGTCGACATGAGACTCATCAAAGTCGTGAATCACATAAGAAAACTTACTGCCTCCCTTGTCAAATGACAGGGGAGTTTCTGATTTTTTCTCAAGGGCAGTCAAAACAAGCTTAAACTCTGTTACTTTTTCTTTGTTGAAATAATTCAGCTTGATCGAGCTTTTCGCGATCTCAAACTGATTTGAAGGGGCCGCGATTACTTCAAAATTTCTAGCTTCTATTGGCCGATCGAGCTCGAGAAATCGCTCGTCATCAGAATCAAACTCTTGACAAAAGATTGTATTTCCGACAGAGCTCGTCAAACTGACGATTCTCGATAATCCGAAGAAAATTCTTGTGCATTCCAAGAAAACCGCATTTTCACCAGGTTCAACGGTAACATCTTGCCGCTGAAACTTCAAAAATTCACCATCTTCATTTTTCAAAAGGAGTTGCATGTTTTTAACCACAACCGACTTTGGTATCTTTGCATTAGTGATCTTCACCATCAAGCCAAAGTGATTGGGTTTCGTCACGATAAGCTTCTTTTGGATTTGAAACTCAAAAAGGTTGGTTAGCGGATAAATAAGACTCCCTTCACATCCTTCGTTGATTTCAATAAATCGATCCCACCAATAGCTCTTCAGTTCGTTGGTTTTGGTAGAGGTCAGTAAATTCAGAATGGAGTTGCTTAAGACTGTGGGAACTGGAACGTTCTCATCACCTATAGCAAGTGTATCTAAATTAGGACAGTTCATCAGACAATCGATGAAACATTCTAGTAAATGAAAGGCCAGCAAGTTCCAACTGGAATCCTTGTAGTATTCATGGCAAGGGTGCAGAATACTGATGGCCATTTGATACTCTTTACGTTGGTAGTGGAGAAGTCCAACTTCGACAGAAAGAAGGTCGACCGTTCTGTACTTTTTAGATTTGTGACTGTTCAGTAAAGTTATTATCTCTTTTGTTGCAGACAGGTAGCTTTTGTGGAATGTTTCTTCGTCCTTGAATGTCGCATCAAGATCCTTCAGTTGCGTTTTGCTTCCATTAGCTGGATAAGTCCGGTGCAGAATCTTGAACCCCTTTGAGCTATAAGCCAAGTCTATCCAGCAGTCTCGTTGAATTATTTTAAGATCAGCCAGAATCTCGCGGTAACTGATGGGCTCTTCAGGATCAAATGTGCTACTCTTGAGCAAAGATTCCACGAATGACCACTTGAAATCGGTTAGTGGAGGTGAGCCTCTAAAATGTTTGGAAATCGTCTTTAAAAATGACTTAGTGAGCTGAAACAAGCGCGCATTTCTCGCGGCTTGTACATGAGTGCATTGAATGAGCTCGCATTGTTTAAGGAAAAAGAACTTGTTTAACCCTTGAGTGGTACTGTATTTTTGGTCTGCGAGGTCCATTGTGAATGAGTTGCTTGTGGTGGTATCATTAGTTTGTAAAATCTGGAACGGAATTTCTAATTCGCCGACAGGCGCGGCGGGTTCTAAATTTTGGAACAACGTGCTTTTGAGACTTTCAAGCTCCCTAGAGGCCTCGTCATTCAGATGAAAACTCAGAAATAAATTTAGTATATTTTCTTGCACCGCAGCTAAGTGGCCCTTATCCCCAGTTGCGATGTTGTGGCGCTGGGTCTCCATATAAGCGAGCCGCTGCTCGAAGATCTCCATTGTGTAACGACGGAGCTGAGTCAAGGTTCCGTTCCAGAAATCTGTTCTTTCTTTTTCAGATTTGTAAATAGACTTGATTTCAATTGCAGTGAGGAATGGGAAGTCTTTACTGAACTTCTCAGAGAACGAGAGTGTTTTAAAAAGATTGCCGCCTGTAACACCGGAATTGGTGTGCAGCAATGCGATACGTTTCACTGGCATTCCAAATATAGACCCATTTTCCTCAAGAGACCCGCCGGAAGAAGGAAGCCATTGTCTCACCAAAGGACGCACTTTAGCCCTATACTCGTCGATGGATGTGCAATTAATCACCAGAAACAGTATAACAGGTGTAATACTGCTTTCTGAACTCGTTTTATCATCAGTTTCTCCCACAATTCCTACTGGAAGATTAGAAATCGTGCGTAAATTCTCGTTCAACGGCTTCCAATGCAGATTCTTGAACGGTAGTCTATCTTCCAGTTCCTTGCGCACGCTGTCGAAAACATTGAATGGATCAAAGTAACTGAATTTAATCAAGTTTTGGCTTATGCTGACGTCCATAAATTTATATCCTGACCACTATCAAGACACCAACACTGATGTTAACTTTGATTCAAACTGAACCTTTGCTAACTGTGCTGTGAAATCAATAAATTTAAGGAAATGTCAAGTTGAAGAAAGTGATGAACTACAACGAAAATGCTTAAATATCGAGCTCTAGAACGCGGGAATGGTGTCAGAAGAGCAGCATTATTTGGAAAATGAGAATTATCAACGGTATAGTTCACCTCAGCAGACACTCCTGCCTAAAAAACGGTTTGTTCGGTACAATTCGGTGCTCAGGAGAAGAGGGCCTTTAAATGACGATCGGCTACTGGAAAAGAGGGTTTCAAAGCCCAATAAAGAAAAGTCAGGGAGTCCAGACAGTTTAGAAGCTTTGCAGTGGGCTCAGAAATTTATCTCAAGGGGCCGAAGTTTATTGAAGACTGTCAGCAATGAGGACAAACAGTTCCAAAGGGAATTAGAGCAGAATAAAATACGCACAAAAGCTCATGAGAAATGCATAAGTGGGCTGTTACAAGACGTTGTAGAAACTGAGGATATTGATGCTGTGGGAAACGGTGATCGTTTCGCAGATTCCCAGCACTACGGAACTGACACATCATTCAAAAACTACGACGAGACAATGAATGCCAGCTTGGCTTTCACGGACCTGGCAACTCCCAATAACTACACTGGAGAACCTTTCGAAGTGCGTGATAATAATCAAGTGTTTGGGGAGAGTCATGAGGGAGAAAGTGAAGAAGATGACGAAGAAGATGATGATGGTGAGGGCGAGGAAGAGGAAGAGAACTACCAAACTTATCGATCTGGAAGTCACTCAAACCAAGCTTCTGATAGTGACGATGATGATGTCATAGAGATTCTAAGCACTGAGGAATCAGCTGATGAGAGGCCACTTTCTTCCGCGACCCAGCTCCATGAGGACCGCGATCAAAGCAGCTCCGAAATTCAAGATGATAGCGCTTCGGATAGCAATCAATCAGAAACCTCTGAAGAAGACGAAAAAGGTCTTTTCCACTCTGATAGTGGAAGTGAAGTTCAAGAACATCACGGCCCAAGTCTCCAGCATGCTGAGAAAGCAGTTTTGGCCGCAAATGTCTATTCGGCGACAGGCAATATCGCTCCATTTGACAGCTATGATGAGCCAAGAAGCGAGCTGTTGAACCACATTGATCCTGGACTAAAGTGCGAGGAATCGAGTTTCAACTCTGGCGAAGATCATGACGAAGCAGGTGTCGTCTTGGATGTGGAAGACTATGTGGAAGAAGAATCTGGCGCATTCGACAGCTGCAATCTTCCACATCTGAATACACATGGAATTGCACCAGCGTTCAACCTTGTCGAAAAAGAGAATGAAGCCAGTTCTGCAATAAGTCAGGAAGAGGAAGAAAGCTGGGGATCACAGGAAAATCTGGATTCAGACGCAAGCGAACGCACTGCAGCAGAATTTGGCGACCGGGAATCGCATGACTTTCAAGAAATGGTTGAGCAAAATTCTTCTGAAGGCGAAGTAGACCTGGACCCCGAAAACGGTGACAAGGATGCCTGCGTTCAAGGTAGCAATGAATTCATTGACCGTGACGCCCCAATTAGCTCTGAAGCTGCAGTTAATTACGATTATACGAATATCGCCAGAGATGCCTTTAATCAAAGAGACGCAGTTGACACCATTGCATCTAACTTTGCGTCGCCAGCGATTTTGGACTCCGACACGGCAAACGCACATGTCAGTGATGAAAGTAATGAACCGCTTGAAACCCAGGAGTCAGAGACGCATCGGCTTTCGCATGCTTCTGACAACGAGGTCCATAATCAAGAGTACGAATACAATAATGAAGGAAGTGATGCTGAAAGTGGCAATCTGCTAATTGAAGAAGTTGACGAAGAGATGGAACGTCAAACATCTGAAGAGGACCGAGCAGACGATGAAAACTGTGATTCTGTAAAAGATGATGGCTTTCAATCAAGCACAAGTGAACCTCCGCAAGACGAGGTAGAAATACTTGAATCAGATTCCGTGAAAGAAATGAGTCCTAGAAATTTCGCTGTTGACAAGGAGGTTGGCATGCAAAGCTCAACCTTTCTTGCGCCGGTGGAATCCTCATTCCATTTCGAGAACAATGCTGACCAAACTATTACTACAACTGTTGGTGATACGACTTATTTTTCATGTGGTGAAGATGCCGGACACCAGTCTATTTTGCGTGGGATGCAGCTCGACGAAAACAAAGCTGCTTCGGATGCTAGTAACGCGAAGTACAAGCTGGTGTATTCAGAATCTCTTTATAGCGAGTCTGAAAATGATGACAGTGACGACAAGGTAAAAAGTGACCTTACCGATTATGTCTCTGCATTTGCAAGTGATCCATTCTCTGTTACAAATCTAGATGCACAGCTTAGGATAGTAAAAGAGATGATTGGGGGATTGGAAGAAGCTAGTCAGAAGAAAGTTACAAGTGATAGGGCCGAATCGACTAGAACCCTTTCCGCGTGTGGATCTGAGGCTCATTCAAGTCCGCATCTAGTGTCAAATCCCCATGTAACACCAGAAGACGTGGATTTGGATAAAGCTAAAACTGATATAAAAGAGAACACGCATGGTGACTCCGATGTTCTAAAGGTGGGAGCAGCAACGGTCCAAAGTTTGGGTACAGAGTCTCAATTTAGCTCTGACGTTGATGAAAACATAGAAAGAAGTTTGAACACCCATCCAATATCCCATAACTCAGAAGAGCAGACAACTCATGGTGACGTTAATTTCAGGGGCGTCGATGCTTTGGAGACACCTGATGTTCCACCAGCTGCGAAAGAAGCTGTTAATTCAAATAATGAGGGCTTCACGAAGTCTTCAGAGCAGCTCGCAGTTTTTGAGTTGAACGAAAATGATCATCCACTTCAGGACAGGCAGGAAGATAGTGGGATCCAGGGAAGCATCTTGGTTGAAGAAATAGTAGATGAACGAGAAATCTATGCCACAATTCATACAGAACCTGACGTGTCGATTGCTGGAAGTGAACGGGAACCATCAGTCTTCGCTCTGTCTAATGTTCTTGAGACTTCATCACTTGGAGACGCTGACTTCGATCCCCTAGATAATTTTGAGGACCAGGGTGTCGGGGAGTCTCCGAAAATGGATGATTCTGGAGGTTCCGAGAATAGTCTGTCAGCAGGAGATTTGGAGGGTTCTTTTGATACGGCCAAATCAGAGCATATGCACGTTGTCGAATCTGATCTGAGTGCCTTCGAAGAATTGAGGGAGAAGCCAGACTCAAATGAGAATGACTCGAAAACCTTATCAGAGAGCGTTCCACTTGATAGCGGAGAAATTGAGCCATCTGGTAGAGGCGAGCAATTTGGCGTTGAGAATGAGAACGACGAGCGTGATACCGAGTGCACTCCAGTTTTCGGAACTCTAGAACCGCAAGATAGTGACAGCCGTTCGACAGTCTCCACTTCATTTTATGAGGTTACAACAGGAGGTGATGTTGGCTCGCTCAAGAGAACTCACGATAATGAAGTCGAGGAGAATCCGCTGAAAAAGCGTAACTTTTTGAAAAGCACACTGGAATCCACCTCGGATCGAATCTCCAGAGCGAAGGCCATTATCACAGATGTGCCAGGCAAGGTCAAACTGCTGAAATTTATTCCCCAACAAAGCTCTAAGCTTGTCAGGAATGCCGTTGTCATCGGTACTGTTCTAGCTCACAGGCCTATCACTTTTACTAACAGCTTGAAAGCGGCGGTAGGGGATGTGACTGAGAGGGCTGAGCGTCGTATTACAACGAGCCTAAGAAACGAACTGAGAGCTCTGAAAGCCAAGACTTACAACGAGAGACTTTTGCAAAGTCTGGAGCACCTCGACTCTGCGTCAGACGAAAGCGAGAGTGAGGATGAGACGTCAGCAGAGGAAGAAGAAGAGCTCCTCACGCCGAACTTTTCTGATCAAACAGATACAAGCATTGCTACGGGTGAATTCACGGACAGCACGTTTCGCGGTTTTGATGATTCATTTGAGGGCTCTGCCGACGAAAGCAATATGCCTCATGTTTATCAAGAGACAACATTACGAGTCAACCAGCCCGAAATTACAGATCGAAACATAATCAGTCTTAAAGAGGAAAACGCTTCCACCGGGTCCACAGGGATAAAACAAGATGAAGATGCTTTTTCTTCACAACATGAAAACGCAGTGTCTGGATTTGATAATAGTTCCGCAGGCTTCGACGATTTTTCAATAAATCCATCCACCCTCGAAATTGACAACAGCATCAGTCTGATAAATACACCTGGAGAATCTTACTATTCTTCTACTGAAAGCAGTGACGATGACAGCGATTTCAGCACCTCGACAGGGCTACCTCGCAATGCTCTTTCACGACGTAAAGTCCGCAAGCGTGTCAGCAAAAGAGGTCGTAAAACCCGGGTTTGAACAGTAAAAAAATAAAGGAAGAACAAATGTACTCTGGGCACTACTACTCCCATTCGCTGGCAAATCGTCGGTGTATTCTTCAAGTTATTATTCACGCTTTATGTAACAATACTGTTTTAGTCGTTTGCCAGTTTAAATGACGCTCGATTAACGAACGTCTGAAAATAAAACTTAAGCGATGATGTCTTTACCGGATCGTACGATTGGGAATATATGCCATCTAGACCTTGAGCATATCGATTTCAAGGCCTTTTAGAGCTCAATTAGTGAACCAGATGCAACCTTCAAGAGCTTTTAGTGCTCCTGGAAAAGCACTACTGGTAGGTGGACATCTAGTGTTGGACCCTCTTTACGAATCCTATGTAGTGGCGCTATCGTCACGAATGCATTGTGTGGTCAGCAAGCTTCCCAGTAATGGAATTGATCACTTCTCAGTCACTATCAAGAGTGCGCAATTTGACTCCGATGAATGGAACTACAAGATTTTAAGAGGCTCAAGCTATGAGGTGCTTGAAGTGGATGGAAAGAAAAACCCTTTCGCCAAAAAAGCGGTCGAGGTTTTGGTCAATTACTGTCAACCTGACCCACAAACTACAGAAAATGTAGTATTGGAAGTCTTTTCAGATTCTGCGTACCATTCAACTGGCACAAGCACCCTCAAAAAAAACGAATATAATCAGTTCCGGTTCCACGACAGCACAATTACCAAAGTTCCCAAAACGGGTCTAGGATCTTCTGCAGGTTTGGTATCAGTATTAGTTACGAGTCTGTTGTCGGTTTACCAAGGAAATCTTGATGTGAACTCCCCAAACGACCAAAAAACTATACACAATCTCGCCCAAGTTGCGCATTGCCAGGCCCAGGGTAAAGTCGGTAGTGGATTTGACGTGGCAGCAGCAGTTTTTGGTTCAATTATATACCAGAGGTTCGATGCTAAACTGATCGAGAATCTACCAACTGAACAGCCGGCTGAGTATGCTCAAGCCATTCGTATTTTGATCGATTTGACGGATTGGAATTTTACACACGACAAAGTCACTTTGCCCCCAGGGATCCGTGTGATTATGGGAGACGTCAGCAGCGGGTCTGAGACTACAAAACTCGTGGCCAAAGTTAAAGCTTGGTACCAGCAGAATCTTCCAAGAAGTTTGACCGTTTTTCATTGCATCAATCAAGGCAACTTGAAGTTCATAGAGGGTATTGAAAAACTCACGACTTTGTCTCGTGAGTCTCCTGCAGTTTATCAAGAGCTACTTGAAAAACTGGATTCAGGTCATGATGCCAATGCATCGGTTGAAATCACTCAAATACGGCATGCAATTACTCAAGTTAGGGAAAACTTCCAACTGATCACCCGGGAGTCTGGAGCAGATATCGAGCCTTCTTCACAGACTAGCTTACTAGAGCGCTGCTTAAAATTGAATGGAGTAATAACAGGTGTTGTGCCTGGCGCTGGTGGATATGACGCCATTGCACTACTTGTAACTGAGACAGCTGACATCCCGAGCCAAACGTCGGGAAACGCAGATTTCTCGACAGTTACTTGGTTAGATTTACACCAAGAAAACATGGGCATTGTTGAAGAAAAGCCTTCTCATTATCTGAATCTCCAGTGAGCTATGATAGCATTCCGTTCTGATAAAAATCATTGCGCTTACATAATTTTTGTATAACACCCTCCAATATATGCTAGTTGCTGTACGTTCGGCTCGATTCGTTGCCATAATCCCAATCTTTCTTCCTAACGCCTGCTAGACCGCCCTTGAAGCGTTTCATAATCCTGCGTAACTTACTATTGTGAATTAAGTCATTTATCTTGATTTGCTCCGGTGCATGCTTAATGGGAGCAAATTTCTCTGGAATGAATTGTTCTTTGTTCGGTAGAAGCCAGTCGGACCTTCTTACCGGGCTGATGATTTTTGGTATAATTGACTCGTAAAGATCCACGATTCTAGGGTTCTCTTCCTCGAAGCCTGCTTCCTGAAGCCGAATTGCCTTTTTTTCAAGGATCTCGCGCTCTCTCAAAGACAAACGTGAAGACCTACGTACATTGGCGTCGGTGCTATTTGCAGGTATGATGCTGCTGGTTGATATGCTGGTGTCAAAAAAATTCGAATTGTTGTTAGTCGCTGATTGGGGCGCTGGTGAAGATTTCGGAAAAGAATCTGAATCTGAAAGCTCCTGCTTAACAATGGAGCTTTGTGCATGCATATGACGACTTTTCTCTTTTCTGCCTCCTTCGCTGTTTTGTGAAGAATCATCGTCGTCGTTAGAACCGTTGTCACCAGTTCTAGTAATTTTTTCGTAGTACACACCGGTACTTCTGGTCCGGTTCTCGCCGATTCCTACTCTACCACTGACCGAAACACCTTTCTTAAATTTCTTCAGTACGAAATAGTCCTTGTATGACTCGAATTCGAGAGGGTTTATGCTTGTTCTTAATTCTTGAGTTTCCTCGAATATCTGACGTCTGCGTTTTTTGTTGAATGCCATTTTTTCTTCTATGCTCATGTTAGAATAGATACTACTCGTATTGGAATTAGTAAATTCGGCAGGGCTCTCCCATTGCTCGTAGGCTAACAATTCGTCAGGTTTACCCAAATCAATAGATTCTCTTTTTATCGAATTTTTGGCAGTCTCCAGAGAGCCCAGAGGTCCCTCCAATAAATTCATTCTGGTAATTGCAGGCCAGGAAAACGACTGTAAAATCTTTGAAGCAATATAAAAGGGTCCAATGGTGCGTTATCAACGGAGACAGTTTCTATCTGGATAGTCATTAAGCCCTGCAAAGTTCAAATTTTTTGATATTAAATAAACTTAGTGACACTATTGGAATAAAGTGATAATTCTTTGACATCACCGTCTTATTGTATGAATTGTATGTAGTCATCGATCGTTTTGAAGCCCTGAATCAGAGGCTACCATAAACACCTTCTGTATCAGTAGAGTTTCCTGGGGTTGATTCTGCGGTAGTGGATATCTGTTCGAAAATACGGATCTTTTTGTCACGATTTTGGCCCTCTTTAACTAAAAATGAAATCAGTGTCGTCGCAGACAGCGCCGTTAGAATCACCAAAGTCAAGTTCACTGGGAATGGGTTCATGTTGAACGTCGTGTGTGTTAGCTTATCCAGATAGCTCTGGCTCATGTTGAAGATACCCGACAAACACATGAGCAAACCGTAAACAGTACCGAACGTCTCGAAACCGAAAACTTTGGCACTGTAGTCAGATACCACGGTGTAGTAGAAAGGTCTGTAAGCCACAAGCATCAAAACACCTATTAAGTTTAGGATGAACGAAGGAAACAAACCAAGGATGCCAATAATCATAGAGATGGCCGAAACAGAAATGATGGCTGTAATAATAGAACAGTTGTCCAAAACAAGTCCAATGAATGGTATCGAGATGATTCCACCAACGGGGAGTGCAATGTCAAAAATCGCATTGAATTTTAATGCCAATTCTGCATCTCCAAGTAAAAACTCCTCCTGAGAACGTACTGTCGCGACAAAATAGTTGATTCTTAACATGCATATAATTACAAGCACCAGCATCAATCCAAACCAGGGGCTCTTGATTTGCTCGTACGCTGAATGGCCATGCATTGCTCCAAATATTCCACTGGTTTTCTTCTCGAGTTTCGCCTCAACGTAATTCTCCCATACCGATCTGCGGCGAGAGTTGGAGGATAGCACCGGGTGGATACCTGAGGAATGATTCGAAACCAGAGACTGTCTTTCTGTTGCATCAGGGATGATACGAGACCCATCTTCTCCTTCAGGAAGAGATCCATCCATGTTTAGACCCTCTACTTCCAATTTCTCGATCGCTCCAAGGGTCTTGTAGGACTCACTTGGCATGATGAAAAATTGGCAAACAAGGATAAATATTGGAACAATCAGATAACCTGTAAAGAATTTCTTGATTGTCAAGTCAGGAAACCATTTTTGATATACAACCCGGTAAATCAGAAAAAGTGCAGATGAGGAGTCAAACGCGCCAGTTAAAAGCGCCAGAATGGTTCCGGACTTACTGGGAAAGCTATTGGCTAGCTGGAAGGTGGAAATGAACACGAAGGGTCCACCAATGGCAAGCAAGATGTAGCCTGTGACGTAGGGGTCCAAAAATGAGCTCAGTTTCGAGCTCCAGACGAAACTCAGGGCTCCAAGAGCCAAAGCAGCAGAGCCTACAAATCCACACACCCGTGGTCCTTTCACGTCCAACACATAACCCACTAGGAGTGCAACAACATTCGTAGTTCCCGCTCCCAAAGTGAACATCATGTTAAGTTTCAAATCCTGAGCTGTGCAGGGCTTGAGGGAGGCTTTTTCGAGCGATAATGGTGTCAAGACATTTTCCAAAGATGCGACGGTTGAGTTGGAGCTCAAACAAAGCTCTGAATACACTCCCTGTGCAATCAGAACAGGTTTTAGCGCAGCAAACCCAAAAACGATACCTGCTGCGAATAAGCACCAGAAAATGGCACAAATGACCTGAATCAGCTGAAGCGAGACCTTAGACATTGCCGTGATGTCTGTTCAAAGGATACGAGTCTCAAATTGTCTTTGGAATTGGATTATCTTTATGTACCATCAAGTTATCTTTGAATAAGTGTGAATGAATGAAGATAAGATTAAATAATAAAGATACCGGAGATGCTCTCTGATCACTAAATTTCACAGGCATTGAGACCAATGCGCTGGTCGCGGAGTTATAAAGGACTCTGTCGACTGATTAGCTTCGAGGATTTCCAATTGCTGGGCATTAGACGTTGTCCAGTGCACGGTTTTTCTTTCAAATTTACGCCTGAAATAGGTTGTAGATGGGTGACTTATATATCGGTCTTAGATGTAGCGGCGTGAGTAGAATAGTGTGTCAATCTCAGATGCATTGGAAATATGTCCTTTGAGGCTATTTTCCTGTGTGATGTGTCCATAATGGCTCTCTGATCTTTCTTCGACTTCTTGTGATGCATCCTGTAGAATGAAGAAGGCTTACGAATCCAATTGATCCTAAAAGATCAGACTTTCCTTGTGTGACGTGGACTTCCACATATCTGTGGGGTTGTTTGAGCTTCTAGACCTTGCCAATCCCGTCTATCATGGCCAAAAGGTCGTCGTCGAGATCAGGCTTGGTAGGATCTGTGGGCTCTTTCTTTTGTTCTGGAGTCTCTTCTGAACTATTTTTGTCCAGCATCTGTAGCCAATTGGTCACTTTTGTAACGAAACCCTTGCCGTTTGGCACAAAATGGCCGCCTGGATGCTTCAGAAGTGTCCTGGTGTCAGGAGAACACGCATTGAATAGTGCCGTGACCCTGCTGCTCTCTACCACAGTGTCAAGCTCTCCCTCTACATGCAAGGACGGCACCGTGATTAGATGTTCTGAGTACTGCTTCTGGAACCATGCAGGTGCCATTCTGAACCCACTGAAACTGATGAAAAACTTGAAATCCGGCTGCTGCTCCTGGGTCAGGCCAAGTAGTTGACGTATGTCTGTGCACAAGTATCCTGCGTAGCCCGCTCCTTGGCTGAATCCGATGATGCCCTCGAATGGGCCATTCTCGATGATATAGCTACGTAAAAAGTCTATCGTATCCTGTGGAACCTTGTATTGATCATTTGGATCCTTGAGCCACCATCCAAAGATATCATCGGTCCCAGCCTGGGTGTTGAATTGCGCCGCCATGTCATCAATGTCTCTCATATCGGCACCTGCTATCCTGTTAGGTGCACATGGATAAAAAAGCTCGTAGCCCAGCTTTCCAAGCGTTTTACGAAGCCCACCAGTTTTCGAAGAAAAAATGGTACCCGATTGGGCGTACCCATGAAGCATTAACACCTTTTTAACCATGTTTCTTTCCTAAATTCCGTTGCTGAATTGCTTGATAAGATGTTGAGTAAGCTCATCGCTCTCGAAATATATAGGAATTAAACGTCTTCTCAGAAAACGAGGTCGAACTGGGACTCGAGATCAGAAAAGAGCACTCTTGACTGGACCGCTAGTTCCTTGAAGTTTAGAGTAGACCTGGAGTGACTTTTGAAGGTCGATCTTCTTTCTTTATCCAGGACTCGAAGCGATGTCAGTATAATACAAGATTTGTTCGTTTGAACTTGGTCAGGTCGAATACTAATCGTTCTTATGAACCAATCCTTTCCCAATCGGATCGATGCTAACAAATGGGATAGAGCATGATGTTTTTTTCGTCGAACATCGCGCTTCAACTTTGGTGCACCAAACTCATCTGTCATTTCAACTATCTTGACGTTGAGAGACTTCAAGTGGTAGTGATTATTATAAGGTCATTCAATTCAAGTATTTATACTTCGACAGCTCGTCATTCGTATTTATTAGAGGTTCGTTGAAATTAGAAAGTGTTTATAAAGACCTTGCAGATGCAAGGGCTCGAGAGTCGACATCCGCTAATGAGACTTTTCTTTTATCATCGTTGACTCTGTTATTCTATCAGTTCATAAGCTCGCATGCACGCACCGAGCCTGTTCTTTTCACGAATCAAGCAACAAGGTTTTCGTGCATCGGTTGATTTTGACACTGTTTAAGTAGCCACTTCGCATCGCCTTCGTGAAATTTTCTTCGTAGTTCATTCATTTCGTAACTTCGTGAGCACTCAGTAAAGAGAGTCAGTTGTGAACGTTCAATTTTCGTGCAAACAGAGTAAAAAGCTCGTCTTTACCTGCTTGATGTCATGAGGAGAGAACCGTTAGTAAAGTGAGTTCTCGATATCATACTGCATCACAGTATCAACCCCAGAGGTTTCGTTTGTTTTGGATATCAAGACCGCTCAAGGAGCGACTGAGATCTCCGTCTAGTTCAGCACCTAGACCAATTTGAGACGAATTGTACATCATGCCATGGTTCTGAGAATCCGCTGCCGCGACAGCTGGATCGTGGAAGGAATGCACAGAGTAATTAGAGTGGATGCTGCTATTCGTATGCTGGGGTACAAGGTTTTGAGAGCTATTGTAGCGGTTTTCACCCAGGTTAGGTGTTGAAGGTGCTTGTGAGTAAAAGGAGGGCATACGCTGGGCTGTGTTAGGCTGTATTTGGTTAGTTGTTGGTGACAGACCGGAGTTTCTCAACAATGGGTTATTGGAAGACGGGGTATTGACTTTATTCGTGTATCCAGTGGGGATACGATTCTGCAAAATAGAGGATGAAGGGGTATGTGTGGATTGTTGCCTTAAAATTGATTGCTGCTGTTGGCTTTGAGAATCCAGTTGGTGCACGGCAGTTGGTTGGAGGAGTGGCGACTGCGAGGGTAGTGGCGTTTGCGTAGCCTGACCCATGTTATTGCTGCTACCTGCGGCAGCAGCAGCAGTAGCGTGTGCTTGTAGCAAAGAGGTGTAAGAATGAGAACGAGACATCCCAGATCCGCCAGTTGAACTAGGCTGTAAAGGTTGCATTAACGACAACTGTCCTTCTTGCTGCAAGTGTGACTGTAAAGCAGCATGATCCAACATCTTGCGACGAATGATGATGAAGCTAGGGTCATAAACTTCCACAAGCCCCAAAAATGAGCAAAGAACATTAATGACGCGTTTTTGAGTCGCAGAAAGACCTACCGGATATGCCAACTCGTGATAGCTCTTCTCGCGGTCCTTGAAAAGGAGAAGTTGCGAGTAAAGTTCCAAGACATCAGGATCATTGAAATCCAACTGTTGAGGGGGGAGCGGCAGGTTTGCAGAAGCAGGAAGTGGCGCGTAATACCGTTCGGAAGAAAACCCTCCAATTGGCTGAGGGGGGATTGACATGGAAGTGGCTGTGTTCTGGGCCGATAAAAGTGGTTGTGGAACAATCGACGACTGTGACGACAGGTTGTTCCCGTTAAGAGCATTTTGACCATCATTACCGCTTTGGCCAACTAGGCTTTGAAAAAGTTGCGAGCTATGGTTGGAAGTCAGGGCAGGACGTAGACTTTGACCAGGGATGCCTGAGAGCCCTCCCAAAGGCGTATGGGGCCTCTGGGAAGCGGTTGGTGTATTATCAGTCGAAGAAAGCTGAGCCAGAGGGTTGATAGGGCTCGTGTCCTTATTGTTACCGGCGCCTGAGGACTTGTTGAGCGATTGTAACGACAGAGCAGATGTAGTGCGATGTTGTTCCTCCAATTGTCCACGTTTTTCACGTTTTTCACGCTCGATGCGTTCCCGTTCTACTTGCGGTAGCATTTTCTTGTACTCAACACGCAATTTACGCCCGCCAATTTCTTTCCCATTCAGTGTACTGACCACTTGAGTAGTTTCCTCAGTTGTAGCAAAGTTGGCAAACGCCAAACCACGGAAAACCCCGTTATCGAAATGGTAATTGAACGCATACGGCAATGGCAAATTCATCTTAGCTATAACTTCAAGTAATTGCTCCTTTTTGATTGCAAATGGAATGTTTTTGATCACAATTGCTGTGGGAATCACGTCATCGTCCGCGGATCTGGAGCCATAAGATACACCAGAGATTACTTCTGACAGCACAGAAGAAGTTAGTTCTGACATTCTGTCACTGCTGAGCGCTAAAAAAGTTCTTGCACGTCCTTGCGACTACAAATGAAAGATGGAGCTGTAACTGATATTATTTCAGCACCAAAAGTGGTCCAAATTTCGCCGTTTGAATTAAGCACCAATTCTCTCAAGTCAAACCAAGGTACCCACAATCGTCACCACTGCAGTGATGGCTTAAATGGAAGGAATAGCGACGATTTTGGAGTGGAAAGATGTCAAAGTAAGTTGACAAGGTTTAGAGCTCTTCCTTCGTCCAAGGATAATTACTGGAATTAGGATTTTCAGTGGTTCGGAAAACCGGGTAACAAAAAATGATGTCAGCTGATCTACTCACGTGGTTTTGACTGTGTGATGTGAGCTAGAGACTAGTTGGTCTTGTTTTGGAGTTCTGGCGCTTTTGTAATGATGACGATGATGATAACAAATGGCTGAGCTGGTATCATATTCTTCTAGGGTGAATTAGTTCAATCTTCTCAATTGTTTTTTGAGCTTAAATTGGGCTAGTCACTATAGGCATTTCAACTGATGGTATATTTCAATACAAGGAAACATGTTGAGGTAAGGCGTTATGTTTCACCGGGTTGCGAGACGTCGCGTTGCAGGGTAGTTAAAACCGAGTCTATCACCATTGTAATGAGAGATCTCTCTAAAGCCGATAGAGTTATTAAAGGGAAGCATATCATTTTTTACTGATCTGTCGCCAAGTGCAATACGAAGAATGAAAATTCTTGTAAGGTAGCTCTGTCAGAACGAGAGCTTCAACAAAAGCGTGAGAGAACTGAGCAGCTACCGAAAGAAAATCAAGCCTGAACATATGTTCAGGAGAACCGTTTCTGCTTCCATAAAAGAAGAGAAATTGCATATCACTTTGATACCCGCGCGTCTTAAGATCACGTGGTCTCGGTAGTCACAAAGTTTTCACCACGTAAGCTCGACGCTCCGTGACCAAAAGTTGACGTTCCATTGAATTCAGACTTTCAATTGGTTTTATCCACCTTGACCATGTTGTCATCGCCACTGCGCTGCGCTGTGATGATTCTTACCCACTGGTTGTGACACATTGGTACAAAGTGATCTCCTAGTTGTTTTATTCTAACTGCTCTAAAAAAATACAAACATCACCGGTAAGCACTGGAAAAGACCGTCCCCGTCAGAGCTTCCCCGGACTTTAAAACCACTACCTGGCTCGTGATTTTACTCGCCTTAGCGCCGATTTTCGTCGACGTTCAAAAATCCAAAAACAAAAAACAAATACCAATATTACCAAACGTTGAGCAAAAATCTCAAAAAAGGTATCCAGATAAAGCCAAAATCCGTTCTATCTTACAGTGCACCAACATGGCATCTCCAAAATCGTCAAAGGCCCTTCGATCTTCCAAGTCTTTCGGCAAATTCTAAAGTCATGTGACACTTCGGGTAACACCTTTTCAAAATTAAATACCATCGTGTTAACTAGAGTTCACCACGACCAAACTCAGTTGGTCTTGAGATCCCACAGACCAACTGAACGTCCATTGTCCATTCCCAGTACGTCCATAACGCAATAGAATGTCTACTCCAACTCCCCCCGGTGGCCAGCGCACTTTGCAGAAAAGAAGACAAGCTCAATCTGCCAAAGATAAGCAACAGAAACAAACACCAGCGTCGACGAGACAAGCTGGATTTGGCGGATCGTCCAACAGTATCCTCAAACTTTACACCGACGAGGCCAACGGATTAAGAGTAGACCCATTGGTGGTCTTGTTTTTGGCGGTTGGTTTCATTTTCTCGGTCGTGGCCTTGCACGTCGTGGCTAAGATCACCGGTAAATTGTTTTAAACCTACAGTCTTCCCAACATCACCTCCACCATCCCACAGCTTTTGATAGAGAAAATATGAGGCGGCCAACGCCAGGAGCTTAGGCCAACACAATATATCAAATAATCACAACCAGGGATTTCTATGGTCACCTCACACCACTTTTTGTCTCGCACGTATTTTGTTCAAAAATTTACATATCTGTCAATATCACGTCTATCACGTCTTTGAGATGATTCTTGTGAACCCTGTGCTTCTTGATAAGGTCTCTTTGCTCTGTGTCGCACGTCCAACCCCAAGTCTCACCATTTTCAGCCTGTTTGGTTAGCCATGTTTCTGTCATGTACGGTGCCCGGACTTCAAGATTAACGTAAGGCCATTGTTTCTTCCCAACAATCACGCAGATGGGGATACCCAGATTATGGCTGGTGGCTATTTTGCGCCCTAAATTCACCTTAGGGTCCTCGTTAACCCATATTTCAGGGCTCCACGCCTTGAGAGCATTGGTAACCTCTTCGAGAAGCTCGTCAGACTTGGCTCCGCAGACAGAAATTTGGTAAGGTGCTACAGCTTTGGGCCATCTCAAACCCATTTCATCGCGGGTTACCTGTGCTATAGCAGCAACTAAGCGGCTGACTCCAATACCGTAGCAGCCCATTTCACATAACTGCTCCTTATTGTCTCTGGTAGTGAACTTGACGTTAAACGGCTTGGAGTATTTCTGGCCCAGATAGAAAGTGTGTCCCACTTCTATGCTATTAGATGCTTTAAGTTCGGCTTCTTCGCAAGCGCCACAGATCTCACCCTCTTCGGCATCCACCAAACTTACGTCGTCCAATTGAGAAAAGTTACTCTTCAGATACTGTGTCAAAGGAAAATCAGGAAAATTGGCCTTTGAGCTCAGCCTACAGTCCATGACACGAACAACTGATGAAAACATCAAGTCGTCTTCGTTTTTACCAGCGTGAAATAATTGAAGAACGGTCTCATTGCTCACATCTGCTAAAGAAGAATCCACATCTTTTTCCATGGCAGCCAAGACCAGATTCCAATTGAGAGTTCTGTTTTTAGGATAATAGAGACATAGCAGTGTGTCCCGCGCTACATTCAAAGCGTACCGCACGCTGACATCTCCGGTGTAAGTGTTCGTTTCGTGGGGATATGAAAGACATTTTTCGACATTTGATACATTACTACACCCATTGCACTCAAGGACAATGTCCTCGCCAGTCTCATGCACGAAATGGTATTCTTTGCTCAAATCTCCTCCAATCGCTCCGGAGTCAGCCCAAGCACTCACGAAGGGAACTTTGAGATCTTTGAAGATCAGATCGTACGTTTTGTTCATGTTCTCGAATGTAGTGACAGCATCCTGCGGAGTCTGGTCAAATGAATATGCATCTTTCATTAAAAACTCACGGCCTCTTAAGAGGCCTCCTCTGGGTCTCTTCTCATCTCTGTACTTCCGGCCTATTTGGTACACTGTCAACGGCAGATCTTTGTAGCTGGATATATAGCTACCCATTAACGTTGTGATCTCTTCTTCGCAAGTGGGAGCCAGACAAAAGTCGGATCCTTTGGAATCCTTTAGTTTGAACAATTCACTGTTAATCCACCTGTCTGTGCTTTCCCAAAGCGCTTTTGGTGATAACAAGCTTAACGAAACTTCTTGAGCCCTCCCTTGATCCTCCATCCGACGTTTTATGATGGTCTTGATCTTGTTCAGCGTACGGAGACCCAGCGGTAACCAATGCACCAGACCGCTTTTACTTTGTTTGACAAAGCCTAACAATTGCAGAAGGTCCTGCGTACTATGCAATTTTAACCCATTTTTGTCTAGGTTTTTAGACTGGTATAAGTGCACGTAACGAAGGCCCGTTCTAGCAAATCCAGCTCTCATGGCTCCGCTTAATGTTTGTCGGACCAGGCCCGATGCTCACTTTCGGTTCTGATAATCATTATTTGAGCGTTTTGACGTCAGATTAGAGGAAAACGACCAAAAACAAGATGTTTATCAACTCGAATCAAGCGACGTACTTTCTAATCGTTGTCATGCTAGACTCAACTTCTGTGAACTTTATATATCTATAAAAATTTGTCGCTGGTTTTGTCTTATTTTGGGTCAATGCTGTGACTGTGGTCTTACTTTAACTCCATAGAACTTGACTCCTAAAGTTCGATGAGAAGCATTCTTAAAACTTCAAAAATTTCTGGTAGACCATGTTTTCAGTTTCGTCCTGATATCTGTAGCCCAAGTCGTTCAAGAAGTTTTGGAAAACCTGTTCGTCTTGAGGAGGAACTGAGATACCTGCCAAAACCTTACCAATGTCCGAGCCATTGTTTCTGTAGTGGAATAGAGTCAGATTCCAGGACTCGCTCATACCGTCCAAAAACTTTGTAAGAGCGCCAGGACGCTCTGGGAATTCAAAAGATATGACTTTCTCGTTGTCGACCCGGGAGGCACCTCCAACAAGGTATCTACCGTGGCTCTTTGCCATTTCGTTGTCAGAGATATCGACAGCCTCGAAGCCCAGCTTGTGTAGCTGCTGTAGAACCTGGTTAATCTCCTTTTCACGGTTGACGACGCTGAAAGACGTGTAGATGTAGGCCTTTGGAGTACCCGAAGATGTGTCATGCTCGTTAAAACGGTACGAGAATTCCGTAACGGCTCTTGGATGAATGACTCTTTGCAGTTTTTTGAACGAGCCAGGAATGTCTGGGATGGTCACTAGCATGAACACTTCTTTGCCCTCACCGAGAACAGCACGCTCGGAAACGAATCTTAATCTGTCAAAGTTCATGTTGGCGCCAGACAAGATTGGCACGTAGGACTTTTTGGAGTGGTCAACGTCAGGATGGAGTTGTGTGATGTACTTCTTGAGACCTGCCACTGCCAAAGCACCAGAGGGTTCGACAATGCTTCTGGTGTCCTCAAAAATGTCCTTCACGGCAGCACAGATCTCATCCGTATTGACCAACACAGTCTCATCGACGAGCTCTTGGCAGAGACGGAAGGTTTCCTCACCAATCATACGCACCGAGGTACCATCTGCAAAAGTTCCCACCTGCTCGAGTAGAGTCCTGCGGCCATTGTCCAAAGAGGTCTTTAGAGTGGCAGCGTCGTAGGTTTCAACGGCCACGACCTTGATGTGAGGTGCAATTCTCTTGATGTACGCTGCAACACCGGAAATCAAACCACCGCCACCTACGGGAACAAAAACCGCGCTTATCTTAGAAGCATTGTGCACTTGTCTCAGAATCTCCATCGCCACAGTTCCTTGACCTGCGATGACGTAGGGATGATCGAAAGGTGGAATGTTGACAAGACCTCTTTCCTCAGCAATTCTGGCACATTCGATTTTGGCTTCGTCAAAATCGTTTCCGAATAAAACCACTTGTCCGCCAAGTCTAGAAACGTTTTGATACTTGATCGATGGGGTGTTAACGGGCATTACAATGATTGCAGGCATGTTTAAGTGTCTGGACGCCCAAGCCACACCTTGGGCGTGGTTTCCTGCCGAGCAGGCAATAACACCCTGATTGCTGTTAGACTTTTCTGCTATTTTAGCCATCATGTTGTAGGCTCCTCTCAACTTGAAAGAGAAAACCGGCAGTAGGTCTTCCCTCTTTAGATGAACATTGGTATTTAAACGGGACGACAGACCAATGCCTCGCGTCACAGGGGACTCCTCAATAACGTCATACACCGACGACCGAAGGATTAAACGCACGTAGTCCGGTGTATTTCCTGGCAAAAGCTCATCGCTTTTTAGATCGGCGTGCATTCTCTGTAAAGACGACGACAGCGTCGACTGACAGCGCAGCAGAAGCCTGGAGCTTGAGGCTACTTTCCCACACGCCACCAGCGTTGTAGACATGATGAAACTAGTAGATCTTGGGTGTCTATAATGTTGAATCGAATCGTTGTCATGCAGTAACCGTCAAATGGAAATGATTTAGTATTTTTCATATATACTGAGATTAGAGAGTCTCATATGAAGAGTCACCATATGGTATAATGATTGACGCTACAAGTGGCATATGAGTCACGGCGAGGGAAAGGAATACAGGTAGAGGAGCATTGAAGAGACATTGCAACCTGGAAAACTAATGAAAAGAACAAACTCGTAGAGCTCTCTGTAAGTTTGATAGCCCTATCAAATAAATTTTTGGATTGTCATTTTGTACGTCATTGATCACTCATCAGCACAGATGAGTAAGAGCGTATGTTTTCTTCGCTCGGAACGCATAATACCTAAACCTCTCAATCTTTACACCTTCTAACGCCCTGAAACACCAAGATTTTCGTTACAAATTTGTATCATCTCTTACGACAGTGTCATTCGACATTTCTTACCTCTAGAGCACGATAATTTTCACTTTGAGTATCACAAATTCAGTTACACTCAAGCCGCTTCCCATCACAGGGCCCATTCACTTGAAAGCGCTCTTTCACCTAAAATTGCCCTTTCGGGAAATATCTTTCCCCTTTTTGAGACCTCATCTCTTCCGCTTCCGCTTCGGGTGTTTTTTCCAAGATCGTCAATAAACCCGAAACAGGAAAACTGTAAACATCAACACAATTTCCCAAGATTTCCACATACAACGAAAGCTCGGGAAACTTTGGAAGCACCCATCCTCCTTCTCCAACACATTTACACAAAAGCTCGAAACAGTTTGTTTGTGGCATCTTGTAAGATTCAGACCTCACCCCAACCTGAACCATTCCAGAAACACCAGACATTTTGACAAAAGTGGTTGTTACTCGTGCAAGAAACTTTCTGCGAAATCGAGCGATCCTTTCCGGGAACTTTGAGGCAAAAAGCCTAGACGGTCAACAAGTATTTCAGAGCAGAATCTTCTCCACACAAAGAAACACAGATTCCAGGGTCTCTAATCGGTCGGTAAGACCCTTTGATACTTTCCAGACAAAATAAGACACTCCCAAACCAAGACACTTCTGTCTTAACTATCCAGCCTCTTTTTGAATATCGCTATCAATTTTAAATCTGTGGACCTCCAGTTGGACGCTTTTCGGTTACTCCCAACTAAATTGTCACTCGTTTGCCATCGCTGCATTATCAATATTTAAGATGAACACACCAACCATGGGACCAGAGCAGCAGCTCACTCCAAAAATGTCTCCCGTCATGATGCATCTCGATGAAAATCTATCGTCACTGGGTAATCCGTCATTCATGCATCTCGACGACGCTCACAACAAGAAGAAAGGTGGCTATCCTGCCATGTATCGTACTTCGCTGTCCAAGCTCACCGAGCGTGGCCGGCAGAGTCGAGGCAGAAGCGCTGATCCCAAGACTCCAACCAAGATTTTACGCTCAAATTCTCCCATACGTGCACTGCTTGGAAATGCGCCCAAAATGTTCAAGCCTGAGTACATGGGTGTGTCACGACTTCTCAATAGCACCAAAGGAGCACCAACTCCGCCCATTACGACACCCTCTATGATCCTTACTTCATCCAAACTGCTGTTCCAACAAGCTCCTTCGTCACAGCAGAAACAACAGCAGCAGCATCAGGTAGAAGAAGAAGAAAAAAAAGAAGAAGTAGAAGAATCACAGCACAAACAGAGTCAGCAGGTCAGTACACCAGAGGTACAACAAACGTCAGAAATACATATCGAGCCATCGGCGCCGCCACAAAAATATCACTCCAGAGAGGTTTCCAGTACATCTTCCGTGAAAAGCACTGCAACCGCTTGCGAACCTCAGTCGAATATCAAAGCCCAGTCTCAGGTAAGCGCAGTACCAAGACTTTCTCCAGACACCAAGCGTTCGGAACAGCCAGCTAAAACCGCAAATTACAGATTTCCTTCTACGACGTCAACGGCTTCGTCGAGTTCCACGCTCGATAACAAAGAATATCATGATAATCTCAACTTTGACGTGCCGTCACTCGATAAGGATGATTTCCTTCTGGCAACCCAAAGCAAAAGAAGCTCATACATTTCGAGTGTAGGATCGACCAATGACGAAGATCTGAACGGATGGTTTGCGCAATACGCAGACGAGAGACAAGTAGCGACTTTGAACATCAGTGACGCTCAGAACAATAGACAGCAGCTGGATACTTTGAGGGAAAGGTCGTTTCAATCTGAACATTTCTCGCTCAAAGTTAAACAGCTTGAGCTAAGTATAGCGGAGCTACGTCTCCAAAACGAACAATTAAGACACACAATGACCACACACCGCACAGTCCAAGATAGGTACATGTTTGATGCACTGCATGATGTACAGCGGGAGAAGGAAAACAGCTATCGAGAAATGAACCGGAAGATGAAACAGCTGGAGAAGCAGATAGATAACTATAAGCGCGTTGTTCAGAAATTGACTGCTCCTGTGAATTTGCCTCCTGTCGTCAAGCCTAGAATCCCCCTAGTGGATGCGCTTACGCTTGACGAGATGTCAGAGGCCAATTCCTCGAGCGGTGACGACACCGAAAGTGAGATACCTGAGAAAGACGAAAATTTTCACAGCCTGGGCAAGACTACAACCATTACGCTACATCCTAATGACGAAAATAGTCTGGCAATGCCAGAGTCTCCTCGCAAGAGACTTGCTGGGATCAAGCTCGGACTCACTTTTGAAAAATGATTCTTAATCGAAGGTTCGAAAATCAGGTTCCATTGTAATATAACACAGCAGAGCAGCGTTGCTCTCACCATGCATAATCCTAAGAGGTTCAATTGATGTCTACGAAACATAATCAAATACAACATATAAATACATACATCAACAATACAAGCAAAGAGTTGTGGGAACGATTACCGTCATGTAGGGAATGCTATTCCATGTATGTGTGTTGAAAAGTAGTATAAAATTGATTCAAGTAAAAAATTATGGACGAGACCGGAGTCGAACCGATGACCTCTCCCATGCTAAGGGAGCGCGCTACCAACTACGCCACACGCCCAATTGTTGAAATCATGAGATATGAAATGCTATACATTGTGTAGTTGAGGGTGCATGAGGGTTCACTATCATTTGAGAAACGTGAACTTTAGAAACCCACACTCCACTGGACTGGGAGCTGTAACTTAGTGACGACTATGGCATAAATTTATCTTGTCACGTCTAATTACTCGACTTTTGAGCGTTCAATGTGCAGGAATTGACGGTAAATGGTAATGTCAGTGGTCGGTTCAAATTTTCAAGAACGACGGAACTGATAACATTGATGTGCGTAATTATCAAGCGTAACTAGTAGGTTTGGAAATATTTGTTTTTCCATTGCCATCCACTTTGTAATTTTCGACCACAGTCTTACCATTCAACTTCTCATCGCATTATCAAAAATGCAAATCCAACAAGTGAATAAAAAGAGACGAGAAAACGAAATGACGGATAAGCTTAAGAACTAAAGTCCTGATTCGATAAATACGTTCAACAAAGGTAGGCTTCAAAGTTTCCCTCAGGCTTTGTTCGGCGGATTGTCACATATTACTCACTTCTGACGAAAGGTCCCATAATATCGAAATATTGAACAAGTAGCAGATCACTAGGAAAGGATCAGGCCTTCACTGTCTGTTTTCCATCCTTTACGAACACTTTTACTCCTGGTATTCAGGTTTATTCATCAAAGGAGTGATAGGTTTTCTTTCACTCTGCTTTGGACCTTTCTTGAAGCTTCCTTGTCGGCTATCAGCACGAAATTGTCCAAGAGATGTCTTCATCATCGATGAGAAAGCCTAGAGCCAAACCATGGCAGGGGCAGACTGTAGACGATTTGGAGTCCGAATCAGCTATGGTGGGACCTTCACGACCTGTTACTTTGAAAGAAGGAGCTTCTGATAATAGCGAGCCAAGTGCACCGGAACTACCGCATCGACCAGCGGGACTCGAAGCAGACTTAGACACGAACAACAATATACGCAGCAACGTTGGACATCAAAGCAGTTTTTACGGACAGAATAACATGGGTTATGGAGGTTCCCCTTATGGAGGCGGTTTGGGTTCGCTTTACGGATCGAATGGTTACAATTCGATGTATGGTTCAGGTTATGGCTCGATGTACGGCTCAGGCGGTGGTTACGGCTCCATGATGGGTGGGTATGGAGCAGGCGGGATGTATGGAATGGCAGGGCTAAATGCAAATGCAAATGCCATTGCAAATGGGGCTCCTGGATTGGCAGAATCGACTCAAGCAACATTCCAGCTCATCGAAAGTCTGATAGGGGCCGTTGCAGGGTTCGCACAAATGCTAGAGGCAACTTACATGGCTACACATAACTCTTTTTTCACAATGGTATCGATGGCGGAGCAGATCTCGTCACTGAAGGAAATGCTGGGGTCGTTTTTGGGCATTTTTGCTGTCATCAAGATGCTTAAAAAAGTGCTTTACAAGATCACCAGCGGTAGATTGGGCATGGCACCTCGAATCAAAGCGTCCGGTGTACCTAAGAGCGAATTTGCCAAGGAATTCGACAAGTTTAGAGGACATGACCTGGAGCGTGATAAGCGTGGAAAAAGACGTATTTCGTGGAAACCTTTAGTGATTTTTTTGGCCGCCGTGTTTGGATTCCCATTTCTACTGCGAAAATTCGTTGCACGACTAGCAGAAATCCAACAACGTAAGAGTTTGCTGGCGCAAAAGAACGGGGCTAACAGTTCTGGTGGGCTGGACCCACGGAATCTTGAGTTTGCGCGGGCCACGTACGATTTTACGCCCGAGAACCCTCAAATCGAAGTACGGCTACTAAAGGGCGACCTTATGGCTGTGATGAGCAAGACGGATCCAATGGGTCGCAACAGCGAATGGTGGAAAGTGCGTACGAAAAAGGGCGATGTTGGGTATGTACCGAGCAACTATCTGGAGCTGATTCGAAGACGGGTGGAGGCTGTGGAAAACGAGCAGAGTCTGTAGTGGCAAGGGCTTCGATTGTACGACACACCGGACGGCCTATGTGAAAAAATGATTTCCATCCCACAGCGGTCACTATCTGAAATATATAATCTGCTCTGATCATTACGCCAACACCAGTCCCATATTGCATCACTCATTGTTCTTTCCATCTCATCTCATTACCAGTGTTGATTCCACTTGCCTGGCAAACAGCAGTCAACCTGTCTTTCATTCGCTTTCGTTCTCGTAAATGCATATTCATTATTCGTACATATCCTACTACAGACTTTGGTAGCGCTTTAAATGGCTTTCAAGATAGGGTTTTCACTGTTTGTACTTGTCTGCCACGTCTTTAGCCTGGTTCTTGGCGGAATTCGCAATTTCGCGGGTGCTTTGCTTCAAGTCCTGGGCAGAGTCCTTTGCATCGTGCTTCAAATCCTGAGCTTTGTCCTTTGCGTCGTGTTTCAAGTCCTGAGCCTTGCTCTTGGCATCGTGCTTCAAGTCTTGGGCCTGGTCTTGCACGGAATCGCCCAAGTGTTGGGCCTTATCGATACCGGCTGCAGCGGCCTGGCCTGTTTTCTTGTTTAGAGCGTCAAGGCCGCTCTTGGTGGCCTCTGATGCCTTGTGAGTGGTTTCTCCCACATTATGTGAGGCCTCCTGGGCCTTGTCGATGCCTGAAGCGGCTGCTTCGCCTATCTTCTTGTTAAGATCGCCCAGGGTGTGACGTACCTTGTCTGAGATCGACTGTTGGGCCAAAGAAGACGAATGTAGTGACGACGACACGATTCTTGGAGCGGCCACGATTCTGGAAGGAAGAGTGGATCTTAGTGTTTGCGAAGCGGTGGATCTGATCATTGCTTGGGGAGTTATAAGGATTGTTATTAAATGCTGTAATGCGAAGCTGTTGTGGTTTAAGTGAGCTTCTACAGTACAAGAAGAGTGGTGAATGTCTAGTAAGTCAACATCCAAGCGTTTTTATATCTTGTTTCGAAACTAAGTTTGCGCTTAGGGTTGTTTGCTACTGGATCGCGTGGTCTTGCTACGGAAGGGTAAGCCAGCGGGGTGTCCTTGATGGGTCAGTCAAGCATTACGACGTGGGGTCACCTTAAAGCAAAGTGGTTAAAAAAGCCAGAGGACAATAATTGAGACGCGTAAGAGATGTTGGCAGTCGAGATAGGTAATGAAAAAGTGAGGACTCAAGTTTGTCAAATTGCTAGGAATTAAAGGTCAAGTAAAGTTTGCTGAAGATACAAAGTCTTTCGAGGTCAGTAGAAGAGAGTGAGAGATGTACAAGAATATATGAAAACAGAAGTAGTGAAGGTGAAGAATACAGAGGTGTGTAGTAGTGTGTAGCGTGTAGTGAGTAGCGGTGAAATGGTGAAGTGGTGAAGAAGGCAGAATTAAAGGGGAGACAAGAAGGTTGGTTTACGCTTGTGACGTCAAGATCTGTCTCTCCCAGTGTCTCCCTCTGTGTCTTGACTTGCTCGAGATTTCTATCTCTTGTGTATGTTGCGTTACAGTCGGATCTGTCGGTAGCAATTGCTCTAGTATCAAAATAAAAATTGAAATGGGAAGAGCAAAAATATGCGCAAGCCCGGAATCGAACCGGGGGCCCAACGATGGCAACGTTGGATTTTACCACTAAACCACTTGCGCGCTGATTAAGATTGGAGGTGGATAGAATGAATTATATCGGATAACGAATGTCAGATGGACATGCTTCTCAACCGGGGACCAGAGCACGTGACTCGACGACAGCGACAGAATTCACACCACTCCTTCAAAAAACTTGCACCATGGATTGCCCCAAACTCTTATCTCCCTGTAACAGCTGTTTTTGAAAAGACAGTTCCTCATCCTCATCGACACCGAAGGAGCCTGCCGAATTATGCAAATTGGTTGCTCCATTAAAACGCGGTAGGAACGGTAGACGCACTCAATATCCAAATAAATCGAAAGTGTTCACACAAGCTACGAAACACCTGAAAATCTGGGGTGCGTTAGTCGTTTTTTGAAACTCAACCTGGGTCTCAGAACCGCTCTATAACATCACTTTCTGTAAGGGTCATCGCTCTTTAGTGAAAAAGTGATCAGATATGACACGTAGATCGTGCTACTGCTCGAAATCTCTCGACTGGGCCTGTTAAAATATTGACTCCCATGGGCCAACTGACTAGTCGTGTGTTACCTTGTTACGGTCTCGTTGCATCTTTTTACAATTCCAACATTGACCCAATCTCATCGGTACAGAACCTAAAAGACCGCTACCGAGTAAAGACATCAAATTTCGGACCTGGCCCCCTTCAGCAAAAGAACCAAGTGGTAAGTTCACAAACCCTGATTGCAGCAGCTACATTTATGTGAGCATCACAAGAATCTATTCCGTCTTTTCATTGCAATGACTTCGCCACGTCAGCGTATTTCAAAGTGATGAACGAACGACACAGCCAATGGAATTGAAATACTTTTGACACACCTTCTGCCCTATGCTTAACTCCTACACTCGGCTATATTTCTGAATATTAACAAATTTTTATTCTTCACTCCTCATGATCGTTAGGATCAATCTTGAAAACTTTATCCGGATTCAAAATTCTTTTTGGATCCATTGCCAGCTTCAAAGATCTCATAAGATCAACAGGACCATCTCCTAACTCTTCCAGTAAAAAAGTTCTCTTACCAATCCCCACACCATGCTCTCCCGTGCATGTACCGTCTGCAGCTATTGCCCGCTTCACCATATTGTCCACAATTTCTGTTGCTTTGCTCCGCTGTTGATTGTTGTAAAGTATGAGAGCATGAAAGTTCCCATCTCCTGCATGACCAACAATAGCGTTCCCAAGACCACTCGTATTCATCTCTTCCTTGGTTGCCTCTATGACCTCCGAAAATCGAGATAATGGCACGGCCACATCTGTGGTCCAGACATTCATACTGGCATCCTTGGCTTTGCCCTCATTAATTACAGACCACAGTGCGGCTTTACGAGCTTCCCATAGCTCTAGCTTTTCATCACTGTTGGTCGCAAATTCAAACTTGTGGCAACCGTGCATCTTCGCAACGCGGTTCACTTCGCCAACCACTTCAGAGATAATATTGTCGTTACGTCCTCCTATTTTGAAAAATAGGGTTGGTTTCTCAATCCAGTCTGTCTTGTACGTAGCCCCGGCCCTGTTGATTACTTTCATCATATTGTCGTCCAGCAATTCCATTGCGTTGAGCTGGATACCTTCTTGTATCAGCCTTGAAGTACAAGCAGCGGCATCTCCTACCGTTGGGAAAGATCCCACGGCAACAGTCTCTTTGATGGGTTTGACATGGCACTTAATTGTAGCCTCTGTCACTACTGCTAGGGTACCTTCCGATCCGATCAACAAGCCGTTCAGATTGTAACCAGCTGAAGACTTGCGTGGTCTTCTTTTGGTCTTGATCACAGTGCCGTCCGCTAGTACAGCGGTAATGTTGACCACATTTTCCTTCATGGTTCCATACCGGTAAGCGTTAGTGCCCGAGCACGAGTTGGCAATACAACCACCGATTTGTGCGCCGGGGCCGGGGTCGCATCCAAACAAAAGACCCTTTTCGCCCAAGTAGTCGTTAAGGTCTTCCCAAGGAACGCCAGCTTGCACTTCTACATCCAAATCCAGATCGTTGAGCTTCAAAATTTTGTTCATGTTCATCGACAAATCCAAGACTACAGTCCACTTGGACCTGGTGGGCACAAAGTGGCCTTCCAATGAGGTCCCACCTGAAAACGGAACCACCGGAATGGCGTGCTCGTGGCATATTTTCAGAATCTCAGAAACGTCTTGGGTAGTGTGCGGATAAAGAATTATACCTGGTCTTTGTTCAGGAGTAGCATGGTGGCTGTTGAAATAAGTATCGGAATGTGAATCCAAACTTTCTTTGGAAACCGAAAATGACGCAGTGTCGTTATTCAAGACAGCTTTTAACTTCTCGACGGCTTCACTAAACTCCACTTCGTCTTGACAATACTGAGGTGGCTGTAATTCTTGCAACGGAGTAGTAGAAGAAAACTGGTCATTGTAGATGGACCAATCAGATAGTGCCAATGAACCTCCTATTGCTGCTCCCAATACTAATCCCGCAATAGGTCTTTTGTATCCAAATTTACCGGGAATTGGCGCTTGTAGGCCACGAGAAAAGCTTTGAGACTTTAAATTTCTCGAAAAGATTCTTACTGATTGCTTTAGCATCCTAGTCTATATACAAGCTCAATGCCTCTTTTTCAATGAAGTCTGAACTTTTAAAGTTTGTCAGTTCTTGGCAGTTTTCAACTACAAGTAAGCCAATTTATATGTCTAGTATTCATTGGAAAGCATACAAGATCGAACATATACAAATCATGAACTGACATGAGGATTGCCGAATTTGACTTCATGAGTGTTGATGCTTAGCTTGCACAAAACTGGCTTTTTTTTGGTATATAAAAGCGAGGTAAGTACGTGCAGGGTCTTCGCTCAAAAAACCAATTGATATTATAATGTGGATAACTAGAGGTTTTTCCGAGGGGAACTCAGCAATAAGTTGAAGGGAAACGACAATGGCGGGCCGTTCCACTGACTTTCAAGAGCCACGTTTACCGTGGAACTCGGAAACAAAAAATGCAATGTACTCAACGCTCAGGGTGTTTAATGTCACACTTTTTCACCCAGCGTCACAGTTTCGTATTTTAACGTATTAGCGAGTTTGAAATCGTATGTAAGAGTCCAACCTGTTCAACTCTCGCAGGCTGCAGTCCAGGATGGTCCATTGATTTTTTCCGGGTTGTAGCTTACCTTATGTCTCTGTCATGATACCGTTTCGACAATAATAATTGGAGATGCCAAAAATTTCGAAAGTTGGTCTCAATACGACACACACGCAGATAATATCCCATGGCTTCATCAAACCGACCCTTCAAACTAGGTCTTCACTCTCAGCCAGCGAAAAAATACGTTCAAATGTTTAAAGTGCAAAATTCTATTAGGTGCGGACTCACTTTGACGTGAAACCAATGTAAACCAGTATTCAAAATTACATGAAGTCGTCATCGGCAAAATCTTCAAATTCACCCTTCTCGAGGTCGAACTCTTGATCTTTCTTGAAAGCACCACCGAGGTTGGCCTTTGCAGCTTTAGCCTTCTTCTTACCAGCACCACCGGTTGCGGTACCACCTCTGACCTTAGCCAAACGGGCCTGTCTTTCCTGTCTTTCCTTGTCCTTCATGAGAACATTCAGCGTCGCAACCGCTTGTCTGATGGACTCGATGTTCATAGGCGCGGCCACATCTCTAATAAGATCCACGGCCAAACCAGAGGCGTAGTTTAGTTGCGATTTCTCGTTCATAGATGTAATGGCGGTAGCCAAAGCCTTTCTTAGTTCCTGGAAATCTTTCTTAGTTTCTGCAGTATCAAACAATGGGTGCGATTCGATGGGTGTGTCCTTTGTAAAGCTTGCAGGACGCAATAGTGCTTCCCGTTCCTGTTCCTGACGCAATGCCTTGGCTCTAGGGTGCTCATCAGCGACACCAAGGCCTTCGAACAAAGAAGCAGCATTCTTCAAGTCTGCCTCCACTTCTGCCTTCTTGAGCAGCTCTTTTCTGGTTTTTTCATCTACAGTGTCAATCTCCAGTAGTACCGGGCCACTGCTCTTCTTTTTGTCATCCTTTTTAGAAGGTCCAGGGGTTTTTTTAACAGCCTTAGGCTTTTCGCTCTCTTCAGCATCCCACGACTCTAGTACCGCACCATCATCGTCACCGGCAGCGCCAAACTCGTCGTCCCAAGAGGCAGCTACGGGCTGGTTTTTCGAGGAAGTTGGAATATCGAAATCTTCGTCGTCCCAAGACATTTTGGAGTCGTTTTTTGCGTTTTCAAGCTTTTTGAAGTGAGAAACAAACTTAGCAAAGAGGTTTGTAGACAGTTGAGGTTAGCAGAGTTGTCGAAAAGCCAGAGAAAGAGAGATGGGTGAACTCATCTTGTAATCGTTAATTTTTCGTACTAGCTAATCTCACAGTGAACGAAAAGCGATTTGGTCATGTGACGATATTTAAAGACGCGTCTTCTAGTTAATGCTCTGGTCGCTGGGTAGAAAAACGTATAGTTGGCGTTGAACACATACGCAATTACCGGAGTGGTGTGAGAACGAAAGAAGGAATAAAGAAAACAAACGGACACGGAAAAGCTGTAGGTTAGAATGCGGCGTTGTGATACTTGCATTTGTTGCACTCGTTTCAGCGAAACCGGGCAAAAATGTTACTGCGATGACAACTCCGGATAATGAGTTTAAAAAACTCCGAGAGTAAAATCACCAGGAAATCGTAGATACAAAGACTGAACCGAGTAGTGTTCTAAGATAGAACAAGAAGTAAAGAGTCTAACTCGCCTTTTTCCTCTCGGACTGATCACTTTCCTATATTTCTGACCTACTAGCCTGTATCCTATTCCATCGGGCAATTCAGCAAATGTGGTCATCAATGACGAACAGGGTCCAGTTCATTTAAATTGACATCTTCAACAGCTAAACGGATCTCATTAAGTAATTTACACGCTCGAATGCATGATTGAAATCGGCAAGAGCGGAACCTTTAACAACTCTAATAGCTTCGTGATTTACATCATAGCTTTTAAGGCAGTATATTTAGGCTCCCCCTTTTTTGAACCAAATTTAAACTCGCTGTGAGGTGCGTTCTTTCTAATACCACAATATACTGTCAATGGGCGAGGATTTTAGCGTTTTTACGGGCAGAGGCGGTGCTGGAAACATAGTTTCTTCAGCCGAAAAACCCTCTCCGAAAATCGTTTCTCAAGGATCCCAAACACCAAGTTTGTTGCAGCCCGTATTCAGCACTGGAAGAGGAGGTGCAGGTAATATGCGCAAGAACGTGGATAAAAATCTGACTCGTCAAGCTCAAGACGTGGACGATTTCATACCGCCTATTGAAGAGGATGATCGTAATTTAAATGCGGACACGGCTCTCGATCCTTTAAAATCGCGGAATTCCAACAGTGCTCGTCCACTAGGAAGTAAGAAGAATTCTTTAAAGGCAAAAAGCAGTAGACCAGAGAATTCTCCCCAGAGCTTTAGCATTGGAAGGGGTGGTGCTGGAAACATTTTGTCACCTTCAAACAGCAAAAAGTCTAGAAATGGGAGCAAAGATCAAAAACGGGCCCAAAATAAGGGCTTTTGGCACAGCGTCAAAAGTTTCTTCAAATGAGTCAAGAAAAATCCAAATATTTCGCATCCCACTTGAACCGCGATTTCCTATCAGTTTCAATATAATGAATAGATGTTATCTTACAAGCAGTTGAGGTTCTCTCTTATTTTCGTCGAGCTCTGCTTTGATTATGTAATGGCTAACATGCTGGTATCTCCCAGCTCCTCTACTTCCTTCTTGCAATACAGTATTGAAATAATAATAGTCAATTAAATAAATACAATAAATATGAACACATTACAGAGTTACATCAACTCTTCGTGCGTCCTTCAAGCATCAACAGTGGATGCTAGTTCTTCCAAAAGTCTGTAATCACGCTTCACAATACCACCGTTGCCCGGTAGGTTCGTGGAACCCATCAAAAAGCTATCAACAGAAGTAGCACACTTTCTACCTTCTTGAATGGCCCACACGATCAAGGACTGGCCACGTCTGCAATCACCAGCAGTGAAAATTTTACCACCATCGACTGAGTACGACGCGTCGTTCAGAGTACCAATTGTTCCTCTCTTGGTCTTCACAATATCTGGATCCTCAAATAGTTCTGGACCCATAAAACCCATGGACAACAGCACAATGTCAGCCTCGAATACTTCTTCGCTGCCTGGGACTTCAACCATTTGCCAAACTCCTGACTCTGACTTTTTCCACTCCACACGAACGGTTTTGATAGCCTTGACTTCGCCGTCTTCATTTCCAATAAATTCTTTCGAGAGAATGCAGTACTCGCGTGGGTCCCTCCCGTAATGCTCCTTCACCTCCGCGTGACCGTAGTCAACTCTCATGACTCGAGGCCATTGAGGCCAAGGATTATCCTTCGAGCGCTCATTAGGTGGCTGAGGCAGTAGCTCGAAATTCAACACGGAAGCGGCGCCGTGTCTTACTGAGGTACCCAAACAGTCGTTACCAGTATCACCACCGCCAATCACAATGACCTTTTTACCTGCAATTTGTTGGCGTATGATTTCCAAGTCCTTTTCTAGCAACGCCTTGGTATTGGCCGTGAGCAAAGACATAGCAAAATCGATATTCTTCAGGCTACGACCAGGTATTTTGAGATCCCTAGGGATGGTGGAACCGATGGCGTAAACCACTGCGTCATGTGCGCTCTTGAGGTCCTCGGTCGTAACATCTTTTCCTATCTCCACATTGTTGATGAAACTGACACCTTCGGCAGCCATTAAATCAATACGACGCTGGACAATCGATTTGTCCAGCTTCATGTTTGGAATACCATACATTAACAAACCACCACAGCGATCGGCTCTTTCAAAAACAGTGACAGAATGGCCTGCCCTGTTTAACTGATCAGCACATGCCAAACCCGCAGGACCAGAACCAATAACAGCTACATTGCGACCTGTCCTGAACTCTGGAATTTGGGGCGTAATCCACCCCTCCTTGAAACCATTATCGATAATCAAACGTTCGATAGACTTGATCCCAACAGGGTCATCAATGATGCCTAAAGTACAAGAGCCTTGACAAGGAGCCGGACAGACGCGACCTGTGAATTCAGGAAAGTTGTTGGTTTCCAGCAGTTTGTCCAAGGCCAGCTTCCATTGGTTTTTAAAAACCAGCTCGTTAAATTTGGGAATCACATTGGAGATTGGACAGCCAGTATCAGCAGTACAGAATGGGACACCACAGTCCATACACCTGGCAGTTTGATACTTGGCATCTTTTTTTGTTAGGCAACTAGACAGCTCTTTCCAGTCCTTCGTACGCGACTTGGTACCGCGATACTTCTCGTGACGAATCTTGTACAACATGAAGCCACGAGTTTTCTCGATTTTCTCCACGTTCTTCTCTAATTGATCCGCATTCTGGATGGCGTCTTCTAAGTCCTGTACCTTTGGTTCTGTCAGTGTAGCTTTGTGACTGACAGTAGCGGCTTTGATTCGGGAGTCTCTAATGCCGTCAACCTCGCCGTTAGTAGCGTCTGCTTTCAAGTCCGTGCCGGAATTGAATCTTTTTAAGAATTTCGCTGTATTCGCTTCCTTCTGTTTGACCTTCTCAGCCGCCGCCTTTTCTAGAACCTTTCTGTAATCTGTTGGTATGACTTTGACAAAATTCTTCAAGTAGTGATTGAAGTTGCCCAGAATTCTAGCAGCAAGTTCAGACTTCGTGTAATTGTAATGTTCTTGAATCAAATTCTTCACGAACGCAATCTCCACCGTATCAACTAAGCTTTGTAGCTCGATGGTTTCCATATTGATTTTTCCAGCAAAATCGTCGTAGTCTGAGGTCAAACAGTATGCAATACCACCGGTGGCACCAGAGAAAGCATTCAAAGATTCCATCTGGGACAGAACAACGGCACGTCCACCTGTCATGTACTCAAATGCGTTATTACCCTTTATTCTCTCAACAACAATAGTGGCTCCTGAGTTACGCACGCAAAAACGTTCCCCAGCAACACCAGAGATGAACGCAGTACCAGAGGTGGCACCATAGAAACACGTATTACCAACAATCACGTTTTCGTCGCTCTTGAAGCTGGAGCCTGATGGTGGTCTAATAACTAAGCGTCCACCCGAAAGTCCTTTACCAACATAATCATTGGCATCACCATCCAAGATGAATGTCACACCTGAGGCCAAGAATGCACCGAAAGACTGACCGGCAGAACCCTCGATATTAACGACAACTGTATCCTGAGGAAGGCCCTCTTCACCGAACTTCTTGGATATTCTGTAAGACAGAGTAGCACCCAAAGCACGATCGGTGTTGATAATTGAAGCATCGATGTTGATAGGGAGACCGCGATCGAGTGTTACTTCAGCTTCATCGATTAGTTTGTTGTCCAAACGCGTATGCAGCTTATGATCCTGCTTTTTCGTGAACTTTGTTGCGACACCTGGTCGGATGACGTGAGCGGGCGTAAGGATTGGGGAAAGGTCAATGTTTATCGCTTTAGTGTTGACATTGTCCCGCTTCTTTAATTTCTCTGAATGACCCACCATTTCATCAATAGTGCGGAATCCTAATTTTGCCATTATTTTACGCAAGTCCTGGATCAAGTAGTAAAAGAAATTGATGACGTGCTCAGGTTGACCCTTAAATTTTTCTCTCAGTAGTGGATCTTGTGTAGCGATGCCGACGGCGCATGCATTTAGGTGACATTTTCTCAACATAATACAACCCATAGCAATCAGAGGCACGGTAGCCAAAGTGAAAGATTCAGCACCCAACAATACTGCAACTGCAATATCAAAGCCAGTTCTCAGTTGACCATCTGTCTGGACAACAACATTGCGTCTCAAGTCATTCAGAACCAAGGTTTGGTGCGTTTCGGCAAGACCCAACTCCCAAGGCAAACCGGCATATTTGATACCTGTCCATCTCGATGCACCAGTGCCACCATCGTGGCCAGATACGAGGATATGGTCGGCTTTGGCTTTCGCCACACCAGAAGCAACAATTCCAACACCGACTTCGGACACCAACTTGACAGAAATTCCCGCTCTTGGGTTCGAACACTTAAGATCGTATATCAACTGTTTCAAATCCTCGATAGAGTATATGTCATGATGTGGGGGAGGAGATATCAAACCGACATATGGCGTCGAATGTCTGGTCTTGGCGATATCAGCGGAGACTTTATGAGCTGGTAGTTCACCACCTTCGCCTGGTTTGGCTCCTTGAGCTATTTTAATTTGAATCTCATCTGCGTCAGACAAGTAGTGCGAAGTGACACCAAAACGGGCTGAAGCAACTTGCTTGATTGCCGACCTCATCGTGTCGCCGTTGGCGTGTACAATACTACGCTCAGAATCTTCACCACCTTCACCGCAATTGGATTTGGCACCCAGTCTATTCATTGCAACCGCCAAAGTGGAGTGGGCCTCCATGGAGATCGAACCATAAGACATAGCACCCGTAGCAAATCTTCTCGCTATCTCAGTCCATGGCTCTACTTGCTCGAGCGGAATTGGGGTAGCATCTTCGAAGTTCAACTCTAAGAGACCTCTCAAAGTGCAGTCTCTAATGGATTCCATTTCTTTCTTGACGTACATTTCCCAGGCATCCTCATTTTTATTGCGCACCGAATCTTGAAGAGACGCAATGGCTGTTGGGTCATTGATATGCTTTGCTCCACCATCTCTCCAGTGATACTCACCACTCTCTGGTAGGTTGACCGACTTGGAGATTGTTTTCCTACTTGGAAATCCACGCTCGTGCATCGAAAAAGCATCCTGTGCAATGTACTCAAAGGTTACACCTTGAATTCTAGATGCAGTTCCGGCGAAACAGAGATCGACGACAGTGTTGTCTATACCCAAAGACTCAAAAATTTGAGCGCCCTTGTAGGAGGCCAGTGTGGAAATACCCATCTTTGACATGACCTTCAAGATGCCGCCGTCGACAGCATGCTTGTAGTTTTCCAACAATGTGGAATCATCGATAACAAGGTCTTCATTATCAACATTCCGCACCAGACCCTCCTGGTTCATTCTCACCAAAGTCTCCATTGCCAAGTAAGGGAAGATTGCGTCGCAACCATAACCTAAAAGAACACAGAAATGATGAACTTCCCTAGCTTCACCCGTCTCTAAAATTAATGCGACCTGTGAACGTTGTTTGTTCCTAATCAAATGATGATGGATTGCACCAACAGCGATCAAGGAAGACAATGGAACGCGGTGGGCACCCAATTTTCTATCGGAAAGCATCAGGATGCGCTTACCTTGATCAATGGCATCTGAGGCATCTTGGGTTATACGGTCTAGTGCAGCGGTGTAACCAAGTAGACCTTGTGATTTCTCAAATGTGATGTCGATGTTGGCCGTGGACCAAGCTGGATGAGCTTTCTCAATGTTTTTGATAGCTTCATATTCTTTCCAATGCAGAATTGGAGATTTCAAAAGCAGACGGTCACATTGAGATGGATGGACTTCTAGCAGGTTACCTTGAGGTCCCACGTAACATTCCAACGACATAACGTTAGCCTCACGAATGGGGTCAATAGGAGGATTAGTGACTTGAGCAAAAAGTTGCCTAAAATAATCATAAAGCAAGACTGGATCTTCATTCAGACACGCCAAAGGCGCGTCGTTTCCCATAGATCCCAGTGCTTCCTTGCTCCCGAGAGCCATTGGTACAAGGACCATGGAAACCTGTTCAAAAGTGTAACCTAGTGCTAAAAGTCTGGGATCTTGTTGAGCTTTCAAAGACGCATGTTCTTCGCTCAAAAACGTTTTAGGCGTAAATTTTTCGGTTTTCACCAGTAGGTCCTCTACTTTGATTAACTTAGAAAGCCATGACTTGAAGTCTTGCTTTTTGGCGAACTGAGACTTCATCTTCTTAGTGTCTACCATTTGCCCAAGCTCAGTGTCAACTAAAAGCATGTCGCCTGGCTTCAACTTTCCTTTTTGAACGATCAACGAATTATCGACTTGAATTACACCAACCTCGGAAGCGCAGATAACACGGTCATCAGAGGTGATGTAGTAACGACAAGGCCGTAGACCGTTTCTGTCAAGCATCGCACCACAGTAACGCCCATCTGTAAAGTTGAGAAGGGCTGGACCATCCCAAGGCTCCATCAAGCAAGCGGCCCAGTCAAACCAAGCCTTCAAATTGGAATCCATGTCTTTATGGTACGCCTCTGGAACCATCATCATGATTGCTTCTGGCAGCGATAGCGCACCATTGATCACCAGTAGTTCCAACACGTTATCAAGGGCAGCGGAGTCGGAGCCCCCCTCCTCGATAATGGGGTAAAGCTGTTCGAGATTTTCTTTAAAAGTGTCCGAAGACATAACACCTTCACGAGACCGCATCGAATTTTTATTACCACGGAGCGTGTTGATTTCACCATTGTGTGCAATCCAACGCAACGGTTGGGCTCTGTCCCAGGATGGGAAGGTGTTCGTGGAAAAACGAGAGTGTACTAGAGCCATGTGGGACTCGAAATGGGCATTGGTCAAATCGTGATAGTACTGATAGACCTGAGTTGGAGTCAGCTGGCCTTTATAAACAATGGTTTTGGTATTCAAAGAACAGGCGTAAAACCAGTTTTGTATGCCGATCGCGGATGTTGATTTTTTCCGTAGACCATAGAGGAGAGTCTGAAACTCGACGTCGTACTTTGATTTGAATTCTTCGTCAGAAATCTGACCCTGTTCTTGATAAGCGGCTGTGAGGACTACCAATGGCTGTAGAATAGCAGGTTCGCGCGAAAGAGCAACTGCGCCTAATAGAGAAGAATCGCGGGGGACCGAACGCCAGCCCAAGACCGTTAGTCCCAGTGACGTTGCAATTTCTTCGAAAACACGTTTACCAACTTCTAAAGAGTCACTGGAGTCTTTTTTGAAGAAAAAATTGCCCACGGCGTACTGGTGTCTGGCTGGAACGTCGATGTCAAGCTCGAGCTTGAACTCGCGTCTCATGAATTCGTGGGGGATACCAACCAAAATACCAGCACCGTCACCGTTTCCACCTGACGACACAGCACCTCTGTGCGTCATGTTGCACAGTAGATAACGGGCATCAGAGACAATTTTATGTGAAGGTGTTCCCTTGATGTTGGCCACGAAACCTACACCGCACGCATCGCGTTCATATTCTGGATCGTACAGACCCTGTTTTTGCGGTATAGAATCTGCCCAAAACTGTGTTTTCGTGGACGACGAACCAAATCCAGATAAGTCGTCGCTCAAGGGGAGGCCGCCATCGTATGCTTCCTCCAGAACGTCGAATTTGTCGGATTGCAGCATGTGTTTAGTCGCTCTCTTCTTTCAAGTAGAAAATAAAACTCAAATGAAAGGTGTATCCGCGCCCGGCAGATGCTTTTCGGTTCCAATGGACGTTTATTGAAGTCCTGGAAGAAATCGAAAATATAAATAATGCACTGTTTTAATGCAAATTCGCTTAACAGAGCAGAGTGGCCAACTTATAGATCAAAACAACCTTGTAAGGAAAAGAGTGCCAACAGTGTTTTTTTTTTTCTATGGCTTTTCTTACAGAGAAAAATCTGCCCTTCTCGATCTCTCAACCCGTTCTATTCCCTGGTCAGTTTTCATTATTATTGAGCTTCGTGGACTCATTTCGTTCTGCTTCATATACGATGGGTCCGTAACCTGACTGGCGAACACCAAAGAGGGGACAATCACCCTGCCTTCTTGATAGCTATCCATGTCAAGAAAAATGCACCAATCAGAGGTCCGGCCCTCTTAAAACGTCGCAGGGACTTATTTTTTTTCTCGTCGGTGTCGCCGGGTGGGCTACCTGATCACCTGTTTCCGTCTCTGTTCTCTATGGCGACACGCTAATTCAGCAGCATCCGATGCTGCTGTGGTGACCTAGAAATTCAAGATATGCGTTGCACACGGTGGCAAGCATTGATAACGAAACTCAGACAGAGTTGAAATATGCGTTGGGGAACAGCGGTGTGCATAAAAATCGGGAACTGCTTCTGTTCGGTCCCAACTGCTGTGCCATAGGAAACCACATAGACCGTAGGTTGACCGGTAGGATTGCCAAGAACGGAATCATGGTGCGAAAAGTGCAAGAACCGGCAAGAACCGGTTTTTTTGGGAGTTCCTGAAGGAAGCGATTTACTTCTGAAAGCCTTCTTGAGAAACATGAACGTCACGAACTTGCGAAATCGCAGCATTCTGATGTCAGAAAGCTAGGCATTTGTGTAGAAGAATAGTTCGAAGGTAGAATCAGGGGAAAAAACAATTTCTGCCACTTGAAAGGCTTGTTTCCATCCGTTTTTGATCGTTGCTGTTGGAAATTTGAGAGCCAAATCCTCGTAGTTATTATCCATTGACTCTCTGGAGATTTTCCTGTCTTTCTCATCAAGTTTCCATGCGTAAAACGGATGTTGACGAACCAAAAAGTGGTGTTTAGGATGGTTGGTTTTTGCCGCTCAAGATTCCCTTAGGTGAGATTCGCAGATTCGTGCGAAGTTGTCGGAACTCGTGTTGTACGAATGAACTTTTGAAATATCTTGAATGTCCATTTCCAGTGAGATTTGAGAGCCTGTTAAGCTTGAAGTTATGGTTTAGGGCTGGAAGAGCGAACTCGGGTTCATGAGATTTGTCTACATTGCTGTTGAGTAGGTTTGATCATAGTTGGAAAGATGAGAGCACCAGCGCTCAATTTTGAGTAGTAGACATCTGTAAACAATTCTTGAAAACTGATGCTCTCCGATCTGTTGTAAATACACCGTATGTCATTTCTCTGATGAATATTCTTATGGATGGTAGTTTATCAGGCAATATGGTTTCGATTAAGCAGCCGAAATGTCATGGAAATCCTGCGAATCGTCTTATTCATTGGTAAACTAGACCCGTTAGTTTATAACGTGTGTTACGTAATCGATGACAGCGACGCTAAAAACAATCGAGTGAGTTGATAAACGTCACGGAGAAGCCTCAACGAACAGGTTTCAAAATCTTCTTTCTACACAGTTCTTTTTTGAATTCGTAGTTTGGCCCCTCATGGCACGTTCTCGTCGAAGGAATCTGAAAGCCTACACTTTTTTTTGCATCATGACAAACCGGTGCGCTGCCATGAAACTACTCTTAATGCTTAAAATCATCACAGCTCCCCTATCTACGAAGGTCTTATGTTTGGAATCCGCCTTCATTGGCCACTTTAAGTTTTTGGCTTGATTCAATGTTTTTTACATTGAGTACACCAGACATAACATTAACATTGCAATCAAACGTCCTCTTCAAAATCTGGACAAACCGCCCCAAACAATCAAATACACGCACACCGTAATGCTTTTGATTTGTAAATGACTCTATTGGCATTACTACACTCAATATCTACAGACTGTTTCTCAGGACTCGAAAAAAGTTCTTAAAAGGCGCTCACGATGATAGCCCCAAACAGCTTTTGTCAGTAGATCCGCAAAGTTGTCCTTAGAATGAATGAAAGTGAATTTTAGATCCCCCTCTAAATATTCGTCTCTCAGTTCTCTAGCTTGCTGCGGTATTTTGAAGCGTGACTCTAGAAGTTGAATTGTCCTCAAGCTATCTGTTGTTACCTCTTTGCACGAACGGATATCGAGGTCGTCTAAAATACATTGAATAACGCGTAATCCATGGATTGATTGTGTCATGGCGATAAGCTCTGCGCGATTACAATTGTTACATTGCTTATAATCTTCTTCAGAGCGTGCTGATACCGCATTATCATTAAGAGTGAAAACCTGGCCCGTGTGAATAGTATCTAGCTCAAATGGCATGTAGGATGCATCCGTCATCGCTCCTATCTTATAGACTTTCCTGGTTGCATGGCGCTTCCACTTGAGACCTAAATTCCGCGTCTCATTAAGGTATGTTAAGAGCAATGGCAGGTGGCCAAGGCCATATTTCGATGCACTGACATCAAATGCAATGTCAAATCTACATTTTTTGCTCGTCTCATCAAGAAGCCTTTTCGCCTCATGAAAAAAATGATTGAGACAGATTAAGCTTGTATCTCTTGCAGATTTATACAGGTCCACCAAAAACGACAGCTCGTGTATCACACTTTTCATACTCAACTTCATGGACCAAAATCGTTGGTATACAATATCGATGTCAGAAATATAAAACTCCTGCACATTAGAGTTTGAAATAACTGGCTTTTCATAAGCCTCTAAAGGGTCAAGTAACCTGGACAATGTATCTATAATATCTGATGAAAGTGCTGGAGTGCTGGCGATGACAACAATTTCGTGAGGAGGTAAACAAACAATGCCTTTGGGACCAAAATCTCCCTTGACAAATAGACCGGTTTGAGTCTCTCTCATTTGAAAGAGGTTGATCAGAGTTTTTTTAATCTCCTTGTATAGGCTTTGACCGAGCCCACAATACTCCCTGTAAGAGCCCCAGAGATGCAATTCGAATCCCATGTGTGGCAAATCGCAGTGCGGAGGCGCTGTGAGGTAGGTGCGTCTGACAGACGACTTTGGACGAGCCGCTGGTATGCATTCTATATGCCAACCTCTATCGAAAGCAACTGCCAAACTTGTCAAAAGCGAGATGTCTTCCAACATGCAAATTTTGGGCCCTTCAAAAATGAGGTCCTCGTTATCCCCCGAGATCAAGCAGGTATATAACCCCTTGTAGGCCACGAAAATCCATTTCGAACTAACAATCCTGTTTTCCGGAACGCCGAAAAGATTGAAAGGTCGATTCTCATTCCATGTTCCCCACTTGCGTTGGAGCTCTTTTAAACAAAAATCATAGCTCGACCGGAATAAAGCCCTCGAATGTTGGTTCTTGTTCAGTACAATGGCTTCTTCAAACGATAAATAAATCGCTTGTTCTTCAGATTCGTGAGTAATTCTATCATTTAGGTGAAGGTTCTCAATATCTTCAATAACTTGTTCAAGAACGGGCTCATCAATGGGAGAGCTTCCAGTCTCACCAAAGCTCTGAGCAGCACATTTTGGTATCATAGATGACATCACAAACTTCACCTTACCGAAATCAAATCAGTGACAAATCCAATTCACACCCTTGCCGCTGTTGAGTTTATCGTCTGCTCACAGGGCTTTATGAAGAAAGGCCTCTTAAAGCGTCGACTACATATATCAATGAAGCACAGAAACCCTGCATATTCGTATCACCGTAAAGAAACACGTCCAGGTTGCAAATCCAACATAATTGCTCTCAGCAAGTAAAGCCATTCATTTGCAAGGGATCATACCTGATCCTAAACATTTAACTTCGCTGAATTGTGCCAAATCGGAGAGACTGCTAAAAGACTACCATCCCTTTTTTTTCAGAGATGAGCTTGCCCTTTTGTTCAGCTCAAAAGCCGTTCAGACTTATCATCTACAGCGCTCAATGAATGAACTTACGGTATGAGTTCATTTCAAGAAAATAATGAGGTGGTGGAATTTGTTGTCTTTCAATTTCCCATGGCCCAAGCACTGTACTTCCGTAAAACTTAACCCGACGTTCAAAACGGCACATGACAGTTAAGTTGCAGTTGTGCATCAATTATACTATTTGGCGCTAATCTTCATACCCGACATGCCTACCACCTCCTGCAGCCAGGACAGCTCTAACCGACTGACATTCCTTGCGTACCCTTTTGTGGTGAAAATGTACTCAGTGTATAGAATTGCGGGGCACGTCCTATCCATGAACAACATCGATGAAGGGTGTACGGAGATGGTCTCTCCTGTAGTGCTTGTTCTGAAAGATCTATCTGGCATTCCTATCGCTGTATTTTTTGCAAATCCGGCTAAGAAACATTGTGTAACCAACTTAATGTCAAAGTTATCGGTCTCCTCTGCATCGTGTAGGTCCCCCACTCTCATCTTCAAAAGTTTATCCATGTAGGAAATAAGCTGAGCACGAACCTTAATAACATTCTTGAATCCTCTCTTAGAGATGCACAAATCTTGACACCAGGCGTCCCGCTCATCGGCGTCTCTTAACGAAACATAGGCGTTGTACAACTCTTTCATCATTACCAAATCTCCAAATTTGGAACCCTGGTTGGCAACGGCGAAACGCTTTTCATTAACTTCATCCCTTTGCTCTGGCAGTGGGTTCATCAAAAGGTTTTCGACGCTCAGGCACGAAACGATGTCGACAACAGGAAGTAGACAATTCAGATCATGAGCTTGTAGAAGCACGCAACTAAGGTGCGGGGCCAACGGCAGCAAAGCCATTTGTTGTCCCTTACTAGTTATTTTACCTGCATCGTCCAATGCTCTCAGTTGGTAAAGTTCCTGCAAACCCAGCACAATGGCTTCCCTACCAGGGTTTTCCAGCCACGACCAGTTCACAATATCGTCAACGCCAATTTTTTTAAGCATTAGCAGCGGCGACGTGACTTCACTACGCGCGATTTCAGGCTCCGTTTGTTTGGGTAACTTTTGGTAGTCTTCTTCTCTGTAAAGTCTGTAACATTTACCAGCGCTTTCTCTACCGGCACGACCTGTTCGCTGTGACGCACTTGCTTTGGAAATTGGAACTGTGAGTAGCGTTGCCAGTCCCAGTTGGTGCCTCCAGACTTTCACTTTACGCAAGCCTGAGTCCACCACGAACTTGACGCCGGAGATCGTAACAGATGTTTCAGCCAAATTGGTGGAGAATACCACCTTTCTTTTGAATCCTTTTAAAGGAACAAATACTTTAGCTTGATCGGCAGGTGGTAGTGCAGCATAAAGTGGGTAGCCCACCAGTCGCGGCACAGATGACCCAAGGAGCTCGCTGATTTTATTAAGAACGGCGACAGCTTTGTCAATTTCTTCTTGACCTGGCATGAAGCACAGAATATCACCTAGCTGTTCTCCGTTATTGATCTGGACACAACAACAAATGATAGCATCGACAATATCATCGCAGGGTGCTTTCAAATACTGTCGCTGTACTGGAAACTTACGCCCTTCCACGAAAAGAATGGGAGCACCATTGAAAAACTCGCTGAATTTTTCGGCTTGTAAGGTTGCAGACATAACAACCACTTTCAGATCGGGTCTTGGCCCACTGACCAGCTCTTTCAAAAATCCCAAGATCAAATCTGTCAGAATTGTCCTTTCGTGTGCCTCATCGATGATCACGTACGAGTATTCGGAGAGATGTCTGTCCAGCATTATTTCACGCAGTAGCATACCATCAGTGAGATATTTTAGTTTGGTCTTGTTGCTGCTCTTATTATCAAAACGTACCGAATATCCAACACGATCACCTAGCCGACAACCATATTCTTGGGCAACACGCGTAGCTAAATTGATGGCCGCTACTCTCCGCGGTTGAGTCACGGCTATACGTTTCGAGCCCTGTTTACTGTTGGACAGCTTGTCAAGCAAAAATTGTGGTATTTGGGTTGACTTACCTGAACCGGTCTCTCCGATCAAGATCACTATCGGGTTCGCCTCCAGATGCTTCATGATATCATTTTTGTACTTAAAAACTGGCAAGGTTGACCGAACCTTCAAGAGACTAGTAGCAGTGCGTTTCAGATCGAACTTTGACGAGAAAACCTTATCGAAAGTCGCATCTTTGTTGTCCTCATCCACTTTTCTGCTTTTTGCGCCTAATTGAACCGTTTTGGAGGCTTGAAAAGGTGTTCTTTCGCGCACAGCGCTTTTTTTGCCCTTTGCCATCATGAACCGATCCTAAAGTCACTGTTTGAAGCTACTCTCAGATGGCCCTTGCTACTGTTCTACTTTCATCTCATCGAGCTCATCGAGCTCATCGAGCAGAGTTGGTGAATTTTCAGTGATCACACTATGTACGAAAGAGTTAATACCATCGTTAAATTAAAATATTGAAATAGCTACCACGGATACCTTTCCTTGTCATTCTTATGAATGTTCAAGCACAGGTAGTGCTCTTATCTCTGTCGGTCAGTTCTTATACATTTTGAGAGCTGAGTCTTTGTACTCAGCCGATGTATTCCCATAAAGCTAGCTTTCCAGAGCTCTGAAAAATGCCATCAAAATTACTGTTGTTAACCTGCGCTCTGACGACGGTTGCAATGGTATTCCAGATACTCCCAGTGATCTCCATGCCTCTAGTTAACAGCATATATCTTTCACGTTATAACGGCAGACTGTTTGGTGTTTTTGGCTGGTGTGTTGTGTCCACAGGTGTATGCACACCAGCGCGGATCGGGTACGCGATGCAATGTGCGGTGCAAGACACAGATGGGATCGACACCGCCACAATTTGCGATCTGGAAGAGTTCACCAGCAATTTTCTACCTTCACGCGCAAAACGGGCCATTTCCAAGCTGTTAGTCGTTCACCCAATGTCCCTGTTTTTCACCACAATTCTGTGGATTGCTACCATAGCACTCAACACCCGGGTATTTGCACGGTCTCGTCGAGCTCTTGCGTGTGCTGTGCTGTGGTCTCTTCCCGCCGTCTTCCTGTCACTCTTGAGCTTTTTGGTCGATGTGCTATTATTCGTCCCGTACCTAGCCTGGCCAGGTTGGCTCATTCTTGTAAGCACCGTGTTTATATCCACTGCATCCTGTATCATGTGCGGCGTGCGGAGGTCGGTTTCGTTACAGAAATACGAAAAGCTTCGAGGAAAAGAAGTCATAGAGCTGGTACCAATGCAATCCGACAAAATACAGTCCGAGACTCTGAATTTATCGCCTGGAGACTCTCAATCACAACGCGCTGCGTCGCTTGCAAGCCCATACCTGGTTAATAAACCGTATTATCCATCAAGTTGACAACGCTGATGCTGTCGTTAACTATGTGTCACGTGAGTATCAAGTTCTTAGTATTAAAATTTTCGAGATCTACAATGCCCGTGGAATCAAGTCGATGATGAGCAACCGTTGTGAACTGGACAACCCAGACGAGTGAGCCTGTTGGATATTGGAATCCCAACATCTGAAGAATGAGCAGGAGACATGTTATGGCTCCTAGGTTGTATTCGACTGTAACAGACACAATAGCAGCGAAAAGTACCCAAAAAACATTAAATGAGGGATTCAGGAAGGAACTACAAAGAGTAGTTCCAGGATACCACGACAGTATACACCCATTTTACCGCCCCAATGTGGCAGAAAGAGCGATTTTGTGTGCCACAGAAAGCTGTCCACATCTATTAGACGGTCATAAGATTGTTCCAGCAGTCATCAAGCGTCCGCGTGATAGCACCACGACGCTGGTAAATGCAAGGTGGATATTCAAATCTTCGCATGCTGTCCAGAACTGGCTCAAAGAATTTAATGAATTTGAAGTGACGAGGCAAGCTGAAAGTTTCGTTCTCATACAGGAACGTGATATCGAACAAATCATAAGGCCCAGCCGCTTGAACCCATCACAGTTTTCGGAACTTCAAAAGTTTGCTGAACTTTACAAAACACAGGATACCTCAACTCTAGATACAGTTCTTGTTTCCGGGCTGATAGAATCGCTAACATCGCTGCCGGTGATCAAGGTCTTTAGCGAAGAGGTCTTCTTGTACATATTACAGCACTACTGCAGCTCTAAACATGGTGTAATCGGCTTGACTCATTCAATGATTGAGTTTTTGCACAAAGACATTGATGATATCAAGGTAGCGGAGCTACTAGTGTTGCAATTGCTAATTACACTGAAGAAGAAGCAGGTGCCTGTGGATTCTGACGTAATGTCAGCGGTCACCGATCTGGTCAATGCGATTTCTGAAAGGTTTCACAAGGACAATTGCGTGCTGAGTTTCTCGCCAGTAACTGTTCAAGCGGTTTTAGATTTGCATCTCCAATTTGGCGACTTGAATGGGGCCAAAATGTTGCTTGCCCATTTGGTCAATCAGCGCATATGTCCGCAGTGTGTAGTACTAGAGAAGTACTTACTGCTTGTGGATGAGAAAATAGGCCCCGTGGACTCACCTGAGGCCTTTTTGAAGAAATTTGCATATATCTCAGACTTCAAAGCGATATTGGAAACTGCTATCACCCCGACATCGGCATCCCTGTTAATTCCTTACTGCCGCCATTTTGATGAAATGGTCTCACTCTTGGATATTATGGACCGCTCGAGGCTGAAGAAGCAAATCTGGGATCAAACGTTACCTCAGATGGTACGAAGGGTGTCTCTTTTCGAAAGCGATGCCGTTATGAACTCTTGCAATTTGACAGTACTGTTGCAGAGGGCCCAACGAGTTTACGGTTCGTCACTCTCAAACAAAGTTTTACAAGCTTTTATCGTTCAGTATGCGACCAATGGAAATTTCGCAATGGTTGCAAATTTAACTAATCGGCTTGACGGACAAGTGAGCGCTAACTTCAGTGCTGGAATTTTGGACGCCTCTGACTCAAAACAGACGTCAAGTTTGTTACCTGGCTTTCGTCCCGACGACAAACGTGCATTTATCAAATCCTTCGTTCTGCCTCGATACAGTTCACTTTCTGTTGCTGGAAGGCTTTGTGTTGTGGGAAATGCAGAAACGGAGGATATTCTCGAGCAGCTGTTGCGAATGGAGTCTAATCTTAACGGGAACGAGAAAAAACTACTGCTACAAGATGTTATCACTAAGGCCAGATCTTTGGGTCTAGAGGCTCTGACTTTAAAATATTCAAGCTAGGTCGACACCACCTTTGGGCAGGCTGGCTTTAAGCTCTGCAACTGTAACGAGAATCTCAGTTTGCGACCACAAGATCAACATTGTGCAAATAAAAAGTGAATCCTTGCGGAGACGAGTATGTTTGTTAACTGGTCCACTTTAAAGACAGTTGACGATAACCCATTGGGAGCATCATTTGATTGTTGATTATGCAAAGGGCTAGAATCCAACAGCGCCCGTTTTTCAAATACGCACTTTCTGGACAAGTTGACGAAAAGCCGTCAACTTTGACTTCAAACGATATTCATCTCAGCAGGGACAAGACATAGTTTCACCAAAAGCTCCGCTCATTCTCAAAACTAGCTTGAGGTTACTTGAACTCATGAGAGTTGCTAGTGCTGAAGTTAGGGGCTAATAGGAAGCAGACAAGTCGGCCCGCTAAACAAGATTATTGTCCAAGGGCTATAAACGTTAAGCAACAAAATCGTATGCAGTAGGCTGCATGTTTGAACCCTTATAACAGCCGTGTACAGGTTTGCAGCGACTGTTCTTCAGGATTAATCGGTACATGTTTCATCTTGGTTTCATGTTTAGTTTCGTCTACAAGAAGTCAACATGACAGCGGTATCATCAAGCTAATGGCTCATAGCATTCAGGCTGAGAAAGTGACTACGATGAGAACCAACGTGTGTTTGCAATTACTGCCTATCGTTGTTCATGGACAGCAGTACCAGAGACTTGACCACATCAGTCGATCACTTCAAGAATCGGAATACACCAGTAATGATTTAGACCGTATTGTCAAGACGAACTTTCCCTTTCACAAAACGTTTTGTGCTGGAGAAGCTCTCAAAGATTTTTTACCGGCTTGCCTCGAAAATGGTATCGAAACTGTTGATTCTAAGTTGAAGGTTCGAGCGGCAGTGAGCCTGTCATTTTGTGAATTCGAAGAATCCGGACTTGATGTAAGGCCTCAACTCTGTTTCGACCTCAATCATGCCGACATTAACAAATGTGTGGAGGAGTTGCGAAGCTCACCACAGTGGTGGACGACCTACAGTGGATATTATCAACGATTACCAAGTCTATGCTACGAACAGTCCTTACCCTACGAAAAGGATCAACTGCTTGCTCTTTTCCTCAACATTACTAAAGTCTACTCGAGCTTTAGCGAGTCTGTGGATCTTGAGCTGACTAAAAAGTTTGCAGATCTAGAGGAAAGAAGTGCCGAAATGATGAACTCTTTTCAAGAAACTCTACAAAATCAAATTCATGATATGAACGAGTTGAACGCGGACAAGCTTAGGTCCTTCACAGATGTATTTGATCAGGTTAGGGAGAAAGCCTTTGGCGATTTTACAGACGGTTTAGTGACTGTGCGCAACGAGCTTGTCGGAGCGGACACCGACTTATGGCTTGAGCTTAAAACCCTAAGAAAGCATTTGGAGGACGTAAACCTCGAATTAGAAGATCGTGATTACGTCCAACAAATCAGGACTCTCAAAAATGAAGGCGTTGAACTCTCTAAAGAAGCCAATGAGCACGGTCTTTCGCATCTGAACACGATGAACGAGGCGCTCGAGAAATTAAACCTCAAGTCGACACAGCAGATTACCGAACTGAATTCAAACATCGCAGATTCTTACCTAGATGTTTTCGTGGCTTTTCAGGATTTTAGAGACGTGATCCGAAACTCCATGATCCCTATCATTCAAGATGAAATGAACCCTCATCTTGATGACTTCAACCAAAAACTTTTGAGCAACCTGCAAGATATTGATGCTGCTATGGAGAGCCATACAGAAGCCTGGAGTGATAATCTGCATGATACTTTCGAGAAAGTGAGTACTGAACTTAATCACACCGCAGCAACTGTCCAGCAATTGGAGAGTGATATCAAGGCAGCCAAGCTACAACTCGGATTTTTTATCAATACCCTTCAGGCGCTCCAAAATATTTTACTTGCAAGTATTCGTCGTGCCTACTACTTCGTAAGTCTCATTCCAGTCGCGGCTCGTCCCCTTATCGCCATTCTCTTTATGAAGGTATTTTCAATTATCGTCAATGCCAGCCCGAATATGTACACTGCAGTTGCATATCTGCCTCCCTTCGTGGGGGAATTCATTGTACTTATGGGCGCACTGGTGGGTGGTTTGTTGCTGGGATTCTATACTATGATATAACATACGTAACCCAATTTGAAATTGAAAATAGCCATAAAGCCTGTCGTTCTTAACATGTCGTTCAAATTCATCATACTCTATATCGTACATCAGATGCTAATACATAACAAGTAGGTAACTTTCAGCTTAGATACTCTCATCAGCACATACTTCTTTTCTTAGGTTTAGTCTTCCGGAAAGTATATCTCCGATTTTATTGAATTCTTCCCAATGGATCTCTTGACCCTTTCTCAATTCAACGTTAGTCTCTTCCTCCCACAAGTGGGCGATTGGCTTGAAAGAAATATGGGATCCGTTCACGGCAATAATGGCAGCCGAAGCATCCTCGTCATGAAGAGTGTATTCCTTGACGCCGTTGACATACTTGAATCTCAAAATCTTGAAATCCTCGTTCTGCTCATCGGAGTTCTTTTTATTCCATGCTTCAATGAACTTTACGCACTTGACGGCATATCTGGAACCTGTAACACGGTCTCTGGACGAGGGAACACCACCTTGCTGTACATGTCCAGGGATTGCGGTTCTTGATCCGAACTTGTTGTCCGAAGCTTCTGCGATGATATCAGATAGGAGCTGAGTGGTGTAGATGCTAGAGGCTTGCTCATTTCTAATTAGAAGCTTACCGTTACGAGTTTCTCCCTGGTCATGACGGAAGTTTTCTTTTAGTAGCGCCAAATCTTCTCTGATGCTCTTCAGATCGATCTCGTCTTCTGGTGTGTACACGGACACGGCACCGGTAACCAACCCTGTGAAAGAGGCAATGTAACCAGAGTGACCACCTTGCACTTCAACAACAAAAACTCTTCTTCTGGAAGCGGAAGCAGATTGCTTGATAGCATCAGTGTAATTGACTAGAGCATTCAGACAGGTATCAACACCTAGGGAGTATTCGGTACCCGGTACGTTGTTGGAGACAGTGGATGGAATCAACACCATAGGAATGTTGAAAATTGGGTACTGAGCGCGAGCGTCACGTAGTTCCTTCAAAGATTTGAAACCTTCAAAACCACCAAGGATGATTAGACCATCGAACTTATTCTTTTGGAAATGATAAGCGATAGAGCCCATGTCAGAACTAGCGACAGACCTGTTGGTTCCGATTTCGGATCCACCCAAATTGTGCCAGTTCTCCACATCGATCCATGACAATTCTTTAACTTCACCGGTTTGGATCAATCCACTGAAACCATTCAAAATGGCCGAAGGGGTATGACCACGCGACAAACAGTATAAAGTTGCCGCACGAGTAGCAGCATTCAACGCAGCAGATGGAGCTCCGACGTGAACGATGGCAACGTTCAATCTCTCATTCTCTGGTAGTCTTTCGGAGCCATCATCCTCGACAGTGGTGGAGAGGAAATTTTCGTACAGCTCAATAAACTCGGTGTCACGAAGAGAAATAGCTTTGTCGAAATCTTGGCTTTCGATAGCGGTGGCAACACTCTTGGTGAGCTTAACTGATTCCATCAATGGCACTCTAATAATCTTGTTCTCGAGAATACCAATCAAAGGCGAAGGTGTTTCTGGTGTCATTTCCAAAATAGCCTTAACAGCATCCACACCTTGCAAAGTTGCTAGCCATCTGTCGTGAGCCACAGCAGTTCCACCTCTCTGGACGTGGCCTAGGGTGGTGATTTTAGTATCCAAACCCAAGTCGACCAAGGCGTCCTTGACTTCTTCCGCGGTAATGGATTTCAAATTGTTGTCAAGAGCACCTTCAGCCACAATGACAGTATTGTTTCTGCGACCCTTGTCTCTGTGTGCTTGACAGACCTTCTTCAGTTCGGCTTGCCACTCACCAGCAGGGGCGGCTCTTTCAGGGATGAAAATGTAGTCGGCACCGGTAGCAATACCAGCCATCAAGGCCAACCAACCACAGTGTCTTCCCATGACTTCAACGACGAAAGCTCTAGAGTGGGATTTAGCAGTAGCATCAATGTAATCAACCATCTCACAAATTCTCTCAAGCGCGGAGTAAGCACCGATGGTGGAGTCGGTTCCGGACATATCGTTGTCAATGGAACCAACGAGACCAACAATCTTGAGGTTTCTGTAAGGCTCGACGCGTTCGGCAGTGAAAACACCATCGTTTACCAGTTCTTCGACCAAAGAAGGCCATTCAGATCTGAACAAATCAGCACCGGTCAAGGAACCATCACCACCACAAACGACCAGAGCGTCAATACCTTGTGTGATCAAGTTGGCAGCAGCCTGTTTACGACCCTTACGTTCTTTGAACCCCATACAACGAGCGGTTCCAATCAAGGTACCACCCTCACTGAGCCAGCCTCTAACGTCTTGCCATTCCATTTTGCGCAACAGATCTCCGCCCTGCAACAAACCTTCATAACCTTCGTAGACGGCGTAAACGTCGCAACCGTAGTAAATGCCGGCTCTAACCACCGCACGAACGGCAGAGTTCATACCTGGGGAGTCACCACCGGAGGTCATCACAGCGATTTTTCTCTTGATGCCGCCCTTGCCGTCAGAGAGTTCGGAGCCAGCAGAGGTCATAGAAGCATTGTGCTCTTGTGGCTTGAGATAGTCTGCAGGTGTTTTTTCTTCCTTCAAAAAGAAGTCCGAGCCCACAGGTTTGTCTTCACCGGCTTTCACGAAGGGTGAAAAGCGCAAGATGTTACCCAAGGGGTCCTTGGCCACATATTCGCCGTTGTCGAGGCTTTGGGCTTCTGGGAGCGCTTCCGAGATGTGTTGTGGCTGAGCGCTGTAGTAGGTGACGCTAGTGTCTGCAGTTTCGAGTGGTTCTGCGGTCACAAGCCTGATTTTCAACAAAGCACCGTCACTTTGGTTGTGGTTAGACGCTTCTTGTTGTGGGATACGGAACCCGTTACTGTCTACTTCAGACAGCTTGAAGCTTTCCAGCCAGGTCTCCTTGACAGATCCCTGCGCAGTTCCTGACGTTGGAGTGCTCTGTTTGTTGCCTCTGAACTTGTCGTAAGTCTTGACGGTCGAGAATCCAAGCTTGTGGTAGAACTTGATGGCTTGTCTGTAGGCGGTTTCGTCTGTCGTGGCGACAGATCTGAAAGCCACGCCGTATACGGCGTCCTGAGTCATTTTTATGGGGATAAAAGTGATTTTTACTCACAACTTATTTTTTCCTGATGGGAGTGGTATACAAACACTCGGAAAACACCGCAACACTGAGATTTTTGACGGAAAGTGTCCGAAATTGATTATTCTTGTTTGTTCAAGGATTTGAAGTTCCGTTGCAAAACAAAAGACAACAAAAAAACTAGGCCCAGTTCAAAAGATCCAAATATCAAAAATTCACGAAATGGCCTGAAGACTGACAAGATCGAAATGCCAAAGTCAGAAAATCCGTAAACTCAAAAACTCAAAAACTCAAAAACTCAAAAAACTCTTTATAAAATCCAATTGAGATCACTGAGGGGACGTCCCTTATTTGTACGGACCCAATGTATCGCGTGCGTGAGGAACTTCACAACGTCTCTCGACCTTTTATATCACCCGTACCTGAAATGATACCAGATATGGTTCGGTTTTGCTGCTGGTGGAGAGACCAGCTGAAAAAAAGTGGTGGATGGGGTGGTGGTGGTGGATTGATGGTTGTCATTGACGTCGATCGCAGTTACATCGTCATCTCGTGGTTTACTTCGTGATGTCTGAGAGAAGGTGAAAAAACCACCGACTTCCGGGTCAGGTGACCGAGGGAAGCTGACCACGATGCCAATGGAAGCCGACGGAAGCTGAAACAAAACACCCACACACCCAATCACGTGAAAAAGAGGTCTGGGTGGCGATCACGTGTTAACAAACATCCGTACACCATTGAGAGGAGGTCACGTGATAGCTTTTTTCCTTTCTTCTTTGGTTTCTTTTCTGCGCTTCGAGAAACTATATGTCGATGAGATTAGGACCCTCGCTACGGTAAGGTTGCTGTGGTTGGCCCGGGTACTGAAGCTGTTGGGACCCTTGCGGGCCGTACGATTGGCCGTAGACGTGCTGTTGTTGTTGTTGCTGCTGCTGCTGCTGGGTGGTGTGCGAAAACACAGGCACTGTAGGCAAGTTCTCGAGCCCGCCAAAAGTGTGCGGACGGTCCTGAAATTGTCCCTGCATTTGGCCCTGTCCAAAAGGATTGGTGTTGGCAGTTGCAGAGGCATGCGCGATGCCCGTTTGCTGGTTGGCTTGCGAGAACGGGTTGAACGTCTCACGCTCGTCGCGAGCACGAGCAACGTTATCCAGCGAAAATGGATTCTTGGAGCCTGTGGGCATCGCAACTTGTGTGTCAGCTACTGGCGGTTGCACTGGCCCACTGTAGCCCCCAAATCCAGCGCCCGTGTAGTTTGGCGTAATGTGGGCGTTGGTACTGTAAAACCCAGTTGGATTCGTCGGAGGCTGTTGGTGGGGCATCTGAGAAGTGTTCTGGGCTTGTAACGTAACCGGAGACTGTTGTGGAACCTGCGTGTGTTGGTACTGCAGCCCCTGCGCAGGAGACTGTTGTGGGAACTGAGTGTTTTGATACTGCAGTCCCTGTCCTGGAGACTGTTGTTGAAATTGCGTGTTTTGATATTGAAGTCCCTGTCCTGGAGACTGTTGTGGAAACTGAATGTTTTGATGTTGCAGACCTGCAGGAGACTGCTGTGGGAATTGCGTGTTTTGATACTGCAGACCCTGTCCCGGAGACTGTTGTGGAAACTGAGTGTTTTGTTGTTGTAGACCCGCAGGAGGTTGCTGTGGGAGTTGCGTATTTTGATATTGCAATCCCAAACCCTGGGTGCTGTGACGCTGCACCTCCTGTAATCCTGTTTGCTGCGCTACCTGTGGCGAAGCTCCTTGCGGTGGCGCTTGAGCCATGAACGGGTTACTGGTGTGCTGAACAATCACCGGAGTTTGTTCAAAAGTAAAACCGTTGGAAAACGGATTGTAACCAGTCTGTTGCTGTGGAATTGTAGGAGAGATGACCATCTGCTGTTGTGAACGCAGTTGTTGCTCCAACAACTTCTTCTGCTCTCGAATTTGTTCGAGTTCCCGTTGAGCGGGAGTTCTTTTGTCATCGGCCGAAAAGGTCTGTGCCTTGTTCACGTCGTCACGCAAGTGCTCTTCCAAAGATCGGATCAATTTGGTCGTGATGTGTTTAATAACAGGAATTTTCAAACCCACCGCTTTACCCGTTTTCAAATATTTCACCACAACATCTGTCAATTCCACAAATCGCTTGTATAGTTTCAGCGTACGTTCTGCGTTTTGGTGCGTCAATTCAAAAAAACTCTCGAGCAGCGTAATGATACCCTCGTTCAAAGCATTGTAGAGCACCAATAAATCTTGCACCAGAAGCCTAAACGCGGTCATCAAAAGGTCATTTCCCAAATCATATTGCGAATACCGATTTTTCACCAGCGCCGTAACTTGAAGTTCCAACGACTCTACGTGGTTCAGCGCTTTTTGAGGCTCCTCTGCTACGGGGGCCTTCAAGTTTGCGGACCCATCACGGACATAATCTTTGCCTATATTAGCGTACTGTTCGCTGCGGCACTGCAAATAGTCTCTATACCGTCTCAACGCTTGCAAATCGCCGGATGACAATTTTGAGTGGAACACATCTTTTAACTGGAAAAATTCTAGATGTTTGGACAGATACTTGATCGTCACATCTATCTCTCCTTCCCGTATCATAACATGTACCAAAATCAACGATTTGTAGACAATCGTCCACGCAGTGTCCAGAACACGGCCTTCCAACGCATGCATGATTTCCCGAAAGTTCTGAGGCTCGGAAGTACCCAACAAAATTGGGTCCACATATTTGGCCTTAGGAGGTGCCATCTTAATCTTAGTGGCACCTTTGACCAGCTTTTGGTATGTTGTCATCGCCGGTTTTTTCTCAGGATTTAGTTGAGGATACTGTCAATTGCGCCAAAAACTCGGCCACCACTCACAAAGGGCTTTAGGATGACTTTTCAGTTCAATTTAGCTGATGTTTCTGTGTGTTGATGAGTTGAAATGCTAGCATTTTTGAATAGTATTTGGTTATAGGGGCATCCCAAGCATTAAAGCTCACGTCGTGAAGTATGACACAGTCACGTGCTAGCGGTTCAAGTGACAATTTAAGCATGTTGTGGAGTTTCCAAGGCTGCAATTGGAGCATATAGTATGGTTACAGTGGCTGCAATTCGAATTGTGGTTTGCGGAATCACAATAGTAGCAATTGGAGTGCAATTCTGGTTCTTTGAAAGTGGGACGTGAAACGCGTCTTGCGGACATTAGCATAGCTCTAAAAGCATCGGTTCCAGAGCCAGAGGTGAAAAGTTGAGCTCTTTTCAAGTCTATGGTGGGTGAGGTTTCATCAATAGAGCGTTTCATTGGTATATTTCGGTAGTAGAGTCCAGTTGGGATCCGAAAGATCGGTACAGAGTTTACGCGTTCTCCAGTGATCACTATGTTAAATTGGATGCGATGAGATGAGATAATATAGTGGAAAAGATGCATCACGTGACAAAGTTTTATGTAGCGGTGAGTCAAGTTTCCACATGGCTAGAAGCTTGAGTTGGGCAGCGTAAGTGTAATATTGAGAATTGAAGAATGGATTCTGAGTCTTACCGAGACATTTTGTGGAGGCTCTTCAAAATTTGATCCCGCGAATAGAATGCTCTGAGTATCTGAACACGGAGAAAGAGCGGAACTCGTATGTCTGTCTTCCAGAGGCAGACACCTTCGATATAAAGAGCTGTAGATTGTGTCATCGATAGGATATAATTTTTAAAGATGCGCCCTTCAAAGTAAGTAGCGAGGGAAGCTAGTTGACAACAGTTATTAGAGTTGTGTGAAAAAGTGACAGTTTTTTCCCTGGCGATGAGGACTTAAAGGGAATACCGTCTGAGCTTTTTTTTGCAAGCACGTAAGTATTATGGGACTGGTTCGCTAACGCTGTGAACACTTTGTAATGTCAAACACGTGATATAATGACAGCGTCAAGAAATGTGAATAGTGACAACATTCAGTGTTTTCAGTGCACTACTGTTTGGATGATGTTTGACTTACAGAATTCCACCTGCGAGTGTTGAAAAGAGACAGCCGGGAACTTGAAGTTACCCCCTTTGTATCGGATTGGAATTCGGTGAACACTCTTACTTCTTGTCGGAACCTCCGTCTGTCTAGCGTCAGATGGTTGACAAAGTGATCATACGCACGTGACACGATGACAGCGTCAGAATCAGCAAGATGTTCAAAGAAACTAAAACAACTACTGATCTAACTGGAATGAAATTGATTGACCCAAATAGTACCAGTTTCAATTGATTGTATGGTTCTTAGATTAGCTCATTTCCGCCATTCGAACCTGAAATGCCTGAAAATGTTTACATCAGTCAACGACGGAACATTTCCGAGTATTTGTATAAGAGGGGACCTTCAATCCACCCTTCAAGCTCACTCCATTTATGATAAATACATCACGGAGGGATAACTCTGATTTAAAAATGTACCAAACCTATAGTCAAAAGAACTACGGAGAGATAAGTAAAATCCATAACCATGACCATTCATTTAAAGCAAATCATGACTGAGCTAACGAAGCAGATTAACAACTCGAACACTGCCGACGTAGTCGAGCCTCAATAAATAAAAGAATAGTTTGCATCTTACGATAATGACAGAATCACCCAGGATATGGGACGTTATTCGTGCAACGACACTCCCGAGATAGAGTTTCAACACGAGTATAAACAAAGATGGTGTTCCCACCAGTCATGAGACCTGGTCCCTGGTGTGTCTTTTCTGTTGTCTGATTTGGCAATTGAAGGCATCAGCGATCCGTTTTTTTCATCTCACGCTTTCACAGCCAGTAGTTACACCAAAGTAATTGATACCGCTCTCAATTTGACAACATCATTTCCATCATTTCCACATTGGCCATTCACAGCTGTTCTTTTGCGCCCTCAATTGTCATGCCAGGTATTTTTTGTATTCTGTGACGCCCTCTGCTGCTGGGCTTTAGTTAATGTATACTGTAATAGTCGAATTGAAGCTAATCAGGATCAAGGACGAGTACGAGTAAAAGCGTAAATAGCCGTGTTGATTGGACCAATAATGAAGGCGCTTGGAAAGTTTTGAGCTTCTCTTGGGCATGATATATTGCGTAATAAGAGCTCAAGCTTGGTGAATGGGAGATATACATTGATTTAATGCTGGACAGACATGATATGTGCGGATAGCGAATTGTTTGACAATTACTTTGGTTTCTCGCCCAGCTTTGAAAGATACCTAGGCAAGCGGGTTCTGAAATGAAGAGTTATATTATAGAGCAAGACTCATGCGCACAATGACGTAAAGAAACCGAATGAAGCGCTACGGCTTCCGTGAAACATGAATCCGTAACAATCGTTTCATGAAAGTGGATTACATGTCCATTGCGGCTGGCAAAACGACTTTTACAGAAGACTTGTCAAATTCTGACATCGACGACCATATTTCTCTTGGATCAAAGGGCGAAGAGAAAGTTTATTGCTACTGGCACAAAATCCGTTCTACATTGACAATAACTAATTCAGATCACTTCAACGTACTAGTCATAGGTGTAGGGAAGCCCGTTTACGAGGTTAGGGGTCAGATATTGTTGGTGAGCATCGCGGGACGCGCACCGGAGAGAAACCAGTCATGTGATACGTTTCGTAGTTCTTATACGTGTCTACGTCGGACTGGCGACGAATCCGGGAGCGATCCGGTTCTGAAGGAGGGCGCACGCCTTAGTTAATTTAGGAATAGGAACAACAATCTTGTATTGAGATTGGATTAAGAAGTAGTGTCCAACCAGGATGTATTTACCACATATTGAGTCAAATAGTTTGAATAGTGTGCGAGGATGAGAACCCGAAGGAAGTGATCCAGCGTGCAGTGGCGGGTCATCTACAAGCAGCGAAATTGACAACATCAGGTAGTCACATCAAAGAGCTATGAATATCGGCTTCAAGTGATGCTACCTTTACGAGTTGGTAGTCAGTGACAGATTCGTGAGAAAGTCAAGAATCGAATGTCGTAAAACACGACATAACTCGCAGGATTCGTACCAGATCCGGAGGACTACATAGTACATATCTGAATCTACAAGAACACCGAAAAGAGCAACCTAGATTACATCAATACTTCTGAACACTCAGGATTGGGGACAAATCTGAAAATATCCTATCGTGATTTACAAGCTTGGTGTGTATCACTATATACGCAAACCACTACACGCTGACATTCCAAACATACCGGTTTCGAGATAGGGAAAGCCACAACGAAACGCGCGAGTCTTCTATATTTATAGAGTAACAGGAGAATTATGGCGTGTGCCGTTCTTTAGAGCCGGGTTCGCGCCCGGATTCGTCTTTTAGCGCGGAAAGACTCACAGTACACGAAGAGATATCCCTGGCCGTACCTGGTCACGTATCCATTGGGGATCGTAGGAGGTAGGTCAATGGAAGCTTTGTAACTTGGTCCTGGTTGGGATTTGAAAGTTGTACTCCGGGAAGTCATGATAAAGGTTTAGATCACGTGACCCCATAAACTCTAATACACAGTCTTTTGATCTTGAAACCTTCCTGATAGTAAATGACGATTCCAAAGCTGTCTATTCTGAAGCTCTCTATTTTGAAGCTCCTTACGCTATTATGATCCGTTCACACTCAATGTGCTTACCTAATCTCTCTCATACCATCGTCACGTGACACTCGTCCACTTCAATACACACTTTTTTAACCGTGGATGAAACCACCAGAATAGCAGCTCCCTGCTCTAAAGCTCCCTCCTCTTCTGAAGCTCCCCATACTATTCTCATTCATTCAAACTCAATCTGTTCATGACTATCACGTGACCTATTCTCAAAAATGACTCCTCCCACACCCCTCACTTCTGATACACTATTCCTCCACCACTACTCAAATCCCCAACTCCAACAGTTCCTCTTCCTTGTTCCAAACCTATCCCCATCCACTCCTTTTCCTCCGCCTCTGCCCTCCCACGCCTCTCGGCCAATCATAACGTCTCCAGGTCACGCGACCATCCATTTCTCCCGTTACCCGCACCGCTCCCAGGTTTATCAATTCTGATTGGCTCATATCCCATATTGGAAGAAATTTTTGAAAAAGTACCCACACTAAACACACCTGGTGGTGGAAAAAAAAATTATAGCCTATACTTCAAATCTTCCACTATTATATCTTTAACTACCTTTAAAGATTTCAATCGAGCGAATTCAAGAAATCAAGGCCCCAGTATAGGTTCAATTTTTCTCGTTCTCACGACTCATTCCTCGGAAACTTAAACACTAAGATCATCCAAATTCCCAATTCGTATTGGTTGTGCTTGATTGTGGTTTGAAATTCTGACATTTTTCTTATATATTCCGAATCCCAATCGATTTTTTTTTTTGGCTTGGTTGTCTGTTTGTTACCTTTTGCCAAGAGTAAACTAGCTGCCCCCGATCAACCTCGTGAAAGCTTGTCTTTGAGAAACTAGAACCTGAAAGGATACTCCAAAACGCCCCTCCAGTATTAAAAAAATGTTGTCTCGTTACTCTGTTGTGCGTAACGCTGCAAGAACACTAGCTAAAGTGGGTGTGGCCCGTACGATGAGACCTGTCGCGGCCACCATGATCGCTGGATCTAGACGTTGTGCTTCGGCCAAGGCTCAACCCACAGAAGTTTCGTCCATCTTGGAAGAACGTATCCGTGGTGTGTCTGAAGAAACCAACTTGAACGAAACCGGTCGTGTTTTGTCCGTGGGTGACGGTATTGCACGTGTTTTTGGTTTGAACAACGTACAGGCCGAAGAATTGGTTGAATTCTCGTCCGGTGTCAAAGGTATGGCTCTGAACTTGGAACCAGGTCAAGTCGGTATCGTGTTGTTCGGTTCTGACCGTCTGGTCAAGGAAGGTGAAGTGGTGAAGCGTACAGGCCAAATTGTGGACGTTCCAGTGGGTCCCGCCATGTTGGGCCGTGTTGTGGACGCCCTGGGTGCTCCTATCGATGGTAAGGGCCCTATCAAGGCTGCCGGCCGTTCCCGTGCCCAGGTCAAGGCTCCAGGTATCTTGCCAAGAACCTCGGTGCACGAACCAGTGCAAACCGGTTTGAAATCCGTCGACTCCTTGGTTCCTATCGGAAGAGGCCAAAGAGAGTTGATTATCGGTGATCGTCAAACCGGTAAGACTGCCGTTGCCATCGACACCATCTTGAACCAAAAGAGATGGAACGACGGTGCCGATGAGTCCAAGAAACTATACTGTGTCTACGTTGCTGTGGGTCAAAAGAGATCTACCGTTGCCCAGCTTGTGCAGACTTTGGAACAACACGACGCCTTGAAATATTCGGTCATCGTTGCTGCCACCGCCTCTGAAGCCGCTCCTTTGCAATACATCGCTCCTTTCACCGCTGCTGCCATTGGTGAATGGTTCAGAGACAACAGTAAGCACGCCTTGATCGTGTTTGACGATTTGTCCAAGCAAGCCGTTGCTTACCGTCAACTTTCGTTGTTGCTAAGACGTCCTCCTGGTCGTGAAGCTTACCCAGGTGATGTTTTCTACTTGCACTCCAGATTGTTGGAAAGAGCTGCCAAGATGTCGGAAAAGAACGGTGGTGGTTCTTTGACTGCTTTGCCAGTTATTGAAACCCAAGGTGGTGATGTCTCTGCTTACATTCCTACCAACGTTATTTCCATTACCGATGGTCAAATTTTCTTGGAAGCTGAATTGTTCTACAAAGGTATCAGACCAGCCATTAACGTTGGTTTGTCCGTTTCCCGTGTCGGTTCCGCCGCCCAGGTTAAGGCTATGAAACAAGTTGCTGGTTCTTTGAAGCTTTTCTTGGCTCAATACAGAGAAGTCGCTGCTTTCGCCCAATTCGGTTCCGATTTGGATGCCTCTACCAAGCAAACTTTGGCTAGAGGTGAAAGATTGACCCAGATCTTGAAGCAAAGCCAATTCTCCCCAATGGCCGCCGAAGAGCAAGTACCATTGATTTACGCCGGTGTCAACGGTTACTTGGACAATGTTGAATTGAACAGAATTGCCGAATTCGAAAGCACATTCTTGCCATACTTGAAGTCCAACCACGAAGACGTCATCTCTGCCATCAGAGAAAAGGGTGAATTGTCCAAGGAATTGTTGGCTTCTTTGAAGGCTGCCACCGAATCCTTCGTTGCCACTTTCTAAACGTATATGTCATTGACTGGCATTTTGCATGGAAATTCCAAATGGCGAACGGGAGCACCCAAATGACATTCCTGATATAAAAACAGCTGATTCATCCAGGCCATTAACTACTACTTTTACTATCACCAACCGACCAACTGCGAATTACACAAGGCATATGACTTTTACGATTGGATGAGTGACCCCACCAAATATTAAAATTCTAAGTATATATACTGAAGAAATAGAGAGATTCTACAATCCAGTGTATCAATCAATCAGTTCTGATCTTAGTAAAATGTCAGCCTCTTGTTTATCTAATCGGTCGATAGGATAAAACGACTGGATGGCAGCATTGGTTGAATAGTACTGATTTTCAATAATCGACATTGAAAAATGCCAAAATGCCATGGAGGATGTCAAAGTTTGGAAAGCATCAACCATCGAGCCACCAGATTGATTACCGAAATCTGATCACACTCTGGACACTTCAAAATTGTTCATACTCTGAAGTTTGAGTCCGAGAACACCGCTGCATTTGTCGTTCTTTTTTTATTTTAGGCACACTGTACCAATAACCAGATCATTTCAATAAAATGACTGCAAAGGTAAAAGAAGAACCCATTGGCGACAAGCCTGTTTCTTCTAGTCTGAGAATTACCGATGATGATCTTTATCGGCATTCAACACAGTACAGAAATTGGTCTTTTACTCCTGAAAGGCTTGATCAAATCAGAACTGAAGTGAACGCCAGTGCTGGTTCTAAAGCAGAAAAAACGCTGAAGCAATTTCTTGAATCTCATCCGGAGTTGTCCCGAGAGGAGGAAGAAGCTGTGGCCTCAAAAGCTGTTCCAGTGACTACTCACGAGGAGCTACTGCTTGTCAATTACTTCGCACGCATGATCATATCATTTGCAGGGAAAATGAACCTGCCGACAGAAGTAGCTGCAACTGCCGTTGCATTTTTCCGAAGATTTTTCTTATCAAACTCAGTAATGGATATACCTCCCAAGGAGGTCTTCCATACAACACTTTTCTTTGCATGCAAAACGGAAAACTACTTTATTGGCGTTGAATCCTTTGCGAAAAAGGCTAAAACCACGACAGATGCCATTCTCAAACATGAATTTAAGCTCCTGGAGAGCCTTAATTTCACTTTAATGAACCATCATCCTTACAAAGCATTACACGGATTTTTTCTGGATATCCAAAACGTATTGTCGGGTAGAGTTGACATGAAATATATGGGTCAAGTTTACACGAATTGCAAGAAAAGCATATCGGATGCATTACTGACCGATGCCGTTTATTTTTATACGCCTCCCCAGATAACATTGGCGATTCTCTTGATGGAAGACGAGGCTTTAATGATGCGTTATATGCAGCTCAAGTTTGGGCTTCAGCCAGACAATGGTGATGGGTCTGGACAATCCTCACAGGACTCTGAACAGGTATCATCCAATGGTATAAATGCTTCTAAGCTTCTGGAAGTAATAAAGTCTTGCAGGTCAGTTATAAACAATAAAATTATCCCGGCTAAGGATGATGCTGTCAAGATTACTGCCAAGATACACTACTGCCAGAATCCTATGGCTGTTATTGATAGATTGAAGAGGCAAAGGGAAAGTAGTAGTATAGCCAGCACCCCGCAGCCGGTTGAAACTGATTCAAAACGACAGAAAACTTGAATCAAAAAATGTGGTGTTGATAATGTTATAGTGTGTGTGACCATAGATTTATAAGTCGTCATTGTTCTTCGTTCAATTCTTCTCTATATACAAAATGCTCTTGAACTATAAAGGTATTTTGTCCTCGTTGAGGGTTTAAAAACATCACTTAAACCCACAATATGCAGAGTTGGGGACAGTTCATATGGATTGGCCTGTCATGGGTAAAAAAGAAGGGATGTGTATCTTAGCCCAAACGAAGGCTTAAATCAAGCCTTGATCAAAACCGGAATTTTGGATTTGTCGCCCTTTTCCTTCCTATCATCACTATCGGGCCCCTCCACAACAGTGTTTGTCTTCATCTTAGCTTTAGAAAGGGATTCTCCTTTGCATACTAGTTTAATTTCGGACGAATCTAGTGTTTCATACTCCATGAGACCTTCAGCTAGACGCTCCAGTTCTCTATTTTTGTCAGAGAGCAATTTCCTTGATCTCTGCTCAGAAGCTTTCAATACTTCAATGACCTCATTATCTGCTATGTCGCGGATTTTGCCAGACCAGCTTTCCCAGTTGTCGGCAAGGTTAACAGGACCGACACTGTCACTCATACCGTATTGTGTTATCATGGCCCTAGCGGTATTAGTTGCACTTTGTAGGTCAGATCCACAGCCGCTAGTCGTGTTTTCTTTTCCGTACACGATTTCTTCTGCAATTTTCCCACCCATGCAGACGTCAAGTCTAGCCAAGCACTCCTTTTTCGTGATGTCCACTTTGTCCATCTCCGGTAGCTGGAATGTTATACCTAGAGCTCGTCCTCTTGGTAAGATTGTAGCCTTATACAAGGGGGTTGCGCCTGGTGTGTACATTGCCATGATGGCGTGGCCGGCTTCGTGAAAAGCAGTAGCTCTTCTCGAAGCTTCAGTCAACACCATTGTCTTCCTCTCTGCACCCATAAGAATCTTATCTTTTGCCCACTCGAAGTGCTGCATGTCAACAGCAATCGCATTTTGCTGGCAAGCATAAACCGCAGCTTGATTTACCAAATTCATGAGTTCAGCACCCGAAAGACCAGGTGTACCCCGAGCAAGGATGGAAGGGTCAACGTCAGATGCCAAAGTTACCTTTTTCATGTGATGTTTCAAAATATCTGCACGGCCGCGAACATCAGGTAAGTCAACATTCACCACTTTGTCAAAACGGCCAGGTCTCGTCAAAGCTTTGTCCAGCGACTCGGGGAAATTAGTTGCGCCGATGATGATGATACCACTACTTTGCGAAAACCCGTCTAATTCAACCAACAACTGATTCAGGGTTTGCTTGGCGTATGCCTGATCTTTTGGATTACGCTTTCCACCAATGGCGTCGAGCTCATCAATGAAAACGATGGCTGGTGCACGACTTCTGGCTTGAGAAAAAAGCTCACGAATACGCTTTGCACCAACACCGACGTATACTTCATCAAACTCAGAACCTGACATAAAGAAAAAGTCCACACCTGCTTCTCCGGCCGTGGCCCTGGCTAATAGAGTCTTACCAGTACCTGGGGGACCTGTCAGCAAAACACCCTTAGGAAGCTTGCCTCCCAAAGATTCATACTTGGTTGGATCTTTCAAAAAATCTACGATTTCTTCCAGTTCTGCACGGGCCTCTTCACAACCCCTCACGTCATCAAACTTGACATTGGTCTTGGCCACATCTACGGATTTGTCTGCTACTTCTGAAGATTTCAACAGTGTGGTGTTCTCACTGATGTATTTGAAACCTTCCGATAGACCATAAGTGACCAGTCCAAAAACGACTAACCATTTCACCCACCTGGAGATAATGGCGAAAGCGGATTCAGTGACGACTACATGCAACGGTTCTTTTTTCGATCCAATGAAAGGGTTGTATGCACCCTGGCCGAAGGAACCAGCAGAAAACTGTTTTGCGTAATCTGCTCCAGGAGTTGATCCTGCAGTGGCCTGTGCCCCTACTGTTGCGCCCACTAGACTCTGTCTAATGCCTTCGGCGTCAGCGTGACGGCCCGTTTTTTGCAAAGCTTCCATATAAAGAGACATGCATTCCGGAGACGAAGCGATTCCTGGGGTTTCAAATCTAGACACCACATATTGTGGGTAGTCTGACTTTAACAGAAGCTTATAGAAATCTGCCTGGGCCAAGGCGTTGCTCAGCTCTTTGTTTGCAAATTGTTCTTTTTGAGCCAAAAGGTCATGAGACACCCGCTGGGTCTCACCGGGATTCGAAGCGGCAGAACCACTATTTATAGTGCCATCCGGAGCGGCCCCACTACCCACATTTGATTGTTTATTTGACTCGTGTGTCGTTGAATAGAGATTCTTTTGGTACCATGTTTTTCTGGCGTTCAAAGCCAGTATTGGAACCCGGCTTGCCAGGGGCCTCAATACCAATCCGCCCACTAGCAACGAGCGTATTCCAGCCCTCGATAAGCTCATTTCTGGTGCCCTGGAGCTCGGTATCGACCTTTGATTCGTTATCCAGGTGAGCTTTATATCTCACTTTTGATTTTGGGGTGGCAAATTTTCAATTTATGATGTGTCATTAAAGACGACAGAGCTCACGAGATAAATTTATAGTCCAGTAGTGACAGATGGTACACGACAGATGTGATATGACAGCGTTTCTTCGTCCGGTTTGGAAAGAGTCGGGATGCCTCGAAATGAAGGACTCATCCCAGTGTAGTGCAACAATTTTACGGATTCGTTTTCAGCCCAAAAAAATTCCAATTTTTTGAAAGTGTTTTGGTGGGCTGGAGATATATTTGGCGGAACCAGGCTCTTGCAGTAGCACGGTATCATTTAGTAGTTTGCATGATCTCGCCGCACCTTATTTGAGTATTGGGCTCCGAAATTCTCACGTTTCTTTAATGCATGAATTTTATGTCATCTCAATCAATATCCGCGATTCATGAAGATGTCGCTGACGCCAAACTATTTTTGATTCTGATCGCCAGGTCATCGAATTTTTCTGTAGCGTCTACAGCAAATCCGTGCTCATTGGCCAAATGCAATAGGCAAATAAAGCAGAAACTGGTGGACAGGTCCTTCCTTCTGTCTCCACTGTACATCGCACTGATACGTTCAGTGATGTCCGAAAATTTCAGACTGGTGAATAAAGATTCGTCTTCGGGATCCTCATTTTCTGGATCAGCCGAACTGTTCGTAGAAATTTGCATAGCGGCGGGGTCTTCGGTCTGTTCTTGATCATGTTGAGGCTCTGGCATATCCTTGTGTTGCTCCACATCTTTGGATGCTTCCAAGGCTCCGGTAATAGACGTCCATATGTTGTCCTTCAGTTTCTTAATATCCACTTTTTTCGACACGCGAGAATAATTGACTTTCCCATCTGGTCTCCCCAAGGGTTGGGTCAAGCCTGCCGAACCACTAGCGGGTGGGTCCAGGGAACCACCGTCTGCATCTCCCAAACTGTTATCCCCGAAAGCCTGATTGAAGTCGATACCGCCGTCGTCATTGTCGTCAAACGGGTTCGGCAGATTATCATCAACCGCGCCACCTAGGGCCCGTTCATTATCCTCGTCGGCTTTCTCGTCTCGATCTTGTAGCTGATAGTTTTTCGCCCAGAAGTTTTGATCTGCTATTTCTGCAATCCCGCTGTTCCCATTAAGGTCTGTGTCATCAATCTGGAGCGTCCCGCTAACGCTTTGGTGACTTGAAGGTGGTTTGCGATGCGAAAAAAAGCTCATTTGTTGAGAGGGCTTCAAAAACAGTCGCGTAATCTTCTGAGTCGAGAAATGATAGTCATTCGGTAATAGATAGTGGCCAGGAGTCGTACGGGATTTTTGTGACATCTCAATACTGGCTTTCTTTTTCTCAAAAATTCTCTCCTCGACCGTGTGGTCAAAGTTGAAAAAGTCGATGGTCAACTTGTTTTTGGCCGCTTTTTTGGCCTTGACAGCCTCTTTCTCTTGTTCAGTGGTGTCAGTGTCCTTTTTTCCTGCTTCATCTCCTGTATTCGCTCCCAATCTATTCTTAAAATTTCTGATCTTCCAATGCTCACGTCCGCGCCAACTTTTTTTCAGGGTTTCGTCGAAATATGCCATAACGTCGCGATCCATAACGCTAGTCACAGCATCTTCAATTAGATTTTCCTTGTTAGTAGCAGTCGATAGATCATCCATACCATCTCCGACTCCACCGCCATCCGCATCGTCATCATCACCGTCGTCATTACCATCACCATCGTAGAGTCGACCACCCACGTCAAAGTCGCCATCGGGAGGGAGGTCGAAATCGTGATCTCCACCTTCCATATCGGGCATAGCTTCTTGTAAATCTTGCTCTGTCAAAAAGTTGTCAGCTCTGTTGTTCACGTTGTCGATAAACGACTTGGCTTTATGCACATCGGTGACCACATCCTTCAGCCTCTGCATTGACGGGCATACTTCAGCCTCGTTTATAAGCTTGAAGTCTATGAAGTCCATGCCAAGCGCCAAGATCTCGTCTTCCACGTCAAAGCTCTGGTTTGCCATTGACACATCAGCATTGGTCGGCGGAGTATTGTGAGGTTCCGGAGTCTTTTCTTGTGAGAGAGAAAGATCATTCGATTCATGCATAGAGATGTCTTGATCCGCTTGTTCTGTCGACGCTTCGAGCGTTTGTGCGGACTTTTGTTGTGACGACGCTCCCAAGTCGCTTTCGTGGTCTTTACTGGTTGTGGCATCAAACACCATTCGACCAGAGCTATCTATGTGTAGCGTGTTAATGAGCAGACTTTTAGCACCACCTTCATCGAAATCGGCCAGCGCCTTTTTGAATAGCGGGTCGATGGTTAGCTCTTGATCTAACTCCCGCATTCGCAGTGTTTCAAAGTCTACAAGTGTCGTTTCCAGCACTCTATTATAATTACGTTTTGGGCCTGCTGGTTCCACTTCATTGGAAATTGGCAGCCCGGTTGAGGGGTCAATCGTGACTGCTCCTTCCGCCTCTGGGTTTTCTTCTTCCAAGTTCCCACTGGACCCATGACTGGCATCTAGAGCCCCACTTTGGTTCTTCCTTTGTGCTAATCCGCTCAGTAAGATTCCTGTTTCATTGGCTACAGAGTCTACTCTCGAAGAGTAGATCTTCACACAGCCATCCAGCGTGGCAGATGCTTTCTGAAAATTAATATTATCCTCGGAATCTTTCAAAACATTCAGATCGTGGAAGTAGTCTATGAGGGCAAAATTCCAACTGTTTCTAGAGTTGATCTTGTTATCTGTAGCCATTTTGATCCATTGTTCGAAGTTGGCCATCATCGTCGACTTGCTGGTGAAAAGGCCCCCTTCATCTTCCTCCTGGAGAGAGCTTGCCATTTTTCTAGCTGCTTTAAGATGATCTAGACCTGGAGGTGAAAGCCTTGTCAAGGTGTTTGATGGTGTGTTTACTATTGACGATGATCTTACCGCTCTAGAATAAACTTGAAGGTATTGTCACTTACCATAATTAATTAATTAACGCGTAGAAATCCTTAAAATTCAAGCATGTGATTGTAGCGTGATAAGCACGTGATGGATTTCGATAAAAGTCAGATGATGGATCATAGTATAGTATACTATGGATCAAGTCTCTATAAGAACACTATCAAGTATACCGGATTGTGTAGGGCAAACATTGTCTCAACGACGGTAGTTCTTGAGAGTTCTCCTTAATGCTGTAAAGGAGTATATTCCACCCACGGTTAGAGCAGCGAAAATAACTTGTTGGATGTAGGTCAAAATTTTTTTCTGTCTCTGCTCTTTGATGATGGCCTGGTGATATGGAATGTCTGCTTTGAAAGATACCATGGTATACAGCGGAATCCATTTGTCTCTGAGCCATCTTCCCAGTAGTGTGTCGAGTTTTTTGCGGATCAAGTAGAGGCGAGAAGTCACTCCGTGTGACATTTCCTTGTAGTTGTCTTTGGCGAGCTTGATGATGGACACAAGGTCCTTGTGTCGTTTGAGACTGTACTCATCGAACGCCGCAGAACGGTCTCCCTCGTGCTTGTCAAGTAGCTGCATGAGCACTTTGACGTCCTCAAACCCGCAATTCATGCCTTGTCCGTAGAACGGGACCATCGAGTGAGCAGCGTCACCGAGGATAATAGCGCGACCTTGTTCCAAATGGTAGGGGTTGCATTCGACACACATGAGCGCACCACGAGGATTGCGCTCGAACGCTTCAATTGCTGTATCAGGGCCCATAAGCTTTAGGGCGTCGGGAAAATTGTCAGTCAAAAAAGTCTGGATTTTATCTCTCGAGTCCAAAGATTCGACCAAAGACCAGGGCCCGAAAAATGTGGAAGTGAACGAACCATCGCCGTTGGACAGCGCAATCAGCATGTAATTGTGGCGCGGCCAAATGTGGAGATGGTTTGGAGAAATTTGGAAGGGTCCACCGAACTCCGCGTTGTGAGCTTCTGCAGGTGGGATGTACAACTCGATGTAACAACAATCGATATATTCTTGAGAGTAGTCCATGCGTACTTCCCGCTGCATCTGGGAACGGGTTGTGGAGTAAGCACCATCGCATCCCACCACGAAATCAGCTTCGAACGAGACTTGATCCTGTGCGTCAGTGTTGAAAATGCAGTTTTGTTTGGCAGAAGAAAACTGGATCCTAGACAGTTTATGACCGAATTTCACACTAATGTTACTGAATCCGTCCAGCTCGTCCAACAAACTGTTATTAAGCACTGATCGATCAATGGAATTGATGCATTCGCCAAATAGACCGTAGTTTTGGGATTCCTGGTTTCCAGCCAAATCGTGAATCATGCGGCCCCACATGGGTATCATATCTTTAAGCACTTTTTGACTAATTTGTTCATCCACATATTGTAGCGATGTGATTCCCCGTGCTGAAATAGCCAGGTTTATGGATCTTAGGTTTCTATCATTAGTACTCTTTAGTCTTGGATCCAAACGGTAATCGAAAAGAACCACTTCAAAATTTCTCTTGGCAAGGGCAATTGCAGTGAGACACCCAACTAGTCCAGCACCAATAACATTGACGGTCTCAGTCATAGCTACGAAAATGGAATGCTTAGATCTATTGATGAGTTAGGCTTGACATCGAATACGATGATGATGAAATATTTAAAGGCCAATTTATCATAAATTCGAGATATATATGGTGTGATGTGCTAGACGAGCAGGAGTATTTGAGAGTATTCATAGTATCAAGTTGGTTCTTGAACGTGTGGAAGGTGTGTAAAGCTGTGAGTTGGAAACTCGGTGAGCAGATGAGACAAGACGGGACTTGGTTGTAGAGTTAGGGTTCAAAATAGTTCACTTGTATACACTGGGTGTCGAGGAATTGCTGGGATGTGTACTAGATGGCACAAACAGGTGATGGGGTATCAAGAAGAAGCGATTGGAAGGACGTGGATTTATTGTTGAAGTGTGAGGCGCATTTTCTTGTCGTAGATTAGCGTAAGTCTGTCAGCATCAGACACGAGACAGGCTGTATTGAAAATACTCTGGGGTGGTCTTCTATTTGATGCCTCACCCATACCAATGGTTTTATGTTTTGAACTAAGATCGTTTTGAAGCTGTGGTTTGACCCAGCATATCTCAGACTTGTAACGACAGCTTGTCATTAAATGGTAGCCTGTGTCACTGTCGCTGTCGTTGATCACGTGACCCGTGATATATTTCTGTCACTTTTCCTCAGTGTGACGACTCTCGCCAAGAGGCCCGGAAAAGTGGTGAAACCCCCAACTTTTCTGTCGACTCCTTTTAACCCGTCCATTTCGGACCTACATTCTGCCACTTTCCCGGCTCCAAAAGAACTCTCGGAACTGAAACAGTAAACAAACGTTTATTTTGATGCTAAATACAATTATAATTAAAATTGTCGATCCATGTGTGTTGTTAAGGATCCGATCCGCCTTGGAGTACAACAGGAAGCAAATGACAGTGCACTTTGTATTCTCTACGCCCTTTCCACTTGCTCGACGTTTGCCTTTTCGTCCCATTCCAGAGCTTTGACGGCAAGTCTGTGATGGCGATCCAATGGTGGTGCGCGGGCCACGTTTTTGCGACGCAATACGTATTCTTGGAAATCTGGCCACAACTGGCCCAATTGGTGTGCCACACGAGTGCGCAGGGGAACGTCGAATACCTCGTCCAATTCCTCCAACGTCAACTGTTTGGTCTCGGGCATCAAGAAATACACCAAAAACCATCCAATAATGTTCCAGCCCGCGTAAAATCCAAACGCACCTTGTGGATGCAACGCATTCAACATCCGGGGCCATGTGAGCGAGAGAATGAAATTGAACCCCCACAAGATGATCGTGAAAAGTGATGCTCCAATGGCACGCACGTACAATGGGAAAACTTCCCCGGCAATGACAAACGGCACCACACCGCATCCGAACGAGTAGATTGCGGAAAACACATAGATACCCATCGAAACCACACCCACGCGTGCTTGCTCGCCGGGAATCCAAAACGCGAACCCGGTCACAAACAAGAACAACGCCATTAGTGGGAAAGTGTTCAGCAGCAAGAACCGCCGGCCGAACCGGTCAATCATGAAGAACGCCGGGATTGCAAAACAGAAGTTGACAAGTCCGAACCCAAGCGATGCGACCAACGACGAGATCTCCGAAAACCCGGACTTTAAAAAAATCGCCGACGAATAGTATGCAATGACGTTGATGGCGCAGAACTGCTGCATGAACGCGCAGATGAACGCGCAGATGAACGCGTTGCGGTTGCGCCGCACCGTGAACACCTCGCGCAGACGCGCAAAATACGGTTTCTCCAGCGACCCTTCTTCCAGCAGCAGTACGTGCTGGTAGAACAGGTCGCGGCATGCCAAAATGCGATGCGCACGAATCTGCACGGTGCTTTCGTACGCCTCTTGGTAGCGGCCCTTGCCCATCAGCCACCGCGGAGACTCTGGGCACCAGGGGATCTGCACCAGCACCGCGATTGCAGGAAGCATTGCAGACGCCAGCATTAGCCGCCAGTTCAGACCGCCGTGCACAGGGCCGCTCCCTACGCGGTAAAAGATCAGCGAGAACACGTAGCCCCACATGATTCCGAACGCGGTGAACGTTTGCCAGTTCATGCAGATGATGCCGCGGAGTTTCTTGGTGGAACATTCGGCAAGATATACCGAGACAGTGGCGGACTTGGGTCCAATCCCGAACCCTAGGAGAAACCGCATGGCAAACAGGTAGTGCCATCCACGTTCGCCCGTGGGCGCAAACGCCTGTAGTAAACACGCAATTGCGGAGATGAGACACGTCACAAAAATGACGCGTTTACGGCCCAGCCAATTATTGAGCCAGTCGGTCATCCAGCATGAGACCCCGGCGCAACACAAATACGGAGCTCCGTTGACCAGACCCTGTAACCAATCGTTACGTTGTGTTTCGGCGCCCAAACCAACCTGTTTGGGGTAGAATAAAAGTGCCCCGTTGATCACGGTTTCGTCCATGCCTTGCACGGCGGCTCCCATGGCCGATGCACACACAATAGCAATCAGCTTTCGTGGCATCCGGGCAAAAGGTTTGTGTTCTTCGTCATAGCAAGCGAGCCGCTCGTCTTCGGACAAAAATGACATATGGTCGTAGCGTTCCGGTTGGCGGGCCAGCGCTGCGGCTCTTCCAAAAATGTCGTCCTCGTTAGGTAGTTCGTATTTCCGGGCAAATGCGCGTCCCATGTTCATAACCTGTTCTTCGGAGTACTCCGCCAGCACATTATCGGCGGTATCTTCGGGCCCATTTTTCTCCGAGTCCGCGAACGACGGAGATGAGCTGGAGTGTTTTTTCTCAAGCAATCCGGTGGCAGTGGCGGTGGTGGCAACATGAGCCGTAGCGGGTTTGTCGTCCAGCGACGATATCGGTGATACTGACATGGAAGTTAGGTTTTTCAATGGTAGTGTGTCAGGACCCTGTAGCGAGATTTTTGTGGGGTGGAGCAGATTTAGCCTTGTAGTCCTTTGTATTTATACACATCGGTTCGTTGTCTTGTTCCGACGGTGGAAAGCAACAAGTTCTAGACACTGCTGCTCTCTTTCTACTTCCCCAAATCTTCCAGCCAGTTCCAATTTGGCAGTTCCGCAACAACCGTCCTAGGGGCCTCCTTTCTCCCCACTGGGTCATGGTGGATCCCTTGGGGCTGGCGTTGTTTGGCTTGTCTGCTCATTGTTCGAGGCCCTCTAGTCATATGTCGTCCGAAAATGTCCGGGATCCCGGAGGTCCGAAATTGACGTCGGTGGGAGCAAACCAATCAGCAAAGAATTATAGTTCGGGGTACCGAGAGAGGGTTTGAAACCCGAGGCCCGAAGAATACACGCTTGAGGAACTGATTCGGTCTTGGCTGACTTGGGTGCACAATCGTTGGCATTGAAGGTCTAGAAAATGCGGTTCCGGGACAACGGGGACGTGCTTAGCATTACTCTCGCAACAAGCGCCGTGTAGCAATCAAGGGTTTCGGTAAGGCATCAAAAACCGGGTGGTAAGCGGTGACGTGCCGTGTGAGGTGATCTGAATACGGTAAACGGCTGGGGCAGGGTAGGTGTAGTCCAGACACCGGCATATAGATGGCCAGTAGAATGAATATTCACACTCAAGGAAACTGGCGTTAACATGAATGGAAAAAAAAGTGGTACATCGGTTGTTTGTCCAGCCGGTCGGGTCATAGGCTTGGTCTATTAGCATGACCTACAACAGATCAAGTAGTTCCTCGAGATAAATGTGCGTTAGATAGTTAGCATCGCCCTCTGTGCGAAGAATCACCGTTTGACGTCGGTCGTGGACAACTTGGTATAGCAGAAAGATAATGCTAAGGAAGACAAGCGAGGAGACTTGAGTCTGGCGGCGCTTTACTGAAGCGCTCCTTTTGGGCTCAGAAGATGTGTTTTGAAGTGTCAAGGGCTTTGGGGTCTCTCTCGGGTCTTCTCTTTGTCAAGACCATGAACTTTCTGCTTCACGTTAATGTGTCGGAGTAACGGGCGTCGAAATAGCAATTGAAATAGCTCAATGCTTTGCTGATGATCCGCTCTTTTTTCTGGGTATCATCAATTTGGATACCGGTTGGATTTCCAAGTTTGGCTTTGATATGTGAGGCAACCGAGTGCGATGCCTCAATATGTGAGCAACCCAGTGCGATGCCTCAATATTTGAGCAACCGAGTGCGATGCCAATATTACAACAATCTTCGCGGAAATTTTTCAACAGCGCTCGAGTCGGATGCCTGCAATCTCCAAATTTTCGTCAGGAACACTGTGTGTTGAAAATCGAGAGCTTGCTTTGAAGTACTCTAAAGTGGGGTGTCTCATCGGTGGTATCGTCTTGCATATCCATTGTTCACTCGAAAGATAAGATGGCGAGCTCAAGGAACAATCTTGGGGGAAAGGGTCTTTACAGCGCCAAAAATCTGACGTATCACCTTTTGAGCGGGAACATTATGTGGATGCAACTCCCAAGTTAAAAGCGTTTGAGGAGGTGGGACACGAACCGACATTCGTAATGTCTTGGACCCTCAATTACCCCAGAAAAACGTGGTTTTCGATCTTCGAAGTGAGCTCATCAATCCTCTGCTTGCTCGGCATTTTGTTTCTCGGATCTCCCGAGAATGTGCCTAAGAAATACGCCGGGCATATGGTTCAAGCAACGAATTCTTACGACACCTCCTTCCCCATCTACTCCGTGTCCAAACAGCTCGAGCTCGAGCTCGAGCTCGATTTCGTCAAAGATTGCAAAGTTGTTGCTAGCATTATCCATCGTATAATTCGCGGCTTTGTGTTTCAGTAAGGATTGCTCGAGTGAAACGACTAAACCTTGACCAAAATAATCTCCTGTGTGGCAAAAAGCATCTATGACATGTAAGCCAATTATGCGAATATTGGTATTTTGATCGAGACGGTCCAAGTTCGGGAAAAATAGCTCTTGCTAACAGCAGAGCTGCAAATATCCAACATAACTTCAATTTTTGAAGATCCTTTCCAAGCTGAGCTTCGTCTGTTTGTCAGTTTGGTTGTGGCAAAATGTGATTTCCTACACCAGTTCCTTGACAGATAAATTGAACTGGCCCTTGTTCTCCCCAGCATCAAGATTAATCAAATCACGACAGAACTGAGACTCCCCTAAACCGAATGCTTGTAAATTTGGCTGAACGAAAGTTAATTCCTTGACCATTGCGAATTTACTCTTGTTAGAGGCTTCCGAGCTTCAAATCCAACATTATGCTAGAGGTGGTTATTTGGGTAAAGCTTAATTCTTCTTTAAGCTTCAAAGTGCTTTAGCATATCACGTTAAGCGGAGTTTCTGTGAAAGCTAAACATTCCACGGCAATGACCATACTTGCACCGCGCGCAGGTTTCATTCCCACTATCCTTTGTAAACCGAGTTTTCGGTAGAGATGTTGACAGTCATTTCTCATAATTTCAAGCAACAACTTCACTTCAAACCGTTTCGTTTGGTGTTAGTAACGATTATGAAATTCGTCGAAATTAATGGAGTACCGCTTTCTGAGTATAAACTCCAGATGCTTCGTTGTCCGCTTCCGCACATCTTGGAGATCTTTATTCATCGATTGGCAGTTACTGCTGTCACTGTTGGATGGTAAGGTCAAGCCGTGATACGCACAGTCATATCTCAGGCCGCAGCAAAGTGCAGGACGACGCTGCTGGGTGGCTATCTCACTTTTGCGATGATTGAAGTTTCCCTCGCAAGAAAAATAAATCAATTCCTTCTCTAACATGGCGATATCATCACTGGGGTTTTCTTCGATGTACATAGCGGAAAAGTCATCACTAACCAAATTTTTCTCTCCACCATCTCCTTAATCAATGCTTTTCGCCAGTTCAACCTCAAAGTCTATCGGACAGCTTTCATCAGCCAGCAGAATGTTATTAGACGAATCTCTGTCGTTTGGATTTAAATCTTGCTTGGTCGGTGTGTCCTTCACTTGGCTCGAGAGTGTCACGGCTGCTTGAAATAGGACATGGCTAAAGAGGCATAGATACTGAAGAGCTCGGTTTCCTGTCCCTACCCATTGTTTGTTTCTCAATTCTTTTGTTCGCTCCATTCCGTTTTCCTGGATTGGTGACCGGGTTCAAAGCTCCCACTTATTATGCTGGCGGGCACTAGACGTCCCAAGTACGTTCATAAGGATCAAAACAGATGATAGCATCAGTATCCAGAGATGTGCTCAAAATCAAGTAAGGTACTGTGTTATGATCAATCCAGGTGCTACCCGCGGGGGCCGTTCGTTGGTGTACCCGTCAGTTTTACACTCTGCCCGTTCGGCGACGCGTGATCGTCCCAGCGTTGACGGACGCTACGATAATTTGTGGCTGGAAACTGTTCAAAGGACAAGGGAAAACGACATCCACGTATAAGGATCATATATCAGTCTAAGGGTTCATTGTTCTATGTGTAAACCACCTTCTGGAGCACCTTTTCGTCTGTTTAAAACAATCACGTGACGAATTTTTACGTGACGTAATCGAAATATGTGTCAGTAAATAAAAACGTTATCGAAAAAAATGTCCGAGCATACGAACTAAGTCCATTCAAGAGTGCGGTCTGCTACCTCTGGCGTGACAAACGAACGCACACTAGTTGTCCCCAGAACTCAAGTGTTCAAGTTTACGTACACAAATTTTCCTTCTTCAGCAACTTTTAATGACAGCTTCCCAGGGTCACGTGATCTCATAACTCGGTCCTTGATGATATGACAATGATTACTGGAAATGTATACGTAGAACAGCAGAAACAGACACCTGAAAAGTTCTGACTTTCCAGCCTTCACGCTCTCTTATAACAGTACCCTGAGCTTCGTATCATGAGCTTCCGCACTATTGGGAAGTTTGTTCTGACACCGCTGGCGGGTTTTGGCCTCGGTCTAGCGACATTTATCGATGCGTTTCCACAAATTAATGAAGACGGACTAAACACGGTAACGCTGAAGAGGCCCGTTGAGCAGCAACGACGTGATATCCTAAGTGAGCTGAAACATCACAATATCTACCGCGAACTCATCAAGCGAGATAATGTGGAAGAATGGTCTCAGAGCGAAAAAATCGTGCACCCTCATCGCGACTATCATGTAGGCCAAGGGCTTCTGTACGGCCCAGGCCGTTTGGAAATCGATCCCTTGGTGTTACACGATCCAGAGTCCAAAGAATTGGTAGTATTTTACCACCTGGGTCACAATTTGGGGAACGAAAAGGGCAACGTCCACAAGGGTGTCGTTTCGCTACTGTTAGACGAAGCTCTGTGTTATTGTGGGTTCCCCACTCTACCCAGCAAATCCGGCGTCACCGCTAGACTTGACCTTCAATTTCACCAAGATGTTCCTACTGACTGCACCGTGGTTCTTAAAGCACATGTAGTGGAAGCCAAAGGCCGAAAATGCGTCATCGGAGGAACACTCGAGACTTTACCTTCTCGCGTATGGTACAAACCTTGGACCAACAAAACCTCATCCGTGTTGGCCACGGCCACTTGCATTCTCGTAGAGCCTAAATGGTTCAAACACGTTCAATGGATGCGCCTTTCTTGAAAAGGTGTCATTTTGTGAAAAAGTGATATGGTCCCAATATATTCTCAAGATAAACAGATCGAAACATATGAAATGAATGCTTGCCGAACTAAAATCGCACTTGCACGGTCCACACTCACAAGGCTAAAGAGCGTTGTACAATATCTTTCGACTGGTAGCAGCATCTGAAGTGGCGACATTGTGTTCTTGCTTGCCAATACTTTGTGAACGCGGAATTTACGTGCAACAAACTCGTCTTTCACAACTTATCTTACACTTCCATGAGTGACGAATCAGGAGAGGTTTACAGCACCAAGGAAGAAACTGTGGCAGTTTTCCGTAAGCTAGCATCAAAGCAGGAAAACCGAGTATGTTTCGATTGTGGGACGAAAAACCCTACATGGACCTCAGTACCCTTTGGCGTAATGTTGTGTATACAATGTTCTGCTGTACACCGTAACTTGGGAGTACACATTACTTTTGTGAAATCTTCTAATCTCGACAAATGGACAGTGAATAATCTGCGGAGATTCAAACTCGGTGGAAACCACAAGGCTCGGGAATACTTTATGAAGCACAACGGTAAGCAATTTTTAGGTACCAACGTGGACGCACGCATGAAATATACCAGTTCGGTAGCTAAAAACTATAAGACTCACCTTGACAAGCTAGTCGCTAAAGATATGGAACAATACCCGGGACAAATCGTGCTAACAGGTGATGACGAAACCGGGGAATTGTCATCTGGATCAGGATCTAATTCGGTGGGATCGTCACAAAATAACAGTGTTGACGATTTTTTCTCAAGTTGGGAAAAGCCTCCTGCCGCTACATCGTCTTCCCCTAAGATTCTGACACCCTCGAGTACAGGCAATTCCAGAAATGCGTCAAAAACGTCAATCTTGAGTGGTAACAGCAACAGAAGAAGAACCGCAACAGCTGCTCCTGGTGCCGCCAAGAAACACTCGATTTTGTCTTCCGGTAGAAAAACGACACGCGTTGCTGCTCAAAAATTGCAGAAATCAGAAGCGGAAAGCATGTTTGATGACTTTGAAAAAGCTGCCTTGCTAGAAGCAGAAGAAGCTTCGCCGAAGTTAACAAGCAAAAGCACTTTGGAAACGAAAACGGTGTATCAACAACCCACACCCGTGAGAATAAATTCCTTCGATGAAGAAGAGGGCCAGGAGTATAACGATGGTGTCACATTTGATCAGGTTCGACAAGGGTTTGCATCTTCGGATGCTGATACTGCTAAGCCCAAGCTTGCCAAACTAGGTTTTGGTATGACCATGAATAATGCTGATCAACTTGCTAGCAAGGAACAAGAAGCAAAGAGGGCAGCAACTGGTCCCAAATACACCGGACAGGTTGCAAACAAGTACGGAGCTCAAAAAGCCATTTCTTCAGACCAATATTTTGGAAGGGGAAATTATGATGAGCAAGCCTCCAAAGAGGCTCAAGATAAATTGAAGAGCAACTTCAATAATGCAACATCTATATCCTCATCCAACTATTTTGGAGAAGAAGAACCGGAAGTCGACGAGTTTGGACGTCCAAGACTGAACACGCAAAACAGCGGATTTGTCGATTTCAACAGCGGGGCAGATGATGAATTCCAAGTGATCAAGGATGCCGTTGAACAAGGAGCTCAGAAGTTGGGTAACTATTTGAGGGATTACTTAAGAAACTGAAAACTCGATTCGTGTGGCTTATGTGTATGTATACGTACGAGAAAGTTCTGTTATAAGGTGCGAAAAGGCAAATGACGCGCAGGGCGTCATACTTAGAAACACCGTAAAAAGAACCCCACTATTGAGATTTTACCTAAAACCTATGCAATCATTAAAACCTGGCAATGTACTATATATAATAGAACGATTTTGAAAACGAACGACAAAACTTGTTAAAAACAGCTAAGATGTGGCACTTTTCATTCTAACCTTCTCCTCTTCATATCATCTGGCAAGTCACTGTTCGGTGTGGCCATGGAGCTACCGCTAGACTTGTTCTTACGTTTCTTCGCCCTTATGGCGTTGCCGCTGCCATCCAAGTCGAAAGCCAAATCCTCGGCTTGGAAACCGTTTGCCTGAAACTCAGCAGGATTGCTTCTTCCAAACTGTGAAAGCACGGTTTGACAAATGTCCCAATCCATATTTTGAGTATCAAATAAAGAATTGTCACGCTCGCACATGAGCTGCCGCCATTGATCAGGTGCCATCTCTGAGGTTCGTTGTACCTGGGAAATCATGTCTGGATTGTTTTGAAACAAAATTGGAGCAATATCGCCACCTTTGCCGTTATCTCGGGTTGGGATGACGGAAAATTTCCCGGAAAGGTCATTAATCTGGTTTTTATAGGATTTCCGCAGTTTTACGGCTTTTGTACCGTCTGAATTTGTGCGTGCAACCTGTTGTGATATATCTTGGAGGCCATACACCGATATCAGGTCGTCCAATGGGTCTGGCTGTTGTGAGTGGTACAACGTTGACGGGTCTACATAATAGTAGTATGCTGGTGAAATGTTCTCTTCCATAGTAGTGGTCATGCCGGGCGATACAATCTGGGCGTTTGAAAAAGACTAAAACTCGGGCTTCAAAGCTGATTGGAAAGCACTTTTTCGAACGTAGGATAAACTTAGTACTCTTTTATGGTTGTCCGTTCCTTCTTACCCTAGGTGAAACTTTTGGCAAAAGTTGAGAGGCGATGAGTGTGGCTAAAAACTGAGGCAGTAACGTCGTTCGTGACTCCGTTGGAATTCCGGGTGGCGGTGCTCACAGACTGAGAGAATGCCTAAGAAACCAAGAATGACACTTGTCACAATGGATTAGTCACCTTAATGAATTATGGTCCTATTTTTTCCCAACTGTTTCTGTTGAGATCAGTTTCTGGAGCCAACAATGTGTTTTTGTTGTAGATGTGGAACGTTATTAAGATTAGTGGACAATGGGTACTGTTATACGAGCTATCACGTGCCTATCAGCTGACTTTATAGATAATTATGAATAAATGGTACTAGAGCAAAGCTTCGAAGCTAATAATGGGCTGTGAGGAGGTGGATAGCGTTTAACTGGCTTAATTTGATGTTAATTTCGTGATTTTCCTATCCTTATTCATTATTTGCGTTTGGATTGGACTGTTATTTGTGTTCATGATGTGGTGTGTGGGTTTGTATTACCGTCTTATTTCAATATTCTAAAAAAATGAATAAACCAATAAACTGTTTTTTGCGTGGGTTCCGTTTAGCTACTTTCTTTTTGCGTCGGTTTCCCGAAACTAGACGCTTTGGCTGGTGGGAAGGGCTGCTAGCGCCCCCTGCTACCATCGTGGTTACGCCCGTCTGTAGCGGCTCCGCGCCCACCACATCCTTGCCTGATGAAAGTCTAGTAGGCTCGCAGGCTTGCCACCTTCCGGATCCTGGGCAGGGCCCCTTCCAGAGCTCTGTCTAGAGTTTCCCTCTACGCTGGCCTGGCCCTCTTGCTACGCTGCACGATGGAACCGATCATTCACTTTGGAAAACAATTTGACGTCTGTAAAGAAGTGGAATTGTTAACTGTTACTATTCACACACTAGAATCCACGGAAAGTAACTGCAAAGGTATGTGAGATAGTGCGCACTAGTAGCTACGGCGTTGAGGAAAACATAGAATACGTGTGTGGGTCTGTGCTTCCCAGGCGAGGCGATTGATGTACAGAAAAACTCAAGGATTATATGTGTGAAAGATGATCAACGATGATGATAAAAAGATTACCGTTTGAGACCGGAAACGACTGAAGCAAGCTCCATATATAGCTTTGCTTGATTTTCAAAAGATGGCATACATGGCCCTACGTTGTGGCTGATTTTTCCCGAATGGTAGAAACGCTATTCAATAATTTCAATTTATCCCACACTCGATAGTCGTCTTTCAGTTTGTGGGTTCGTGAACCTGGCATTTGTGCCTGTCCTTCCGCTGTTTCCTCACGCACCCGATGCTTCCCCTCCCACCTAGACTTTTTTTTACTAACAATTCCCATTTTTTTCAGATGGCTGCTTCTATACCACACCCAAAGATTGTGAAGAAACACACCAAGAAGTTCAAGCGTCACCACTCGGACCGTTACCACAGAGTCGCTGAGAACTGGAGAAAGCAAAAGGGTATCGACTCCGTTGTGAGAAGAAGATTCAGAGGTAACATCTCAGAACCAACCATCGGTTACGGTTCCAACAAAAAGACCAAGTTCATGCGTCCTTCCGGCCACAAAACTTTCTTGGTCGCTAACGGCAAAGATTTGGAATTGTTGGTCATGCACACCAAGACCTACGCTGCTGAAATCGCTCACAACGTCTCTTCCAAGAACAGAGTCTCCCTTTTGGCCAGAGCCAAGGCTTTGGGCGTCACCGTTACCAACCCTAACGGCCGTTTGGGTTTGTCTGCCTAAACGCTTACAAGTGCTGACAAAAATTTAGGATCTCTGTTGCTTCTTAATCAAGAACACACACCGAATTTTTATTACATTGTATACTTTAAAACCAAACCATTTACTGACATAGATCTTCGAACCATTGATGCATAAAGCCCTTCCCAATGTTCCTCAATTACGTGAATCATTTTTAAAAAAAAAGGTTACAGTGTCTGACTTCCTCTCTACATATCAAATCCGTCTAGGACAATAATTAAGAACTTTGCCAATCTGGGTTGCATTTCCAGCTTTCACACGCTCGAACTTCGACTACTCTCTGTGCGTTTCCCCCTCTCTCTGTTCCCCACCTCTCAGTAGTACAACCAACCTAGAACCAATGCGATAAGTGCAACTAATAGAATCATGACGGGGTTCAGAGTGGATTCCTGCTTTGCAGGAGAAGTAGGACCGGTAATCCCAGAGCCCAGGGTGCTTGAACCTTCTTTATCTTCCGAGCCATGCGACTTTTCCTCAGACCCACTGGTCAAATCCTTCTTGATAGCATCAGACAAAGGTACGGATTCCTTAGGTTGGCTTTCTGGTTTGGTAATGTCTTGAATATCATTTTCGTTCAGTTCAGGCTTCTTTGCAGTGTCGTCGGACTTTGCTCCTGCTGCAGCTGCTGCTCCACCGGCAGACTCCTGAGCTGATGGCTCAGCATCCAATATGTAGTTGACTTTAATCTTTTTGGATACCGCATTTTCTTTGAACTCCGCTTCCAGCTGAGGCCAGGCCTCTGTAACGCTAGATGACCCCAAATCGTATGGGGCCGGCAAAGTGATCACAAGAAACTTGTCACGGCACTTGAAATCCGCAGCTGGCTCCTTGGCAAGACCTAGTAGAATGACCTGGACTTGAACTTGTTCCCCTGGGCCCACCAAAGCCGCATTGGGTCTGACGCAATAAAACTTAGGAGCTGTAGTCTTGACCTTGAAAGCCACAGCTTGATCCGAATTATTGGTTACAGTAACGTATTCGGTAGCTTGTGCTGTGAAGGGAGCTGTACAAATAGGGTTAGTATGTGGGAATACGACGGATTTTAAAAAAGCCCCTAATAATGGTGATTTTAAGCATTTTTAGCGATGGAAACTGAACAACTCGACCCAAGGGCGCAACCAACAGCACAGGAGCACTTCAAAAGAGAAACCTATTGGAACCCGCTTCGCTTCTTCAAAAACACCGAAGCTCAATAGAACCTGTATTTCACATTAGTCCAAATACCTTGAAATGATGCAATTTTTCAAGAAGGAGCTGAGCTGAGCTGAGCATTGTTTTTAAACAAAAAAGAGTGCCAATGGTACCAAAAAATGCCCCTTTTTGGTCCGAAAGAAAAACATACGTTTGTACTCCAGTACACTGGGTTTAATATCGATCATTGTTGGTTTGGAAAGCTCTTGTTGTTGTCTTAAAGTTGGTTTAAAAGGTAGCTTGATTCGGATTGAATTTGGGTTGATATATTTGGACTTTTATTTCAGTTATATGATTAGAGTGTGATTTTTTCGCGAGTACAGCCCCGCGAGTACAGCCAAAGACGAGCGGCGTCACGAAAAAAACTAACGACAGCGGTGAACTGCTACCAAGAGCGCGTTGAAAGCATACAACGACAGTATCTTGAACTGGGCTTGCAGTGGTTTGGGAGATATGTAAATGTTTGGGTAAGGATTTGAACTATTTGATGTGTATTGAGGGCTTCCTCTTAGGTTCTCAGAAATTTTAACGTTCAGTAATCCTCGCCTCTGGACACAACTTCTTTCTTATGTGGATGCAGTAAGATTGTGTGTTCGTATTGTGCTGTGTATGAGCCCTGAATGTCGCTTAAAGGGGGATATTCTTCAACCACTCCGTGCTTGACCAGACTGTTAAGCGCAAACAAATATTTTTCTTCTCCCAAACGGTCCAAATAGCGACGACACCAGGGCAAAGTGCCGAAATTGTCGTCGATGGTCTTGAGCAAAGATTTGGCCTTCGACAACGCAGGCGTGGGAAAAGAACCCTCGTTTTTGGCGTAATGCGAAACCTCGCCCCCTGATATCACGTACCCGCGTCCCGTGGTTCCAAAAGTCTCGATCGCAAAATGCTCGCCCTCTTCCATCTTGGTCTGATCCCCATTTTTCACCAGCGGCACGGATTTCCCCCCGTGGATCTTGTAAGGGCCGATATTGTGGCCACACAGATTCCTGCAGGGCTTGACTTGGTATGTTTTGCCGTTAAGCTCCACTTCGTACGATTCCATAACTTCCTGGATAGCTTCGCCAATGTCGGTGAGTCTGACATCAATACCAGATTCACGCACACCTGTGTTTGTTGCCTCCTTGACAGCAGTCAACAAATTGTCGTATTTCGAGTCAAAAGTTACCGTGAACGCGGAATCCACGATATACCCGTTGACCTGAACTCCGATATCGACTTTCATCACGTCTTCGTATCTCAAGATTGTCTGATCGCCAGCATTAGGCGTGAAATGCGCTGCACAATGGTTTAAAGATACACCTGTAGGGAACCCAATTCCTTGCGATTTGGGACGATCCTTGTGGTCACCGTTTTCGTCCACTCCGGTGAATTTGCGAGTTGCGTTTTCAACCACGTTGACCACATCTGTTAAACTCATATCGGGCTTCAATTTGTTCTGCAAGTTTTTACGCACACGACGATGGATTTCCGATCCCTTACGCATGTCGTTCCATCTTTCGGCATGATCTTGGTCCCTAGCCAAATACCGTTTTTCCTCATCGGTAGTTCTTTGTAGATTTTGGTCCTGATGGTAGTCCATCCATTCACCTTCTGGAAATTTCAAATCTGGATACAGAAGCTCGATATTCTTGATGTTGTTGGTCTTTTTCTTCTTTTTCTTGTTCTTCTTCTTGGCTCCATCGATAACCTCTACGTCCGAAACGTTCTTCTCGGTCGGTTTTGGTTCAATTTGAGTCTTTGAAGTCGCTGTTTTTTCGGTCAGACCATTGTCCACCACTGGGGCACTGTTAGACCTAGCCTCACTCATCGTTAAAGAGTCTGGAAAGTAGTTTCCCGGTGTTAATAAATTTCTTGTTCTTTAGTCAAGTTGAAGTGCAAGTTCATCATCGAACGTAACTCATCTCTGAAAAATTTCAATACTTACCAGGTTGACGAAAAGGACAAAACAAGCCCATCTTCAAGCCCTTACCGTGGTGAATTGACGCTACAAATGCTGAGCAGGGGAGTAACTTTTGTTACGGGTCAAAAAAGAGCTTTTTCAGCCGGGTTTCAGCTTCTGAATAGCTCAAGTTCACCACTTTTCGATCCAACACAACTGAACCCTTTGAGCAACGAAAGGAAGAGTTCCCAGGCATCGGCAAAACTGCGGATCAACACAGGCGAGCAGCCGCAGCAACAGCAACAGCAACAAAGATATGCAGCGGTGTCGTTTGTTGCGTCTCCCAAGGAGGATGCATTGACGTCCAGGTTGACCGGCATTCGTGCCGGCAGAACCGTGGATGTGTTCAATGGAGACACAGCTGGAGCATTTAGACAGCTCAATTCTGTGGTGTTTGCAAACCGCATTGCCCAGGATAAACGTAGTCAACGGTACCACATCAAGCGTGGTAAAGTTAAGGAAATGCGTTCTTCGCAACGTCACCGTCGTGAGTTTATGAAGGGGTTCAAGAGGCTTATCGAGGTGGTCAAGGATGCAAAGCGGAAGGGTTATTGAGACTACAGGGGAAATCAAAACCCAACTGCTCTGCAGTTGAATATTTTGAACATAGTTAAAGATATATTTTAGTACATAGTGTAAGACCACGGCTTTTGAGAGTGGAGTCTTGCGAGCTCTCGGAAGGGTACGGAGATTGTGATCAGGTAGAGAAGAGGTAGTAAAGTTGCAGAACGTAGTTTAATCTGCGAGTCTCTTTTGCCGATTGTTTGGAACTCAATGTCAATCAACGTGTTGTAAACAATAAATCATGATCGACTAATCCATAAAAAGAGAAAACATTGAAAATCACAATTTATAATTCGACTCCAAATGGCGCACCATGCTAGGAAAATTGCAGCTTTCAAAACAACAAGCACCGTAATCGTAGAGTCACCAAATTTTGGAGTTTTTTTTTTTTTTTTCTCTCTTCTATCCAGGTCTGCCAGCCTGATGATAGCCAGATTAGAACACCAAGGCGAGGTTGAATTTGCCATGCAAATTCTAATAAGATTACGATAAACATTAAAGCTCCTCGTCTTTCTCTCTACGCCAGGCCTGTTTGTTGATTCGAGCGCTGGAAAAATTAGGATCACTTTGTACTAATGTGTCGCGTTTTTCTGTCATCCCGCTTGAAAGGTCAAAAACTGTACCGATAAGTGTCGAAACATGCGGAAATGTACAAATAGCTGAGATAAAAATACATCAAGGCCCTATACAATCCACTTAGTCTCGTTTTTCTTCTATTAAATCTCTAAAAATTTGGCCAAGATTTCAAAAGTCGTCAAAGTAAATGAAATTTCCATAGGAAAGACCACATTATTTGACCTGAACTTTCAACGATAGAATCGTATCAAATTGGGGAATCAACAAATTATCATGAGTCTTTAGTTTCGTCGAATTCGCTTGTCGTACACAGGGATATCAAATATTGAATTATTCGAATATCTCTAATAACATCTACAACTACTGTCATTCATACCTTTGACATCCTCAATTCACGTCAATTCATCCCGGCTTTTGCTCCCCACGGTTGAGGATTCCCGTATCATTGCATAACTTCATTCCCCTTCCAACGAATGGGCTCGTCGTGTTCATCCGGAGTGCTCACGCTTCTCCACACTGCTTGTGGAGCCGGTATTTTAGCAATTCCATTCGCTTTTAAACCATTTGGACTCTTTTTCGGATTTCTCATGATCTTTTTTTGCGGATTGTGTTCCTTGGCTGGACTGATCATCCAAGGTAGAGTGTCAAAATACGTGGAATCAAAGAATGCATCGTTTTTCGCTTTATCCCAGGTCACATATCCACAGTTGAGTGTAGTTTTCGATTTAGCAATAGCTGTGAAATGCTTTGGCGTGGGTGTTTCGTATCTGGTAGTGGTGGGCGATCTTCTGCCGCGGATATTCGGCGTTTTCACGTCGCATGCACTTTTTCTGAGCCGAAACTTCCATATCACAATGGTAATGCTTTTTATCGTGTCACCGCTGTGTTTTTTGAAAAAACTAAGCTCTTTGCGCTACGCCTCCATGATTGCCATTTCATCTGTAGCCTATCTGTGTGGATTAGTGCTAATGCATTTTTTTTGGCCCTCTGACGAAATTCAAGATTTGAAAGGTAACGTCAGCCTTGGAGTACCGCACGGCCCTATCACTGCTCTTTTCAGCTGTTTCCCGATTTTTGTGTTTTCCTACACTTGCCATCACAACACATTCTCTATTATCAATGAGTTACAAAACAATTCGGTCAAAGCTATCTATAAGATGGCATCAATTTCAGTTTTGGTGGCGATGACGTTGTATCTGGCCATTGGTGGAAGTGGGTACGCAACTTTTGGCGATCATGTTGTTGGAAACATTGTCACCCTGTACCCGCAATCCCCAGCGACTACCATCGGACGCATTGCAATTGCACTTTTGGTGATGTTGGCTTTCCCGCTGCAATGTCATCCTGCGAGAGCTTCAATCGACCACATGTTGCATTTTTTCAAACCGCGTACCGGAAATGAAGCACAGGAGCTTGAGACTTCACAGCTCATCGAGCCGACAACGGAAGACGAACGCGAAATTCAGGCCGAAGAAGGTGCAGACGGAGGAGTAGGATCTCAACAGCAACAAATCGCGCTCCCTCTCGAGGGTAAACGGTTCATCATGATAACCACATCCATTCTTGTTCTATCCTATCTGCTCGCCGTGTCTGTGACCTCATTGGCTCGCGTCCTGGCAGTCGTCGGAGCCACTGGCTCAACATCGATCTCCTTCATTCTTCCTGGCATTTTTGGCTACAAACTGATAGGCTCCGAGTACGAGGCGAGCCAGATGCCCGCGTCATCGCAACGACTCAGGTTTCTTTCACTTGCTCTATCGTTATGGGGGGTAATGGTGCTCATAACATGCTTGTCTGCAACTCTATTTTTTGGTGCTGGTCACTAAAAACATGATTTTTGTAACACCCAAACCTTCTCAGCACCGTATTTTGAAGTTCACAGCATCAAGACAACACTATTGCAATTGTTCACTGGCGGCTGAATGCGTTCGGTGTTCAGCTCCGAATTAGAATGGCCACTTGTCCACCATCACTCACAACACTATCATCAAAAGTTGCTCCCAGAAGTCCTTCCAGTTGCCGGATTACCTTCAAATCCACTCAAGAGTTACCCACACGAACAGAGATTACGAATCCGGTCTCAGATGACTTTAAAAGCTACTGTGTCGAGCATAAAAGCCAAAAGTTGTTGATTTTTGTTAAATTCTCGAACTTTACGTATATTATACAAATATCAAAATAAACCGTGTCTTACAAACATTGGTGAAATTTCGCGAAAGACAGTGAAAAGAAGGGAATACGTGCTTTTCAAAATACCAATCGTGGCGATGGGTAACAGGAGAGAGGCCGAAAAGATGCGGCACAGTCCGCACCGAGTTCACGAATTTAGTTTGGCGAATTTACTCACTGATCCGTTCGCCATTTCGCTGCTGTCGCTGGCATTGATATCATGGATCATTGCGTTCGTTGGGTCGATTGCAGCGGCTGCTAACAACCGAGACTACCCTCCGTTTGCGTGGTGGGGAATAGTTTATCAAATGCTGCTGTTGATAGCCATTTTCTTGCTGTACTGCTACGATTTGGTGGATTACTACAAGACGTTTCTTTCAGCAGGTTTGGCGGTGGCTTTTATTTACACGACCAATAGTACAGGGGATTTGATCTATCGAGACGGCTCGAAAGTGGCAGCTGCGTCGGCAGGACTCATTCTGCTTTCGATGATCAATGCTATATGGCTATTCTACTTTGGTGCGGACAACGCTTCGCCTTCGAACAGATGGGTGGATTCGTACTCTTTGAAGGGCATCCGTCACTCTGTATTAGAGTCCTCGATAGCATTGAGCGGCCGTCCCACTGGTGTACCACAACGCAACGTGTCGCGATACTCGACAAATTTCAACGAAGACACGAACCGTTTTAGCGAACGTATTCCTCAATCTCACCATCTTTACCCAGAATCACACTCCCAACACTACGTTTCGTCCACCGCATTAAACGGATTTGAAAATGCGGGTCCCCCAGCAGCTCCAGCACTCCAAGAAAACGTTGCAAATTCCCACAATTCAAATACATTCTTCACCGACACCACTAACGGCAATACGGAAACAACGATGGGTGACACTCTGGGGCTATATAGCGACGCTGGTAACGAACTGGGAAGCTTTCCTTACACAGCTAAGGCTCTTTACACATATTCGGCTGACTCAAACGATGCCTACGAAGTATCGTTCGAGCAGGGCGAAATTTTGAGAGTTGGCGATATCGAAGGCCGGTGGTGGAAGGCTAAAAGGGCAGATGGTGAAACAGGCATAATTCCAAGCAATTATGTTGAGCTGGTTAGCGACGGTACAGTTTAGACTAACACCGTTTTATGTAAAGTATTCACGTATACGTGGAAAAGACGTTTTTTGTTTCTGGTTAAGGATGTGAATTATAAAGCCTCGAGAGGAATGCATGTATCAGTAGAATGGCGACCATCCCATGTAGATGGTTGCTAGATTGTTTACATCAGTGGCCTGCTGGATAAGTTCTTGAACTGTAGCCTCGACGCTCAAACCATTTCCTTCGAGTTTGGTTTGAACGTCTTTCAATGCCCTCATTGATTCGTTATTATCCTCTTTTGAGCCAAGAGCGCTGGCATTGACTCCAAGCTCGGCACTGTCGTCGGAGATGTTGGCCTGCAGCTTCTTCCTTCGCAGTGGCGACACTACCCAAGAGTACAGCGGATCCCATTTCAGCACATTCAAAACACTCATCACTCTATCACGTTCTGTGTGCAAAACAGAAAAGACCCGTTCACAGTTCTTACGAAAGATTCCATCAACTCCTGTTACTCCAAGAGCATCAACCATGTCTCGAGTCAGTCTAAAGGGTACAAGCTCTGGAATAGCCAAAAACTTTCCCTGATCAAATGCAACGCCCAAGTCTATGTGTACGGGCTCGCCGTTGGACTTGTCCAGTAAAATGTTATTCAAATGTCTATCACCGAGCCCTAAAACGTAGCCCACAATAGAGGTTGTAACGACTCCTTTAGTATACGCATATTTTGCATCCAGCCACTCCTGAGCATTCCCGAATGATTGGAAAAAAAAGGTTCGCAGTTGAGGTTTTATTGACTGGCATATTGTTGAATAGATATCGACTCTATCCTTGAGTGGCTTGCTTTGGCTTTGCTTCATCAGTTTTCGGGCCTTGTCGAAGGGCATTTGATCGATTCTGTGCAACTTATTCAGTACCTCATGAAGAGAAACGGAATTGGCGACAAACTCAATAAGCCCAGCTTGAGGACCTAATGGAACAACTTCGTAGGTCCTCACCCGCAAATTTCGCCTCCTCGTTTGCTCGTTTCTGATCAAAATCTGATTAACCTGTTTAAAAACTTGTTCCATGATCGAGTCCTGCCTGAGATCGTCATTACTTCCCTTCAAGAGAACCTTATGCTTAGTTCCGTCAGATAGGTAAAATGTCGCAATTTTTGGAAGCGATAGCCCCGACGATGAAATGTGCACCACTGGATCAAGGTGCGTTATTGTTGGACGCGATTTGCGACCATCTGCCGAACACGATATAGTTGCCGAAATAGTTGGTAGAGATAAGGCTCGCTGCCCTATTGATTCAAGCCAATACTTGCCAAATCTCAAACTCCTCAGGTCAATACTACGACTTTCCTTTGGAGCTTTCATGCATGAGAAATCAACAGACTTTTGGCAGAATTCCTCTATGGGATCGAGATAATCTCTGAAGAATTGGCCGTTGTCATACCGTTTTAATTCTTCGAAAAGTTTCTCCACTGCTTTCACTCTGAACAGTATGCCTGGATCATTTATCGGCTGGACTTTCTTGTATAATTTGAGACTGACCAGCGGGTACAAGGTTTCGTTCGGAAGCTTGAACATCACTCGCTTCAGTGTGAGCTGTAAATTGCGCTGAAACGATGTACCATCCATACTGAGGCGGGAGGTTAGCTGATGAATCCACGGGAGAAATTTGAAGCTGGGAATTGAGCTAATTTCATGATACAATTTCGAGTTGAGTTCCCCGTCGTCAGCGTATTGGAACCATAACCCACAAAATTTATCCAAAACGTCTTCATCCAGCCTATCCCCATATACTAATGCACTTAAAAAAAAATGCACAGATTTCCATGCAAAAAGTTTCTGCTGTTTGGATAGGTTGATCAGAATCTCTTGATCTTGTTCAATTTGCAGCTTCAATCTGTTAAAATGTTTTTTGGCCTCTTTTCTATCTCGCTCGTGCGCATTTGTGTCTCGAACAATTTCCAATAGCCCTGAAAGTTCTACTTTTCCGTGATCAGAGCGCGATTGTCGCTCACTAGCTGTTGCATCATTTTCGAGTCGTCTCAGCTGTTTGAAACAAAACTCACCAAATCTAAGGAAAATTCTGGCACGATCATTGTATTCTTCAACCTCAGACACTTCGCTTTCTGTCTCAGAAATGTATTTGGCGTATATGGACTGAGCATCTTCTTTCCTCAGCAGTGAAGCCCATTCAGCTATTAGGGCTTTTACTTGGACTTGCGGAATGTTGGCTTTTCCTACCAATTGATTTGTATTGTCCAAATCAACATCTTCAACATCGTGAAATAGGCCCTCAAGTATCGAAACCGCTACTTGAGTGTTTCCTTGCAGCCAGAGAGCCTGTGCACCCTCAAAACATGTCAAGCGTTTCCATGCATCAGAGTTCGACGATACGGCCATTGAAGTGACTTTTTTATCGAGCAGCATCGCTGACGTCAGAGACTCTTGTAAATCGTGGTTTTCTCGGGATAGAGAGGCATATCTCGATATTTCGAGTAGCTCGCAAACTTTCAAGTTTGTAACATTGATCTTTATTGAGCGATTATTGTTCGAAAGACCCAAAATGCTCTGCCGCCCTTTCATTTGCACTTGATGATCAAGAAATGAGGTTTGCTTAATGCATTTGATATCGTAAAGTTCGATTTGGTCCATAAGCACTTTTAAAAATGGTGAATTATCGGCGTTTTCGTTGAACATTTCAGCAGATATGGCGGCAACTAATGATCTTGCCCATGATTTTTCTTCATTAAATAAGGTCGAGTCGGCAACAACTTCTTTCAAATGACTTCTCACTATTTCGATAGTATTGTGAGGGGAATTGAACATTTTCTTCGATAGTGCGTAAAGGGCGTCTGAGTCCGCGGAAAAGTGCTCGGGAACTGGAATATCCCATCTATTCAGCCTTAAGCACCATTCAAAAGAATCCTGTTTCTCACTGTATTCTTGATTAGTGTTAAGATTGCGCAATACATCTGCTAATCCGCTAAAACCATTCAAACTGCTTGTCTTGATAAGGTCTTGTATTTGTGGGCTCTTCCCCGTTGCGGTATCGACGTCAAACTTACTGTTATTAAACATGAAATTCTTGAAACTTCTTGAGTTGAACTCATTGACAGAGGAGAAAGCGGACTCGAGTGACGGCTTTATAGGTAAAGCTTGAATTAGATCAAAATCGCCCAGACCATGGAATACAGGCTGCATCATTTTTACATCGCCCGAATTGATATTAGTGGTAAACTCTTCGAACAGCATGAAGGCGAGCTCAACCATGTCCACCATTGAAGCAAGATTGAAAAATTTCTTGAGCTCAAGCCTCGAATAAAGCTCCTTAAATGAAATGTTGCCCTTCACAGCTTCAGACTTAACCAGAGAAAACAAATGTAGTATGAGAAGGGTTTTTGGGCGGAAATCGACAGCATTGGTATTAGCTGTCAAGAAATCGGATGCCTCGAAGCAAAGCGATATAAATGCGGAGGCACGTTTCGAATCCATTCGTTCCAGGACCAAGAGCATGTCTAAGAAAAGCGCTTCCAGAAAGTCCAATTTTTCATGCACCAAAGCTGCAACTGCGCAGAACCCAGGCAACAAAAAATCAAGCTCGTGGCTCAAAGCAGTAAGCAATTTTGCTATCCATTCCGCGAAAGGCATGCGGTTTGTGTCGCCAATTACTTCACCTGCCGAAGCGTGCTCTACAACAAAGGCGATTCTCAGTGCCGGAAGTAATCGAAATTCTCGATCACTCAGCGGAAAGATGTCGCAAGAGTAAGCTTCTTGAGTACAATCTTTCGAGATTGCGCCCGCCATCAGCGACAGGACTAATGAAATAAGGAAAAAAGATTTAGAATTCGTCGTGGTGTTGCGAAACTCATTTATGTTAGCCACAACATTGACGAGAGGAAGAGCAGCTTTTTGAGAAACGATTGACCTATTCGATAGTTGTTTTGGCAGCGAAGCATTCTTTAAATAATACCCTCCAACGTAGTACCCCCTCCATAGATCGAAGTTTGGTGTTGTCGCTGCCTGCAAATCCGGAAGTGTCAATAAATTCCTTGTCACTTGCTTTGAGAATTCAAAATTCAAAGGAAATGGTCGCGGCTCCGCATGGTAGCGATATATCTGGGAGAGAAGTAGAAACCTTTCCTTTGATGGAACATCAGTCCTTAGCAGGTCATCATCCATATAAACATCCGTGGTCAAAAGCTCCCCTTTCAAGATATTCAAACAAGAATTCCATAAACTGGCATGATTTTGAATTGCACGCGACCCCTCAAGCTTCACCTGGCGCTCTAAATCGTTAATGATGGGATCATCTGAGGAAGAGTAGTCGACTAGCAAGCATGAAAAAACAGCGGCGTACATTTCGACTGCTCCCTCATGACGATCCGCACAAAGGGAGATAAAGTTAATAACTCTTCTAATGAGGCCTTGCGACTCCAAACGTAGTTCCTTTTTTTCGAACGTATGCGCCAAAATTCGGACCAATCTTGTTAAATAAGTACAGTTTTCCAAATAGCTTTCTCCCAAAATCAAGACGCATTTCAGTTGTCTTAAGTTGTTAATTCTTAAGTGAGTTGGTTTGGTCATTTCCAGTTCTGCGGCAAGTCTTGACAATAAAAAGTCATAATCCCGGCTGCCCCAGCGATGAGCTTGAATGTGCACCTTGAGTAGACTCAAAGATGTCGAAGCTGATACACGAATGCGCGACTGGCTTTTGACCTTCGTGCAAGTGTCTTCGACAAAAGCTTCCACCAGAGCAGACCCAGGGAAGAGTTTTTTAAAGGCGGAATTCAAGTCGGAAAGCACGTCTAACTCCGTGAAATTTAGTACCCAGTATGTGATCTCATGAGAAAGTTTCCCGACGAGCTTCGTGTACTGTTTACCAAGAGTAACTCGAAGTTGTCTCAATACTTCATCAGATCTCCAGATGGTAGTGTGACAGAGTGGTAAAACTAAGTGGAGGCATTCTACTAAAAGATCTGCCTCTGTTTTCCCATTTACCTCCATGAGCTTTTCAATGAGAAAGCTTAACTTGCTCTTTTGAGAAAAATAGACAGCAGAGACCTCAACTGCGAACCGTTTCAAAAAAGTATCGACGGACTCAAAGTCGAACGCAAATGCTTGCCATGAACCTAAGGCCCTTGATGAATCATCAAGACTTACTCTATACCAATGATCGATGACTTCAAAACGACTAAAGTAAAATAGCTCTTGCACGCTGGTAAATTTGTTCGTGTGAGCAAGGATCTGGAGACAGCGCTTTCCATAAAACGACGCAAATACATTTTCTCGACCGTTCATCATATCAAGTGTGGACAAAACTGCTTGACAGGTAGACGCGACAGCTATTTTCGACAAAATTAGGGCATGGAAAGCTGGGCCCTCGAAAGAGATCGAAGACGGCCCGAAGATGGTCGCTATCTCAGTGAAGACTATGCTCTGGTTTTTGTAGCTTATTTGAGACAGGTAATGCTGTATTCCTGCTATTGCTTTCGAGATCGCAAACAGAGGCAGGCGCTGGATGCAAAGAATCAGGTCTCCAAACACTTTCTGTTTCCCACCTGTAGCCACTCCATTAGAAAGGTCATGAAATCTTAACATATCTAAGAGGAGCTTAGATATGCTGGTGATTGCAGTGATCTCACAAAACTGATTCTCGTGAAGCTTAGTGATAATCCAGTGAAAAATGTCAGTCAAATCGGCCTGTAAGTTATCTTCTTTGTTGGACAGCCATGCCCACCGAATTGAATCTAAGTAAGTTGCTAGTCTGGACATTGCCTCATCAGAGGTGTTGTATTTGACGCCGAGCAACGTGGATGCGAATATCTGAGTTAACTCCTCCAACAAAGACAAATAGATAGTTTTTTCATCAAGTTTCTGCAGAAAATGAGAAACGGCTGGAACTGCCGCTGCGATGTAATTTTCCGGAAGCCCTTGTAAGAGTGAAACAAGATTTTTGAGCTTTTCTTCATCTGTAATCCCAAAAATGAGTAAACCTTCAATGGTTAACAGCTTCAAGACATCGTTCAGTACAGAAATGTCATCGTCGGCTAGCTCATTTGAATTAGCTTTAGGTGTCGAAGTTTGTGACCGCAATTCATGCGCATCCTCAAATTCATCCATCAAGTGTTCATTGGAACCCAAGACGTTCTCGTTCAGGAAAATCTTTCTCAGCTTTTCTAGAGGTTTTGAAATTCCCAAATTCGAAAACAAGACGTGCGAACGAGTGGCAAACGACCTTAATTGATATATTTCATTCAAAGAGCTCCGAGAAAAGAAGCTATATGCGTCATGAATGCTGCTAGCTACAGTAGCGATTTGATCACTCAAGTCCTCTGAATGGCTGATAAAACTTTCATTACCGGCCAGATGAAAACTTAGCTTCACTGCTTCACAGCACCATCTCAATTTTGCTGCATCGCCCCTTCCTGGATCTCTCGGAAAATTAGTAAAATCTCGCCAGAATGGTGAAAGCGCATTAGGTTCAGGGGAGAACCGTGCGGCTACCTTTGATACTTTTGAATGCGACGAACCGACCGGAGTAGCTAAAAGGCATTGTCGCTCTTCATCATAATTTTCCCAGGCAGAGAAGTACAAGCTTGATTGAGGCGCTAATAAGCTTCTTCGAAAATGACCTTCATCGTCAGGAAAACTGCCCGCAAGCCACGCCACAAACAGATAAAAGTGTTCCTGCTCGGGCTTTTTAAAAGCAATTTGCTCCCACTTGCATTTCAACCAAGCCAAGATATTAGTTGAAGGCAGAATTTGTGCCCGAGGCCTATGAGAGAAATCGAGTTCTGAGAGGCATTTCCAAAATGCAAAAGTTTCATCATTAACTAGTGCAGGACCGTTAACGTCAGCTAATTCAAACAAATGATCCACCTGCTGACAGATGGTGACATCCGAAATCAAATCGCGACCATAAAACTCCATTAAGTTCTTCAAAAGAGCGCATGCACTTCTACACAAATCTCGAGATTTGACGAAAGGAAGGCATAACACAAATGTTTTCTGAATTAGACCCAGCTCTAAACGACAATTGCTATTCGACACAAGAGGCAGCAATGCAAAACAGACCCAGCCCTCAAAATGTCGTTTTTCGAACTTCTGGAAGACTACTACAGCGAGGCGATGAATGTCGGTGGGATGCAAATTAAAATTTGTTGCGTAAAAGCCGCATAATTGAAGACCTAAGAGTTGAAGTTTTTCTTGACCGCTTTCAACACATCGCTCAATGAGACCAACGATATCTAGAACATCTTTGAAAAAAGCAGAAAGAGTCTTACCTGTATTCGCTTTCTTGAAAAATATCCCCTGTCCCAGATCTCCACGCTGCGAGTCTTTTATGCAAAAAAACGTGCGTATTAGTTGGACGGCGGCAAATGCTTCAATACATGGATTAATATCGAACCCACGGCGTAGTTGAAAATCTGGAAACTCGAGCCAGCTTTTCTCTACATGGAAATTTTTGAACTGGAAACTTTCCAACTCTAGTCTTCCAGGATCAAAATTAGTCAAGGTAGCGGCAGTGTAATCCTCTAGAATGTCAAGAAAGCGGTCTGTATCAAAATTAACAGTAAATTCGCCCGACTGCATCTTCAAATAAAGAGGCGAATTGATGAATGTACTGAGAAAAATATTGAAAACTGCAAACTCGTGGTCCATTCCTGATGTACTGAATTTTCGAATGGACAAAAAGTACCTCATTGCAGTCTCCATCACCTCGAGGCAGTTGAGATAGCCAAACAAATGAGTTTGCAGGACGTACGTGTTGAGAAGTCGCAGTGCCGCTTTGCTGGTGGCATTCTCGGTCTTGGAGTTGCTCAGATATTTTACTATGGGCTCAATGAAATGAGAATCGACTTGGGGTAAACAAGCCGTGTTCAACAATAAAAGGGAGCTCAAAATATCCATCAGGCAGTGCACATTCTTGCTGCTAAGAGAGTGGTTTAAATGTGTAGACAACAAAGTAGATAATTTCTCTACTAAGCTGATCCACTGGTGCGGCTCGAATTTCAAACGGAAGCATTCGCTATTTATCAAGCTTTCCAATGAAGACAATAAGTGTAGGCTAACACTAGTGGCCAGATCACCAGTAACCACGTCAATCATTAGATGAGGTAACGTAGCGATTACGAATTTGACATGTTTCGACTTGAAGTTCGCATTGCGCGTCTGTATCAGAAGCCTTACCACGTAGGAGGCTGACGAGAGTCTGTTTTCAATCGCAGTTATTTTGCTTTCGGAAGAATTGGCTTCATCAATTGCCAATCTCTCATATTTGGTTCTTTCCAATTCGATGATATCAACAAGAACCTGTAATATTGAATACAAGTATTTCGAGGGTACACTCGTGGGGTCCTGCTTCAAAAGCGTTGTCAATTCTTCTAATCCATTATTCCTCTCTTTTAGTTTACCCGAAGACAAAAGATCGATGACTATTGGAACATTGGATGAATCCATAGAATTGTCGGTAAACCTTGTCGTAGAGACAACTTGTTGAACAGAATTGAACGTTATATATACATCAAGGCATCATTAAAATTGAAGTTTCAGTCCAACACGTGACCGATGAGATCAGATTGTTTTGAAAGGAGTGTTGGAGGTTTCTAAAGACATCTAATGTGTCCAGAAGCTTATCCAAGTGGTATCGCTACTTAAATCAAGATTTCTTTTACCGTTTGGTCTTTATACGAATTATTTGCGTAAGACAAGCTACAATTCAAGTTTCGAGAAAAATTACCCGTCAGGGCTCCAAATTCAGCTCTTCCAGAGGACATGAACCCATTTCACCAAAAGTTCAGATTGCGTTGATGCCAACTCTTGCTCAGACCGATCAAGAATTAGGCCGATCCTGTGGACCATGGGCAAGGCGATTGTGACAGTGACAATATAGGAAATAGTGATAATCAGACCATCGTGTGAATTCTGTTCACCCGATGCCATTTGGGATGAAGCTTTCAAGGCGATCGCTGAGCCAGGAGGTACCTAATACGTGATCACAGCACAATGGCTCGATTATGTATGTAAATAATGTTATATACTGGATTAATCGCCGGGGTTCCAAAGCAGACGAGTTATGTAAAAATGAGAGATTAAGACTGATGGCCACCGCCGCAACAGCATGCGGGATCGTAAGCTACCCGGGTTTATAGTTCTTTCAGCACCCCCACTCTCTCCACTTTTTTATAATGCGATAGTTTTATTGAAGTCAGAAACCTTATTACTTATACATTGCGCGGAACTTTTGCGTATTGAAACTCAAGAGTTCTTGGATTTACACAACGACACCAGAGTTGGAAGCGATTCTTGGCCACAAATCGGCACATTCCTTACCGACTGGACCAGTGATGGCAGAACCCTTCATTTCACCCTTAGGGTTGGCAATGACACCGGCGTTGTCTTCGAAGTACAAGTAGACACCGTCCTTTCTTCTCCATGGCTTGGATTGACGGATAACGATGGCTGGCATAACCTTCTTTCTCAATTCAGGCTTACCCTTCTTGACGGTGGCCATAACCATGTCTCCCAAAGAGGCAGCTGGCAATCTGTTCAATCTTGAACCAGAGCCCTTGACGGCCATGATGTACAAGTTTCTGGCACCTGTGTTGTCAGCACAGTTGAGGATGGCACCAACAGGCAAACCTAGCTGTCCAGATGTTAGTAATTGAAATTAAAGGCGGCTTAACAACCAGCGAAATCATGGGTAACAACAAAAAGCACGGTGAAAGCGAGAGCCAATAATAGCTTAAAAAGTAGCATTATCAGACTCTCAACGAGTATGCGATTTCCTTTCAAACACAATCTTTGGATGAAATTTCCATTTAATAGACTACCCTTCGCGCTCTGATAATCCGTCTACCTCTCACAAAATAGAAACTTCTGTCTCACCAAATCAACTTCTCATCGCTCGTTTTTTTCAATAGTCTTATAGTTTTCCCACTGGTCTATTCTCACTATAGCGTAAACATACGGAAATTCTGAACTTTGTACCTTGAGCACCGTTACCAGACATTGTTGATGTTTGTGATCTGTATTACAAAGTACTTCAACTATCCAGCGCGTTCAGCTAAAGGTTTTGGTTGAATGTACAGTCAAGTTCACTGACGATGGATTGGGATAGGATAGGAAGTTGCCCACAGTGAGCAACAGGCTCACACACTATGGCTGGCAAGAGCCTGAGTCCCTCTCCACGACGGAACTTTTTCAGTGCGTGGGTCGAAAAGGTGATTTTTGGTGCAAAAAGTATAGGAACTGATAATTTTCGAGATAAATTCATAAAATGTCTGGGTGTTTAGCATGGGAGCAGTCAAAGGAGAGTATTTCGTAGGAAGTGTGCATTTATCTTGAGAAAGGCAGGGAGAGGAAGACGAACGACTATGGTGCAGCGTTGACTTATGAAGGAAAGGGTTATTCTCTAGTGGTACGAAGCTACTGAGTGAGGTAGGTCAAGAAGTGATATGGACTTGTTTGATATTTGGACGTTTATGTAAACAAAAAAATGGGGTTTTATTGTATGCTCATTAAATTTTAGTAACATACGAACAGGCGGGGCCAGAACAAACTTTTAAGCCTAGTGAATGATGATTGTGACAGCAAGAAAGATAATGGTGGAGGTAGAAACTTTTTGAAATGCTTGCAAGCTATATCACGTGACCCATGACAAATCTGGAAATAGTGATCTGGGGAATTTGGGGCATTGGTGCCAATGGGGGATGAAATGATATGGACTGCTAAGTAGTTCTCACGCGAAAGAAGCGCGACAGCGCAGGTACGATAGAAGATGCATATAGTTATCGCAATGTGCACCAACTGAAAAATCACGGTGACAGGAGACCGGGAAGGAGGCTAACTGATTTTATGCGTATGTTTCCGTCATATGAAGCGCTGCTAAATTCTAGGACTCTATAGCCAATACCAGGGCACTGTTAAGACACGGAAATTAATCGCCACACACAGCAACTATTAGCTGTCCATTTGCGGTGGCCTAACAGCGAAGCCGTATTCGAACTCTGATAAGTAGAGAGAACCGGCTTTTGTAAGCTCGATACCCATCGCTATATACGTAATATGTGTGCGTCAGGCTTGAAAAAAGTGACAAGGTTGAAACCCTACCAGTAAATAGTTCTCTCGGGGGACTTGAAGCTATACCAGACCGTCTAATAAGCCTATTTACCTTACCGCTGCTCCCTCACATATTTAACAAAGCATAAGTACTCGCTCTTCACGAGCTGAAGAGACATCAATTCTTAATCCGGCCTTCAAAGTGAACACCCCAAAGCATAGGATTATGATTTATTTTAGACACACTTCACCTCCACATCCACAATTTTCTGGGCTAAGATTAAATGTGAATATCGTGAAGCTACCTCTGCTGTCGCCTTTTACAATATAGTACATATTTGAATTCATATCGTGTCAAAGGGTTTGAAAGACATTTTATGCGGCATGAGCTCCTTACCAATATGCTAAAACCATTTTGTTGTTCACTCTACCTGTCGGCCAGCTACATAATTCATGTTCGAAAATCACTAAAGTCTGGAAGTGAAACTCCTCGTTTCCGAATACCAACTTCAAGCAGCTAGAAGCAAGCCACATAGTCACAATCAATATGGCTACTTCTACAAGTTGACCGTTTATGAAAGCCCATCACCACTTACAGTGTTTAACTCATGAACTTCATCATCCACGTGACCTAAATAACATAATCTCTGGATGAATATATCCATAACTCATCTCATCTCATTCGAAAACTACCCAAATCCATGTTTAAAGGCCAAATCGCACTCACTTTTAGCGACCTTTTTCCGGTGATATTCAAGACCTATATATCGGGTCCTTAAATAGTGGTTTTTGGAGCTCCCTGCTCTTGAAAATCTACGGTATATGACTGAACAGTTTCTTCACCATTAGAAGGTTATTAGGGAACACCAAAAAATCAAGTTGTAACCACTTTTCAGAAATCCTCAGAGCTCCGATCTCTCCAGAATAAATCTCATCTTCCTGGACCTGTTAAAAAGCTAAAAAGCAGTGATTCATGGTTCAAGTTTCAAAGACTTCTTCAGTTTTATGAGTTTAGATATCTAAACAGACGTTGATCCCCACTTGACAGATAGCTAGCGCTCAAATGTCCAATAGTGACGCTGAAAGCTTTGAAGAAAATTTAGAAGGTTCTGCGGAATCTGATGCTCCAGTAGCTAGTGGTTTCCGACCTCACAAAAGACGTCATCTCAACGAGAGTAGTAATAGGGTCCCTCATGATGATGAAGATAACGAAACAGACGACCCGAACTACGAAGATTTATATGAACAAGCACAACACGATCCGATAGATGTTGATGCCACGCAAAGTGCTCCCTTCAATTCCTCTGAGGATATATCCAACCCTATTGTCATACCCAGCACACAAGTGGCTATCGATCCTGCTTTAGTACAGTCCTACGCAGACGCAGACGCAGAGGTCATCGAAATTCCTGGCCTTGGGGACGTCTTGGATGTTGAAGGTGAAGAAGAAACAGAAATAAGTCGAGACGCTTCGACAGAAGTAGGAAATACCCCACAAACAGCGGTTGAAATCCCGGACGAGGAGCCGATTTCCCGGGAACACCATGGCTTTAGACGTGCAAGGGATTATAAATGTCCTATTTGTTTCGACACACCAGAAGTGGCACTTTACACACCATGCGGACACATTTTCTGCATCGAATGCATTTTCGAGATGATCAATAGTGTTAAGGCAAATCGCAGAGTCGGGCAGTGCGCTCTGTGTAGAAGAGATGTTAGTCTAGGGAAAATCAAATTATTAAAATTGCGCAAGAAAAGGGTACCGAAAGATTCATAGAAGAACGCGATTTTCAAATCATACTGACGTTTTATGACAGAATTTTGTCAGATCTCTCACGCAAAATAAGAAGCAGCATACAGTCTTCTTCAATTCATACCAATTTTGCGTATGGCTCTCAAAAACGGTCATCAATCAGATTTGCTTCACTAATCGCTAACAATATGCTGTATGACAGTGCACTTCGCAGACTAGGCAGGCATTACAAGAAGACCCCAACATTACAGTTTTTGAGACGCGTTGAATGTCGAACGCACAGGCCCAGGCGGCACATCTCACCTGCATCCGCTGGAATAGTCATTGTGCGTTATGGGACACTTCATGGTTTTCCAGATAGGCGAGCCATGAGATGTAGGTATCGAGGTATAAATCACGGGAATGAGGTCAAGTCAGGTCTTAGATGTTTGTGCCAGACGATAGTTTTGACCCCAAGCCCATTACACAAAGACATCACTCGTGGACTCAAAAAACGCCTTAGATAAAAGTTGCATTATAATGAATATATGTTATCAAGCACACAATATTGCGGCCCTATTTCACAATATTGCGGCCCTATTTCACAATATTGCGGCCCTATTTAATGTAGGGGCAGTGCCTTTGTTACTATCCTACATTATTATTTTGCTTCGCATCACTTTGCTTCGCATTACTTTGCTTAGCATTATTCGTTAAGGTAAAATCTTGTTGATGGTCCAGCTCTTGAAATACGACGAGTCACCGTTACCGGGTATGTCTTCAACTAATGAGCTTGCAGACGCGTTGGCGGGTTTACGATCACCCACACCTCTTTTCTGTGTATTGGTATGGCTGTCAACTCCTACTCTTCGCTCTACGAATGCACGCCTGTCAAATTCTCCATGATTCATTTCCATAGGTATATGTCTCTGACTCTCGTCGTAGGTTTTCTCTAGCTCAGCTAGATGCAATGCGTCGATGTCTATAAGATTAACGCCTTTTTCATTCTTTGCCCATCCGTCGCCACCATCGAGTATATCCTCGACACACTCCTTGGGATTCAGTTCGCCCGGTCGTGGATCCCACGGTACTTGGAAAGTTTTTTGATAAAGCTTATCGACAAATGGGTTATTGATAGTGATGGGAAACGTCCCTTGTCCGTCTGCAGTTTTTTTCGTGGGGCTACTGGTGCTAGCACCATTAGGCGTGAAAGTAGATGAGATGGGAGAACTGAAGTCGGAGGATGCGTCAAATACTTCACTTATGCCGTTTCGGAAAGTGTTGGGCAACTGGCCCGAATTGGAGAACTGTGAGGGTTCAAAATCATCGAAACTACCGCGTGCAAGTTCCATTTGAATTGCAAGGCTCAGAATAGAGTTGACTTTGGATTTCTGAAGTAGAAACCGGCTAGGAATCTGACGTTGTTCACGATTGATGTACTCTGCTATGTTGATTTCAACCACACCGAGAAGGACTTTGCGCGACACTTTTTGAGTGTAGACACTGTTGGAAGTGGATCCTGACGGCTCAGTTGCACTTCCCGCTGATGACCCAGCCCGATCAATCGCCGATGACCCCACCGGCTCTAAAAACTCAAAATACACTTCCAAGACCAATTCCTTATGTTGCAAAATCCGGTTTTTGTCTGTAGTGAGCTTTACAAGCACCGGTTTGGGCAACGTGTAGTCCCAACTAGCACGATGATGTTTGACAAGCACACGAGGTGTAGCCCCACGATTTTGCGAGCTTGAACGTATTACATGCGTACCATCTTGCGAAGCAGACGACGGTGAAGACGGCGATGGCACCATCGAATGACTGGTAGTTCCGGTGCCATCTTTAAAGTGCCATTTGACAAAACAGTATCCAGAGCTTTGAGGGATATTGGTGAGTTCACTAATTCTGAGCTGGAACAGAAACTTGGGACGTTTGCTCTTGCCCTTGTGAGCAAAAGGAATCATAGCTGGAGGCTAATCCTTGAAGGTAAGGTTGACTATTTGAATTTCCAACTGCTTGCGCTCACGACATAGAGCGATAAAAATGTTAAGGGGCACCAATTGCTTGTTCTTACCCCGGAGTTGAACTAAATGGTAAAAGGTAACCAGTTATCACGATGGTCAGAATTTCCAAGGCCAAATGAAATGGTGTACTCGAGTACATCAAGAGTTGAGAGATCGTGATATCAGTTTTAAGTCGAGAGTGCGGTTAGAATTTAGGTTAACCTGGTTGGCGTTGATCGAGTTGCGAGCCGCGATATTGCTTGTCTATTTGAATGCGACTCAAAGTATGTGAGGTTTCAAAACTGGAAGGTTTTTGAGCTTGGAATAGTGTGCTGTGAAGAAAAAGATGAAGGTAGGTTTTCGTTTAGCTTCTGAGATAGCGAAGGTCTATTCTCGCACCCAATGGATATCTTGAAAAAGTCATCATCAAAGTAAATGCACACCCTTTCACTTTACCATTTTTTGAAGGTTTGCTTTACCTGTAAACTCGTGAATTTGAGGTTGGAAAGGTCCAAATGTCTGGAGACATGCAAATTCCATTCATGTGCATCTTCAGAAATGTCTTGTGCACGCTGGATGTCGTAAACCAGAGGATTGAAAAACCGTGAAAGAGTTCTTGCCCTTGATGGTTCGGAAATACGAGAGGAATATGGGAGAGTGCCTCCATTGAATCTGATTTGATAACGAACGTATTTGATAGCAATTGAACATTGGGATCATGCTATTCAGGCTCACCAAGATAAGATCCCTCGGTTTGTCGCGACAGAGATTACCTCTATGATTAGTTTCGAAATGACAGTTAAATTGGTGCCGGCGACGGAGGATGTAAAAAGTGATAACAACGATAGCGTTCGAAACAGCACTGTCAAACTAAGACGATGGTGTTTGTCTAGGAGTTTTGATGAGAAGTTGTGGTGGAGATTTTACGATACTTGCGTAAAGTCACTTGTGCTTGGCTCTTAACTGGGCTTTTTACAAAGACTGAGTCTTTCAGTATAGTGATAAAGGCCATTAGAGAGGGGGTCGAAAAAAGTTCAGCTCTTCATAGCTGGTAAGCGGGGGAAATGCTCTGAGGGGATTCCACTGGCGCCTACCAGCCCAAGAAACTGAGTATGTTTTCGATTTGTTGCCTTTAAAGTAAATAAACCCGCACACATACACAGACTCACAAAAAGTTTAATACTCGGTTATGTGACAATCAGGATGCCTGATTGTCTTCCAAGGTTGGCGAGTCACTGTTCTGGTTCATCTTTTTGGATATGTGATAATCCCAAGTCATGTGATCTACACAATCGATGACAAAAATCAAAATCAAACATAGGAGAAGGACAACAAACCCCAATTGGCTGATAGAAGTAATGGAACAGTCTGGTTTATACTTGGAGCGTACCCACCAGGGAATGTTTCTTCTGTTTGATTTTAGAAAATTCGCTTCTAAAAAAAAGTAGGTCACGTGATTGGATGTTTAAAATGGCGAAATAGATCTGCCCACCGTCGTGGCGGCTCATATACCTCAATTCACCTTTCCCAGCAACCCATAGCTCTCAGAACATATCCAATACAGTACAAAACAATTACTTCACCCAGGGCTGACGTCCCATTGTAATCCGATAGCCAAAATCCTGAATGTCACACAACACGACTACCAGGAAAAGGGCGAACCGTCCATACATTTTTTCTCAATTTAATCCTTATTATTCCAACATTACCTTATTGGCCTCTCAGTTCATCGACAACGCACACATATACATATATTCATACACACAACTAGATGCCCACGTATGTGTATATGAACAACACCACATTCTAAAACCTCTCCCCTCTATTGCATTCTGTCTTATGGCCAGTTCTTTTCTATCCATCTACTCTGATAGCTGGACTCTGTCCGAGCGACCCGGGTCAAACTTGATCCAACTCGAGGCGCAGACCGGCACTGGAAGTGACTCTTGTTCCAGTACTAGTCATAAACTTCGCCGACTAACGGCTGAGCCGGAGTTGGCCGAACCCCTTTTAACCGATTCAACGCTTGCCGCGCTTTCTATTGCAGAACGTTCTACAGAAACTTTACGACGCGTAAGCGAAAGTATGCGACGAGATCACGTGCCGGTTTCCCCGCAGTTAATCATGCATCGTCACGCGTGGGACGTAGAGAAACCTGCACAAGCGCGGTTCCCGCTGGACCACGTGCCCATCAAATGCAACATTCTGCAGGCGCTATGCGATCTTCTCAGCGAGTATCTGAGCCGCGTGAATGCTGCAGGCCCGGGGCCTGCAGCGACGGCGCCGCTCGAGCATGTCGCCAAGGTGCTGCACTATCTTAACAAGCTGATCCAGGCTGCACAGCTGGACCCTGGCATGCAGCTGCAGCTGCAGCTGCATGCGCAACACCGCCGTGCGGTGTCTTCTGCTGAGTCGCATGACGGCGAGTTCGGCTCCGGCAGGTCGCGCATCTTCAACCGGTTCTTCGCCCCGGCTAAGAGCCGCGGAGCCTCTTCTGCCAACTCCCACACACATACCCGCACCGTTTCCGCGGCTACCAAGAGCACAATCACGGTGATGCCGGTCGGTTCCGCCGCCGCTGGCACCGGCTCATCTCCAGAAGAACCCGGTCCATCTTTGGGATCGGCTCATAAGATACAGGACTATGCTAGCATGCACACCTACAAAGAAAGCATAGCATCGCTCGCAGCAGTGCTGCGAACCGTGCCACATACAGACCAGAACAATATTGTGTTTCATTTTGTCGACCATAGCATCAATCCATTTATCATAAAAGACTGCAGGGCGTTGCTGCGCTACTACGTGGAACAAGAAACTATCTTACGACTGTAGAGAGAGAGAGAGAGAGAGAGAGAGAGAGAGAGAGAGAGAGAGAGAGAGAGAGC